CACGAATTGTTGTTAACGGTCACGGAGAGTAGATATTGGTAGTCGCTATTGGACGATGTAAAAAGGCAGGGCTAGTTTGATCAGCCACGCGTCTGTACTGAGGCTTAGTATTTGTGGATCGGTGACTCCTTTGTTTCTTGGTCGCGCCAAAAATTATTTGACAGGCTAACGATGAAGTTGTTGAAGACTCGAAGGCTTGAAGGATGTTTGAGTTGAGAGTTGGTCAAGTGCAAAACAGTTGGTTTCAATCCTACAAGGCCATTGAATTCAAGGTTTCCCGTTTTCTCACGACACACTATTGGACCCGCTTACCGATATTACATACGAGTGCTGCACCTGGTCCTGACTCACAACGTTAAACTCGCGTCGGCCCTCGTAACGTAGGAGGGCCTCTTGGTGACACGATTCCTGGGTCCCTGGGAGTGGGTCTCAGGATAACCGCTCACTTTGTTGACAACCACAAAAGATGTAACAAATATTTTGCGATGGCCACGCTGACTATTCTATGATTGCAGTTGATAACTCCTTCGTTTTGTCACTCGTGAGGTATGTCAGACGTTGCACGTGTCGCTTCATTTCTAGACTCGCTCGCTTTTTCGTAAGAAAAAAAAACCTCAGTGGCTGTGGGCCACGTCGCACTCGGATATCGGACCATTATGCATTACTTATGTACGGAAGACAGGCATCGTTTCTGCGATGAATTTGATATGCTCTGAACCTGACATGTCGCACAAATAAGGTGCCAGGCAGCATCTTACATGCGTTGATATCCAGTGGTACCCGCCTCATTCCCCTATACTCCTACAACACTCCGACGACCGCGAACTTACGGCGTTCGTGGGTGCCATTTAAGCCTCATGAAGGGCACATCTCGCGAGGCCCGCCACTGCCCTTCAAGCTCCGGACCGATAACGTACTACTTAGCGTTTACGAGCATCAGCATGCATGTCATACCTTGTAGCCAATCCCAGAGTCACCCCAGATGAAGTTCCAGTCCCCAAGCCATCTCCTCACTCTTAGAAGAGAGTCGAGGAAGATATCAAGAAGCTGGGACCTGAATTAATAAAACAGCAGGTCCGGCAAGGGGAGGACGACCATTTTGTGGTCACAGGTGAATGATGCTATGGAATTGTGTCAATCAATATGCGAAAGGGGGCAAGGAGGCCAATGTCAAACGAAGGGGATCACCTTACTTCTAGCGCACGCAACGGGCTTCCGAGGGAAGTGAGTATCGTGCCTGTATCCGTAGTGATCTGACTATCCATTGTGGATTAGATATGGGAGCCAACCCTATGTTATCTGTTAGCTGCCTGTGGTGTTATAGATGAGACATGGTCATAGGAGTCAGTGCAACATAGGGACTCTGCTCTGCTAAACGGACAGAATCTCAATGATAGCGGTGAGAGATTCCTGCCTGCTTGAAATTGATCGATAGCAGTCGATTGGACTGACAGTATTACGGGAGAATCACAAACGTTCTCATCAAGTACATGCCAGAAGAGGCAGGAACATTCGCATTTACCTATCATTTGTTCATTAGCGAATCACGACAAAAAAATGGCTTCTCTTCCCGCACCCTTGTCGTAGCAGGACACTCCTTCGGAGGTTGCTCAGCGCATGTGTTTCAATTCATGAATTTTCTGGCCTTGTTTTCCTCTAGATTTTGATCACGACCCTCGCGTTGGAGTATTGACTATGATTTCAAGGAAGATGCCTGACATGCTTCGGCTCTATGTTGATTTTGGAACATGGGGATGGAAGCGGACACGTTGCATTGAAGACTCGGACACCTCCCACCATGAGGTGCTCATCCTTGCCAACCCGGGAGCTAGTCGCGAAACTCAGGAGTTGATGGAAAGGCTCGACGAGGGCATCGAGTTGCTGTGAATTCCCCTATGATTTGAGGCCAGAGTGTTCAAGGAAGGAAGGCAAGAGAGATTTACTAACTGGTAGGGACTGCGATGCATCTGTTGTAAAGCAATTTGGGAAGGAGCGTGTTTGGTGCAGGCCAGCAAATGCATCTAACATCACATCAATTCTTTCAGACATCTCGTCTGTATCTCATCTTGAGACACTTTCGTATTTGACATAATTGCAGTTTCAATTCCTCAGGGCTCTCCGGAAGATCTTGGTACATTATTACCTCACAGAACATAATTTGATTGCTATCTAACTTTCCGCACAGCGCAAATCACAGCCGACTTTCTCCACAGGAAATGCGGTGTTTTGTCGAGGGACTCAAAGCTCTGACATTTGTGCATGAATTCTTCGAGGTTGGGTTTTTGACCTGCCTGAGCAACTGCGGATCAGTCCACTAGGTTTACATGAGCTGAACATTGTGGTGTGAAGGAGTGTGTACAACATTTTCCACTGACAGAGCAACCACAGACATCGCTCTATATCCACAAAATCGCTAGTGCCTAACTTATAATGTGATGTGACAATGTTATAGCGCCGTGATGCAAATGATGGTGTAAACACAAGTGGTAGTGAATCGCTGTAGGTGTCGAATCCACTATGGAACAGCATCGTTAGGGCGCCGTAATCGTAGTCTCCCCTATGTAGGAAGATTAGTCGTTTCTTCCGTAATCGTGTGAATTGGCAAAGTCACATCAAGTTCAGAAGCCGCGAGACTCTAAAGCCGTCGCCTCCTACAAATCGTCGTGTGCTACAGTAATGGGCCCCACGCTAGCATCCAGAGATGACCTTACCAGCCGTGTCCTCCCACAAATGATTCTTTCTGACAAGTCCAATCCGTTGACCAGACCTCATACCCCCTTGTCAAGCGACCTCACGGTCGCAGAAAGGGCGGCGGCGAGATTTTCTGTCAAAGGCAATGCGATCGGTGGGTATAATCGAGCCAAGTATACCAATCTTCACATCAAGCAATTCCCCAGTCACCGGAGGGTGCGGCAACCTTGGGATCGAGGCAGCACGTGCCCTCCTGGAACATGGCGCGTCGGGTGTGTCGTTATTTGACATCAATCCGGCGCAAGCCCAGGAGGTTGTTGATAAGCTGCGTTCTGATTTCCCATCGGCAAAGATCATTACGAAGAAAGTAGACGTCCGCGATCAGCAAGTCGTTCAAGTAGCCGTCGCTGAAACTGCTGACGAGCTCGGAAGCTTGGATATTCTCCTGTGCTTCGCAGGTGTAGTCGCTTGCAACCACGCACTTGATATTTCTTTAGAAGAGTGGAAGCGTACGCTTGACATTAATACGACAGGAAGTTGGTTGTGTTCCCAAGCAGTGGCAAAGTAAATCAACCCCGTTTGGACTCGAAACTCACCTTCTGACAGTCCGAAAGACAGATGGTCAAACGAGGGACAGCCGGTAGCATCGTCTTCACAGCATCAATCTCTGGCCACAGTGTCAATTTCCCCCAACCACAAGTCTCATATAATGTTTCTAAGGGCGCGCTCCTGCAGCTAAAGAGCTCTCTTGCAGCCGAGTGGGCTCGGTATGGCATCCGTGTCAACAGTATCAGCCCAGGGTATATGGATACAATATTGAATGAAGGTCCAGGGCTTGAAGAAGCTAAGAAACTATGGTACTCGAGAAACCCAATGGGACGCATGGGAGACCCAAGCGAGCTGACAGGTGTTGTGGTGCTCCTCTGCAGTCGTGCGGGGAGGTACATCAATGGGGCTGATATCCTTGTGGATGGTATGGCCTGTAATCTAGGTTCGAATGGAAATACTTAACAAATGTTTTTCAGGTGGTGGATCTGTCTTTTGATTGCCAGTATGTGGAAATGTTCAGAATCAGATTATGGAGCATATGGCATGGGTCGTAGACGTACCGACAACCTGGGTATGTTACTGTAAGGAGGAAAAGAACGGGTTGCATGACAATGGTCGTCGAAGGGTGTGAAATACAAATATGTTTTAGGACCGCTACCCTTGAACCGACGATATCTGTAGGGGTTTTTTGCTAAGAACCTTGGTCGATCCGCTCAAGTAATCACTTACTTTCATAGTGCAGTAATCCGATTGCTAGCGCATGTACTTGCCACTGAGTCGTGGAATACTTACAGTGTCCGAGTGTCGTCCTGTATCACGAAGTCGTCCGAAGGATAGCAGATTGAAATTAGAAGTTGGAAGCTGTGCGCACCAACCAAGTGGCGCTGTAAAATTGAATGGATTCGCTGACACCGTGAGTCACCGTGGAGCTGGGCCAATAATAATTTCAAACATCACTTACCTACCGAAGCTCCACCATAAGAGTTACTATGAAAAGAGAAGGCAAACACAGAAAACCGTGACAACGGCCCACACGCGACGCGGATCCATCTGTGCTACTCGAGTCTCCGTAGTCAGTCCTTAAAAGAAGGAATGTGGTGTCTTCTACCTGCACTTTATACAGGATACTATCGTCTGTATTGGTGTTTGAGGATAATTCGGTCATGCTCGATGGTGCGAAGCCAGAACGGTCCAGACCAAGTCCAGATTGTTACGAAAAGAGCAGGAGATACGCCATTTTGAAGGAGATAAGGATGAAATGTCGCGAAATGAAGGAACAGAAGGAGACGGGAAACGATGCGACGACCTAAATAGGTTGAAAATCATTGCAAATCAGCAGACGAGGAGGAACAAAGCGACACTCATGTGAACGTTCAGTCAGACGTGGCATTATTATCCTATGCGCTTTGAATTTCGGCAGCTTGCCCCGTCGGGATTAAGCGTGAGCGCCAACGTGCACCCGACCTCGCGAATTAAACCGTTAATGTCCTTTCCTTTTACCAACCATATATTTGCTTAAGGTGAGTGCCAGCACGCTGGAAAGATCTATTCGTGTGCGCTAACAACTTCTTTTCAGCGACATTGCACAGGTCTCCTCTGCCGGTGATCTTGTCAAGCCAACATTCACACTCTTTTCAAATCAACGCTCTTTTCAAATCAAACACTCATTACACTTGTATCTCGGCAGTTAAATATCAGACATGTTCACGCCTCCCCCGTCACCTCTTCCATTCAAAAGTCCTGAATTGCCCAAGCTGGAAATGACTAACAATACCCCCACACATGCCAACCCATCTGCGTTCCCCACACATTCATACCAATCCAAGCAAAAATATACCCTTACACTTCGCTGGACGATCATATTGGTTCCAATAACTCTCATCGCAATTGGCGTGTCCACACAATTTTTTATTCATCCAACGGCATTTGATGCCTTTTCGCCAACCTCAATCCACGGGTGGAAATCGTGGACCAAAAGCTTGACAGATTGGTCACTGCATGAGAGACACAAACCTACCGCGAACCTCTTGCAGCTCGCAGTAGTGTCTGACACAAGCTCGTTACCCTTCATCAAGAGGAGCACACCTTCGGCTACCCCCGCACCCACCGTTCCAATAAATCCAACTTTGCCAACTCCATTTCCCCAGCCTTATGACACAACATTGTCGTCAAATTTCTCGACCACATCGTGCTACAATTTCTTCCTTAATATGACACAGACAGACGCTTTACGATCCTGCCGCCCTTTCTCTTTGATGCTCACTCATTCTCAAGAATTTACACAGGTATGTTTTTTCCTAGATGGCGTCCCACATACTGTTCAACATCACTACTTTTGTATTGTTGCACAAGCAGGTACAAGATGATATAGACGCAACGAACACGGATATTTGGGGGACGTGCAACACTGCTCTCTCCCCAAATCAGTGTGATCTGAACATGGCGTGGTTTGCATCGTCACTACGTTCTTCATGTGCTACCGATTTGAGTAACCAAAACCTCCTGGCAGTCAACGCATTGATAGGTACGAGTTGAATAATAGCAATTCCGGTGGGGTCCTGATAACGAAACACTCTTACGTAGGCCTTCAAGCATTTGACTTGATGCGGCAAGCGGCGTGTTCTGTGGATCCCGTGGCAAATGCATATTGTTATGTCGAAGCTGTGGCGAGCTCTGATCCTTCTAGCTATTATTTCTACCAGCTACCCCTCGGACAGACAGTACCCCAAATCACCAGCGGGGCATGTAACTCTTGCACCAAGAGTCTCATGTCAATGTATTGGGCTGCTCTGAGCAGCGCAAACGCCACCAGCTTGACAGGGTTGCAGGCTACATACGGTAGCGCGGCAACCAAACTGAACAATGTGTGTGGATCGCCTTACGCCCAAATTACAACCGTGGCATCGTCAGCGCCGCCGAGCGTCGAGTTGGCCGGTGTGGGAGGGGCCTGGGCTGTGCTGCTGGCTGTGGGTGTACTATCAACTTCAATGTCGTCATAGGGAGAAGTAGGGTCGATCTGTTGCCTGGGACAACCTGTTGGGTGATTGTATTTCATCGATTTTGGGCTATTTAGTTTTCGTTTTCTTTGCGGATCTACTTACATAGGCGTGCGGGCTACCAGTTTAGACTTGTATTCATTCTCACCACATTCACAGCGTCAACTATCCTATTCTTATGATGGTCAACCGCTGTGCATTCACTACTGTCTTCTCCTGTATACTGTTAGATTTATGATGATAAGATTTTTGACGTAGTCACTACTCAAGCATCTGTCCCCGACTCCGGTTGATGCATTATGCTCATAGCCGATCACGGTAAAATTGAAGGTCCAGCACAGCCAGCACAGGCTTACTTAAGCGACAACGCCAACTCCTTACTTTCCTAATCCGGCGACTACTACAAAAGTCTTGTCAGACTCATCATTAATGTCATGATACTTTCATTCCGAACCACGACAACGGCAAGCTGGTCTTATACGTCCTTCCTTCAATTCTTTCTTAGACTCTCATACGACTAAGATCCTGTGTAGCACTCTATTGTCACATGTGCATTGCCCCCTTCTCTGCTTCCCGTTCATTCCTCCTGATTAAACAGCCATGTTTCACTCTCGTCTGCGGGTACGTGTTGGACCATCGATGGACAAGCTTGTCTGTATCACAGACAAAGTGAACAGCAGAAAGGCGCACGATATATCTTCAGAATTGTTCGAAGGCAAGGTCGCCATCAACATCAAAGGTTTCACCAATCCCTCTGGCGAAGAGCTTTTCGCGGAGTACTTTGACCGAGAAGATAGGAAAGGGATAACGTGGAGTATCCAGGTTCAGGGTGCGTCTGAGCACCTCGGACATTAATCGTTTTATCCTGATGCTGTGTGGTAATTATGTCAGGCCGGTTCCTACAACCGACTTCAGCGGATGATGTTATGTTTGGAAATACGTTCGATAAACGTTTAAAGTTGCCTTGGGGTGCTGGTGTGGCGCTCAAGTTCATGAAGTGAGTATGCTGTTGTGTTCGTTCAGTTCAGATGTTGCAGCACACGGCGACAGAAGCTAACGATAATTTTTAGATACGTCGATCCTACCTTGGAACATGACTTGATGTCGGAGACGAAGCCGTGGGCCCTTTCACCACTGATCGCAACAATGCCCCATTTTGTGCACGAAAGAATAGATGACATTTTCCGAACTTCGCCCGTGCTAGAGCACAAATGGTCGGAGTCCTCGTTTCCACCCTCGCAATCAATAGGGGAGGATACCTCGCAGTTACAATTTGCCACCGCGTCCTCGAATTCCTCTAGCTCTACGTATTTGACCCCATACTCGTCCAATTCTCCGTTTGCTACACCATCCTCGTCATTATCGGTTGCCTCATCTTCGTCTAGCCACTTGAATTTGCCGAAAATGCCTGGTTCATTGGACTGTCTCGGTAAAGAATTCACTTAAGTTTCCTCTTGAAAAAGCGCACTTGAAGAAGAAGAATAAGAAGACGAAGATGTTTGGTCGTGCGCTAGATCTGCGGACTGCAGGCAATCGTAGGTCATACTTTAGCAATCCTCAACATCGGAAAGAGATTGTATTTGGACCTGAGGTATTGTCATTCATCATTTCAATCTCTGTCTACTCATAATTCCATCAGGATCTGATTACGACAGATTTCTGCTATGGGTATCTGCAATTCAACCCGACTCTTGCCTTAAGGCTTTCAGGTGGTATGACATTCGACCTCATGAAGTACTGGGATAGACATCCTGTCAGGTTTGTTTGCTGCAAACGGAGAAAGCCAGGAGACGGGGAACGCAGCGACGGGCAGCCCACAGGTGACCTATATTGGATCGTCTCGATAGAGACTGCATATGAAAACGATATACATCAGGAAGATTCAGTGACAGGACAGGATAAATAACATGACATAGATGTACATTTCTAACTCACATTCACATCTTGTATTATACATTGGACAATGGATCAACCTACCATCGTATGGTTAGGGGTAGTTTTCCCTTAGTGGGAGCGTTTACATCATGTGGCCGTGCCACTTTGCCTGCTCCCGAGTCGCAGCATAACGTCGAACCATAATATTGTCAGTACAGCAGGATAATGATTCAAATATGCCGTGCAGAAGACGGCGAATCATATCAGGTATGCTGCACCAGAGTCTTCGGTGTCATAGACCCGCAGCACTTACATCAAACAACAGGTCAATGCTAATTTACGAGACATTGAGAGGTACGTCTATGGCCAAGCCCAGTTTTGTACCGCACTAACGGTTGTTTCGCAGACGAGGAAGCCTAGAGGCATTCTTGAATCAGGAGACGGGCGTTGATCAGGACGCCATTTTGGCTTACCTTTCGGATGGTACACGCTTGCGTACCGACAATGTTCGTGAGCTAGTGGGTGCACATGACCAGGCAAGTCACACCCTCATTGTAAACACGGAAAAGATTAATTCCATGAGCAGACTATCTATGTTTTCAACAAGTATTATTTGGATTTCGACTTAAGCGACGTACTTCACGAGCTAAGGGTTAACCCACCACTGCAACCTCCGATTGAAGGTGCGTGGCTCGAGCCATATTTGATATTTTAATATCAACAAAGTATCCCAGATTCAATTTCCACAACTCCTCCATATCGACCTTCACAACTCGCCGCATCTTACCTCCGCACAGCACATACACACCTCGAACACATTGTCCATACCGTGGCCACCCTTCACCGCCAACATCAAGCAGCTCGAATTGCATCCAGCAGCTTGGAACTTAATGTTCTCGCTATAGCCGACGTTTTCGATGGCATCGCTATGACGGCTCGTAAGGATCTCGAGCGCCAGGCTGCGCTCCTTGCAGGTCTGGATGCGGATTTGGAAATCATAAGCCGCGTAAAGATACACGTTGAATTTATGTCACCTGCTGTGAGAACCGCGATTGAGAACGGAGAGCGGCCGAGGACGCTGGGTGATTATGTGTCGAATGTGAGGATGAAACAGGTCGCTGACGCGTGTGCGAGGACGCATGGTACGTAATTGAAAAAAAACAGTTGGGATGACCTTCTTATATTGTTGGTCTAGAGGATCTCCGGGCTCAGTTCCAAGACGCTGAGAAGTCAGCGGCCAGGTTAACGAACGGAACTGATTCTGTACGCGCAACAGTAATGAATACGCAGTTGGTGTTCGTTATTCTATGGTAGTATGTCCATCTCACTCGTTCATAGAATTTTGGAGGGTGCGGACGCCTCAGGCCGTCGGGCGCAGGAGATTCTCGAAAAGGCATCGGACATTACAGCAGCTCTTGAGAGTCCTGCCACGGATCCAAATAGCCTTCTTCGTGGTATGTCCGATTCATACACGTAATAACAAAGTAATCATGTTTCAGAGCTAAAACATCTTGACGGTGCACTGCGAAGCGAAGTACGAGACATTACCGAAGCCAAGGTTTGTTTTCGAAGTCGATGAAAATACTCTTACTGACGCTTTACAGAATGCATATACTGAGCAATGTATCGGTGTCCTTCGGCAAATCAGCGCCTTGAATATCGACATTGTGCAGCTACCAACGACCCTCTCTAACCTCCAGGGTAAATTCAGGGCTAAGAACAGCTTCTCGCACATACAGAGGCTTCACAATATGTTATATGCATATTGCGCCACTGTCGTTGAGATCGTGCGGCGCAAAGAATTTGGTCAGTTAACGCAGTTTTGCGTGACCCCATATCTGATCTCTTAAACGCAGCTCACTTTTTCTATCAGCGCGCGCAAAGTATTTTGGAAGTGATGGCCAAGCTGTCGTAAGTCCACGAAAGTTGTTGTGATACTATGTTACAATTCCTGACGAGTCTGTAGTGCAAGCGAGCGGAAGCGCCGACAGGTATATAGAGGGGAAGTGCATGGTCAACTGCCCTTCGATACGAAAGGAATGGATGATGTTGTACCGACCATCGACTTTTCTCCTTCCGGTAGCAAAGAGCCGTCGTATTCACTGAACCGAGAAGACATTGATGGTATTGTTTTGTCCACTAGCACATCGGCCAAACTCATAGTGAAATACCAGTGCTGCTTCAAGTCCTGAGCGGTCTGGAGTCATGGGCGCGGTCAAGTTCAGACCCTGTGGCGATGGGCTCAGTACAGGAAGCAAGAAGTGCAGTGGATAAGCTCATAGCCAAGATGGATAATCTGGAAGCTGGGTTCGACCGTATCGCTGAGCGTTCTTGTGAGTCAAATAAGTCGCCAAACACACCTTTAGCTAACTTCGTGCAAGTACTCTCGGCATCACGATTGTCTTCGTCACGCAGAAGACGTAAGTCGATGACTTTCTATTTTTGTCCCTAATACTCACACAAGTCACAGTAACAGAAGCGGACGAACACGCATTTCAGGAATTGGCTGAGCAACTGCGCGAAATGCAAGAAGCCCAGGCAAACCAAGAAAAGCTGATACAACAAGAGCGGACGTCCCTTCAGGCTGAAATTCATCGACTGCATAGCGACCTTCAAACCACTGAACTCGCATCTCACTCCGAGCGGGAACGCGCAGATGTACTAGAGCGTGAGCTGCACCAAGCCAAAGCGCAGATTGAAAGCGAAGTTGCAGCTCGACGCATACTGGAGCGCCGCAATCTGGAGTTGGCCCAAGACCTCGAAAACGAGCGACAGAACCGTGTTCTAGCACTCGTTGATGCAACGGAACAGACGCGTGCAGTCGAAGTAATGAGGCAGGAGTTATCACAAGTCCGTTTTCAAGCGGAGGAAATGAAGGCTTTGGAGGCTAGGAACGCGTCAAAAATTGCTCAGCTGGTTGAGGAACAAGCAACAACTCTGCGGAACCTGGAAGCAGCACGTTCTAGAGGGGAAAACCTGGAGACCCAGATCCAAACCGCTCGCTCTGAATGCGAGGAGGTGAACAGAGCACTGAAGAATACTAACATGGAGAAAGATAGATTGCTTCGGTTACAGTCCAACGAACACGATCGCATTATGCGGGATCACATCGCCGAAGCTGATGGCGACCGGGCTGTTCTTGAACACCAATTCTCGGAGCTCAGAGCACAGCTTGAAGATACTGAACGACAACTGAAGGAGGCACGCTCACGAACTGAGTTAACCAACGCAGATGCTATGGGTCTGCGTGAGGAACTTCAGCGGGTCGAGCATGAGCTTCGGGAGGCAAGGCACATAGAGAGAATCCTCCGAGATGACTTAACAGCTGGACGGTCCTCCCAGTCTGACTACGAGCATCGATTGGAAAACAGTGGTCGTCTGGTTGCTCAGATGCTCGACGTTGCGATTGCTTTCCGAAACTCTCATTGCAAAGCGCTTTCTCTTGTGCACAATCTCACTAGTCACCCCATTCCATCGAAGCATGCACAGTCCCTTGCCGAATCTACATTTACATCAACCCAACGCCATGGGCAAAATGCTGGTGCGCAAGCCGATGAGCCCTCTCCAATTGATCCATCAGATCTTCTGGGTGCCTTGGAATCATTACGTGCCTTTGATCATGATCATTTCTTGGAAGCGGTGGCCAGGACAGGTTCCATTATCCGAAAGTGGCAGAAGCAATGCAAGGAGTATCGAGAGCGCGCGAAGGGCAAGATCTCTTTCCGGAATTTTGCCAAAGGGGATTTAGCGCTGTTCCTTCCAACGCGGAATTCTATATCAAAGCCTTGGGCGGCGTTTAATGGTACGTATCTATGCTACTACGAGGATGAACCTTTTCCCGACGTTGTTTTTGACATCTAGTCTCATTCCCGCATTACTTCCTTTTGGCTACTGGCCACCTCGCCGAGCAGCTGAAAACGAGAGAATGGATAGTGGCAAGGATAACATCCATTACCGAACGTATTGTCGATAGCAAGGTGCGTACGGCGTGGTTCATACTGTCGTATTTGTCCTCAACGCCCGACCAGGACCCTTCCAGCAATCCATATGGTTTAGGCGACGGTGTCAAGTATTATATGTTGGAAGTGGAAGACTGGACTCAAGCAGGTCAGATGAATAAGCGGAGACCTGCTGTCAGAAAGGTGTCAGCGTTATCGGATCCTGAAACAGACCGCAAGACAAGCTCAGATCCACCCGAGCCTTCTCCTAGCCCACCACCAGCGCCTCCTCAATCTGATTTTGAGAGCGTTTTCAGTGCTACCCAGCCTCCCACATCATCGTCCTTCCCCGTCAGGGCAAGAGCGAACTCCACACCCGTTGCTGGTCCGTCTTCATTGTCTCGTCTGCTTGCCCAAGCCCCTCCTGAGAACTCGATGGAAATAATTCCATCGTCACGAGATGTTTCTCCCCCCACTACTCCTCCGCCACCGCCACCGCCTCCTTCGCCACCGATGCAACTAGTTGATTCGAATGCACACCAGCCTGTCTCATCAACTCATGCTCCACGTATACCATCTCCACTGCGCCCAGGATCGCGCGCGTCTCGTGGCTCCTCGTCCTCTAGGTTCTCCGCGGTGCGGCTTCCGCCGCTTGCATCCGTCTCTGCTTCTCCAACTGCTGTGAAAGCAGTGGCCACTACCGCCCTGACAGAACATGATTTATCCTCAATATCTCCTCCACGTGAATATTCAGCCAGTAGAGGACCACCGTCTCCGCAAGGCTCGTTGTCCGAAGGGATGACTAGCATCTTTCTCAACAGACGCCGGACTACGTCTCACCATGTCCCTCGGTCCTCTCCATTGGCGTCTAACAATTTCTCGGGAGCACCATCTGCTACTAGCACACTTGCCAGTTTAGCCAGTAATTTCGTACCTTTCGGGAGAAGAAAGAAGGTCGATATGCCTGCCCCCATCATCGAGGGGCATGTTCGCGATCAAGCCGGGGGAAGTGAGGTATCAGCCAGTGACATGCTGAGACGCTTTTAGGTCGTAGCTCTGGCCGAAATGTATGTGGTGCGAGGCTGGGCACGTCTGTCCATGATCACTGTTCACCCTTAATCGATCCGAATTTGTAACTTGGTCGGAACATGGATGACGGCCCTCAGGGCATCATGTGATCGGATCGATAGTTAATCTTACTCAGTTATCGTCATTAGAGGACCTCTGCGAAAACTAAAGAGATTCCTACCTTGCAGCCTATTAATCAGGTATACTACGACAGCAATACCACCCATATTGGCCATTTTGACTCTGAGCCTTGTTCATGATCATATCATATCACCTTTGTTAGTCGGCGATTTGTTTATCCACGTACAGGGTTGCAAAGTTTCTTGCGCCGAACTCTTTCACGCGTACGTCAAGTGGTAGCCTAAGAGTTTTACATGCAGTTTTGACCCACGAAAGACTGAAGGAGATGAAGAACTCAGTCCAGGTAAAAATTCAAGTTCTAGATCCAGGATCATGTTGGGCAAACCCTGGCCAATTCTGTTCGTCCTACGTGGAACATTGCGACTCGATTGACGAAGTACTATACACGACTCATATGGGTAGTAGGAGATCCTTCCGCTCAGGCCCCCTTTCCGGAAGCCGGTATTCCAAGATCTGTTTTCAGTCTGACAGAGGCACTGGCTTTCAAGACTTTAGAGATGCGGGGCAGCATGCATGGAGATCTTTAGCGCTGGGAACATCCTATTCCGTTAACCCGGGCCGTGACGGCATATTCACCGACAAGATCAAAATGCACGAGTGTTGACTTGTCAAGCTTACCGTCAAGGTTTTCCCGCCTTCATGCATCATGCATGATGGCTCGCTGGAAATACAAAAGAGGATTGCATGGATAGCGGGGTACCTCAGGAGAATTGTCAGCTGCCGAACTATATCCGGTCCGCGGCTGCTAGATTGAAGTGCGTGCATAAAACCTAGTACCTGTATCTTCCCTGAATGATTATCCGTGACCTTTCTCTCTCCTTGACCTTTTCACTCTAGAGATCAATCATGGGTGGTGTTATTGCTGTTAGCGGTCGGGACACGTCATTTGCGCATCTCATTGATGAGAGAAAGAAATGGTACAACAACAGGCGGTAAGCAAACACCATTGAATGCTCCTGGTTCTGATTGATGTAAATGCATGGTAGACTCATCACTCTCAACGCCTGGATTATGCTCCTGTGGGTTCCTTCGTCTGTTCTGTCATTCCTCTGCTAAACGTCTTTTCTTTAGTCTCATCACTTCCTCGACGAATGGGTACGACGGCAGTATGATGAATGGACTGCAGTCCCTTTCTCAGTGGGAGGTCGCCTTTAACAATCCATCTGGCGGTAAACTGGGTCTTTTGAACGCCATTCAGGCGAGCTTCTTTTGTGTCTGCGTTGATGATCTTTATTGATGATTGATCACACAGAATATTGGTTCCCTAGCTGGCTATCCGTTTGCCCCTTACATGTCGGACGGCATAGGACGCCGTAAGACAGTGTTCTTTGGTGCAACGATTATGTGCGTCGCTACTGCCATACAGACTGCCTCTCAGTCCGTGGGCATGTTCATTGGTGCTCGATTCCTTATCGGTTTTGGTCTCACTTTTGCTGGTCAGTACAATCCCCTTGTGTACCAAGTAATCAATTAACTGATATGCTATGTGTAGCCAATGCCGCACCAATGCTGGTCACCGAGATTTCGTATCCCACGTACCGCGCTCCCCTGACATCGCTCTACAACTCCCTTTGGTACTCTGGTTCTATCATGTAAGTTCCGATCAAGTAAATCCGCCCAACGGATCTTGGAAGCTGATGGGATTATTGATATTAGTGCTGCCTGGACGACTTATGGCACCTTTAAGATCAACAGCACGTGGGCATGGCGTCTGCCTTCTCTCCTTCAGGGTCTTCCATCCATCCTGCAGTTCGCTCTTATCCTGTTTGCACCTGAGTCACCCCGTTGGTTGATCAGAAATGGTCGTGAGACAGAGGCTCTCAAGACCCTCGCCTATTACCATGCTGATGGTAATGAGTGAGTCGCATTATTTTGACCGCATTTCGCAACCTGGAGCATTCTTCTTAGGCAAGATCCTTTGGTTTTATACGAGTTCGAGGAGATCAAGGCCGCCATTGAGTATGACCGCACTGGTCGGTCTCATTTTACTTGCTGCACTACGCTTTTTCACATGAACACTTCTAGTTGCCTCCAATGTCGGATGGAAGTCACTTGTTACCACCCCTGGTAACAGGAAGCGTATGCGCATTATCGTCGCTCTTGCCTTCTTCTCCCAGTGGTCTGGGAACGGTCTTGTTTCGTACTATCTCTCAAAGGTTTTCAACCAGATCGGTATCACCGGCTCAGGCACTCAGTTGCTTATCAACGGTATTTTGCAAATATGGAACTTAGGATGGGCCGTCTTCGCTTCTTTCATGGTCAATAGACTCGGTCGTCGGTTCTTGTTCTTGCTCTCAGCATCTCTGATGACACTCTTTTACATGGCGCAAGCTATCTGCTTCGCCGAGTACTCTGAGCACGGTCACGCCGCCGCCGGGCACTCTGTCATCGCCTTTATCTTCCTCTTCTATGCAGCATACGACATAGCGTTCACACCTCTCATTGTCTCCTACACCGTGGAAATTCTTCCTTACAACATTCGTGCAAAGGGTTTCAACGTTTTCAACTTTGTCATCTCCGTTACGCTCATTTTCAACCAATATGTGAACCCAATCGCACTGGACGCCTTGTCGTGGAAGTACTACGTATGTTTGTGGACACTACTTTGCTCTGAATTTTTTTCTCAACGGTCATGTTTAGCTCGTATACGTTTGCTGGCTCGCTGTCGAATTCATTTTTCTGTGGTTCTTCCTCGTTGAGACTAAGAACAGGACTCTTGAAGAAACTGCAGCCCTCTTTGATGGTGACGATGTACTGGAACAGATCGCCAACAAGGCAGAGGGTGCACAGGAAGTGTACGATGACGGCTCATTGGAGAAAAAATCTTTCGGCGCGGACAACGAAGTGTCTAGAGCTTAATTTCTCTGAGCATCCCACTGAGTATTTTGGATGATGCTGTCCCAATACTCAAGAGGGTATTTAATTCATTATGTATGGCCACAGGCAGAACGCGACACTGCGCTACCTTCTACATATGTACGATAAATATAACGAAGGGCATTTTTGACTCACTTCCAATCAGTCCGTTTTAAGCGCAACGTTGCTTGTGCCAGTGAACTCATATGACGTTGATGCCATATGCTCCGCCACTTGTACCTAGCTCCGGCCAGGCCTTGCCTGGGCTGCTCAAAGCTCAATTTAAGAATACTCTTCCCCGCGTGTTCCCCGCAGTCACTAGCATATGCACACGCATCATTCTCGGCGTGACCTAGGTCCATAAGATCGAGTTCACAGGAAGGCCTTGGAAAGCCGCTCAGCGCCACGCATCAGGGAGAATGTCAGAATGAGTATGTACAGAATTTCATAATATACGACAACGTTTACTGTGACAAAAAAAAAAGAAAAGACAAATACGTAATATCTGGCAGTTGCGGCGAAGCATTAGGAGCACAATACGGAATGAGCTATGCGCATAAAAACCTATAGCACACGAAGGCCACGAGGTAGCACAATACGGAACATGATGGACAGAATATGGACAGGCAGGGCACCGTGGGTGGGTTAGTCCAATGAGTGAATAGATATGTAAGAATCGTAACATGGCGAGGCGTAATTGCAATGAATTTTCCCTCCACACGCAACCCAGAAGACGTCCGTACAACAGTGCAGCTCGCGCATTCTCAGCCATCTTGTTACCATCAACAAATCAGCCCAACGATCACCTTCACAGTATGCCTTGTCGCCAATGTAAACCGCACAATTACAACCAGCAGTGAACAATACAGAATGATAAGAGGGAATGTCGATGGCCGGAGAATGAGTGAAGGCACGGCTGGCCCTGCTCGACTCAGCCCATCTTGCTGTCCTTCTTCTTCTGCTTACGCGGTGGTGTTACTGGTCGACCCATGTTCATCCCTCCGTACGGATACTTGGCCTTCTTCTCGGCAGGCTTCAGGATCTGGATATGAATATTAAGGTCAAACTCAATCAAAGAAGATGCAGGATAGCTGGTATCGTACCTGGAAGGAACATAGTAGGGTTTCGTCCACACTCATCATCGCACCTGCGTTATCGAATTCTCCGCAGTAATTAGGCGCTGAGAATAACGTAACCAAATGCCGCTTTGCAAAAAATTCATAACCGTCCTCAACAACCTAATTCCACGACGTCAGTCAGCGACACACTAGTTAGGGTCCGCACGGACGCGTCCGCAAAGCGCTGCATACCTGATGAGCTCTACAGATGAGATCCATGTCATGTTTCTGCAAAAATCGGGAGACCACGTCGGGTCCAAATGTAAACGATACTCCTCGGTCATTCTCCGACCACCCGGTGATATCCTTGTCGGGATCTGACCATAGCAGATCACATAGCAAACCTTGGTCGGGTAAGACACTCAAACTCAAGTAAGATGCACAGCAAACCTACCTGTGTCAGGAACATCCGTAGGTCTCATCACTCTCCGTATTTGCTCCATGGACTGAAGATCAGGGCTGAGACCACCGTGCATTGTGAAGATCTTTTCGTCGATGATAGCAGCTATAGGGAGACAATTAAAGCAATCCGTAAACGTCTTCCATAATTTGATATTGTAACGCCGTTTGCCTGTCAATGTTATCAGGGTTCCATCATCAAGGGTTGCAGCACAGCTCACATTCATCATAGAAACCATAGATTCGGTTTATACTTGCACATTCGTGGTTGCCCCGGAGAATGAAAAAGTTTTCAGGGTACTTGATCTTGTAGGCGAGGAGGAGACAGATAGTCTCGAGAGACTGCTTCCCCCGATCGACGTAGTCGCCGAGGAAAAGATAGTTTGCTTCTGGTGGGAACCCGCCATACTCGAAAAGTCGGAGGAGGTCATAATATTGACCGTGGATGTCACCTAGCCGAAGGCAGACCCGAATGAGTCATCCCGATAAACACACAAGGATGTGAGCGACACTGACCGCAAATCTTTATGGGGGCCTCTAATTCAAGCAATATTGGTTGATTTATGAATATCTCGCGTGCTTTTGTGCAGAGATATTTGATTTCGTATTCTTGTAGTTGGACAGGTTTGCCTGGGCGGTTGCCTCGCACTGGATGCAAAAGTTGGGTTAACACCTGCTTCGTAACATATTACGGGCGGTCCATCTAAGAGATAGACAGAAGTTATGAGCGCTGCTGCGTGCATATGCATCCCATGTTTTTTTTTCAAGGTTGCTTGCTGTGGTGCTCACGCGGCCCCACATTTCACCCATGCCTGTGATTGTGCACCGCATTGCGCTAGCCCACCTCAAACGCTGACCCGTTATGATCCTTCCTTCCACTGCCTTGTCCCTCAAGGTCCGAAATCTGCTCTCCAAGGAGCCTACGAGTCAGAGCACGAGCCACTCACCCTCCAACAAGCGGTCAATAACCGAGTCCAGATCGATCTCTGTCTGCGAATCTGCCATGACTGGTCTAACTGAATGTGCTCAGTACGTCGGGCTTGACGTGAAGGATGATGGTATGTGGAGAAAAAACGGGCGAAATGACCACGAGAAGGAAGATCGTTTTCGGCGTTGCAGAATTGGTTTTTGATGCGTTTTTTTGAACGGCGTGTAAGATTTGGAGAGGGATGGTCGTTCAGCTGACGATGGCTGCCAGAACCAGGTAAAGAAAAGGTAAAATGAGAATATCGATGAGGGAAAACACCAAGGATCCAGATAACAAGCAACCTGGATGAGCAGATCGGTGGTGTCAAGGCAAACACCGAACCTCGGCTCAAAACGGAAACAATCCGTGAGAACTTTCTCTATCAACAAGAGCGACAGGGATACTATGATATCGATACAACGCCATAGTGTAACACAAGTACCAATACAGCAAAGCAGATACGAACATAGGAAACAAGTGAACAAGGTATTATAGCACCACTGCAGGGAGTACTCTCCCATTACTAGCCTGAGTGTTCTCATCTACTGGTCGTCGATTTCTTCTCCGTCGACGCCTGTAGATACATTTGAGAAACATACAATACCGAGTAAAAAAAATAACATACCTCGGGAACATTGGTCCTTTTGGCATGACACGATGATCAAGGTCAAGTGAAATGTTCGTGCCCGCCTGGAAACCCTGCATGCACGGTCAACATTAAATCGCCTCATTCGTATATAGAACCCACCTCTATCCACTCCACAACGGAAGGCACATCTGCTGCCTGCAAGAGAAACTGTTCCCCCTCCAGCCGTACCCTTATCACGTTCTTCCGCTTCAAGTAATCATTCCCGAGGCCGCTCTCCGCGTGCTGGAGGGTATATGCACGGATCAAATCGCCTTTCCCAGGTTTTTGTATATCGCCGCTCCGCAATTGCATCCTCGATGAAAGGAAGCTGAGGCGAGACGGAGCTCGTGGTGTCAGGGGTGATGTCCTCTGTGAAGACATCTCTTGCGAAGCCGAACTAGACACAGAATTACGACGGCTGTTCGGCTCGCTCACTGGGAGCAGCTCCATGCCCCCGTTTGTTCCAGGAGATGACATACCCCTACCTCGCGATTGCGGTCCGTTTGATGGGCCACCGTTCCGCCACGGGGTCAAGAAGCTGGCGCCGGACAGCCTCCTATTGGCCCGCGACGTCGAAGGTGCCGTGGATTGGTTCGTAGCTCTTGATGATTGCGATTCGCTCCGCGGCCTGTGTGGTGTAGGAGGGGGTGAACTTGACGGGGATGCAACCGGTTGATCGACCGCAATTTTCGAAGGGGCCGCCGGGCTCTTGTCCGCTTTCCGCACCGGCACGTGATATCCACTACTTAAGTCACCCACGCCGACACGTCTCTCCCACCACTCGCCAATGAGGCCCGCCCCGCTAGCGCCGGGGGGACACTTGTACACGCGGAGTGTCGTCCCTTCAAGCTCGCAGAACACACGCCTCCATTTTCTGTCCTTTGCCTGAACACCGGGCGAGCTGAACTCCATCTTGAGCGGCATAATAGCGCTGAGATAGAGCGAATTGCTATATGGGGGTAACCGCTCGCGACCTTCGTCTTCATGGAATTGGAACGGAGGTGCACACTTTGGTGGGCGCGGGTCAAATGAAGGATACGGAGGTGGGTCCGACGTGGAGGTGAAAGTAGGCATGGATGTGCGCCGCATAAGCCTTCCCATTACGTTGTCCATGTTATCGCTCTCCACGGATTCAATGGTGTTTTCAGAGATGGAGGGTGCATTCGAATGCACTGTGTCGCGCGACTTTTTGCGTTTCAGTCGCAAGTCTTTCCGGGACACACTCAGGTCAATCATGCTGCGAGATGGCGCGCGATACAGACTGGGTGCGCGGCTGACCTCCAGGGAAGGTTGTACACGATAAAGCGAAGGCGTAGGTGTTATTCGTCGCCGAACATTAATAGACTCTCCGAGAGGTGTTTTCAGAGAGAAGGGTTTAGGTGTAGAGGCGTCCTGCCTCGGAGTCAAGTCCGGGAGCTTCCCATATGCCTTGGACGAGAAATAATCAACGGCATTGTGGGGAGCGGGGGTAGACCCCCCTGCTAAAGATGACTCGGTAAAGGGTCGAGAAGAATCACCAGCAACTGGAGGGGCCAAGTCGACTATTTGGGTCTGGGACTCTCGCAGCGGAGAAGGAGATAAAGAATGGCCTGTACCCAAACTCAGCATTTCTTCCCCATCACCATCCTCGTCACTCTGGTGCTCCGAGTCTTCATTTCTTAAACCCTCGCCCCCATCACCCTCGTTGTCATCCTCCATGTCGTCGTCATCCTCATATTCGATAGCAGAGTCCGGCTCTGGATCGACACCAGGCCGTCCGTGAACACTTAATGATGGCACATGCTGAAGGCGCACAACTGGCCGCACAGCGGGCTCTGGAGCGGGAGTAGGCACAGGTAAAGTTGGAAGATTCAAGATTGGCATACGATGCCTTGAAATAATGGAAGGGGAAAGACGAAGGCCACGCTCGGTGGCAACGCGGAATGGAGGTGGTATCGTTGGCTGTGTCTCAGTCAAGCAACGACCCTGAATACTGGACGAGGGTGAAGACTGTGGAGCAGGCGAAACCAAGATAGCGGATGTGAAAGGTGTTTGAGCGGGTTCTGCTTCTACAAATGAGTTGGTTGTGTCTATGTTCGTGATTGATTCGTTGGAAGGAACGAGTCCCTCCGTTTGTCGGGGAGTTTGTGATCTGTCCAACTGCGTCATCGAGTTGTCTGGCACAGGAGATGTGTCTCCCAAGACCGTGATATCTGGCACGTTACCCAGGGTCGCTGAGTGTAGGAAGCCATCATTTGATACACGTGTAAGGCAATCGCTCGAGGCGCCTGCCCACAAAAAGAATGGTGCTGGAGCAAGGACATTTTCCCCGTCACTATCAGGCTGATTAGAAGAATGCTTTGAGACCTTCATCTCTCGCAAAAATGACGGGGCGGGACCATGTCCCGCAAACACCGGGCTCGCAGAGGATTGTGTGAGGCCGTCCCAAGCTGAGTAGCGCCTTGATTGGCGGGTAGGGCTATTGCTAGAGGATGAATCATCCGTGTCCGTCGGATTGAAAGCACCATCTAGTCGCAAGCCTGCAAGCCTAGGAGTGGATATGTCTGGCTTGCGAGAAACGTCAGGAGAGGGTATATGCGAGCGGTCGTTGTCTGGGACAGTCAAATCGATGGACATGTTATCTTTTGAGCGGCTGCCTCCCAAGCGCGGACGCCAGCTCAGTTTCTTGAGAAGCTGTGCTGCACGAGCCTGGAACACGGTGACCTGATTCATATCTCAACCGACACGAGGGAAAGGTGAAATCATACCTGGAACGTTGTTGCAGGTTGCAGACGAGACTGGTCCATCGTGGGGATCGAAATTATACTTGAAATGCCTATAGACAGTGAGCGCTACTTATCTCACTGCGGCAGGCGTCGGGCCTTGCAGGGTTGTCTAGAATTAAGCAACGAATATTAAGCAACGAGTCGAGTTTGGCCAGCTGTCAGGTCCAGATTGCACTTTGGTGAGTGGCGCCATGGCAGTCAATCAGCAAGCAAATCATCAAGACTTACACGAAACTACTTGGTGCAGACTTAGAGGTCAGTGGAAAGAATTGTAAAGCATGGGTACTATGATTGGGTATGCTGATACCAGTCTAGCTAGTGTGTGACACGGCAGATTCGGCTTGTATGTCTAAACTTATGGCTCCAACTTCTGTCTGTCAGTACCATCCTTTCGGGAATAGTAAGCCTTCTAGGGAGACGCCTCATGTTCTGTCTCGTCCTCATCGCCAAGTTCATCAGTTTGTAGCACTTTTATCGACGTAAACCACGATCAAGGAATGGAATGGGTATCGAATGGGGGTATGTCATCAGGCTCCGAATCCCACACACGGTAAGTCAGTTAACCCCGGTTAACAATGTATGGCCCAAACATATTCCAGTCCCACCCCGAGGTTGGCCCGAGATCATATTATTAGGTGCGAGAATACGTCACCAGCCCCCCCACAAGTGCACAGCGTATGTTGATAACACTCGCACACTACGCAAAGAAAACAATCGAACCTGTGACAGACAATCAACCAAAGGCCCAGTAGTAGTCAAACCTATGTACCTCGACACATGGATTTGAAACGTGCCGACTCCCGGGGCGCAAGGAAATTAGCGTCGGAAAGTCCATAAGACCTCGGGGAGTTCTCAGGACGGGCTGGTCATGATCTCTGTACGATCGTAAGCAGGTTCTATTATTATCCTTGAGTTTTAAATAATGTTACCAGTCATTGGTAGGCCACTGCTTGGAATTGCCCACGGATATGTTTGAGATGCTTTCGATGCCGGGTCCTGGGAAGCTGACTCCCAAGTGATTTGACTGTAACGGGGCATTATCCATGTGCCATAGCAAGATCGCCATCATAGAGTTGCATTTTTATGTGTTTGGCCCACACTTGCCATTGGGAGGTCTGCCGGCAGTCCTCGACCCATTCAAAACGAACCCAGTCCCAATCTCCTGAAGCAGATGGCAACCGTGCAATGAACATCGCTGAGTCTTGGCCTGGGAGAGTGATTGTGACTAATCATGATAGCCTCGGACAGAAAGAATCAAGATGCAGCATTCGCGAGAATCAAAGGTTATCAAAGGTCGGCTGATAATTTGACGGACCGTCTCTTGGGAGAATAATCAACTCCAGTACGTTTAGACATGTCCCAGGCGACGGGTAGGCCGGCGGCAAGGGATGTTGGTGTGAAGTTTAGAAATCCATCCGACACAAGCTGACAGTAAATTTTCCATATTGAAGGGGCGGTCATGATATCATGAGATGCAGCTGTGCGAGTTCTTGGCAAGAAATAGCCAGACCTTTACAGATGAAGGAAGAAAGCTGTTCCTTCTCGTAGGCAAGAAATATAATGGTGGTGAAAAGATTATGGGCCATATATGCAACCACTTACAACGTATTGATAGCTGGTGCTATCGCCCTAATAGTACTGTTGCGCATGACAGCAACGATAATGATTTTGAGTAAGTCTATGCGCACACTGAGTCTGGACTCTGCACGGTGCCACCAGCGCAGTGGCGGCAGTCAACGTTAATAGTCACGTGAACAAAAAATGAGCTGATGTGGGCGCTTGCGCAGTGCCTGCTGTCGGCACTTGAACCTACAAAAACTCTACAAGGCTTCTTTTGTCCAAGTGGGCTGCTCAGTGTTTACTGTCCATTCTTCATATTTATTTAACCCACCTCCCAGTAAGTCTAAACACCATCTGTTCTTGTCACGAAAGCTCGTCCCTTGACCACTGGAAGTGTTCGATATTTACGCAACTTTTTCTTGCAGACAACATGACTTCAACTCAGTATTCTGATGGACGTCAAGAGACGCGTGTTGAGAACTATACCAAGTTCTGGCAAAAGGACCTTGGCAAGGAGGGTGAAGCGGACAATCAAAACCGTGTTGAGAGCTACACTGACGTTGTAAACGGTATTACCTCATAATTTTTGTTGTGAATGGCCTTTAGTGACAGAAGACACAGGCTACTACGATGGTGCGACGGAGCTGTACGAGTATGGCTGGGCTCAGTCTTTCCACTTCTCGCGGTTCTATAAAGGCGAGGCTTTTGTAGCCTCTTTGGCCCGCCATGAGCACTACCTCTCAGCACAAATGGGACTTCGCCCTGGCATGCGAGTGCTGGACGTCGGGTGCGGCGTCGGTGGTCCTGCACGCGAGATTGCTCGCTTCGCCGATGTTAATATCGTCGGCTTGAACAACAACGATTTCCAGATTCAGCGTGCTCGGAAGTACACTAAGAAGGCTGGCCTTGAAAAACAAGTGAGTTTCGCCAAAGGTGATTTCATGAAGCTGTCGGAACAATTTGGAGAGAACTCGTTCGATGCTGGTGGGTGCTTTTGCAGCCTTTCAGAAAATATTGAATCCTAATGGCTTTGACACCAGTGTACGCCATTGAAGCCACTGTCCATGCACCTACGTGGGAGGGTGTGTATGGTGAAATCATGAAGGTTCTGAAGCCTGGAGGAGTGGTATGATCCGTTTTTGACTCCGAATTTCAATATATTGACTATTAGTTTGTAGTTCGGCGTCTATGAGTGGTGCATGACTGACACGTGGGATGCATCCATTCCTGCACACAAGGAACTCGCACATGCCATTGAGTTTGGCAATGGTATCCCAGAAATGCGTCCCTTGAAGCAAGCCCGCGAAGCTATGGTCACGGTCGGCTTCTCCATTGAGCACGAAGAGGATCTCGCCGAACGCCCTGACGAAGTTCCATGGTATTACCCACTAGAGGGCGATATATGGAAGGCCCAGACTGCTTGGGATTGCTTCACTGTTTGGCGGATGAGCTGGAGCGGAAAGCTCGTTTCACACACCGCAATCAAATTCATGGAGATGCTTGGTCTTCTGCCTAAGGGCACATATGATGTTGGCGAATCCCTCAAGGTCGCTGCCGATGCACTTGTGAAGGGCGGTCAGACCAAAGTGAGTTAAAGCACCTTTTTGTAGATTTCTATCGAGGGCTCATGATTTGTTTGAAGCTGTTCACGCCCATGTACCTCGCAATTTGCCGCAAGCCCGCGCTTTCTGAAAGCTAGACTGGATACCCACGACGCTGCATACACGTATATACCCCACCACTAATGTTCTGGAAAAATTGCATAACTTTATGGTCTGCATTGAGCACGACCTTGAGCTTGAACCTGGGGTGAACCATTTCTCTCAAGCAACAAATGATTCAGTCGATTCTGGATTTGCGCTGATGACATTGGGAACGGTCCTTCAGATTTTGGCGAAGAAAAATGAGAAGACATCAGAGCGAACCTTGTCATTTTTATGAGAGCCCTGACCATATAATGACTTGCGATATGACTGGCCTTCCCGGGGTGAGCAAGCCCGGGTCACCCAGGCCATACACTAACGAACAGCTCATCTTCTGCGAAGTCACATTAGCGGCTTTGAGATTCACACTTGCGGGCGCGTCAGAGATAACACCAAGAAGTCCGTGCTGGACCGTGCCAATGAGTTCTCTGTCCATTTCGGCATGCCAGAGGGCCTCCAGGACATCGACGAGGCAGAACCAAAGTTTCGGGAGGTGAGGGCTGTCGTCGATACTAATGAAATGTATTGATGGCGAAATTATGTTGACGCTAGCAAATATACAATTGGTAAAAGAATGCCACAGGCCGAACGAGACGAAGGATAACTAGATCCAAGAAGGCTGCTATTGGAAAAGGTTTGCATTGGTTTTGAATTGATCAGTCACTTTTTGATCCTTGGGTCTTCATTACGGCCTCAAGTCTCCTGGTATAGCCCGAATCTCACGATTCCAACGGATTTGGAATATACTACACAGAACGTCATAGCTGTGGCTCAGACTGCCAGCTCATGCGAGGCATCGCAGCAGTTATAACAGCATCATGTACCCCCACTTCAGCCTACTTGCCATATACAGTTCAATTTTCAAAGTACTGTAACGGTACCACCCTCTGCACACACACTGGCTCTAAATTTTCACCAAAACCCAATGCTTTGAGGGACGCGTCCCTTATATGAGGATTAAGTGCCACGACACTCACATGGCACATCCAGAGCTATGTCCTTTCGCATCCCTCGCTGACCGCATTGAGCCCCGTAATCGATACTCTCTACTGCTATCACTTCATCTCTCAATGTCCGTCTGTCTCACGGACCGCTTCAAATCATGTTACCATCATGGTTGCTTCACAGAAGCATGTGAGTATTTCCCACCAACACTTGTGTCCCCGGGTCACTCGCCGATCCTCGCACACTACAGATGACTATCTGTAAATCGTCGGTATGGTACCCGATATATGCCCCGGCGAACGATGAAATGGATCGCATTGCCGCAGACGGACAAAGGGGTAAAGTCCACATCTAATAGGCGCAGATTCGCGGCGCAGCACTAGACCTCGGTTTGTTGAGTTTCCGCAATGACTATGTCAGCATGAACGACTCGCTATCAGACCTGATGGCGCGTGATGCAGTTTAGGGGGCAGACGAAGTGGGATGGGTTGCAGGCATTTCTGTTCTGCGGTCTGTCGTCAGGACCGTGTTGTTGATTCAAAAATACGAGTATGAGCAACTGCTGTCGACTTATGAGGGCAGGTGGAATGAGATCAAGGACGAGGCGCAACAAGCGCTTCCAACCGGACGCGTTGGATTAGCAAAATAGTAAGATTTACTGATCAGAATGTTATCTAGGAAGTTTATCTGGCTCACGAGGGATTCGTTAGTAAACTCGTTCTTGGAATTGATAACTTACTGCTAGTGTGGGTTAATACTTGACACTCAATAAGTACTGCTGTGACTCGGCAGACATGATTGTTTGTCGTCGCCTACGATTGATCAACCTGTTTGCTCCCCCGGCTGAATGCAGTGTGCTGTGCTCAAGTGCAGGTTGCAATTCAACAGCAATACATAGAAGCTGACTGCTACCGGTGTGGAAGTTGCAGTTTGACGCACCATCTCCCGGAAACTCGCAGGAACAAGACCAAGAAAACAGTAACCAGCAAACTCGGGATCAAAATTCGTGATTGGGAGACAAGAGACCCTCTGTGCCATATAAGAACATTGTATTAGGATGCATGCGTGTGATTGGGATGAAAATAATGCAAAGAATCGGAAACGAAGTGCAGAGTAGCTGTACAATGACAGACGGCATAGAATAAAAAGTCCGTGAAAACATGCTTGAAACAAGGGGGACATAAGTAAGACGTGGTGAAAAACTCCTTCTGGGACACAGGGGCGAATACTAGCGTTTTTGTCGTTTCATATCACTGCCGGCGCTGTCATCAAGGTTTGCCAGAGGTCTTCGAGTTCCGTTAGGGTTTCCAGCGACCGATTGTTGTTGCTGAGCGAGGCCAAGGCCTTGCAAAGGCCTGGATGACGATGAAGAGGCTCTGTAATTCAAGGGTAAGTCTGGTACAATCCTATGGTAGTATCAAGAACTACATACTGGATGGTGTCGGCTTTACGTTTCAGGCCCGAAATGTTGGACGAGCTGGAAGTAGAACCCGTCGTCCAGTTTGGAGGTTGAGGTGGCCCCGTTGGTTTGGACTGTTGTGCAGCCAGATTCTATCTTTCATGTGAGCAATAGCCTGCCCCAGAGGGAGAATATACCCACCATGCCCGGAGGAAAATGGAACCCTCCGATGGATGGCGTGCCACGCCTAGCTTCTGAAGAGGAAGCTGATGCACTGGAAGAGCTTGATTCGTGTGTTCTCGGAGGCACTGGAGATGTACCTCCTGCATCATCGAGTCCATGACGTACTGTGTTTGCAGCCGGTGGACCAGGTTGGAAACGCGGCGCGTTCGAGTGAGAAAAACGAGGACCTCCTGGAGCAGTCACTTCGCCTCTTCCAGAGCTAGAGATCTCCCGTCCATGTACCGAATTTCCCTGGGGAGCCTTTGAGGGTTCTCGAGGATTCCCAGATGTAGCGGCTTCCCCCTGGTCAAAAGTCACGTCCGAAACACTCTCTCCGCCCATGCCCTCTTCGAAGTTGATCGGTCTCCCCAAATCACCATCCCCGAGGTCAACGTTGGCGTAGAATTCGTCGTCTTCTGAGTCAATACTGTATGACGTCTCATCAGCCACTGGTAGCTCGACCTCGTCCACTGGCGGCGGTTCTGCAGCAGGTTCAGTAAAAGACACACGTCGTTGCTCAGGCTGAACAAGTAGTGATGGGGCGGTTTGCCTATACTGCCCGCGATTCGCATTCCCCGTTCGTTGGACTGGTGTATGGATAGGAGTATTCAGGCCGTTGGCAGTGCCGTGACCATTCCCAGATGCTCGGTCATTACGGCTTGGGGTAGCGCTTGTGGAACCACTTGCAGCAGAAGCCATTTCCTGTCGTAAGTGTCGGGGGATATATGTAATCGGGGCCTCTGCACCCTGAGGTGGCTCTGACTTGACCACAACGTTGTTCGTTTTCGCATCTGGAGCAATCGCAGACGTTTGTGGTGCTGCCTGTACTGAAGTAGGTGCAGCCACTGAAATATTGCCTGCTATGTTAGGTTTTGTGTCATCAAATTCTGGACGACGATATAGCTCGGACTTGACAAATTTTGCCTTGCCGGAATTCTCAAATGAGCTCTAGTTCGTTCGCGGCACTATGAGGGGTACTTACAGGTGGGACTTTAATCTTTGTGATCTCTTGGGTATATGACTTGTCATATAAACAATTTCCAAGGAGCGATCCGAAGTTGCGGAGTGCTCGTTTCAATGCATCAGTCACAGCTTCCTTCTTGCTCTAATAAAATAAAATGAATAAGTTGAATTGTCAAATGCATAAATATTACCTTGTCAATAGCCTGAGCTTTGCCCTTCGCATTCTCTGCTGCCCCATATCCCACATCTTCGTGAAACACACCATAGCTGAGGGTGACACGGACGATGCAAGAAACACCGACGTTACACCTCTTGGACTCCTCATTATAGTCCATGTAGTCGGTAGTCATATTGACAATTTGAGAACTCCATCCATTGAACCCAAACACCTCGTTTGCAATGTTAATGATTTTCCACCCTTCCGCATACGTGAGTTTAGGTCCACCTCCAGGACCAGGTCTCTGTGAGATGTACTCCGGCCCAAGTTTCTTGTTTAGCTTAGCCTGTAGCGTGGCGATCTTGATGGCCGTATCGTCGGACATATCCGTAGGGAGTGAGTGATCAGAGAAAGAGTTGGCTGATCCCAAGCTGCCATGCATCGAAGCATCGAACGACATCGTGCCGCTGGTAATAACCCTTGACTGAGGCTGGCCGAATCCTGGTGCTGGCCGCTGCATTGTCGTATTGTATGAATCCAAAAGGTGACCGCTGAAAGCTCCGGCCATTAATAAGAAAACACAAGATTATAGGCAGATGGTAGATAAGCTAAGCACGTGGTGGTGGAATCAAGGAAAGAAGATCAGTCGCTCATAAACATAAACATAAACATAAACACGCCCCCAGCTCAAGGACCAAACTGACACAAACAGATTAACGCGTTGTTGCTGCACGTGATAGATCCAATGACTTTCACGTGCGTGAGTCCACTGTGGACCTGTGACCAGCCCGTCTAGCATATGTAGGACTCCAGGAGGCAAGCCGTCGATAGATGCAGTCCAAACTCTAGACTGCATGATGATGATGGGATTCAGTCTGATCCTTGAACTGACTATAAGTATATGGCATGACTTGGACGCAACTATGTACTTTCTTCCTGACTTTTACAAAACTTTTCTGTGAAATGTCGAACTCTGAAACTTCTGAAGTCCTCCGCCGTGGTTCGGACGTAGTATAGTTGGTCAATTACCAGTTCATCATTCCCTCACATCATATTTATATTATATTATATGCAACAGCTGGTTTTCGTCATGGCTTAAATTTACTATGATATATCGCGACTCGCTGTTGACTTCTTCAGAGGTTGATGCCATTCACCCAGTTTGCATCATGAACAATCCCGCCTCTGCGTCTTTAGAAAACGACCATGCACACACCAACATCGCGATCGCGAGTTCCACACTGTTCCCCCATAACCCAAACTTGGAAGGTCTAGTACCTCCATACTTATGATGAATACATGTCTGTGGATATGTGGATGACCGCGGACTAGGAAAGCGCCGCTTAGTCTTCCTGTGCACATTGGACAGTAAGCGGCGATCAATATTTCGACCATGCAACCAATGTATAGAATGAAATCTTCTTGTTTGTGGAACACGGGGTTGATCAACTTGATGTAATGATTTGGCATATCAGAATTTGAACGTTGCAGAGGAAAACATTGAAATAGATGCAGCCCCTCACGATCTGTAGCCACAATAATTTCATACCTGCAGGAGAGCCACAGCGCCCGTGAGCGGCATTCAATCCCCCTTTTTTCCTTCGGACCGAAGGGGAATCCTTTGCGCAGTAACTTCGAATTCTGTCTCGCCGTGTTGCAAAAATAATTCATATTCTGTGAGTTCCTGCTCCTTCAGGGCACCCTACCAATAGCTCACTGGTGTGCTAACTATACTTTGATTGCTTCTATCTCAAGCTTCCCCAGGCAGCCTCCTAGTCGCTTTACTGACGCAGAAAATCTAGATCGGTGGTTGTGGCATTCGCCGAGTGTCATATAATTATTTTGATCTTGCACCTGAATCAAATTTATCTTTCCGTTCAGATCAGATACCAGATCCGCTAGTACTTGTTAATGCCACTCTGCGATGTTTAAAGGATCCCTTGGAGAATGGTGATCAAGCTGCGGAACTACTACCCGGGTAGCAGAATTGATCAAATGGGTGATGCGACTGTGATACAGGGCAATGTGCTAACCTTAATCCTACCATGTAGGCTAGCTAGGTCTTCCAGGCTAGGTCACCCATGGCCGCAGTGAATCTTAAACCTTTTTATAAATATGACGGCTGCCTGGCGTTGCTGGCACGACTTATTTTTGCAATCACCAAACCTAATATTGGGCGCATGAGTCCATGACGTCAACTCGCTCTACCGTTCGCTGTGCGATATGCAGCTAAAGGCCCCTTTCAGCGCAGTATATACTTAGACATCCGGGTGGGGATTTGAGTTAGGTCCATTGGCGGCGTGACGCTTCCAGTAAGAAACGGCGTAGTTCCGCTGTGCAAGAGTCACGAATCAGAGACTTCCGATAGCGAATTCGTCTGACGTACCTGTCAGAACTGCTTGAACTTGAGCTTGACCCAGTGACTTCAAAAGAGTGACTGGACCTTGGGATCATAAATTATATAGAACGGTTTCAGTCAGTGGAGCACTTGGCAAAATTGTTTTGTTTTGACGTGTCCATTTTTGGAAAGCGGAAGTGGTTTGAAGTTTGAACCAATTGAGTTTGTCCTTGTCCTCTAATTTTGCTCGTCGGACGAATAACTTCATTTCCAATGTCGGCTCTGCAAGCCATCAAACGGTTTCGAATACGGGAGCTGAGGGCTACTGCTCTACCAAGTCCCGCTCTCGTGAAATCGGCTCCCAAAACCAAATTATATCCTAGTTCCGCATCCTCGTCGCGCAACAAGGTTCCAGTTGCTAGCATTGAGAATCCATTCATCCCGAAGCTTAACCCAAAGACAGGCAGATGGGCACCGCCGAAGTACTCCCTACGTCATCAGGCTTTGCTTGTGAAGAAAGCTCGCGAATCTGGCACGCTTGCACTTTTGCCTCCTGGTCCTAAAATTTCGGTAGTAGAAATTGCTGCTGCTACTGGGCAGGCTATCGTTCCAGGGCCCTCGGCTTCAGAGAAATCTCAAGTTCAAAATGCTGCTTCACTATGGACGCGCCCAATAGAATGGACAGGTGAAGTGAAGGAGAAGAAAGTTCTTGGTGCGGAGATTGGGAACAGATTGTATGCAGGGAAGAAGCGGATGTTCAAGGGACACAAGTGGCAGCGCATTGCAGAGAAGAGGGAGAAACGGAGGGCGTTACTCATGCGCAGTATGCCCAAACGTATCAAAGAGTTTAAGCAGGTATGGTCCCTACAGTCACTTTCCCTGCGATGTTTGACACGGTGTTTCAGTATTACAAGAGGCGACGTCCACACCCTCTTAAACCTCCCCGCACCGCTAAGAACGCGAAACTTCCATTCTAGATTTGTTTGCTATTTACTGGTCATCAGAGTTGTTTGTTTTACCCCAGCCTATACTACATACGTGCTGGAAAAACCCGCTGCGACTCCAAGAGCGATCGAAAATCTACTAATGCTGATCAGCTCAACTTATTATCCTGCGGCAGTGACAACTATAGTATTGCTAACATGGCTGGAGCACTAGTCTGTCCTGCCTTGCCAGTACTTAGTATACTAATTATAAAACCGGTCGGGCGCGTTGCCACATGAATGCATACTTATCCCCAGCCTGCAGTGCCCATCTGTGGAAACGGGCCGCTGGTCGACAAGGTCAATGTGGGACGGATCTCGAGGTCCGGTAAATGGACCCAGACGGATCATGAGCGCCTTGACCGTCTACTCGGCACCGAAATCGGTCGGTTCTGTGGTTGTAGCGGGACTATTCCGGCCCTATTTTCCGAGTCCCTGACGACCCTACCGGTCTGAGGCTCTCTCTTCTATCTCTCTCTTTATCTCCTGGACCACACTGGCAAGCGTTGGCAGAATGGACTTTGATCATTATGAACGCTGCGACAGAAGACAAGATGGTCCCGGCATAGAAGAAGTTAGTGAAATAGATCCGCTCATTCCGCTGGACCTGGACTCGGAAGCTCAAGAGAGAAGGCTCTTGAGGAAATTAGATAAGAGGATCCTGCCAATACTATGCCTGCTTTACCTATTTGCTTGTGAGTTCGACCGCGTCCTCGCTAATTTTGGCGGGGAACCAATCAAGCAGTCTGACTTTTGAACTCGGTAGACCTTGATCGGTCAAACCTCGGCAATGCTCGATTACAGGGGTTGCCCGAAGATGTTCTTGGTGGAGATCCAACTGGGGTACTATTTGACTGGGTCAATTCTGCCTTCTTTTTCACCTATGTGAGTTTCCAAATTTTTTGGATTTCGGTCGTGTGCCAACTGCCGACAACGCGGCTCACAGATACTCCTGCAAATTCCGTTCACGGTCCTCTCGAAGTATTACAATCCACGCATATGGATTGGCTGCTCTGCTATCTTGTGGGGGATATGTTCCACATCAATGGTCTGAGAACTCTATAATCCATATTTCCTTCGTTTACATGACACGTGACCTACTCAGGCAACCGCGCATACTTTCACTGGCCTGGTGATTGCTCGGCTTGGGCTAGGAACTTTCGAAGCAGCCTTTGGAGGTGCTGTCGTATTATACTTCTGTGAATTGTAGAATTTTCAGTATGTGATTGCTAGACCTGACGTTGTTTGATAGCTTTCTACTATACCAAGGCCGAGTGTGGTACTCGCATCGCATACTGGTTCGGGTTTGCAGCTGTCGCAGGGGCATTTGGGGGGCTCATCGCTTACGGGATCCAACATGTCAAGGCATCGGTTGCGAACTGGAGGTTGCTTTTCCTGTTAGAGGTATGTTCGTTGGACGGAATATAAGTTATGTACTAATGATATACCCCCAGGGCACACCAACGATGCTCCTAGGTTTACTCTGTCTATTCATACTTCCGGACCGTCCGGAGTCCACGCAGTTCCTTACCGCAGCGGAACGTAAAATTGCGATCAGCCGCATGAACAGAGGGACAAGTGGTGACTTTGGTGCAGTTGTCCGTCGAAGTAATGTCCATAAAATTAATGCAAGCATAAGGTTCTGATTGATGAACAGGTCACGTTATTGCGGCTTTCCAGGACTGGAGGGCAAGCCTTGCATCTGCATTTCTGTGACCCAGTATCTGATATAGACCGTAGATCTACGTAGGTGGGGTAATTTACTTTGGCCTCAACTGTGCTTTGGCATCGTTGTCGGCCTTCTTACCGACTATTATTGGTACCATGGGGCATGGTAATACTATCATTTCTGTCATCAAGCTATTTTTTGACTCAGAATCACATTAGAAAATGCGATGGCTCAACTGATGACAGTGCCGCCATACGCTGTAGCTGGTTTCGTGCTCATGATTACGTCTTATTCATCCGACAGGCTACAGATTAGGGGACCCTTACTTGTCTGTACCAGCGCAATTGGTGGTCTGGGTTATATGTGAATGAGGCTATCATTCACGGAGAGGATACAAATGTTGATCTGGATTCTGCTCTAGGATACTGCTCGGCGCTACTCATCAGCAAGACGTGCGCTATGGCGCAACATTTCTTATTACTAGCGGAACCTATTCTAGCATCGGCTTGATGAACGCTTGGTGTATGCTTGATTTTTTATACGTCTACTACTCGATTAATTTTTCCACTCAACAGTTAGCCATAATCTCGGCTCTGAAACAAAGAGAGCCGCTGGGATTCCCCTCTACGGTGCTATTGGGCAAATCGGAGGCATCTTGGGATCCCATGTCTACCCCTTGACAGAAGGTCCTGCTTACACGTTCGTTCTCCGATCTTTTCACACAAACATGCCTAACCTAACTCACGGCTTTTTAGGAATGGATTCACTGGTAATGTGACAGTCATACCGCAACTTCCTGCTACATTGACGAACTGACCTCAGTTTCTGCGTCCCTGCTCTTTTTGGCGGCACTATGCGCACTCTTGTTGAGCGTAAGCCTAGATCTCCTTTCGTCATCACCTGGATTCACGTTCTCCAAAGGTTTCCTTCCGTTTGGACAATATGCAGCGAGATCAGCAGTATGGGAAGCCAGATCCAGACGGTATGGTAGATACGTCAGAGCTCGCAGACAAAGTGAGTTGTTGAATTGAAAGGGAAATGTTTGTTCCAATCAATCATTAGGCTCCTGGATTCCGATACGTTCCGTAGCAGATAAGTAATCGTTGCTTCTCATCCGATTCATTACGGCACTTGTAAAGATTAATGTGCGTAATCGATGAAATACACATGTATTATTGTTTCTTCATGCTTCTTCAAGTCCTCACAGTATTTGATATCACTTTCCCTTCTTCACTACTAGTATCACTGACATAAGCCTCATCAAGTCAGAGAATATTCGGGTGACTGAGAGAAACTCCAAATAACCGCATCAATAGACTAGAAGATGAGAAGCTGCTTCTGAACCTCGATCGGAAGATCTTACCACCAACTTACTTGCTATATCTCCTTGCATGCACATCCGAGTTCTTTTACATGAGCTGCTCGAGAAGCAAACGTCACTGACACAAGCATCAGACCCAGATCGCACCAACGCCGGCAATGCTCGACTGATGGGCCTAGCATGGGACACGCTTGAAGGGGACCCGTACGATTTTATATGGTCAATTGTACTTTTTCCTATCACATTTGTGAGTCAACGTGTACTTGGCTGAAGAAGGAAAGTTGATCACAGCATGATAGATTCTCTTTCAAGTCCCAATCACGGTATTATCGAAGCCCTTCAACCCCCGACGTTGGCTAGGGGTCTAGGTTTAACCCACATGGTCTGCAGGCAAATTATCCGAAATTACACAATTGAATTGATTGTAGGCAACGACTTTCATTTTTCCCAGCTTGATAGCAGCGAGTTTGGCTCTGGGATTATGTGAGGCAAGCTTCGGGCCTACACTAGTCTTGTACTCTTAATTCTTATCGGACTACAGTTTGTTTAACGGATCGGGCTAGCCTTCTACCACTATTATAATACTCTCCACAAACGCAGAGCGAATTGCGTATTCGTTTAGATTCAACAACCGCAGTGGGCTCATCACATTTAGCACGCAAATTTATCAGTAGCGAATTGGAGGTCGACTGTTATTCATTATTGAAGTGTTTTCCACATATTTTTAGTTTAGTAATCCTGCTGACGGTCTACTTGCAAGGGTATACTGGTTGAGATAGTTTTTGACCGTAAGTCGGATCATGCAGTCCCCATGATCGAGCGCTAAAAACTGCCAATCGATTAATCTAGTTATGTTACCGTCGGGACGATGAGCAATGAGACAAGCAGGTTCAACCTGCGTGTTCTCTCCAACTACATGGTCTTGTAGACCTCAGATTTCGTTGCACACCCCACCTAGAATATCCACGGAGAAAAATATCCATGGAGGTGAGTAGAAAGCATGTCCATGGATCATAGCGGCACGCACACATTCCAGGGAATGCCCCTCCTACCTGATAACAATATTTAGAATTCCCAGAAAGGTATGTAGAACTTAAGATTATAAACGTCAATGACACCCACGCCCTGCCCAAAATTCTCTCCAGTAAAAATCAAGTATCCCCCATTTCTATTAGACGGGCTGGCCACCAGCCTACATTTCTATGAAGTCGAGAGGTTCAACATTGATTCTAATCCTATACCATGGTCTGCAGCAAACTGAATATTCAGTAATGAGGTGCAACACGTAACAGAGGAATGCGTGGAGAATTTTGAGGCCGGCGGTAATGCGAAGCAAACATCAGGGGAAGTAAGGTTCGTAAAGTCGTAAATCCAGGTCACAAACGCGAGAAGAATGTGGCGTCAGGCAACAAAAGCGTATTGGATGGTTAGAATAATCGTAGACAAAAAGATCTGGACAGTAAAAGTGAAGCACAAGGTAATGATGGAAGGTGTGATTGATCCGAATGTATTCCTAGAAGTGTGTAGTGCACGGTATAGTGCAGATGCGAATAGGCAAATTTGGAATGAAGATAAGAATGGAAGCTAACGTGCTGGAGATCAGGCAGATGGTTCGTTACTTGGCACCAGCCTGAAGGAGGAGAGCCTTTTCCTTGAGAACGGAAGGGTAGCTATTCATAAGATGAGCTAGAGCCCGGAGATCGTCTTGATCAAGCAGGCCAATGGTAAGTTTAGGCTGAAAGAAGCGTTCAGTGGCACAGGTAGCACCGATAAAACCGAAACTTACTGCGCCCTTGATACCAAATGCCTTGATGGCTCGATACCTGAATTGATCACAAAGTTAGATTTCCGTAAAGCTGAAAATGCCACTGCCGACGTACAGCTTATCGCCAAGCTGTTGCTTCTGTGCTTGTATTGGCTTATCCATAAGGCTATCGATAAACTCATCTGTAGTTTTGACGACTAACGGATCTACTTTCGGCAGAGGGAGGCCGGTTGCCGATGATGAATTTGCGAGCTTAATAATCTCGGTAGCAGGTAAACGTGCTAGAGATGCGATCGTATGTGACGAAGAAGATCCGGGTGTAACTGGCACGGGGGACGACGCAGCGGAGGGACCCTTGGATGACAATGCAGGAGTCTTGGGAGAGCTCTCAATAGTTGTAACGATCTTCTTCGCTTGAGGCGTCACTGGGACGGGTTGTGCAGGAGCAGATTGGATAGACTGAGTATCCGGCTTCTGCTGTTCCTCATCTCCATCATCGCTATCCAGGACCATTTTCGCGTCTGCTATCTTTGCTCGCAGAACATCGGTATTGAACAGACACAGGGCACGCTCGCGCTTGGGAAGACTCATGAGAAGTTCGACGAGGTCAGCCTGCCTGGATGACTCGAGTTTGCTTACGGCCACAGCCATGCGATCTTGCTCAGAAATAGGTGGCACCGAGCCAGAGGGAGATGAAGTGCGTGGAGGTGTGGACAGGGACGCGGAGATTGAAATAGGGGTAGATGGATGCTCTGGCGCCGAGGCAGTAGCATTCAGAGCGCTGGGGTCAAGCACACGCGAATCTTGAGAGTTCGAGGGAGAGGGTGATTTCATAGGTGAGGGTGTGCCGGTAGGCTTGAGCGAATTACGGGCAGTAGCAATTTGTTCGGCGAATTTGGCAGGATCTTGAATGCCGGAGACGGCTTCGCTCAGAGACAATGATACCAAAGATTCAACGATCGCTTCGACCTCTTCGGTAGGTACAGCATCACTCGCCTTCACTCGCCGGCTAAGTTCACCGGTGAGAACTTCCTTCCTCACCACAGGTGAAAGCGCGGCAAGATCATCATAGCGCATAGGCAAATTAAGAGTGCCGGAAAGAGCGGCCTGTCAACATGTCAGTATTCGTTTTAGGTGGTGAGAAAGGATAGAAGCATTACATTATAGTAACTGCCTGAGCCCCGCCTGCCTCTGTCCGGGCGGTCAATGTGACCCATAACGGGCGAGCCGAGAACAGAAGGAGCACGGCGCGGACTGGAGAAGCCGACGTAGCTCTCGCCAGCTTCACTGGCAGTGGGACTTGTTGCTCCGCTTGCACTTCTAGGATGTCCATTATGACCGAATCGCTGGGCGAGTTTCTCTTGCCGTAACTGTTTTGGTTCATGAAGTCTGACAACTAGCTGTTTTGTGCCTAGAACGACACCATTCATAGCGTGCATGGCAGCCGAAGCTAGATTGGCATGTAATTAATAATCACGGATGTCGAGCAAACAAAAATATTATACCTGCATCGGGAGTCTGGAACGAAACGAATCCAAAGCCACGGCTCTCGCCGTTTTCGTTCCGCATCACGCGAGCACTGTTCCGATCGTTAGGGTGTCTTTCGGCGGAAAAGAGATGGCGCATACCTGACAATCTGACCGAACTATAATTTCATGGTGGCGTGATATGAATAATCCAACACAAGAAAGTAACATATCAATACCTGACGGAAATGGGCGAAAAGACCGTTAGAGTTTATCTCGGGATCTAAATTCTGCATCCGAGGATAAGTACCTCCAGAAGAGTGATGCGATGAAATGCTAACCTTGCAGAATAGATTGCAAGGGTCTATCAGACCACTGTGACTACTGGATCCGGGTCCCGATAATGGGGCAAGTTGCACTTGCTGGCCCGGGCCATGAACAAATATGGGGGCTCTTGCAGCAGGGTATGGACTTACTCGGGGAGGCGAGTACTGATGTTTGGTTAGTGGGCCCGATCAACAATGATGATATTAAGATACAAACTTGAGGATAGGGGAATACAGATCCTGATGGAACAAATGTTGGGGCATGAGCGCTGAACTCAGAGACAGTACCACTGGTACGTCGCGCCTGGTATACTGTTACAGCAATGTTTTGTCCTTCAACGTCAGCACAGTGCATAGCTTCTTCAGCAACTTGTGCATCTTCTTCACGCCAGAACTCGACAACTCCGGTATCGCTTCCAAATCCAGTCTGTGTTCGAGTAGATGCAAGAGCGCCAAATGGTCGGAATATATCATAAAGCTGGAAATCAGTAAAGCCAACTGGAAGATGCTTTACAAGACGTGGCAGAGCAGATGGAGGGGGGAGTGGTGTTGGTGGTGTAGTTGGTGGATATGGAGATAGGACCAGAAACACGGGAGGTTGCAAACCCTGAATCGGACGCGACTGCAAGGTGGCAAGAGCCTTCTCCGCTGTGCGAATTGACAATCCAGTTAGAAAGATTTAAATGAACGCGCAAATCAGGCACAACCTTTCTCGAGATACTTGAATTCTATGGTTCCTGAGAGAGGGCGATTACTGCCATCACGCACAATGTTGGGTCTGAATGGAGCACATGGCTGAAAGGTCATGGCAAGATTTTCATCAGTGACATAAGGGGGAAGATTGGAGATATAAAGCAGAGGTTCATGAAGATATGGATGAGGCTGGGGAACCTCGGTATCCTGCAAAGTCGGAGAAGAATATCCAGTAGCCATCTTGATTATCGGTATAAGATGACTACTCCGAGTCGATTCTATATTCAATAGATGAATTCTCCATCAGTCTATTTTTGATCTAATAGTAAAAACTTACGCAGTCAACGAGCAAATCAACGACCTTGGTCACCAACTCGAAGTGGTCACTGCAATACCTAAGCACCGAGTGAAAAATCGGGGCGTGGAAAGCTTATATCAGCGACGCGTGGTCAATCGATCGATGCACACATTGATGATCCTTTAGCTTCAAGTTCAGCTTTAGTTCTCGACTACTTTTCAAATCATGATCGCGGCCCAATTGACCCAGATCGAGTTGTTCTAAGCAGCTGTCCAGCAGCGAGCATGAGCTAGCATGATAACCGCTAGCGGACGCGTTCAACATGCCATGGGGGCGGTTCTTGTAACTAGTACAAGTACTTGACATCTTAATGGTGCGTTTCACCCTCTCTCACGTCACGAGGACAAGCTACGGTCCCTCACATCTCTGAGACTATGCCCAAAATACTAGTCAGTATTCGCGTGATGTATATCTCCGTGATATCATCATGAGGATCCTCTGTATGATCTTATGAGATGGATCCTTCTGCTTGATAAGCTCACGTTCAACATAGTTATATCCCCCTCGGACTTACGTGGATCCTTACCTGAAAAGTTACATCGGCGAGTCACGGTTTTACCAGTTGACACAAAAGACAACATTCCTCCCGTCTGACAAGCCAAGCAGCACGGCTTGCGAACCCTTTCTCCCATTTGAACTGCCGCTGACCTCGAGCACGTCGCGGCACGCATGTGGTTCCCCTTTTCTGCGAATGTACCCCCACAGTAGTGCGCACAAAATGGCATCATCCGTCTGCGAGTGGACTCCACTCCGATCACATCCGTGAGGGGATCTTCGTCATCCGTAAAAGTGTTCCACCTACTTTCTGCAGCTCGAGAAATCTTCTGTTTGGTGGTAGCTGTGCAGTTGGCACTCCTGGCTGACAACCTAGAATGCCCAGTCGACTCTTTGATGAATATTTCGTAATGCTATAATAGGGTCTACAGGCTACCCTGACATCCAAAATTCCGACGTGCAAATTGTTCAGAATTGTAAGCACACATCCTTCTCAATCGAGGTTGTCCGTCCTGTGAGGAGGAGGATCCCCTTTTGCCTGCGCATACATTCGATAAGATGTTTCCGCAACCTCCCCCCATTCTGGTATATCAGGTCGTTATTCTCAGCACAACTGGTGTTCTCACGTCATTTCCTCTCATTTATTTCGATTCCCGCATCTCGATCCTCTATTTTTGGTCTTTCTGTAACATATTCACTCTCTCACTTGGCACAGCTTGCCATAGAGTCCGAGGCTGAATCGAAGTCTGGGTCATGGTATGTTTGCTACCATTTGCTATCACTCCATCATTATCGTTGCCGCGGGATGCTGCTCTGCGGATATGAATACATCTGATCATACTGTTATCTAGGAATATCACGGTTCTCTATGCTCCAAGTACTGCCCATTATTTGCGTAATTTTTGGTTGGCCTCCCTAAGCTCTCGCTCACGGCTCACTTACTTTCATACTTCAATCCACGTTCTTTGTTTGGTATTTATCCCCTACCACCATTCGGATATATCCCTTCTACTCTACTCTGTAAAAGTGCCATCCAAGAGTATCAAACTGGGGCCCAGTACCGTCATAACATATGAATTATTAGCTCACACCTGAGTCTACGGTTTATGCTTATCCGTGCTTATGCTTACATCTCCCGTTACGCGTTATGTACTATCCAATTTGTACGTGGGTATAAACAAGCTTAAATACGTTACATGCGCTGATAGATTTGGTGACGCTCAGCGGTGCCTGCCACCTGGATCTGGAGGTGAACTCGAAATTTTAGAATCGAGCAACCCTGTCCGCGTCGCGCGCGAAGCACGATAATGACGACGACGACAAAGCTAGTATAAGTATAGTGTTTATTTTTCGCATGTTCAATATTAAGTAATGTGCAAACTACGTTTTAGGAAGGGTGTATTTGTGCGTGGGGGACATATGCGCCCCCCAACTTTGAAGGTCCCTGATAATAATTATTGAGGTCGAGACAGACGAGAACAGGATTGATTTATGGGAAGCGGGACAAGGAAGTAAGTACTATTCACCCTCAGATCCGCGTTCATTTTCTGGCCATGTCATAGAATACATCCGGTGATAAATGAGTTCTCCCATTCTCAGTTCCCCATTCTTCACCGCATCGTTTCGTCTCGTCCGAACTCTACAATTGAGGGAGGTGGGAGATAGTTCTGAATTTACCACGGTACGGAGAACCATGATCGACATATATGCATCCAGATATTGTTCGTGCAAAGAAATTCGTGCCAGAGGCTTCACTCACATTAAGTTGTTAACCGACAACTGACACGGGCAATATTATTGTATTACATAATCTGCGCAGCCGGGGTCGTAATAAGCATAAGCATAAACCGTAAGCTCCCAGGTGTGAGCTCCCTATTTTAAATTTTATGTGGTACCGTTGCCGATGCCAGCTACTTTGACAGTCTTTTAAGAGTGGATATATCGTTTCCCGGAATGCGAGGCGTCACGAGTCTTGTCCTACATGCTCGCTAGAATGCGCATATAGGAAATTGATCCGAGCGTTTTGTGCGGAACTTCCAGGAACTGCGCAGGCTGATCTGGGTGACGCCGTGGAGTATGGATATCATATGTATAGATAATCCGATCTCTAAATTTTTGACTAGTGAACAATCCAGCGAACGAAGGTGGTCTGAGAAGAAGTTCACATAATCTCCTAGATCTGTGGTGTTTCAAAATAGTACACTCAATAGCAGCTATTTTTGTGCTAATCTCGATGTGGGGACACCCGGGACGGGAGCTAGATCTGAGTTCACCGCTAGTAGAGGGGAAACAAGTTCACTTGAACTATGTACAATTTTGTGTTTATCCATATATCATTTTATACTGGGTGCTCGCCTTCTTAAGCGCCTTTCGTTGAGACCAACTACCAGTGAACGTTGATGAGTCTCCAGGCGACGGCTATATTATATTAAAGGAACAGTCCTTCATTCAATTAAGAACAAGGTGTGATTCAATGTAGGCGCACCAATTATGATGACTGTGTAGTACCCTGTTAACTTCCGACAGAGTGGGAAATACGAGTTCCTGAACGCATCAAATCACTGGCCCATCAGCGGCAGACCTCAACCACCGCTCGGCAAGTACATTTGCTAGTTAGCACGGCAGGATCTAGCGATACCCGTAAGAAAATCGACAGTGAATGGCGACACTAAGTATAATGTAGAGTTGCGTGCACCGACTTGGCCAAAGCAGGAAGGTACGGGCTCCATAAGACATCTAGCAGGTCCTTATACTGGTCACAAAAACAGTATTTGATTTTCCAGATTCGGAAGGGATGGTGCAGCCGACGGACTGCGAAGCGTCCAAAACCCGTGGACTTGCAGGTGAAGAGATATGCCAGGGTAAAGTGCACAGGGAATCTGGCTTCAAGTTGTGGCCAGGAGCCTATCGATGAGGCGATTTGGTTCAGTTCTCTTGAGGATAGGATCATTACAGAGGTGAGGGACCCGGACCAGCGCGACTCGTCGTGTTAGCCAAAAGCTTAGAGCGCTACGTCAAATTAGAATTGCGTGTTCCTGAGATTTCGTTGGATCCCAGTTTTCCCGCTCGTGATAGGTTTGCCCATAATATGAAATCGCCGCAATCAAAAGGCGTGAGGAGAAATGGAATCAATGATATATATGCTCAGCATGGCACACCAGAACTAGACTGACCTGTCTCACAGGTGTTATTTTCGCATTCAGTATTCAATTCAATCCGTCAGGAACGAAAAGCGATCAGTGAGAACACCTGCCTCTCATCTTGCTGAGATCATACTCGCTTCAAAACCCGAATTCGCCGAGTGTGTTCAAAATCTCCTGGCAGCGTGAACAATTTTCTTGCAGTGACTGAAGTTTCTAGGAAAGATCAATACATTTCTAAACATGGTTGAGCCCGTAAGTTACCTCACTGTTCCGTCGAGTCTGACTCTCTTGACATGAATAGTCGGACTATCTCCGTGAATTGGATATCGCGTCTTCTTGGACAACGCCGCCGACCCAAAATATCCAAAATCCAGGCGGTCGACAAGCGCTTCCAAAAAGTGCTTCTGAGCTTTTCTTAAATGACTCGTCCGTCGGGTAGTGTTGAGGCTCATCCATAGAGAGCCACGAGCTGTTGGTGTTCGATAAGCTTCACGACATTGGAGGATGTTATTAGAATATTGACAGTGTCGATGGCCTCTGTGCGTGGTTTAGGGCTGAAAATAGTCCATAGCTCCTCTATACTTAGGATGGGCCGGTAAGTCACAAAGGAGCAGGAAGGCGTCTATAGGATACCACCAACTTGGGCCATGACCAACTTTCAAACAGGGTCGACAACGTGCCCAAATTTCCATTCTCGGACACTGTAAAAAATACACTCTGGACCCCAGACGACGCCAATCATGTGCTGCCATGAGATTAAGTCCTCATGCGAAGTTTTCATCATGTAGGTAGACGTGTAACGGACGGTGTGTTGCTGTTAATACTCCCGGAATTATCGCGTTCGTAATCAATGTCGTCTGGTCCGGCGACCCTTTTCTGGTACGTTAACAATGACGGAACCTCGGTTCACTAAACCATATAAAAGGATTGACTTGCAATGTGCTGTCCCTCAGTGTAATTTTTTTTAAAGTTTCTTGGTTCATCTTCTTGCATACTCCAAAAAATGCACTCGTGGCGCCGAATTCTCTCGACTTTGGCCCTCCTGTCATCTGCGGTTGCTGTGCCAGCTCCTTCATCAGTAACATCAGCTCCGGCAGCTACTCCGACTGTTCCTTATGCCAGTGATGACCCCAACTACCCTCTGTGGAATGAAGACGAAAATATAGTCCCCGAGCCTGTTCGTGGCTCCCTTGGGGCTTCCATCCTTGGACCACAGAATATTCCAATAGAGCTGCAAAACCCCGACATCTTTGCTCCTCCTACCACCGATAGCGGCTCTGTGTAAGGCATATACTTCATGGTATTTTCTTATTTCTTAAGCTGCATACTAGGCCAAATTTCAAGTGGCCTTTTTCCTTAAGCCCCAACCGTCTCCAGACTGGAGGTTGGGCAAGGCAGCAGAACAGTATGTGTTCCATGTCATGGCTTCATTTACAACTGATGAAACCTGCGACTTGCCAGTAAATGACATGAGTGTCGCTACTGATTTGGCAGGTGTCAATATGCGCCTAGAAGTAGGTGCTATCCGTGAGATGCACTGGCACAATGATGGCGAGGTATGCGACTTCTTAAACTGATAATCATGGTTCTAATAGTCCCTTCGCAGTGGGCATATGTTATCCAGGGTGACCTTCGTGTCAGCACTGTGACTCCGGATGGTCAAGTTTATGTCGGTGATGTTGTGAGTACATCGCACCCGCTCATATGCTTTGCCTAAACTGCGATTCAGTCACAAGGAGATCTATGGTACTTCCCTGCAGGTTATCCCCACAGGTATGTGTTATCTTTTGCACTAATGCAACAAGCTGAACTGCGCTTCAGTATTCAGGCCAAAAACACCACAGCTGGTGGCGCGGAGTTTTTGTTGATCTTCGACTCAGGCTCGTTCAGTGAAGATTCCACTTTTCTTCTTACGGTCGGTTGTTTGTCTGGTGTGCGAGTTCTTGCCTGAATATGACCAACAGGACTGGCTGGCCCATGTGCCCAAAGAGGTTATCGCCAAGAATTTCCAGGTAAATATTTCAGCATTTGATCACATCCCATCTAGGGAATTATACATTTTCCCATGTAAGTTTTTCTCAATCCTGGCCATCGCATGAATTCACGTCTTTATTAGCTACACCTCCTCCGGTGAATGTTGAGTCGGATATGGTAGTCCCGAATGACACCCCGATGCCTTTTACCTTCGCCATGTCACAAGTGAATGCAACGCAGGGACCTGGAGGTACATATAAGGTCGTAGACTCGCGTACCTTCCCTGTGGCTACCACGGTCTGCAGCGCCGAAGTAACCGTCGAGGTGGGCGGTATGAGGTTTGTGATTCTTGCCTGTCTTTGTCAGAACCCGAGCTAACTAACTATGTTGTTAGGGAGCTTCATGTGAGGAAACTCTTTTGTCTTGAAAATATAGCATTCCTAAACTTTGTTTGTCAAGTGGCACCCTACGGAACCTGAGTGGACTTACTTCATGTGTGTATCAGGTTTACCTGAGATTTAGTCCAACTAAACCCTTCCTAGTTCGGGCCAGGCTCGCATTACCGTTTATGCATCCTCCGCTCAAGCAACTACAATGGACTTCCAAGTAAGTCCCCGAATCCCTGTGAATCAGCAGTTACAAACAGCGAGTGTTTCTCTGCTTTTAGGCTGGCGATATCGCATACATCCCACCGTCGTATGGTATGGTTTGACGTGATTATGTTCGACGTTTCTTCTAAATATCTTTTAGGTCATTACGTTGAGAATACTGGCACTTCCACTTTACTGTTTCTGGAAATTTTCAGATCAGGTTCTGTGTCTTGAACTATATGCCGCATGTTAAACTCATTATCCTACAGCTTTGTTCCAGGATATTTCTCTCACTCAGTGGCTTGCACTGACGCCACACGAGCTTGTCAAAGCACATCTTGGTCTCGATGACGCTACCATTGACAGTTTTTCAAGAGTCAAGCAAGAGGTCGTCGGCCCCGCTCATTAATCGGCTTCGGTGTTCACACCTGGACTTATTTATCTCAACGATAACACAAATAATTTGTCACGTACCTGTACGAGTTTTTGAGCGTTAGCACGACCTGTGAATTTTGTGACCGTACTGAAGATGTTTTTATTCCTTATCGATATCATTTAGACATTTATGATCCTTATGATCATGGTATTTTGATTTCCAAGTCGTACTTGTAGCCAATATCGAGTTGACTGATTTCGGAGTTTCCCTTGACGCCTTGGCGAGATTAGTTTAAGTCAGAACTTCTGAAGCGTAAGTATCTCACGTCTTTTGTTCAGCTATACGTAAGTGAATATTATGGGGGCTCAGAGTTTCAGGCTAACCGTAGTCACTAGTATGCATGCAACTTGACTTTTGTTGCAAGAGCTCATCGCGCCTACTATGCGATGGTACGTACGGCCTTGTTGTGCATGTGAATATTCAATGAACCCGAACTTAACTTTCATGGTATTTGTGATTAGAACCCTGCGGCACTTAAGTTGGGCATGAAATCAGATGGGCCGAAGGCAATCTCAGGGGAAATCCGTTTTTGGGCAGTAGTTTCTATAACCCAGAAACGTAATTACATAAGCTTATTGTTTCCTACCAGAATATAATTTTGCGTTAAGCTCGTAGAAAATAACGATTGCACTGGAGATGGTGTTAAATTTGCGTTCACTGTTGTCGACGATTGGCAGCCTTGGGCTTTGCCACTGAACGTGGCGAGTTGCTCCTGTTCAAATTCGGCGGCAATAATTCTTCGAAGTTCCGAGTCGGGAGGAACAAAGTGAAGTCTCTTTGGTATCAAATAATGATAGGTACGCATCATTTTATATACTAGAGGGCCCGCTACTAGTACTAATCCCCCTCGTGTTTCCTGACTCCCATTAGTAGGAGAGGGCGAATTTGTCGAACACAAACGTATTTCCATATGGCGTCAGTCCCGTGTGCCCATTCTCCCGGTTTTCTTCCCAACCTTAAGCACGCCCCTTTACTAAATTTCGAGACATCCTTTACTTTCGTGGTTAGTACCATCTGTGAGGGTGCCACGCTAGTTATAAACGCTTGTGCGTCCATATATGCACTCGTTTGTGATTTACTTCCTGTTTCTCTACTCCTCTTCAGTTGTGCCAGTTGCTGACTTACTACTTCAGTGCCATATGAGACAATAACTAGGCTCTAGGTGGGTACATCGCCGTGCAATATCCCTTAACTTAAACGTTGACCATCCCGGTCATGCAATTAGGCTCAGAACAAGCTGGCGCCAGACCTGGCAGATCGGCATTAGGGAGGGAACTACCGAAATGCAGTATGACGTTTGTTTTCATTTCCGTGTCAGTGAGGTATGCATTCTTTCATCCACAGGAATGTGCTATCGAATGCGCGATTCACGGATCAGGTTTATCTTGAATGATCCTGTCAGCCTGTTCCGTCTTGTCATGAGTCAATCCCCAGAGCTTTTCCCAATCTGTGAAAATTTTCATCTTTCGTATCTCTTTCGGGACCGGTCCTGCGAGCGCTATTGTTTCTGTTCAATGTCTTGCGCTCATTTGTAGCCTCACGTCATTCGTTCTGACTCATCGATACGGCTCATTGCCGCGTTCATGTGCCAGACAAGTGTGACAGTACCGAGCTTTCAATGCTTTGTCCATACCTTTTGGCATCCGATCAGAAGTATATACCTTCATTAGCGCATTTATCCTGTCGTCTGAGCTGTATCTGAGCAGCAAAGGGCACCCAGGGCTGATACAGCTACCAATGCTTCATTTGATACGACATGGTCACCGAGTGTGATTGTGAAACCTGCTCATCGTGCGAACTGATATTTTGCAGGCGAAGAAGGGTAGTTTGCGAGACACAAGATCCGATCCCTCAAAGCGAATACGACACTCGTCTTGAAGGCGAAATGGAACAAGGGATCTGGAATGCACAGACTCAAATATCAGATACTAGTCAGATTATAGTCGCGTTTTCCTCGATCGAGAGTCTATACAGCCCATCCCTGACGCATTCAGGTACTGAGGCTGGGTGGGGTGTTGACCAAGGTCTCTTCCGGCGATATAATAAGGTGCTTGCTTTTTCCTCCTATCTTGTGGTATTTATAATACTTCCCCAGGATACAGAGCTCATGGAAGGGGCGTTTCCTCTGCTTGTCGAGAACTGCGATCACTTCCAGGTAGGCCCTTTTTCATACCGTTTCCAGCCATCTGCTGAATCGTCACCCACTGCAGGGGATGCAAATAATGCACGATGCATCCACCCTTGGGGGTTTCTCGCATGCCTTCCTGACTTTTCCCCGACGAGTTTCTCAAGGCTTCTACTCTAAACTTTGGTTTCATTTCTGGCGCAGACCCGAATCATACTGGCATCGACAATGCGAGTGAATGTACTTTCACGTAGATGACACATGAACATTTGAAAATAGTTTCTCGGCACGAAGAGAATAATCAGTGACGCATTGTGCTTGCAAAGTTTCCATCAGCTCTCGGATATCACTTTCCCAATATTAAACTATCCCGGTGGTCTACGTTGGAAAGTAATATATCGCAGGGACTTGCCTATGTTCGCCTCCTGCAAATTTTTACGTATGGCTTTCTTGCGGAACATTGCAGAAGAACAACTTGGATCATACGTCCGCACTCACCTCGTCACTATTACCCTAGGGCAAGGCCCCAGCGGACGATAAACATTGATACGAAAAAAAATGTCACTGGCAGAAACTACTGCGCTGCCACTGAGATATGGCATTCTCTTTGACGGGCGACGAGCATATCATCAACTGATTCCCCACAGACTTAAAAGGCAGCCGGGAGGTCATCGCAACAATCGCTGGCCATTTGAACGGGCGGCAATGTCCTCCTACCTTTTCCTGCGACAGAGACAACTTTCACCAATGTACTGCAACTCCCCGACTGGTTTGTCAAATAAGGTAAGGATCACGTTGACGCCTTGATCGCACGATCCATGACGAAGCAATATGTGATTCTAGGATGAACATACAGTTTTTACGAAGCGAGACATAACTCAAGGGCTACTGGATCAAGACTTGGCAGCATTCGACGCACGGTGCCACTTGTCATTGCTACAGAAACTTCTGATCTCCGGGTATGCCACTGCTCGCTTGATTGTATGGTGTGCATTCAAACTCGTTCATGTTATGGGGTCAATATCTACGCACCTGCTTATCCCATGCCGACGTTTTTTCCATCCATGTATACTAACTAAATCAATGTCGATGAGGATGACTTCATCGCTTGTCACAGCACCTCCTACATTGACCCCGCTTACGGGGTATACCAGGTTTATAGAACAAACTGCAAGGACGCGAAGGAGTGATGGTGTCCATATGAACATGGGCCCAGATGACGATGGCGTGGAAGAGCTTGTTGGTGCGTTGTGGGAGATCATTGACAGGTACAGGAATGACCGAGAAACATTATCCTATTCGGAGACAGTAGTCCGCGGCAACCCGAGTAACTTCGCCGTCCTGCAGGGTTTCGAAAGCTAATAATTATAAGAGCGCTCGGATCCAGACCAATCGCTGTGAACAATATCTTGAAACTGTCATGTCCTGTATTATTGGGTAGCTATCGGAGCCTAGGCCTTCCTGTAAACAACAAAAAGAAATCAGGGCGCTCAGCGGATTACATCTATGCGAGTTTATGCATCGCATATTTTAGACTTGGTCGTCGATATTTGATGCGATGACCAAGGGTGAAGGTAGTGCGGCAGAGCATACGACCATATTACTATTGGCATAGGCACCATGTCACTGTGACTGCCGCGGTGCGAAAGGATCCCACCAGATCTCATGGTGATGCATTAGCCATGAGAATAGGCACTGGACAGCGGACGCTCAGTATCAAGACATCATTACGCTATGTTATTATCGCACCCTCCGATAGGCCATCAGTGAGAGCTGTGAGATGATGGGCTAGGCAATGATGCAATGACAGCCTGAGAAGCAACCAATCAGCAGCTGGACAAAAAATATGACACTGAGCTCATTAGGAGGCCATAACTGTGTGGACCTCCTGGCATTGCTAGGGAGATTTCTGAGCAGGGCAATCAGAATTTCGTTGATGCAGTTTCCGTCAGTTGTGCACGGTGTCCGTGTTTAGCGAAAAATTAGCAACCAATGTGAGTCGGAGAACGTATTTCTGGCAGCGTGGTTGTTATGGTGCACCGTTTGTTGGAGTTGTTTCAGTGATACCACCTCGGACTTCCTGTTGCAAGGTTTGAGATGTGCGTGTAAGGTTATAACTCGGGACTGAGATCGGGTAATATCACCTCGGATTTTAGAAGTTCTACATATGGGTCATGTAGTCTCCCAGATCATTGTAGACGAAGTAGGATAGTCGTTCCGCATGCACGAGCACTGGTACTGGTGTTTAACGACTTGCAATGTTGTTGGCAGAACTCGGGAGTTTTGCTAACTGGTCTGGCAAAACTCAGGTGCAAGGAACTCCAGGGCATCCGAGACTCACGGAGATATAATTTAGACATGATAACACAGATAGTTTGAATTCAACAGACCACGACTGTTGACACCCAAAAGTGAGATGGTGCTAGCGACCAAACAGACGGCCTTTCATGGTGGCAATACCACCCGATCAATTCCGAAATTCACCCACTCAAGCTCTTTGCTGTGATGATCCTCTCAATTGTCACGGTAGGGCACGCAGGCGAAGTAGGGCGCACATTCTCTGACCTCGGTACAACACGATCTGCGTGACGGTATAATCGCTCAGTCGACACATTCGAAAAATTCGTGCAAACCTTCGACACCACAGCACCATGAAGCTGCAGAGGTTGGGAAGTCCACCTGCCGTAGACATAGTACTCACATGCACACTTGTGGCATTACTGTGGAGATTGCACAGGATCTTGAGGCATGCTTTGCGTGGGCACCTCAGCTCTCGACCAAGCGTCGTGAGGCAGATGACCTTCTTGCGGGTCTAGAGAGTATTTTGCCTGACGACGTTGCCGCTGAGTTTGCGGCTCTCGAAGGGTTGAAAAGGACTGAAAAAGTTCAGATCATCGACAAAGTTGAAGTGCTCGAGGGAAATACTTTTGATTTTAGCAAATTGGATCGGGTCGAACAAGGAATAATACCAAAGGCTATGTTGGAATAACAAGCACGCACTAAGCCATCAAACCTTATACCCTTGTCTCGTATGTTCACTCTATTGTCTCATACTCGTGCTTTATGCGCTCTTATATGTTGATTCACCTTTTGTACTTGTGACTCCATTGACTGCTTTGGCCAGTGCCAGGTGTACCATTATGTATGTTTCAGTCTCGTTTACCTCTAACAAGACCCGTTTTCTCTATTTAATCAGTGTATATTGGACTTGATACCTCAGACGTTCACATCCGCGTGCTCGATCTGAGGTATGACACTTTGTTTTCACACATATTCACCTTTGCTAACTAGTCTTAGTGTATCTGTTCTTAATAGGTGAATATTGATAAGACGTTCACATCCGCGTGCTCGATCTGAGTGTATCTGTTCTTAATAGATCCACGCGAGAAGCTTGTACTAAGCTAAAAGGCTATTCTACTAGTAGATAAGGTTGATGCTGTGATAAGAAGAGCGGGAGGGACGAGGAGTCTATTGAACAAGTACAATCTCAGTGTCTTGGAAAAGAACTCATGTTAAGGGTTCGTCTACCTATTGAACAAGTACACTACATCGCGTTAGACTTTGTATTGTATAGGTGACGAATTCCTACTCACATCTCAGTGTCTTGGAAAAGAACTGAGATGCCAGTACGCTGCTGATGGCGTTTTTAAGGTAAGTACGTTGACGACCATAATGTATTAAAACGAAACAGAAAAATAAAGTGGGACGCGAGCCGACGTCACTGCGTCGCTCGCCCTTTGTCCCTTTTCGGCTTGTGCTCGTACCTCTACCTCTCATTACTCACTGTGCGTGCCTTGCTCGGATCCATCGGTCTTCCTTGTCTCGGAACTCTCGGATTCCAACAGTTGAGGTGGTTGGTTAATTACAATGGCAACATTGATGTCATCATTAAGAATAGCCCCACTCAATTCTTATTTTATTCTGCCATTTTATTTCTCCAATTTACGAGCCATCACCAAACTGTCACTTGTACAGAGTCCGAGAAATAAACTGGAATAAACTGCGCTCAAGTATCCAAAAATAACACCATGTCGGAGGTTCAACTTACCAACACCACGGGCGTATCTGGCACTGGACGTCATCATCACATACTGCGGATGGGATGTGTTGTGCGCTGCCAGATTTCCAAACTGCAGTTGTGGCATACCATACTCAAATGGCAGAGATGGCGCAGGCTGCATGGTATCACGCAGGCAAGATTTTTGAGGTGTTTGACTAGCTTGCCATTCTTCCACATCATTAGGAGTGACACAGTGGTTGTAGGTGTCATGGTCAGGAAAGATCCAGTTTGGTGTGTCCATTGTGCACACTCATTCACGCTGCCAGTGAGATCAACTGACTTACACAAAATGTTTTGGTACTTCAAGCTGCTCAGCATATTACAAGCTCAGTGATGCCTGCATCAAATAAACTGGAAGAATAAACTGAGGCACTCAATTCTACATTATTTTATTTCCCATGCGATCAAGATTTATATTACAAGCTACAAAATAAAATGGCAGAATAAAATAAGAATTGAGTGGGGCTAATGTCGTTCACATAGTTTAGGACTTGACGGAGTTTGAAAAGCTAACTTGGCAGCTCACAGTACAAGTCCAGCTGTCCATGTCACATACCTGTTTCCTCACTCAGTCAAATCAATACTTTCGCTTGTGCCCCCCTCCAACGTTAACACCGCTAGTAACTGTTCAGTGGGTAAATGCACTATTTCTAGCATGTTCTTGTAGGTTGCTATTTCCTATCAACAGGCAGGTCCTACAGAATATCACAATCACTTGCGGTTTTGCACTGGCAGCCTTACAAATTTTGTCGTTCGGCGATTGAAACAGGCCTTGAAGCTTGGAGCACTGTTGTGTTTAATATCTGATGCTACTGCTGTCCTTCGATTAGGGTAGTGGCATGGGTACGGGTAAAACCATGGTGTATCGCTGACAGGTCTGGCGGGTCTGGGTATGGTGTGGATTGTGGAGACCCACACGTACACTGTGCTTACCTGTGGCAGTTTGCGGTGTTGGACGGGTGTAGAGACCTGCAGGTCCACCTGTGCTTAACCCTACCTTCAATCTGAAGGTTACCCAAATTTTGGTATGCAATAGTTTTGTAGCGATCAAAATAACTGAGGCTTTTTCTACATAGGCTCTATAGAGTCCTTTACCTGCATAGATGGACCAACATGTTGATTTTGGTTGTCAAACTCATAAATTCAAATTGATTCTCAGAATGCTCTTCACTGTCACCATAGTTGCTGTAAGAGCTAGTTTGGAAACTCAATGTTGGCCAATATTTACTTTGTTGATGTTTACACGAAGTTCATTGGCATCGTCCCAAGATGTCAGAGCTTGAACTTTGTCTCTCTCCTACTGTACATATTATTGATGGATATCTACCCTCATCTTACCCTAGAGCAGTGCAAGAGGCTTTTTGCTGGTGCTGTTGTGATCACTGCGATCTGTGCCCAGTACACTACTCTTCTCATGGCCCAACCTGAAGTCAATGCTCCCCATCAGCCCAAGGCCCCCTCTGTCCATTGGAATGAGGATGACATTGCTACCCTTATTGACTATCTATATGAGCATCGCTCACAGGCTGAAGGGGGAGGCAACTTCAAGCAACAGGTTCTTGAGAATGCTGCAGTGTTCATCAACACCCATGAGCCACTTCAAGCCAAGCAGTCAGGTGCACTGAAGACAGCAAAAGCAGTTCGAAGCAAGTGGACATTAGTACGTCAGATTTGATCTGCTCTGATCTAAGCTAACGAGTCCTCTAGCTCAAAGCCACCTTCAATTCTATTGAGAAGTACTGCAACCAGACAGGGGTCCACTGGGACAATGAGACTGGAGCTGGGATTGAAGGATCTGTGGCTGATGCTGTGTGGAAATCGTATCTCGCTGTCAAGGTATTTACCCACATTTTTATATTGATTTGAGAGCTTACATCCTGTTAGGTAAACCAACCCATGCATTCATTCCGCAACAAAGGATGGGAGCACTACGAAAAAATGCAGGCCATTATACCATTGGGCGGTGCTAGAGGACGGGATGCTTTCCATCCAGGTAGCGCTATTCCCTCCATCACCAATCTTGACACCGACCTCACAGATGCTGCCCCACAGGCTGCTGTTCCAACTGCCACTGCTGCTGGCCCATCAAGCACTCGTGCTGGCCCATCAAGCGCTGCTGTCATCACTACTTCCATCACTAGCTCCACTGCGGCGCATTCCACTGCTATGTCTACTGCTGCTGGCTCTAATGCTAGCAAGCACCTGTATTCAGATGTGATGGGGGACATTGAGACAATGTCATTTGGCTCCATGCACATGTCGTCCATGCAACCTCCTTCCACCACATTGGTGTCATCCCCCCCATCCAAGAAACCACGGACACCAGTGGTGTCCCAGAACAGCCGCGTCACAAAGATTAGCAGTGCCGCCAAGGCTGTGAAGATCATGCCAGCAGCTGCTGTGGTGGGGATGCAAGGCACCATCAACCGGCTCACCAACATCTTCAAATAGTTTGTTAGAGGAGGGCCCAATGGTGCACAAGGTAGTGAGGACTTGGTGATGCGAGCTGTCAAAATCTTGGAAGGCGAAGACTCTGACCTACCACCAGGCCAGCAGGCTGCATTGATCACTACGATTGGCTTGAAGGGCAACAAACATTATCTGAAGTTCTACATGAATATGCAGGAGAAGCATATAAGGTGTGTGTTTGTGGCAAAGCTGATTGGTGAGGAAGTTGATGCAGGTGATCCTGGTCCAGTGCATGCTGATGCTGAAATGATGGGCTGAGTCGTCTATGTTGTTTGTTTTCAATCATGTTGTGTCACTCGCTACTTCTCTATACTTTGTACTACTACCTGTGGCCAATAACAAAGTGCTTTCTTCATTGATTTGGAGCAGACTAAGTACTAAGTAAAACTACACATCACTTGCAGCATCCTCACCATCATCACTGTCCATCACATCCTCGTCTTCATCACCATCCATGATATCAAGCCCTTCTAAGCCCCATTCCAGTACGACATGCTGATACTGAGTCCACATTGCTGCTGCAATGTGATCACGCATTGCAGCTCCTTGACAGAATTCATTCTCATTATCCTCCTCAATAGCTGCAGCATCATCTTCCATGGCCATGTTAGTGCCAAGACCATCCTCCAAAAATCTGTCTTCATCATCTTCGTTATCAGTGGGTGGATGACCCTCGCTAGGATCATGTATACAAATGTAATTGTGTATGGCACACAGTGCAGCTGGAATTTGTGCTTGATTCTCCATAGTGTATGCAGGTGGTAGAAGTAGTATGTGAAATTGTTGCTTGAGAACGCCAAAGATGCACTCAATGACATTTCGCGCTGACACATGATGTAAATTGAACAATTCTTCTTTATTCAAGGGCCTGTAAAACTTAGAACTTAGCACAATGTTTGCGAATCAATTGAGAACTTACCATAAATTTACGCAACCCCATTTGGCAAGGTGATAATGCACACTTCAGTAGGGCACAAGTAGCCCAGGACATAGAGGGTATCCTGTGTCTGCAAGAAAATATTTTCCAGGGGGAGCGCAAAAGCCGAAAGCGCAGGCATCCTCATAGATGCGGGCATCAGTGGCCGACCCTTCCCAGCCCATAAGTGCATATATGAAGTTGAGATTGAAGTCGCAAGCAAAGAGGCAGTTCTGGGATACAAAGCCCTTGCGGTTACAATAAACAGGATGATCAATGGCCTTAGGCATGACGTGGATATGACTGCCATCAAGCACCCCAATAGCGTCCTTGAAAAAGGGCCACCATTTAGGGTTCTTCTGAATTTCGTGAGGGGCTGAACCATCTGGAAAGTGTACATATTTTGGATAGAATGGGTCAGACGTGAAAATGACAAGCATCTTGTGGAAATAACTACATACTATCAAATACTGTCCCTGAAAATAAAATAAAAAAACTCACTGTGAAATTGTTTCATTCGAGCATTGGAATCTCTCCACAACATGCCTGATTGATAGGCCAATCACAGAGGTGTAGAGAAAAATCGAAAGTTGTTCCTCAAGGGAGACAAACTTGGAGTCTGAATGGCCCATGGTGCGAAGCTCAGAGATAAGCTCCACAAAAGCATTGGCATGCATGCCAAGCTCACACCTGATGCATTCTGGGTGACTGGTGAGCAACTTGATAACCCAGTCTTGCCTGGATAGAGCTGAAGTATGGTAGGGTTCTGGATCTTTAGGATATATGGACTGTAGTATACTATGTGTTGTGGCAACAACAATACTGATTACTAGTACCATACACTTGAGTAGTCGGTCCCGGACCTCCGGTCGAGGATTTGTCACGAGCGCAGCTAGGCGTTGACGATCCATTTCGAACCTCAGCGGTTGAGGATCCATGAGTCGACAAGGAATATATCATACCCTCGCCGCTATCGCTGATCATATCGATAAGCGGCCAAATTCAAGCTCCGATTGATCTGGATGATTCAGCCGAGAAGTTTGCGCAATACAATTTCTCAAATATTGCCAACATCGAGTTTCCGAACTAGCTCTAATACTAGCTCTTTCGCCTGACAAATTTGTAAGTTAGTCGCCGCCAAAAAAGTCCTGTGTATGCAAAACACTGCAGCCTTTCCATGCGCCTTGATCATTTCCTTTCTCTGCCAACTCAGGTCACGCGTGTTTCACGTGACTATCTAGCGTGTTGTTGAGACTTTTGTTGCCACAATCATCGTTTCACTAACCAAAATTTACTCTTAATCCAAGGCTTTCTCTGTTCGACACATGGAGAATACAGAAGACGACGCGTTCAAGCAAGTTCCTGTGATCGTGGACTGTGACGTCCTAGAGGCTGCTAAAGAGAATATCCAGCCACTTGCATCCGGTCGTCGGGTTACCGCTCTTTCAGCTATCCTGCAAACTCCTCACGCACAGCGGGATGCCCAACTACTCGCAGCGCGTAAGCGCTTCCGTACGAACATCCAAATTGCACTCGAAGACGAGGATGATGATCCACTGGAAGCATACTCACGTTTTGTTCAATGGACTCTCGAAAATTACCCCCAAGGACAAAGCGCGGAGTCTGGACTCTTAGAGCTTCTGGAAGAGGCGACAAGGGTATTAAAGGACAACCGCGAGGGACGATGGAAAGGGACGTCGATGTACCTCAAACTTTGGGTACTTTATGCGAGCTATGTGGAGAAACCGACTATCATCTACAAATTTTTGCTCGCAAATGATATTGGAACCGATCAAGCTCTGTTGTATGAGGAGCATGCGGCTGCACTTGAGAGAGCCGGACGGTAAGCTTCAGCCTGATTTCACCAAGGCTCATTTTGAAGCAGGGTTTTCGTCGCAGGCGTAGCGAAGCAGATGCTGCATATCTACTTGGAATTGCACGTCAGGCTTCTCCCCTTGATAAACTTGTAGCCAAGCACAGTGAATTTCAGAAACGAATGATGACTGCAGCCACAATACCTTCGCAGCCCGCCCCAAATGCTCTCCCACGTAGAACAGCGTTGGGTGTGACTTCCTCATCTTCCGCTGCAGTACCTTCGTTCGCATCTATTTCTCAAGCCCCTTCATCGTCATCGCAAGCCGATGTCAGTGGGTCTAGACGTGGGCCACGGCTAGGCACAAACGGCCGTCTCCAGATTTTTGTGGACCCTTCTGGAGCAGAATCAGCCGACGCAACGGATTCAGTCACACCTTATCCTGATATCGGAACACGTAAATCTCGGGTCAAAGAAAATATACCTGAGGTTAGCAAAGCAGCAGGTAGCACCTTAAAACAGGCAGGTCGCACTCGACGAATTGCGTCAGGGTCGAATTCGGGAACAATTGTATCAAAAATTGTGCCTTTCAGAGACCCCGGACCAGACATGGACGTGGAAGGGAAGGCTGTGATGGCTCCGCCTCCCGTTCCCATGTCCAGGCAGAAGGACGCAGCACCGAAGACTCCCACGAGGACCAGCGCCATCATACCATTCCATGACGTCCCCGACGGTGGCGGCATTCCGTCCACTCCTCAATTCACACCCTTTCGAGATGAGGTAAGTAAACTTTGCTGTATGGCCGCACAAACGTTCCTGACAGCTGCTTGATCGATTTAGCCCGAGATAAACACATCAGCTGCAATGCTTGCACCTGAGGTCATGAAACCAAAAACTGTGGGGGGACCTGTGATTGGATCTGAAGCAGAAGCGTTGAGAAAAGATCCTCTAAAAAACTATTCTACCGAAGAATGTCCACGAGATGACTGAATGATCATTTCCCCCTTGTTTTCCTCTAGGCTATCGTCGGTTGTGCTACATTGTTGATCTACATCCATTTTCCCCTCCTGCTTCAACACCTTGTGGTGGTCTTGGGTTGTCTCAAGTTCTGTAAAAGTACTCTTAGCAGATCACGACCCTAGTGCTAGCATCTGTAGAACAAATATTGTTAACCTAGCCGCCAGGCTGGCTAAAGACTGCTCACTCGTTGTCAACTGATGGTTGCTGATTTCCTAATATGTCTTTCCCCTGACACGACCGTCATCCGCAGCCCAGACTTTTGTTTCATCGATCAGCCTACGCATCTGACCTTGTTAGAGACATTTACCAAGTTACAGTGATTCCTGCAATGTCATCTAAGCGAATTGCTTTATATCCTTGCTCCCCCAATACCGTACGTGGAACATCGACAAAGATCTCAGCCAGCAAAGATAAGGTTGTTTATGCTAATGGCAAAACCGTGATCGTGCGTTGTCACCCTTCTGACATACACCCTCATGCTGTTCGCTCATAGGCTATGTACCTCTAGATCCGTGACCTTAAGGTGAGGATTGATCTTGAGGCTCGTATCCAATATTTATTCAATGCTGGACCACCTAGAATGCCGCCCTATCAACGACTTTCTCTGGTCACGCATACAACACGACTGTTGCACGATTCTCACCATCTGGATTCTACTGCGCATCTGCAGACATTACTGGAACAGGTGCGCATCTACCAGTGTCGCATGTGACAATAGTCGCTGATCAAATCTAATCCTGTAGTCAAGATATGGGATACCATAGGCGAGGATCAATCTGTGAAGGGAGAATACAAAGTTCTCTCTGGGAAAGTGTAAGTAGCATACCCTGCTCATTGGAGGTTTGTCTGAGTGACACTACTCGCAATCGGTAGCAACGACCTGGCTTGGGATGGCGAAAGCAAGCGGATAGTTGCGGTTGGCGATGGCAGAGAGAAGTGCGCAGAATGTTCACGCAGAACAGACAGAGACTGATAGTGGTTTTGAAGATTTGGTCACGCTTTTCTTGCTGATTCTGGCGCTTCGACGGGTCAAATCAGTGGACACTCAAAGGTATGTCGTTGCCATTTTCGTGAACCAGCAAGCTCATCTTGGGTAGGTTATCAATGCTGTTTCTATTAGGTTTCAGCGCCCCTTTAGGGCGGCCACTGCCTCCGATGATAATTCCATCGTCTTTCATCAAGGTAATTGGCCTTTAGGGACATCGAATTAACACTGAATTCTTGGCATCCTGCAGGGGTCCCTTTCAAATACGATAAGGTCTGAAACTTCTTTGGGGTATTTGAGTATTGACTATAGAGTGTGTGAAGACCATCAGAACACACACCAAATTCGTGCAAGATGTTCAATTTGGACCCTCAGGCGACCATTTCGCCAGTGTGGGCTCAGACTCGAAAATCTTCCTCTATGATGGGAAGACTGGTGAGACAGCCGCAGAGTTTACTGATAACCCACACAAAGGGACTATTGTGAGTTGTGACGAAAGCATAATTCGAGTTGGGAGACTCACATCGCCTCTACTAGATGTCCTGCTCTTGGAGCCCAGATAGCAAGTCATTCTTTACGGCTTCTCTGGATTGCACTGTCAGACTATGTACGCATTCAAAGGTACTGCGCTTTACTAACTTGATTGAACACGTCGTATCCAGGGGATATCGAGGCCCGCAAGTCGTTGCAGACTTGGACGGTCGGCAGTGGGGTGCCCAATCAGCAAGTTGGCGGTGTCTGGAGTGGCATCAGTGACCTTGTTTCACTCTCTATGTCTGGTGATCTGAACATCTTTGACCCGCGCACGGGAGATAAGCCAACTCGCATCCTTCAAGTATGCACTCCCTTCCTGAGTTCATGGTGCTTCGCATGACACTCTCCGTACAGGCTCCACAGAAAGCGATCACTGCAGCCTCGCCAACGTCTTCGAGCACGTTCTTTGCCGGGTCAGCTGACGGGCGAGTGTTATCATACGACACGGACTCGATATCACCTTCAGATGCTGTTCAGCTGGTGGGAGGCACGCCACACACCAGTCTCGTATCTGGCATGGCGACCGCAAGCTCTGGGAAGGTATTCACCACGGGTTATGATGACCAGATCCGAGAGATTGAGGGATTCACATACACGTCTGTTGTCTCCCATCCCGCGTCGTTGTTTTATTGAAATGGGTGTGATAGGCCTGCTTCCATCCCTTCATTGTCGCAGCCCAAGTCTGTTGCGGTAACATCAGACGAAACCGTGTTTGTCGCTGGCATCACCTCGGTCGAAGCAATCCGTCATAATCAACGGGTTTTCGAGCTGAAACCACCATATGCACCAAATGTAGTGGGCGCTGGGGGAATTGTGGTTGCAGTCGGTGGAGAGGTGAGCATCTCCATTTTATAAACTGTGATTTGTTGATGTACCGTGTCCAAGGATAAGCGCGTCCACGTCCATACTTGGAACGGCAATACATTAACAGAGACACGGGTACTTCCAGAAAGTGAGGGTGTGATAACTGCGCTGGCGGTTTCAAGTGACGGAGCATTGATAGTGCAAGGGAATGTGAGTATTCAAGCACCAGTTCTGATTCAGGTCCCCGTTACCGACATCGCATCTATAGTCTGCTGGAAAGATCGCGTTATATCACTCACAGACTGGCGAGGTAAGTTCTGATAATCACTGCGTCGGGTACGCTGAAATGATGTGGTGGATCATCAGCCTATCCCGACTCGCTGGGACTGGCACACTGCGCGCATATCTTCCTTGGCGTTCTTGCCGGCCCTGTCGTCACCTCCGACCCATGTTGTTTCGGGATCTCTTGACACCAACCTCTATGTCTGGAGCTTGGAAAACATTTCGAAACGCGTTCTCGTGAAAGGGGCGGGTCCAGGGGGCGTTAACTGTGTCATTTGGCTCGGTGACGCACATGTCACAGATGGTAAAAATACGGGACGTGTTTTGAGCGCTGGCGCGGATGGATGTGCGCGTGTTTGGGAAGTTGAGTTGCCAGGGAAGTGAGGAACCAGATAATGTTCACTAGATAAGATAAGATATGGATATAGGCAACTATGCGCTCCAAACACCGACCCCCAGCAATTATTCAGGCGTTCATCTTTGAGTCAAGGCCAAAACTGTCGAGGATCAAGCAATACACAGGGTATAGTGGCGTACAAACGATTAACTCGCTAAGTACGTTGCAACTGCGGATCCTCCACGCAAGAACCAAGACAAGAAACTGCTTTCAAATATCAGATGAACGCAACAAATCCAGACGAAGATGAGTACCACCGGATAGAAAGGGCAGACGCGAAATTTCAAGCAGATATAAATGCAATGAACGAAGACGAAGAAGATGAGTACCACCGGCTAGAAAGGGCCAATACCAAATTTCAATCAGATAGAAACGCAATGAACGAACATGAGGATCGGTACCAACGGATAGAAAGCGCAGTCGCAAAATTTCAACCAGATAAAAAGGGAATCCAAGACAAATGCAAAGAAAGGATCCAAACTCGCTGCCTCAGGTGGCCTTACCCTGGCCCGTCCCTCTCTTTGCGGGCGAACCTTGACCTGCTGGTCCGTCTGCCTTTCGCTTCCATTTGGCCTCTGTTGCTTTGGTGGTGGGTTTACTGAAGAGGCCCTTGGCAGCCCCGGTCATCGGCGGCAGCCTCACGGACCTCAAATCCATCCGATACACTCGAGAGCCGTTCAGACGTTCTTGTCGTGACCAAAAGTCCAGCTGTGTGTAGTCAGGTGAGCCCTCCGCCTTTTGCACCTGCGGACACTCACAGTCGCAAGTTAACATGCACAACCACTGACACAGCCCCCGTGATCTTTTGGTTGTATTCTGACAGGTGGATGAGCACCCCGGCAGCGTCGTGAGCATTGGGAACCATGACAAGCATGTCTTCAATTCCATAGGGCTCAATAGTGAACCGATAAAGCCTATACAGGTCTACCATATATTTCAGCATCCAGTCTGTGATGCCTGTCACGCACTGGAACCTGTCGTCTTACCAGATTTGCCACTCACCTCACCCTTGTTGGACACCTTCCTGGGCGAGAACTGCTCTTGGATCTGCACCGAGCAACAACGAGGTGTGCGCCATCATACGGCATCTCAATGTAGTCCGAGATGACGTGCAGAGGGAAACAGATGTTTGATAAAAGGGAGATAACGAGCAAACAAGGCCTCATGGGGTGCAGCACCCAACTCAGCGCATAAACGACAGAAGTGCGACAGAAGGAATTTGACAAATTCAGGACGGGTACACTTCTTCAGGACAAATGATGGAAGTTGCCTCTATGATGACAGACGCGGGCAAATCAGAAATGGATGTGAAATAATGGTCTTCAGAAAAGTAAAACTACGGAGGGTCATTGCTGACTACGGTGACATACATAACGCTAATATCGACCTTCTGAGAAACCCAATATGAGGCATGCAGCACCTAGTGAAGAAAAGACAGATGGTAAGGACTCGTTCAAGCATCAAATACATGTGCGATTCGACAGGGAGCCGCCGGATAACACAAGCTGACGGGTGAATGGGTTCGAGCGGTGCAATGTTCAAGAATGAAGACGCTGCAAGAATGGTTATGGTGCTAGTGCATGAACCGCTAAGAGGAGGAGGCCGGTCTGCGTGAGGTCTTAGATGAAAACAAGTAACAGACTCGTCTGCTACTTGGACGGTCCGGAAAGTGCCGGGAAGTCTATCAACCTACTTAGTAGGGTTAGGGGAGCAAATGATTTACAACATGGTGATATTATTACTTGCAAGTGGATTGATGGCAAATCTGTGATCATAAGCTTGAAATCTGTTAGATTAAGTCGAAGTCGCCCTCTACTGCTGTAGCACTGTGCAGCCAAGTTTGGCCACAGACCCCGCCGGCAATTGCCAGGGCAGATGATTGCCAACAACACTAAGTACTCCCAGACTTTGGCGCGGAGTCTGCGCAGACTTCAATTTCCTCCATGTCATCAATTTGTCACCCGCGGGTGACCCGTACCATCTGCAGATCCACCCGCACCCGTGATACTCTGACCCGTATGAGTGCGGATAGGCCTTGAATCGAAGTTCCATCTACGTACGGGTGCCACCCGGGTCCACCCCATGATGTCACACCCTAAGTTGGCGGTAGCAGGGTTAGCTGGCCCTACTGCTTATAAGTTGATTTTGTATGACGACCTGTCATATGTACCTCCACCACTCACCTCTACATTGTCAGACATGCATCATATCACGCGTCATCTGAAAGACCAAGCGCAGTCACTCAGCACGAGTTTCTTACAGCTGCTGGTACATTAGGCCTATCTCCAGCCCGTCTTGCACTGTGGCTCCGTCAGGATCGCATTTATTATATCCGCGTTTCATTGGTTTGCTCATATCAAAAATCCCCTTCGATGGACCTGCTGTTGAAGAGGAATTGAACAGAGAGACTCTCACCTTGCTGACATCATGCTTGGAAGGAATGATTCGCGAGGTTGCTTTGTTTGAAGGGGTCACAAAGGAATGGAGTTTGGATATCAATGGTTGGATTGAGCGGAAAGCCACCCGAGGGTACACAGCTGAGATGGCAAGGGTGGCTTCTGTTGGTTCGTTAGAAGAGGGGCTCGTGTTTCTGTGGGCAATGGAACAGGTGCGTGAGCCTCGCAATTACGTTGCTTGACACAGGCTCCCTAGGTATTCCTCGATGCATGGAAGTATGTGAAATCCCTGTTCCTTCCTCAAAGTGACTCAGAAGACGATACAGCGAATGCGATCCGCCAACTAACAAACAACTGGACGATACCGGAGTTCAAAGAATCTGTCCAAGAGGTGGAGGTTCTGGCAAACAGGCACTTCGCGACACATCACCATGGTCATTCGCACTTGGCTGTACGTGCGATGGAGAGTATTTTTGCGAGAGTCGTGGAACTTGAGGACATGTTTTGGCCCGAGGACGGAGAGGAGACCTGTTTGAGCTCCAGAGCCTTTTGAGGTCGAACGCATGAGTTCTTTGGAAAATAACGGTGCTCGATTAACATAGCAGTATATTGTAGGTGAGGAGTTCGTGTATCATATTGTCTGAACCAGAAGACAATTCTCAGCATCGCTAGACTGCTATACGCATACCATGTTCCAAGCTTCCCCTGTCATGCCATGAAGGTCGCCAACTTGGTTCCCAAACTCGAGAGTCGCTGCGGTGACATCTCGTCAGCTACCTCTACTGATTGGTAGACGATCAGTGCACATGGCATCCAGGAGTTCTCAGGTACGAAAACATTCTTTAAACCTGTAACGATAGTCACAGTCAAGACTTGATGTAGCGGCACAGGGAGAAAATAAAAGTCTTTCACGCTCACCTGCAGACACCAGATTGGAAAAGAACTAAGAAAACTTTACCTGAGATGACGTACGTGGGCGTTATGTAAAATACTCGGCTGCCCGGATGTGACAAAAATAAATCTATGATTTAGCCACTAGTAGCCGCCCCTTCACTTCTTCGGCATCTTCTTCTGGGCAGCGTCGGCGTGCTTCTCTTTGGCCTTGGAGCTACTACCAGCCTTGGAACTAGCTTGGAGCTTGGCGTTCGGTTCCGCTTCATCGTCGACCTGAGCATTATACAGTTATTGCCCAAAATATCGCCGAATGTGACAGTCATCGCCAAAACGTCTAACAAACTTGAAGAGTCTATCATGATATTATTTCCGATCAGCCCGGCATAACCGCAAGACCGCTTCTGCGCGCACTGGGAATATCCAGATGCGCGCAAGCCCAGGGTTCTATTTGTTCGTTTCGTGGGATTTGATGCATTGCCTTGACATGCCTCATGCGTCATGCACATGTCGTGCCGTTGACTGTAAGCACTGGGGCCTTGGCAAATGTCTTCCATTCCATAATTTGCGTCCGATATGCGTAGAGACGATTAGCGGCCCACCGCCCAATTGTGAAGTCCTTGCAGCGTGTCACTGCCAGTGCAAGCAAGTAGCACCCGAACTCCCAGTGAGTCGTTAGCCGCTCTAGCACTGCCGTCGAATGTTCGTGCCTGAATCTACCGGCTTCTTATAAATAATAGATCAAGAAGACTGGTACGCCGTTTGATGTTCTTCCTCCCATGAGTCTCTATACACCAGCCGACTTCGTGATAGGGCGCACTCTGTTAAATCTAAACGTGAGTCATGCAAATGGTAACATCACATGTTCTGACTCTGGCCTTACTTAGTACGCTTATGGTGAGAGAAACACTTGTTGATCACCAGATATGACCTCTCTGAATCAACTCAGTGTCTACAACTGTGATTTGGGTCCGTGTTCTCACCGGAGCTTCCATATGCCTCTCGATTGACATTCACAAAGGTCTATGACTATATCATCACATTCGATGACGAGGTGCACTATCTCCGATTATTGGCATCTTTGTGACTCTGAGCCCAATGATTTTGAAGCTGGCATTTTTTCAGACTTCCCAGTGGGGGAAGGTCAAGATGCTGTATCTGTTGTGTCGCTATCTGCCGTTTGTGCTGTTGGCAGCAGATACCTACCGTGAGCCCCAGTTCGTATCACTGTTCGGATGATTTAAGATGACGTAGAGGTATTGCAACCCGCCTTGCCATTGAGTGTGAAGTACTTTCCTCAGAATGTGTTGTACGATGTTGACGTGTCAAACAGCAATGTCAGACATACTTCAGCATAAACTCATGTCAGTGCGTTACAAGCGTCCGAGATTAACAGATATCTCATTCATGTACAGGGCTTGAGGGTATCACATTGGTAGCTGCGGAATGTAGGTTTTGACATTCACCCTGCACTATTTTCATGATGAAACTTCATATCCGTAGGTATGTTCATATTGAGAACGCACGCCATTTGGGGAAGAAGCAAGAGGATATTGATCATTCTGTTGTGTTCCTTCGCCGTGCGCTTAGATCTCTCTCGATAGCCCCTCTTAAGATGACAGTCATTTCACAGGCAATTTTGATCCCAGTTGTTTATATCTTGATTAGCTTCGGCAACTCAATAACAAGTATGCATTCCCGTCGCTGCCAAAGAGTGGCACCAACTGATATATTTACAAGTTACCGAACCTCCAATCCCCAACATCACCAGCTGTTATAATGTCGACGAAAGTCGCGTCATTGTTGCAGCCTATGTTTTGCTAGTAGTCGCCGAATTTGGTGAGTGAGCGTTGAATGAAAATATTTCTCAGGTCTGACCAATCTCTTTACAGAAATTATATGTTTCACGCTATACCGCTCAATCAAATATTACAAAAGTCTTGCAAACGACAATCACTTGATCAATACTCTTATTCAGCACAACATCTTCTATTTCATCTGTGGATTTTGTGCGTAGTAAAACAGTCTTGGCTAATCGCACTTGCGGCTGAGGCTATTTGACCAGTCTTCTCGCTCCTTGTTATCCTGGCCATAGGTTTTTTCCCTGTGCGTGCGCATCTCTAGCAACTAGCCTTTATGCTTCCTGGTGCTTACTAGGCGTCATGACAGTCTGTGTATGGTGATATGGCTTCAAAGTACGTCGTTCGTGTCGGTGTCGACGGGGAATGAGATGCTCACTAGGACTGATATTAAAGCCTCCAGGTTACGATACACTGCCCTTCTCGTTACTCGGATGCATCTCGAGCTCTGGAAGTCGGATCGTGCACCGAGGTTCGCCCATCATGTTGATGATATAATACCCCTCAATCCATTGGGTCAAGCCTCTAGAAGTCGCGATAACGATTCACGCGGAAATGTTTTGGATATTAGACCTGGTCTCCACTGGGTTTCAGAAACTCACACAACTATGTAGCTGTGTACTGTAGAGACATGTAGTTGCACGATCAGTATGGGTCAGTCACACTAGACATCACGTGGACGTATCAGTTATATGCGTCAGTGGCGTCACGACCCTATCATGAGATTCGAGGTCCGATTCACGACTCACTCAGTGACTGCGAATATTGAGACTGCTGACGACTTCAAGTCCAACGAGATGAGTTCTCCCAGCACATCTCCATCCGCACAAGAAATCTGGAAGTGGACATTCACCAAGGAAGCGAACGCTCCATGCTTCATTAGAGACGCCCTCGCGATGAAGGAAAGCAATACCAGAGGTCTGCCTCATTTCATCAACAGCGACGCCTACCTGACCAAACCGTGAATCTAGATGCCGATTTTTACTGGCTGGGACACATCCCCTGTCGAACAGTGATCATTGTTGGCATAGTGGTTGGAATCCAGGACTACGAGAAACGGACGATGTACACTAGTGAGTGAACAGTTTTTGTAGCTAAGCTTTTGAGTGGTTACCAAGCTTGATTAATAGTCGACGATTCTACGGCTGTCATAGATTGCGTGCTTCGTCATCGCTTGCCACCAAAAGCTCCAACGAATGCTGATGCAAGTCGCTCGGTTCAGAAATCAAAATGGGAGGCGACATCACCTATTCCTCCTCCGCCACCACCCACTCCTGTTACTGCTATCGGCTACCCAGTACAAGTGATCGGAAAAGTTGTTCTGTTCTACGATACGAGGCAAATAGTAGCTGAATCTATCGGTAAGTGCTGCGCCACGTATCTTTTACTGCATGTTGAGCGTATCCACATGGCTGCTCTTCACGATCGCAACACGGGAATGGACTTGAAGAGCCGTGCCAGTCGACTAATGACCAATGGAAACACTGGAAAACCGTCGTGGAGCTTCACAAGTCGAGATATTCCGTGGCAAAACCGTTTGAGATACCAGCGCCTCTTGCTGTTTCTTCATGTGAGACTGGTTCGGATGGAAACTCGCATGAGAAACTACCAGCTGCGGCATCCAACATTGCATCTTCTTCCAAGAGACAAACTTGTGCGTTGGCATCGGGGGCGGGTATCCGTGTGCCCCGCACGCCCTTGAAGCGTCCATTACACGACCATGCCCCATCCTCACCAATTACGGATAGCACAACCTCCGCCCCATCCAGTCCAATCAAACATGGATCTACAGTGAGTGTTCTGCACTGTATACAATCATCACTCAACCCTTCATTTTTCAGGACCCACCAAAACTTCGTCACCCTTCCCGATTACATGCGCGAGACCTGACTGAGAACACATTTCGATTGTACCTCAAGCATTACATGGATCATGCTGCTGTGGCGCTCGATTGGGACGCAGATGACTGATTTGTTCTCGACGCCGACTAAGCGGCCGCGCATTCCATTGGATCAGACTCCCAAGGCACGAACGGTATCCACAACGCATGACATGACGCCACGCGCATCTGCTCTGAAAGATAGTGCTCCCCGTCGTCCTGCTTTCACGCTCTCGCACCTACGCCGCGTTCCAGAACTCGCACTTCTGGCTTGCCGGGTGGTTTATACTGAGACAAAGCGGCGTGCCCGAGCAGAGAGGGATGCAGAGAGAGAGAAGGCTGTGCAGACACATAAGACCTCCTCGAACATACCATGTGCCCTCGTCGAAAGCCCTTGCGCATTCACAAATGAGGACCAAGCCAACAGATATGCCGCGCGTGAAGATGAAGCGCCTGTTTTCATGGGCGGTATTAAAGCTATATGAAGAGGGTAGCATCGTGCTCTGGGACAAACCACTGATGCCCGTCCCTGTCTCCGGCTTGCGTCCTCCTGGGTCTGGCGACACAAGCGGGCTGTGGAAGACTCCAAACGACACTGCTAGTTGCTCAAGTGTGAATAACTCTGTGTTTTCAACCGCCAATAGCACGATGTTTTCCTCTACTGGTGCTTCTTCATCCAAGTTCGTCATGTCTGAAGAAGATGCCTATCTCTCAGATCCACCGATGTATGAGGAAGACGAGGCTTATGTTTCTGTGACGCCGACATTGCTTGCTGCACCTGTACGAGAGATCATGCGTGCGAAGGGGATACGAGGCAAGAGCGCCAAGGTTGGAGCGGAGGAGGTTACCAGGTGTTTGAGAAGAGAGGACGCACGCTGGGCCCGGATTGGGGCGTGGGCTGTGGAAGAGACTATGGACATGATTCTTGGGGAGTGAAAGTAAGTTCGTCGCATTGCGAGCCTATGTTTGTGGTCGAATGCGTCTGGGTTTGCACTGGAGTAGCATATGATATGGTATACAAGCTAGTAAATGTATGAATTACTGTCTATGCAAGTGAGCATCATTATGTTGAATGAAAGTTGCGCTGTAAAACGCAAGGTAACCAAAAAAGGTTGAGATGAACTTGAAGAGATGAAAAACAGATGGCGCCTCAAAAAGTACGTTGCTTTAAGCGAGGTCCCGTATTATTTCACCGGTTACTGAACGGTTCAACCGTTTCCTACCAAACTTGACTCGGACAACAATGAATCAGTACTAGTACTTCATCATACACGCATTACGTGAAAGGTCAAGGTGCCAGTTTTACTGAACTACCAACGTTGAGGCAATACTTAATTAATTTATGTACAAGTTCTGAATCTTTGAAACTCCCTCGCACAACACGTCAAGACTCGAGGTATACCTAATATTAATGCACGGTAGTGAGCACAGACAAACTCACAGTTCACTCGTACAAAACGATAGCCTGAAGAGACTGATAATAATGTTGGCTGCAGTGCCACATGAGGTGTAGGTGGGTTGGGAGGACATATGCTGATGGTGATCATGATGTACGGGTGCGATTAATATGGACATCCTGATGACAGCGACAGGCCAGTATAGGTATGTCCGAGAATGTAGCGGGAGTTCTGTGGATTAAGTGAAATGATTGAACCGGGGGAGATGATATTAATATTACAGGATATAAACCAATAAAGTTTATCGGTGACTGTACCGCTTAGAATGAAGGTAAACAGGATGTGGGTGGCGGGTGCGTAGACTGATGACCAGCCAGTTAACGCCTGAGGACCTGCAGCTGAGTCCTTGCACTTGTGACTCCCAGGGACAGTCAGCACGCAGTATGCAATGAGTGTGAGGAGGATAGAGCGTAATTGATGCTAAAAGCAAGCAGATGAGACAATGGCCGGGTCATAAGACTCACTCAAGCCAACACGATGACTGTGATCTCGAAAGGATTGTCAGCGTTGAATAGCAAGTTCTGATAGGCCTGGCATGGTTCAAATCACCTTCTGGAACGCACTTCGGCAGACATCAACCATAGTAGCAGAGAGCCGAGTGCTTGTAGATAAAAATTCAGGAATAGATGGCGGTAGCAAGTCAGGTGGGAGATCATCCGGAACTGAGCACGCCTGTGGAAGCATGATACCCCGCCTGAGTGAGGATGCACGAAGGACAGATGCGAGGATCTCTTGAAGTGAAAATTTACCAGGTAGCTCATAGCGCCTCGGCGCCCCTAAGAAAGGTGGCGGTGTGATTGACGGGTTTAAGCAGCATGTTGCATCCATGTGAGGATAGACAGCACTCATAGGATGTATTTTGATGCAGGAGCGGCTGAACGTTCCAATAAATGCTAGACACTCAGGGTTGGATCTAATCTGACTGTTAGTCACTGTTTGTGCCGCTGCACTTTGGGCCGTACTTTTTGTGGTTGGGTTTTGGGACCCTCTCACTGTGATCTGCTCTTTCATCAAGCCGATAATCAGATCGATCGTGCTAATCTACTCGAACTATACCATGGTACAAAGCATCTACCGTAACGCTGGAGCAGGGCCAGCGGCCTAAGCCCAGAGCAAGGCAGACAAGCTGAGATGATGATGCTACGAACATGGTGAAACCTAGTCTACGTACTGACTAAGCTGTGGAAAGGGCCGATAGGCCCTATGGTGCATCGCTCCTGTCCTTGGGACCCCTACGCTCAAGCGCCAGCAGTGAGTCGATACAAAATGTATATTTTACTGACTTGCCTGACCTCGTTATTAGTTATCTACCATCCTAGCGCAACGACCGCTCGTAATATCTGATTCAGCTATCGTAAGTGAACAAGTAGTGTAAGAAGGAAAATGAATCCACTCACCGAAGGTACCCTTGCGGCCGCTTCCGAACCGATGGGCGCGGCATCTCCGTGCAGAGACCACAGTTGATTCCTCCGCGGCAACGCCACTATCGCACTGGTAAGTACTTCGTATGACTACAAACGCTTCCCGCCGAGTAGGAATTTATTGGTCAATTGTGGCGAGTGCTGCTATTAACGATATATATGGCAAAACTTGAGTTTCACTTAACTTGCAGAATCCCCGTCTAGACATCCTGTAAAGCGGCGTTCTCAGTATGGGACATTGCAAGCTATCGCGATGCCCTCACCAGCCCTCACCGGTGCACCCATATATTATGTCCGCCAAAGATGCAAGGTACGAAGCCACTGATACGATAACCCCATAGTATATGTATGAGCGCGCATAAATGAAATAGCCACGGCAACAGGTAATATCATAGAGGTTCAGAAGGACGGTTAGGCTACTCCTCATAGCCATATCCGAGTCATCATGTCCACCATAGAAGCGCCCTGATCTTGATGCCCACAGTGCATACCTGTTTTGAGCTCCCTGATCACGATTAGGTCAACACTATCCAATGTCAAAATATCACCTTGAGGGACTTTTCCGGTATCAAGCCGCACATCCAATTGCATACTCGTCACTTGAAAAAAAAACAAGATCAGGCTAAAATAGACGTTTATACCACATATCTAACCTCCGTCACCTCGTGTTTCCCATTTCACAGGCCAACGAGGCACATGTACAAGCATCTCCATTCTTGTACATACTTTAATTTCCCTCGACATTGGGCGCAGGACCGAGGGACGCCCTTGTCAATTAATGGGTGGCTATCCGTAGGCTCGGAATAAAATAAAAAGACCAGTTAAGGAAGTAGATGCCACTTGAGTCGAATTTGCAAAACAATAATTATCTTGACACCCTTATAAACTCTAAATCTACAAGTAGGGCCTTCCAGGCGATTAGAATTGACAATTTGTAGCAGCGCGAAGGAGCCAAACACCACAATCTCGTCATATTCAGCCGCATTTCTGGCTCCCTTACTGCACTGACAAGCGCTAGTGGTGTCAAAGAAGACGTCAAAAATGTCATGTCTTCAACGCTGATAAGGAGTACGTCTACTGGCGCAAAGGGGGTCCCTGAGAAGGACTGAATTGGTCAAGGAATTCCAGGGGCATCAATCAGATGACCGACCTCGCCCTGGTAGTATCGATGGAGTTTGTGGCGAGGATATAAATCATTTCGCTGATACAGAGCGGTGAATTTGACTGATTAGGGCGACTGAGAGAGGGCGCTGTGGAACACAAAGTTCATTTGCTGAAAGTGAATCGAAATGTAATCGCACTACTAAGCAATTTAAAAATTGTCCTGTCAGAATGCTTCATCGCGTCTTTGTTTCACTTAAATGCGCACTATTGTAGGATCATTGGATTACGCACAATGCTTAAATGGGCTTACAAGGTGTCGTGCACCCAGTTCGCCGTTCCTCACAATGGAAAGATCACTATAAAATGGCGACATCGATCAGAAGAGGAACGGGAATAGTTAGTACAGGCTTCGAGTGTGCTGATATTCATATCCGTCTGTAATGCTCATAATGATGGACCTACATCAGATGATCATCATGGTAACAAGCGCGCAATGTCCACGGAAGCTAGCAAAGGGTGAATGTCGAGAACCCACTGGAGGACTCCGATATAATTACAGGCGTACAGTACATGCCAACATTATTATGCGCTACTATTCTACATAATCTAGTGGAGATGTAAGCAGGAGGTCACCTTCATTGGGTAGATTACTCACATAATTGTGGATGTCCTTCGGGAAGCTTGACGAGGACTGTGCCATCATCTCACTGTATGTCGTCTCATGCGAGTCATGAAAATTGGTCATGAAGTCATCTAGGCAAAAGTTATCGAGGCTGCCATCCAATATGAAAGATTCGTCCAGCCTGCTTTGCGTGTTGTATTCGTGTGACTGAAGTCTTCCTTGTTCTGAGAAGTTTGGGGACATTGGGTAATTTTGGAAAGAGAGTGGACGTATGGGGTTAAGTAAATCAGGAGAAGCGTGAGTAGTGTTTGCGGGAAGCCGTGTATTGGCTTGATATGTGAAGTGTGGTGACATGGAAGATATCGGTGCGACAGAATATCGGAAGTGGTATGTAGCAGAGAAGATAGGAACTGGGCGCGGGCGACCTGAGGACCTTGCAGGAATTCCTGGGTCCAGAGTACGGTACACATCCTGAATGATGGTGTATACGGTAGGATCTTGAACGACAGATCAATTAAACGCCTTGTTGCACATCAAGATCAAAAAAATACGGACCTGGAGATTTGCACAGGGTCTCCCAGTACTTGGGAACTAGAGCTGTGCTATACAGCAATGGTCCATCACCAGAAGAACCGGTAAAATATGGTCCGACACATTCAAGTTTCGTGTCCTCGTTGTGTATGGGTGCACCATCCAATAACACTATATAGGATGACTTGCCAATGACGGCAGAGGGCGAAACAAAGGTTACGGTAGAATCAATGTCTCTTATGGGACGTGGTGTGTCCGAGGAGGTGTGTGCAGTGACACCTTGAAGATATGGAGAAGAAAATGGTGCACGCGAGCGTGACGAGGATGAGCTCGAGAATGAGCTAGACTCTGGCAAAATGTCAATGTATACTGGGGTACGCGTGTCAGGAAGGTGGTTTCGTTTAGACGATGACATGTCACGGTATTGTCCAGTAGATATGGGCGAGCCGGTGGATGAGCAGGTGGATGAGCTGTCGTTGCTCGACGTCGAAGAGTTGGAATATAAAGATGGAGGAGAAGGGAAATGATTGGATTCACCCTCGAAACCATGGCTATGAAGAAAAAACCTCCGTGACGAGTCGACTTCACTCCGACATTGCAAAGAATCGATCACTTCCAAAAATGGTAAACTAGTGACGCCGCGCACAGGACGACGGTTACTTACATTCCCGACCCTCTAATGTGTCCTTGAACTGTTGTAGGCGACTGCCTATTTGTTTTGATGATCTATGCTTTCCAGTCTTGCGGTAAATGTAATCCGAGATGAACTGATTGCGCTGAGGGAATCGGCTTAATATATGTGCTTCCCGGGAGTGAACGGGTCCATATTCTTGAAGGCCTGAGGGCTCGGAGTCACGTGAGCTAATTAGAATGTGATCAATGAATATGATCCGCACCTTTCAGCATGATGGCCTCGAGATGAGGTGGCCATACAGGTTCGGTATTACCCTTCAAAGTTTTCCAGCCTTTTCTGATCTTCATGATCGTCCGAAAAATGTCTTCTGTACTTTGACTCGGTGACACTGGCCATGGAGAATCGGGACTACCGTGACGGAGGCTTGTCTTGCCGCCAGTTGATGACATTGTGGAGCGTTCAAAACGCACTTGGTGAGCGTGGAGTGTGACGGAGTGTGGGCGGTCGAATAATAGGTGCAGGGGAATGCAACACGAGAGTAATCTGATTACGGATCAGAGCAGGTGAAGCATAGTACCACTTGGAGGCTGGCTAATATAACTTAAAGGCGTCCCACTGGGGGTGTGGGGTGTAGTAACGGCAAACATGGCAGCAAGTTTCCCGGATGGCGGAATAGTTGTACCCTTAACAAAAAATAGCTTCGGTCTAACAGGCGGAGAGGACGATAATCGCCGTTGATCAAGCTAATTGCACACAAGGTTCTGAAATTTGCAGGGACATAGCTGCCCGAAAAGGGGGTGGTGCCGCACAAATAAGTACTCCAAGTACTTTGGCAACCCATTAATTGGAGCATTCGAGAACGGAATCATGCTAAAAAACATGCGCCATAATTACATTTCGATGGTAAACCTTTGCAAGAAGCGTTGATGAGGGCAACATTCCAGCGATGTGGCGTATTGTCACTCGCGCTGATTTCATAAAGGAGATTAGTTCCAGTGTCCGTTATAGATCTCCGGCGATGTGATCGTCCCGAACGCGGGGAATTCCTTTCATGTCCTGGGTTTGGCGTTGGATCCGATATCTTCTCGTAATCACATAAGCAAAGACCATTTGCCACGTCCAGTCGCACCTGTGCCAATCTCAGTTTGGACACCACGTATAACGTTGGACCAGGGTTTTGTCAATTGTCTTCTAAATCAGTGGCTACAATTGTCGTACAAGAACAAACGGCAAGAATATCTCAAACGAGCTTGCGAGTACCATGTCCATAATGACACCGGAGGAAATTGACTACTACCCTTCAGACTCGATGTGGCGTTCTGGGCGTAGCTTAGCCTCATGCTTCGCCGTCACTGCATGTCTTTGTTCTATGTGCGCCGATCATGGGTCGGTCTTGCGCCAGAATTGCTGCGGTTTCTCTCATATTTCTGGCTGTTGAGTACCCACTGCTGCATTTCTTGCCACGACTCAGCGTCACTTCGAGTCTGAATGAAATTCGACCCTGACGTATGAAGAGTAAAAGACCCACGTAATAAATGCTCCTGACTCATTTATTCCGGCGACTTCGCAAAGTTTGATATCGACCTGAGCATGGAAGCCTGACACGAGTATTTAGCACTGAATTCGGCATCGGAACCTGTAGGGTACCATTCGCCTCAGGCCCTCGGCCACGTTTAGGGTCAGATTCTTAGAAGAGCTGCTCAGCTGAGGCTTCGATGGCAGAAGCTTTGGTGGTCCGAGAAGACTTTCATGAACAACCTGGTCAGTAGCTCAAAAAGGACGCACGACAACCATTATTCGTTTCAAATTCTGCATTATGCTCAATAAACCCCAAATCTTGCCAGGGCACCAGCTTCGTGGGGTTTAACCGAGATAACTTAGCGATAGTTTTTAATGGTGATACATGACATGAACCTGCCGCCGGCAGGGACCTCCCAGTTTGCGATTAAGGAATAATTCAAAAAAAGGGTTCATCTTCAAATCCCACTGCTGCGCTGTGGTGTGTTCCACTATACGTACTTTTGGCACAAGCTAGCCCAGAGACTGTATTACGACCTTTAATACATGTTGGAGTCAGGTGGAAATCGGTCATAAGATGGAGACCGAAGACACGATAGTAGTTCCAGCTCCAAGACCTCCAATCTGGTAGACTTCGTCAACCCCATCGGACTGTGGGTCAGCCACTCCAAACGTTACGCCAGCAGTGTGGGAATCAGTAGGTATCCATCTGTATTGGAGAACCAACTGAGACCACACGGGAGATTGAACGAGGCTGGACGAGGCGATCAGTCGTGGATGAGTTTCCGGTCTGCAAGGGGCAACGACAAAGCGTCCTTACTCCTAGTAGCTAGCTTGAATTCATAAAACCTTTCACCGCATCGTTCTATTGCGAAGTGTCCAAGAAGAGATCGTGACTCTCCATAGCTTGCAGTGTTCTCAACATTTGTGAGGAATCACAATCATCACTTGGTGAATTCGCTTGCGATGGTCACACCGAATGCAATCTGACTAGGTAAACTATGTAAATTGAGAACGTCGTCACTCAGTGGGTAATATGCATACCTGGTATCCATAACGTCCCATGTTTTACACGCCTGCAGCCTTGACCCAGTACGGCTATCAAATGCGAAGTAGGGATCCGGGTCTTGAGTATAATTCGGTCAGAACCTTGTAAGAAATTCACTCAGGTTGCCATCCCTAGGTATCCATCATAAATTGCTATAAATTTGAATAAGAGGCGCACGCCCTTCTCCGTTACCGGTGATATTGCGGATCATGGCACGCTCAAGGAGATAACTTAACCGACAACTTGGCTATTAGCGTAGATCAGGACGTACAATGTTATCAAACAGTTCCATCGGAAGGTGGAAGAGACCAAGGGTTGGACCTCGTTGACAAATGCCAGACACAGGGACGACACTCGGGCTGGGATATGAACTCGGTAATCAATCGAACGCACGCTGAGCATTGACGAGTCCCATGACTCTATTCAAACAGTTAACCGAATCAATTTTGCTCAAGTGATTGTAATAATGCTGATCTTGAGTTTGCACGGACACGAATAACACCCTGTCACGTACCGTTCTGAGATCCAGGGGTGATATGGAGGTCGAGGTTTATTCTAATCCTGGACGTCCGTGCCCATTGAACAACACGCATGACATAGCTAACGTCACATTAGCAACATATGGAAAAAATGATCATGCAATGATTCAGAGGCACCTAGCAGTGCTCACGGCTAGCAGACATTCCCGAGGAAACTTCCAAGAAAGGGACAGGTAAACGGACCCCATCGAGTCCAGGTCGGAGCTCCAGCAATTCCTTACAAGTGTAGTTCGGGCACCGTCAACATTTAAAAAAGTATAAGTCGCTTACAATAAAGGCACTGTAATGGGTCTCTAGCCGCTCGAGCTCGCCGCCATATATTGCCATGTTCGTTGGGTTCAGAACTTCTACTCGTCAACTGCGTCGGATACTTCCGGGAAAAGGCGGGTGTTCCAGGACAAGAAGTTCGCCGATATTGACACCGTAGCATCTGGATGACACTGACCCGTAAGTCCTGTCAACTCCCCGAGTCCAAGTGGTGTAAAGTGAAGGAGTCCATGAATTGGGATAAGCATCATTGTTGAAAGTGTCAATTGAATTGGCCACCCCTGAAAAGAACCAAGATCGAAACGTTTAGCCAAGAAATAGTGCACAAGAACATGATAACGCCACCTCGGTCCCCGAGGCTACATGTAGCATTTACTATAGGCTAGAATGTGAGCTCCATGAATAGAAGCTTAAAGAAACCCTACCACCGATTGAGTAAAGTGCAGTTTTAGTTCGTCGTGAGCGCATGAACGTTCGAACGCAGAACTAAAACGAAAGCTGACTAAGCGAGTGACCTAACACAGTCAACGTGTGTTCTTCGACTTTCCCTTCATTGCCGGCCACTCGCGCATTGCTGCTCATACCTCTCGCGTTCACGTCAAGTTATGAGGCTCGTGTCAGGTATTTTTGGAATGCTTTTGAGTTGCCCAAACCACAGGCCTCACTCGAGGTTAATCTCGTGCAAGTTGCGTGCGCCATCGCGCAGATTAAACCTTTCCCCCCAACGTTTTGTTTGATTGTGTCTTTGACTGCAGTCATTTAGGAAGCCAGTTAGCTGGGGTCACCATCAAATGAAAGACGGATGATTGAACTTACAAATGGGTTCAAGTCGATGTCCTGCCATCACCCATTAGCCACGGATCTAAGACTGTTGGACCTTGAAGAGAAAAGAGAACATGCCCGCAGTGTCGACTCCCACGCCGGTTGCGTCGTACTCGGGACGTTCTCATCATGTTGTAAATTTCTCCATCTCCAGCTAAACAGACAGAAGTTCTAAAATCTGCATACCCAGACCTTTGCCCAGTGGGCTGCTGCCCCAGAGTCCCAGACTCCAAACCAGTCGGTGGGTACAGGTGGGTACTGTGCAAATATGAACATACCTGGTGCTAGTAGAGCCCAACAAAAAGTCGCGGAGAAATTCAAATAGTATGCGCTTGCATTTGGTGTGTAGTTGTCTGCTAAGCAACACTCTAGTACGAAGTAACTTGATGTGACATTAACCCACCTGCCAGCCGGTTTGGAGCCTCGCTTTCGCCAAGTCTTGTCTTGGGCATAAATTTAGGCAGGGCCACGCTGCGAGTAATACACTCTCCGCTGGCACTTCATTGCACTATTCCTCTATCACTATACCCGTGTTCCTTCTATTTGGTCTTGCCTAGGGGAAACTACATCCCTTCGCCATGGCTGCCAGTAGCACGAGTTTCAGCTTCAGACAGACCAATACCAACCGTTAGACAGCCGCAGCGATGATCATAATGTTTATATCGCATGAATTCAGGAGATATTTCGAAGGCGCAGTTTAATTAGCGCAACCAACCGGCAGTATCCGGTGCGTTTTCACAACTTTTTTCATTACTTCGATCAATCAAAATAGCAACACCCGATAATACGAGTCGACGCCGAACTGCTGTGCAATTCAGGCACTCACATAGGACGTTGAGCATACAAAGGGCAACGTTTCATCTGAATGTGGTCGTTCGCCAGCTTTTTTGAGATCACTCGGTTTGGACGTAGCAATAAGAGGGTCGACTGATTGCTATTCTTTATTGTATTCCAGTGTTCGACCGTGTGGCTCTTGTTTCCGTGGTTGAAGTTTCCGGTACTGCGGAGGACCGGCTGCGAACTGTTGCTGTGCCACGATATAAGCAAAAAAAATCCTCCTTGTTCCCCTGGCCTTTGTTCTCACAGGTACACTTTACGTTTTCAAATTGCACATTGAAAAATTCAGCCGAGTTATCCCACTAATGAAGACGAATCAGAAGCGGCTGGCAAAGGTTTTACTCAAGAACACATTGGTGGACCGAGTAACAGCAGGGCCTTGCCGTGATTTGTTGTATATTCGGAGACGTGTGGTTCTGAGCTTCGCATGACGCCACATCTTGGTATCCAAAACACTTTTACGACAAGCAGTTCGGTTGCACAGGTAAGCTTTGATGAGTCTGCCAGTGGTCAGTGAACACCGTGCTTCTGAGCGGGGTAACTGCGCCCCGGATCACGTTGACAGTTAGTCTGGAAACATGACCAGTAACAATGCATTAACACACGTGATGAACTCCTGGAAAGGGGTGTCAGGTTCTTATGGAGCAACGCTCTTTCTGGGTAAAAAAATTGGGCAATGCGGCGGAAATCGCAAAATAATCATCAGGCGTTTGCAGAATCCCGGAGCTTCTCTCGCTTCAAGGATCTGATCATTCAATTTTTGCATTACATGTTGATTCATCAACAAGCTTCACTACGCCTGCGCATTACAAAACAATCCGCGGATGACGAGTGGAGGACTGCAGTGCTCAGTCTCATGACATTTACCGCTGATTTGGACGTACATAGACCCTTATTTTTAGATTTCGCATATCTGAAGGGCAGGCGTTCCCTAGCCCAGTTTTTCAGAGTCGAAGTACTTACCTCGCTCTGCTAAATACTAACTGGCTGCCATGCTGCCCAGAACAGTCTAGATCTCACCGTGATCATCATTTTGCACGTGCCTGTTGTTAGCTGCTCTGGCATTGCCATTAGCGTCAGCAAGGCTCCTTCGAATTCCCAATGCCTGAAAACAGTGAGTAAATGTGGTGGAACTCTGTTGGAAGGAGCGTGGTGTGAATATGCAAGTGACGCGGAATTTGGAAGGTGTGACACTGCTGTAACATGTGCGCTGTGGAGATTGTGCTTTGAGGAATGGAGGTTTGTCGCATCCCGAGCGATGGCCATGGTAAGTTGCATCTAGGGTTGCAGCGAGGTGGTCTATGATACAGGTATCTCTAGCGGTATGCTATATAAGTTAATAAATGGTATGAATTACTCTAGGCCTTGGACAGGGGAGGCGGCATGCCCTCGCTGAGGAGCACGGGAGTCGATTTAGTGGGTTCTGGGTCACCCATCATTTGTTGGACGGCTTTGCTCTTGAGCAGGTGGGCATATTTAGGTTGAACGAAAGTTGCGCTGTATAATGTAGGATAGGTAAAGAGAGTTAAGTTCGAAAGACCAGAGACTGACTGCGCTTCGACGAGTACGTTGCCTTTGAGGTCCTCTACTTTCCCGGTAACCTTGGATTTGCGACCTGCCTTGTCAACTAAACTGATTCGGACGACAATGAACTAATGTCCGGTCAAGCACGTAAGTATGCGGAAGGAAGAGGTACTTGCCTGATCTGCAAAGGTCGGGGCGCGATAATTTATGGACAAGTTGGCAGTCACGCCAATCTTTTCTGGTAAATTGGTAATTGCCTTTTACGATACATCAAGATACGCCCAATGCTTGGCACAAACAACTCACGGTTCGCGCAAGACTCTCATCCAAAATAGTAGCCAGCAGCCCACCGTGAATAATCCCATCATGGCCACACACGCCCCGACCTACATGCACGATGACGATGGCCTCACTTTCGTCCTTCCTAGCCCGTACAAGGGGTGGAAGCGCTAGTTTTCCGGGGCCACGAAGTGCGCCTGCAGTGAGGCTGTTTACGCGGAGCTGCTCTGGGTACTTAACATAAGGGCGGGTCTCGTACCACTCGTGGGCGTCGAGCTGAGCGCGGTGGGACGTGAGGAGTGGGAGGGTCTGTAGGGTCTGTTCGAGAGTTGCGGTGTATACGATTGATTCTGGGGAATCGGGATCGGGGGGTGCTGGGGCTGGCCGAGGGGAGATGAAGGTAATGTAAGGATGCGGGTAGACGGCGCCAAGGGCGTAGCCAGTGACGGCGACGGAACCGCCGAGGACCAGTGTTCGGAGGTGACGGTATGGTGAACGGGCAGCGGACGGGGGTCCGGTCGAAAAACCTCGTGCATTTGTGAGGATGCGTCTCAAAATATTAGAAGACATATTTTATATGCGGTCCCGTTACTGACGACTGCTTGAGTCAGTCGATGCCGGGCGGTGCCGAAGCGGAGTGTGAACATTCAAATGCCCAACTTTGACAGAAACCGACTATCGACAACTTTAACTTCAAGACCTACTCCTCAAGACCATCAAAAATGGTGAGTTACCAGCGAGCGTCGTTCTCTGCGCGCATCGGAGCACCCTAGCACTGTTCAATCCATGCTCTCTATCTCTCAACGCAATGGATGGCAAGTCCTTCATCCAGATAACATCATAGGATATCATTCTGATATTCATATAGAATCGGTTCAGCACAAATCTTGATCCTTGTTATCAAGTTAAGTGGAGTCGTCACGTACGATGATGATACTTTATATTGCTGGGCTTGTTGGATGCACAGTCGTCCACGAGCGCTAGAGCTCCGAGACATGCAGCTTACGTCGCTGGCACTTTTGTGCTCTGCTTCGCACGCTAATCCATTCTCGTCTCAATGACCAGCCCCCCAAAGCCAAGGCCGGTTCCCGCAAGAAGCCAGCACCCGCACCAGGTGCTGCCGGCAAATCCGCAAAAATAACAAAAAACCCTCTCTTCGAGGCCAAGCCTAATAACTTTGGCATTGGTTCGCTTCATCTCTGCTTGGCGGAATCATCAACTGATAGATTTTATTAGGTCAACACATTCGTCCTAAAACCGATCTCACTCGCTTCGTCAAGTGGCCTGAGTACATCCGCCTTCAACGCCAGAAAGTCATCCTTTCTCAGCGCTTGAAGGTGCCTCCCGCTATTGCCCAGTTCTCCCACACTCTGGACAAGAACACGGCTACACAGCTTTTCAAGCTCCTCAACAAGTACCGCCCAGAAAGCAAGGTCGAGAAGAAGGAGCGTCTTGAGGCTCTAGCAAAAGCTGCCACGGAGGGAAAGGAGCCTGCCAAGGTTTGTATTCGACGCATCGTAAACGCAGGTCGTTAATCTAGGTGATCTACAGGACAAGAAGCCTCTTTTCGTCAAGTACGGTCTGAACCACTGTGTCGCCCTCATCGAGGCAAAGAAGGCATCCCTCGTCATCATTGCCCATGACGTCGACCCCATTGAATTGGTCGTCTTCCTTCCCGCTCTTTGTCGCAAGATGGGTGTCCCCTATGTCATAGTCAAGGGCAAAGCCCGTCTCGGTACCGTCGTCCACAAGAAGACTGCTGCCGTCCTTACTCTCCAAGATGTCAACAGCGAGGATCAGCGCGAGCTTGCAACCCTCGTCAGTGCCGCCAAGGCCAACTTGTGAGTTTTCGCTTTTCATATCGTACCTACGTTCCAATGTTAATGGAAATTTATAGTACTGACAAGTACGAGGAACAACGCCGTCACTGGGGTGGTGGTCTCCGTGGAAACAAGTCCACTCAAATGATGCGCAAGCGCGCAAAGGCTGCTGGTCTGGACTCCAAGGCTGCTGCTCTTGGCAAGCTGTAAGCTTTGTGCTAGTTCATGATCATATTATGGGTCTTGGTCCTTGTCGTTCATCGTCGTCACTTTATATGACATGCCTATTATATGAGTATGGTATGCATTGTACGCATGGGTTATCCCAAGTTATTACTGTGTGGAGACCAGGGCATATCACGCTAGATCGTATACTCTGATGCATGTGCGCCATCAGCTATAACATGATAGCTCCATGTTTGATTCTAGTCGTTTGAGAGTCTGCTTCGATATCTCCGAAACCCATACAGGAATCCAGATGGCTGTTGCATCGATGCATGATGGAGCGCCCGAGCGCTGAAAGTTGAGCAATGGTCGTGACTGCGTCCAAAGAGCTGCCAGTACTAGTAGGGGTGAATTATGCATAGGGACAGGGAATGAGTGTGAGAAGTACGCAGTCTAGACAACTCCTGATCAGTGTAAAGGAAATTCAGTCCTTAGTCCCCATCTGCTCCACTGAAAGCCATGTAACGATCCTGTTATGAATCCATATCTGGAACCTCCTCGACTCGTGCTGAGCGACTCCCTGGACGCGATTGCTCTGGGGACTCGTCGCCAACTTCCTCAATAAAAGCCCCACCATTATTAGCAAGCTGCTCTTCAGGACTCGCACCAGCGGGAGCCTTTGCCTTCTTCTTCTTCCCAGCTTTCTTCTTTGGAACATCCCACTCCCAAAGCGGAACAAACGACTCGATCTACACCAAACACCTAAGAACCAAAAATACAAAACACGAAAACATCAGGACTCACAACACCAACGTCTGCGAATAATTGAGGGAAGATCCAGATTCCAGGGCTTGCTAGGACTACGGTGATTATGTAGAATATCAACCGTATGATCGCGAGCCCAAAGAATGCGCCGAGCAAACCCAACATGGCAATGCTCAGGTACCACACACCCAAACGCATCACTGGGGGCCACAATGGGAACATCACGGCGGCAAGCATAAGTGCGACCATTAAGAGTCCGCCAGCATACGTAGTCCATTGAGAACCTTCATAGAGCCACACAAAGTACGCGTCTTGGGCAAATTGTTGTTGCGGAACGACAGTGACGTGGCGCGGGGATATAGATGAGCCTGTGGGTGCGCCGCGATCTACACGGAGGTAGAAAGCATACTGTATGGATGATTGGAGAAGGACCTCGGCTTCGGTTTCCGTGGTGATTTTGGGTACGTTTTTTACTTTTGCATAGGCGGGCGAGAGGAGGGCTTTCACTGCAGATTTGCCTGGTAGTAGCGGGGTGATGGTCATAGTTAGAGCAGCGGTGCAAAAAAAATCCGAGGCAATAAGATACCTTTGAAGTAATCGACGCGTTTCCCATTCAACGCACCAACACGTATTTTCATGCCAGATTTACTGCTACGAAGGAATTGGACGACATTGCGGGTTTCTGGAGGCGCTTTAGCCTGCGTGTCATCCTTCGAAGCCATTTGCGACGGATGACAGCTAAAAATTCAGTCTGGTGGTAACTTTGATACCTGGGATTGAGGTAGGCGTAGGTGACCGTAGTATGCGAATAGATGAGCGAGTCTAACAAAGGACAGGTGTGCTTATGTCAGCAACAAAGTCAGCCGAAATTTTGAGTTGACGAGACTCAGCATCAACTCAGCCGTGATATTCTTTTTTACTAAGACCTTCGCTGTAGTAGTAAATTCTTCTTGGCTTATCCCTGCATTTCCTTTCAACTCGACGAATTGAAAAATACAGCACGTCGACATCCCCGCAGCGGTTCAATCTCCCGGCGTTATTACATCGACCGGTGCAGCATGATTAATTTAGGTACTAGTCACTTACAGTGCAGTGTGTTATGGTGACGCTGGTTGCCGCAGGGTTGCATAACCCAACTTTACCATAGCATCATCACCTGTGGGAGCTCCTTGGCCCACGATGTCGTATTTTCCTCTGTAACTGCGCTCTCATGAATACTCCTTATCTTGGACTCGGAAGCTCAGCCTCAATTTTGTCTGGGACATGGTCCATATCGCAATTTTACGACTTGCAAAGTGGCAGGACCGGATTCAAAAGGTATAATATAGTGTAATCGGCGGCCGCGTTGCTCATCTTTCACCAGAAGTGAGTCCCTTCTAAATACCCCCACTTTGTACAGTAATTTTGATAAGGTTCAATGGTTGCTGCGTTGCATTCAAGAATATCGTCGAATTGCGAGTCACCAGGTAGTCTTGGGCTAGTGTCTGATAACGGAAATTGATCGCACATAGCCTCGCCACTGGCATACTAATTTCATTGATAGCGGCACAAACGGCATGATGATTGCCGTTTGTGATCATTCTAGCAGTGTTACACTTTCATCGAACGACCCCTCAGATATTCCCAGTCATTACAAAATCGAAACAGATACTTGCAGAAGTGTATCTTCTTCTCAGGCCTACAAGAATGAAGGTGTTCTTCACAAGGTTAATTCTCAGATCTAATAGATGCTTATGATTAGAAAATCAGATCTTCGCCTGGCCAGCACAGATAACGAGACTTGTGCACATCTTAAGCTATTGCCATGGTTTCTACCAGTAGCAAGAGGATCACAGCCTGGTCACAGAGAGAATAGGCGTCTGAAGCGCCGTGCGTCTCATGCCTCAACGCTGCCTCTACCTTGACCATCCGCTTTGGGAACACTCGACCATCAGATGGTAGTCTGGTGAAGTGCGATATCGACCACCTCAACTTAGCCAGTGCACCTGAATTTTTTGATGTGATGAACCGTTCCTGCTCCCTCTGCCAAAGACATTGAAGCAGTGACGTGAGACTACGTCGATGACCTCCACAATGTCTCGTCCAAGATGTATTAGATTATTCAGGTAGAGCAAATAATTTATCCACTCAAATTCAATGGACGTTCTAAAGTTTTCTAGTGCATGTTCTAACTAAGACTGGCTCATTTGCATAATAGAATTGACGAAATGTTGGCGCTACAGTCCACTGGTTGTGTTCGCTACAGGACGACAGCTCTTGCCAAGACTGTACACGAACATCAAACCTGCTGGCGTTTGTCGGACGAGTCGGGGACTGCCGCGCTGAGCGCCGTTGCGATGTTGTAAGATACTCCGTCAGGGTACCTTCATCAAGTGGCTTACCACTCCCTGATGACCCACAGTTCTACAGTTTTCCGCCTGAGTGACCTAAGCGTACTTGCATAATCATCACCGGTTATAGCTTCGTCACCGGGCAATAAATGTCCAACTGTTCTCGCTCAAGGGTATTACCTCAAGACACCTGATCGGATCATCTATGAATTCTATTTTACAACCTAGTCTAGGCTCTATCAATGGCGAGGGAGTAAAAAAAATGCTCACAATCTGGTCACAGACCAGTACAACAACGGGTAACGTTCACCGCCTCCTACACCTTCGGATATCTCCCTGAACTGTGCATCCACCTTGACCGTCCCCTTCTCAAATACTTCGCCATCCCACATGGCAGTCCAACTCTCGGCGCTGTGGGCGAACATGTCAACCTCGACGCCCCTATATACTTGATTCACGACACCCTTCTCTTGAGCACCTGTGTGCACTCCGAGAATGATGGAGCCTGGCTGAGCGGAGAGTAAACCAGCGAGAGCGCGGGCCATGTGCAACTGCTTATCTTCTTTGAACAGGTGGAAGAATGCAGTTGCGTGAATTGCGGAAACACATCCGCGCAACGGATTCAACGAAGTAAGGTTGCTGAGGTTGGGAGCTGGAACTCCTACTGTCTGCATGGATGCAGGCGGAGCCACAGCGAGGATTTCTGGGTTGAAAGCGTCCCCGCCTACGAAGTGAGCTGGAAAGGTCTCTGGAGTCGACTTGAAGAGTTCATGCCCCAAATTCCAGAGTTCTGAGATGCTTCGTTAGTCATGTACGAGGTTATATGCTATGCCTACCTTGATGAAGATCAGTTCCAATCGCCCGAGCTGCAGGGAAACCATCAAGAATCACTTCCCTGATGTCATTGCCAACTATACAACGTCCATCGGCATCCTATGGAGATGATGGAGGAGGACATACAGCAACAGCCGACGTCAAGGAAAATTGGGTTCTTCCATTCACGTCCGATGTGCACAACTTGCTGATAAGCAGGTAGCCCCGATAGCTTGCGTCTAAAGAGCTCGATGTTTGTATATTAACTCAGCACAAACATACAAACAAAATACCTGGTGAAAAAGAAAAAATAGATGCATGCGTAAGGGGCAACCTAAGCCGTGAATAAGTAAGTTTCACTACGGCAGAACGATGTGTTCAAGGGTCTAGATACATTGTATGCTTTTTCTTGAACATCCAATATATGTTGCTTCAGAGCTTCATCGTCTTCAATTCCAGTTAGCTCCTTGTAAAATGTAGCGTCTTGGGGGCGCAAGTTATAAAGACTTTGGTCAAGAGGAGGGAAAGTGCGCTGAGCCTCGATCTTGGGAGGCTCTCTGTTCGTCATGTTGCGTTCCTTGTTGGCACCAGGATCCAAGAAGCTGGAGGGTTCTTTGGCGGCTTGACTGTACTTAAACCCCAGACAAGTTGAGCCGCTACGTAATATTAGTGCAAAACCAGGATGACTTTAAATTGCTGGGGTAATCAATATGATCACCGAACGTGCTAGTAGTCAATAACACTGCCCGAAGAACCAACAGTTAGTTAGCCTCCTACTCATAGGGGATCTTGAAGTTGCCCATATGGACGTCAACACCGGAAGAGCGTAGCGCCCGCAGCACCCGCGGCGCTCATACAAATCACCGCAGACTCGCGCATCAATCTTTAGTATTGCAGGTCCTTGGCAGCCTATCAGCAATCTACTTTAAGTTAGTAACGCATGAACTTACATATTCTACCCAGATTCTGGCCTAGCTCAACATGCGCTCTCGTGCAGTGCTAGTGGTGTCGGAAAGTCAAGTATCCAGTGTTCTTTCTCTGATTAAGATTCGAACACCTACCTCACCAACAGAAACTAAAATTGGCAGCTAGCGGCGATGGCGACCACTATGTTAACCATTGAGTTTCGGTTGGTGGACGCATACACGAACGATCCAGCACCGGTAGACAGCAGGTGCCAGAGGTCAGACCATCCTCTTGCCCAGTAACACTTCAAAAGGTCAATTTATCTGATATCGCCTGACTCGAAGGGCACCTGAGAATTCTGTATCGCAGTCTGATCACAGACCAGGGTAGGTTTCATCACTTCCCACACCAACGGGCATTGCCTCAACTCTGTCTTCACCTTGACAGTCCCCTTCTCCATCCCACATGGCAGCCCGGCTTTCGGCACTGTGGGCAAACACGTCAACCTCGAGGCCCCTGACCACTTGACACATGACACCCTGGTGACCCACAGTTCTCTACAGTTCTCCACCTGAGTGATCTAAACATGCTTGCATGATAATTACCGGTTATTAGTTTCGTCACCAGGTGACAAATGACAATCTGTTCTTGCTCAGAGATACTGCCTGGACGGATCATCCGAGAATTCTACCTCAGTCTGGTCACAGACCAGTACAACACCGGATAACGTCCATTGCCCACACCTTCTGATACCTCCCTGAGCTGTGCATCCACCTTGACCGTCCCCTTCTCAAATACTTCACCATCCCACATGGCAGTCCAGCTCTCGGCGCTGTGGGCGAACATTTCAATCTCGATGCCCCTATATGCTTGATTCACGACACCCTTCTTCTGAGCACCTGTGTGCGCTCCGAGAATGATGGAACCTGGCTCAGCAGAGAGTAAACCAGCGAGAGCGCGGGCCATGTGCAATTGCTTATCTTCTTTGAACAGGTGGAAGAATGAGGTTACGTGAATTACGGAAACACATCCGCGCAACGGATTCAACGAAGCGAGGTGATTGAGGTCTGGACTTGGAACTCCTACTGTCTGCATGGACGCAGGCGGTGCCACGGCGAGAACTTCTGGGTCGAAGGCGTCACCACCCACAAAATGAGCTGGAAAGGTATCTGGAGACGACCTGAAGAGTTCATGCCCCAGATTCCAGAGTTCTATCAGAAGAAAAAGTGTAAGCGCTTCGTCAATCATGCGTGGGGCTGTGTGCGAGCTCGCCTGGACGAAGATCGCATCCGATGGTCTGAGCTACAGGAAAACCATCAAGAACCGCTTCCCTAATGTCATTGCCAACTGTGACCGTGTCAGGTGAGCACCATGCGGAGACGGTCAAGTCTGAGCACATACAGCAACAGCCAATGTCAAGGAAAATTGGGTTCTTGTATTCGCGTCCGAGGCGCAAGACTTGCTGATAAGCGGGTAGCGCTGACAATCTATGTCTAGAGAGCTCAACGATTACGTATCAACTCAGCTCAAGTTTATACACAAACATGCCTAGTGAAAAGGAAAAGATAAATGCATCCATAAGGAGCAACCTAGCCGTGAACAAGTCAATTATGCTATGACACTAGACAGAACGATGTTCGTCGCTAAGTGGCTTCCTAGTACCTTGTATGCTTTCGCTTGAATATCCAATATATGCTGCTTCAGGGCGGCATCGTCTTCGATTCCAGTTAGCTTCTTGAAAAATGCAGCGTCTTGGGGACGCAAGTCATAAAGACTTTCGTCAAGAGGAGGGGCAGAGCAGTGGCCCTCCATCATGATATTTGTAGGCTCTTCGTCCATCTCGTGTTTGTTTGCGATACTGAGATAGATCCAAGGTTTATCGTGACGACCGTGACTGTATTTTATATTTAAACTCCAGGAAGGTTAGCCGCGCGCAGGGTCCGAGACTACTTGTCAGGTATGTGTTATATATGCACAGTGCAATCAGCCGGGGGCCGGGGACTATTAAGTTGACGCGGTAGTACTTATCAGTGACAGATCATGTAGGATCCGAGTCTTCTCTCTTTCTGGCCGAGCCTCTGCAAGGCGCACCGACAGAGATATGTTTTGCACTCGTCCGAAGTTTCCCGAATACCCACGTGACTTGCATTCACATACCCTCGCAGTGACTGTCGGTCTCTCTAGCTATGCAGTGTGACACCATCCAAGTCGAATATGATTATCATGAGTAATCACCACCTGTGTCTTCCCGTATTACTATGAAGCATAATTCAGTAGAAGATTTGAACCTGACCCGGAGTGTGATGTGCCGAGATTTGGTTGTCGCCACCTATGCTCCAGCGCGTGTAAAGTTTGGTGGTAATGTCTGCTAAGATCTGACAACGTCCACAAACATGTTCCTAACAGAAACATAGCATACATACCGCCTTTAACCCACCTTCTTCATTTTCTCAACCCTCCGTAATGCCTCCTGCGCTTCAACAACGCCCTCCCTAATGCCCGCCTTGCTACATTGCGCGGCGCTCTTCTCGAACAGCTTTTTTGCACCATCCAAGTCGGATGTCATCTGCAAGGATCACGAATGGGCATTCTTGATGACTCAATAAGAACTTACTTCTCTTAAGCTTCCCAGATTGAAGAGCATCACGCCGAGCGCCTGCTCACAAACTTCCCTTCCATCATCAGCGGGCTGCCCCCATCCGAACCATTGTAAGCTTCTTGGCTGCGCTTGTACTCGCTCAATATTTCCCAATGCTTGACGCGCCCACGCCTCAGCTTGCCCACGCACTTCTGGTGTGGAAGGACGACGCATTACCAATTCAGAAAGATTATTCATGAGTTGAGCGGCTTGTTGGTGGTCTGTGCATGAACGAATGTGGAACCAGCCGCAGTGTTATTGCTCACCTCGACATCGGTCTTCAGTGGATACGTTATTTGCTTTGGGTAGCAAGAGTAAGGAGATAGCCTGAAGGTACAGTGGCATCGCGTACCTGTCAGTAGAAGCGTTAGCTTTGAATGAAAGGCCGATTTAAACATGAGAAGGATATCCACATCCCTAACTGGATGAGCGCTACTCACTCAATTCTACCTTTCTTCGCATAAAGGGCACCAAGGGCTTCCAGTGGGGCGCCAAGATCTGTCTTTGACATCCATGACGGAAGTTCGAGATCTTCGAGTGCGCCAGACCCTGAATTTTCTTGCGCTTTTGTGTTCATATGTGAGTTGGGGTTCATCATCCCAAGTCCAGATAGCCTCATAACCTCCTCTACAGCCCATATAAGCCATTTCTCCTCCTCATCCACGTCCCGCTCACTTGCCAATTGGCCCAATTTATACGCAAGAGCTACGCGTCGAAGGCGTTCCTCGTTGCTCAAGGTGTAGCTTGACCATCCAGACGCTCCTCCTACTACAGCACTCGACGTCTTCTCGGCATCTGGTAAGGGAGAATGTTGTTCACTCGGACCAGCACCTAGCTCCCAAACAATCTGCAGGGCCTCTCGGGAGCGACGGTCTGAAGCGACTTCGGAAAGGAGAGAGGCTACACCTGATAGCTTTAGATACGGATCTGGCGCGAATGTCTGATAAGGAAGAGATAGTGCTGTTTGGAATGCGCTAAAACCAAGAGTCAGAACTCCGTGAACACAAGGAATGCAGCAATACAGACCGGGTGATGTATCTCTCGCTCAGAGACAAATCTCCTTGGTTCCTCGCTTTTATTCCTGCGCGGAGGTCTCCGCGAACCTGCTCTGGCCAGAGGGTAAAGGATGTGTAGAATTCGTATCTTTAGAGAGCAACTTGAAGATTATCACAGTTAAACGAAAAGGTCGAGGACAGGACTCACAACCCAAGACCAGTCGCTCCGATCCCAAGCGCTAGTAACGCTGCGAAAAGTTTGGAAACGCGTACCCCATCGATTGTACTTTGTGGAGGTGCAGTTGAAGAGAAACCTCTACATACCGCTGGACGGGTAACAACTTGGCACCACGCTGGTCGAGAGTTGAGACGTCGAACTAGTCTACGTTGACTATTCCTAATTGCAGACATTGTGGTTGTATTTTTGAAGTCAAGTCAAGTCAAGTCGCAACAGTGAGTACTAGTAATAGAATGCGTTTGGTAATAATTGTGAAGGCAGATCATTATGCTCAAATCTAAGCCTCCATTTCTGCCTCCTCTATATCATCGCTCTCCAACCACCAGCCCTTTCCCTCCTTTTCATCTCTTAAAGCTCCCAAAACCCTGATATCACCCTGGTCATCAACGTCATCTGTCTCCCCATATTCATCTTCTCCGAGGACATCCCCGCCAACACCTCCCGCACCCCACGGAAGGTACGAGAAAAGTCTGTGTGCTCGCGGCACTTGCAGTTGAGCAATGCCAGTACGATCAACAGCACGCAACCAGCCACATAGCTCAACTGCAACGTCAGCATGCGTCCATCTTCCTGGTGCATGCTCCTCGCTTGCCCCTCCATGTCCCAACCAGGTCGTGACATCGCCTACGCCTTCCAATGCATCCTGCTCCTTCTTACGCACATCAAACCATGAAGGCTTGCACACCTTCTGTCCTTTTCGTGGAACCGGTGTCGGGAGTGCATGAAGCGTGGACAATACAAGTGTTGGAAAGGCGTGTGGGGTGGTGGACGGGAGGTGCTGTGTTGGAGAGAAATTACAAGGGAGAGAGATATAAGTGATGGTTGTACTCACACCACCGACACAGTCAACCCAACTAAGCCCCTCACAGACCCCGTCACATTGATCGACATCCGTACAGAACATGGTATAATTTTGGTGGATGTACAATCCTAGGAGCGACGAGTCAATGGGTGAATCTGATGCAATCGTCTGCCAGACTGATTAAGAGTACCTCAGCAAATATTAGCATCACACTCCATGGAAGTCGTACCTCTAAGCAAACTCGGCTCGCCTTTCGATCATGTTCCGAAAGAAAGTCTGGCAGAGGTGACGGGTCTACGAACGTTTCGTCTAGCTCACGCTCCTTTGCAGCATCTCTGGCGGAGAGATGTGTAGCAGGAGGGTCTCCCTTGCCTGCATCTCGTCATGCTCGACCAAACTGACAACAAGGCGAGCACTCACGTTTGTTATATAATATCTTTCCCATCAGATGAAATAGCACTAGACTCTGCTCTCTTCGCGTAACAGCCTCCAGGACAGCTCGTGCACCCCCACTTCCAGCCGTATTCCGTCGGGTCTTTCCGCTCCCACCACCCTTGGTCAACGTTACTACACATGCAAATTCCAGTGCCATCACCGCGCTCCTGATATCCCCATTTGACGATTCTACGATCATATCAACAACATCTTTGGCCGGTGGCTTTCCAGAAGTAGACGCAAAATGGATAGTGAGCATCGCCTGCAGGGCCTTGGTCATCAACGTCGGCGCAATAGGGTTGAAGGCGATGCGCGTGACATAAGGGCTGGTGGAAAGATCAGCTCCGAGAAGACTTCTTATGTCTATAGTCTCTTTCTTAGACCAGCGCGCACCGCCTGCACCGTCCCACGCATCATCATTATAAGCATTCTCGCCGCGGAGACCCGAGTCGGATATGATGATCACAACAGGAGGCCCGGACTCAGAAGAGCCGCAGAGCGACTGCAAGGCATCGTGAAATCGCGCTTGCGTAGGAAGGTGCAGAATATTAGGCAGATCCTCCAGAAGGATCAGGTGGCGGTTAGAAAGCTGGCTCGAGGAAGTGGAGGGGAGGGATGGAGTTGACGGCTCTGATAGGGACTTTAACTGAGTGTGAGATTGCGACTGCGTTGACGCGATTGCAGAACTCGCTGCGAAAATATTATAACACGAGGAAGCCCTCGTGAGGAATGCCTGAAATTTGTCGAACAATGCTTCCGTGTCCATCCAAGAGTCATCTGGAAGGGAGAAGTCAACGATCTCATACAAACAACGCATCGCGATGGTCCTGACCGCCGAGATCCTTGGAATCGTCGATAAAAGTACTCGGGCCGCGTTCGCTCATGCTGTTGCGCCACTCGACGATTTCGAAACCCATCTCTCGGGCTAACACGCGTAGCGTAGTCGTCTTTGCGGTACCAGCAGGCCCGGTGAGGACCAGAATCCGCTGTTAAGAGATGCGCGGGACATGACTGGGTCATGAACAAATCAACAGAACAGGACATACGCGATATTTTCGAAGCTTGCCAGTCGGGCCTCCTTCAAAGGCCTCCGAGAGCCATCGCCGCACGTCTTCGACTTTGCGCTTGTGCACCGCCAAATCGGCCTACCAACCATCGCAGACGTTCAGCCATGTACGACCAGAGATAAACCGAGGCAGACCTCGACCGTTGGCTCATACTTGTCCACCCAGAGCCTACCATCGCCCTGATGGACTGGAGACAAAACCAGCTTTGCCTTTCCCTTCACATCCTTCCTTTGGGTCTGGGGCTGCAGAAGCGAGGGTCGTTGCGACGACACCGGCGGCTGAGGCACAGACCCTATGAGATCAAAAACGGGCGGCTTTGCAAACTGACATGACAGTGAGTGGAAGGACGATTTAGCTTGTTTTTGACGCGCGGCATAAGACCAAGCAAAGACGCGTCCCTAAATTATTACGACAAACTTACGGTTCTCGGTTTCTTGTTCGGAGGCTCAGAGGACGCGTCGAGCTTCACGGTCTTGAGTCTCGTTTTCTTTCCGGACGCCTTGGAAGCGGAGCCAGAAGACGAGCGGACAGCATGCATTTTCAAAGGAAGGGCCTGTATGCCAGTGGTGGCAGGCCAAGAGGCTTCAAGATTCAATAGGTACAAACAACCATCACTGGCACGCCAAACACTCAAGCGTCGTGAATAATAAGCACGGACGTCGGACACACACTGGTCGAGTCTGTCGAAAATCCACTTTCATTCGTGATCATACACCATCATTCGAGTACATGCAACGCAAAAGCCTGACGACTGATTCGCATCTAATGCTCCAAGCGAGGGTCCCTCGTCCACTTCTGTATTTTGGTGAGTTCGCCCGACTGAACCACGAGCTTGATCCGCATGCGCACAGCAATTGTCAGGGAAAGCACGACGCAGAGATGCGGCTGCGCGAGCTCACTGTCGACTGATCGTTTTCGAGCTGCGCGGTGAAGAAAGTGTCCGGGTCGTCCGAGGACCCAGGGATTTGGAATCTGCATCCGCCATCACGACGTCCGAGTCAGGAGATAGGTTCGAACTGGAGCTCGAATGCCGACGAGATACGCACCCGATTGTGTTCGCCGCCCAATTGATGACGAATTTCCAAACGTACCGTTCGTCGCCCATGGTTATGTTCTCCTTCGCATCCTGGAAACGAGGCGAAATCAAACTTGGAACATTCGATTTTCTCAGAGACTCAACTTACATCCCATCCCATGAAGAGATGAGTGCCGCTGTTTATGACGTACCTAGAATAGTTGGGGTCTTCGCCCTGAATGGAAAGCTGCCACTATCGACATTGCTCGTCAGCACCAGCGTGGGATGCCGCATGTCGAGTCAAATACCTTCTGATTGTTGCCGCCATGGTCCAGGGCCCTGATGACTTCGTCACTCGCATCCATCAACATGCGTTTGTTGTACTGGAGATTCGCAAAAGTCGCCTATTGCTATTCAAGACAAGCTGTCGGTGAGATAGAAGGGAATGAGGGTGAGTTGGCTAGAAAACTGTGATCATGACCTTGTTTATATGTGCGTCCTGTGACTGCACAGTGCCCAGCATTCTGCTGTGCTGAGCAACACGCATGCCCCTGAATTATGCAAGTAATTGTGATCAACCACTATGACCAAAGTCATTACTCCATCCTGGCGCTTCCATTACAAAAGATGGGATCCGATTTCGCTTGCGAGGAATGATGATCATTAAGCATCCTGCTATCCCCGCACACACCCCTGAATCATGACAGGGCCATGATGCCATTGTGACCAAAGCTGACAAAAGTAGACACTCCACTCTAGTGGCACTTCCATTGCAAAGAAGTTGGGAGCCATGCCTTGATATCACTTGCGAGGAATGTTTCTTGATGTGGCGCAAGGTGGTGACCAGTTCCTTCAAGTTGCTACTCATCCGAAAATCCTCGGTTCCAAGAAGTTACATCACTTCAAGGTATGAGTGCTTTTCCTTCAAGCCTATGCAAGTCTTGAAGGCAAGACATCGACGGACAGCCGTAAGAGGGAGATGCATTGGATGGCGTAGGCGACGTTGCAACCTGGTTGCGACATGAAGGGGCAAGCGGGCAACGGGAAGATGGACGCATCCAGACGATCAATACCGTGCCCGCACCCGCACTGACTGGCAGTAGCTGGGAAAGGAGGTATTAGAGCTTTCAGCATGCTATACGTTCTTGCTTAGTGGTGTAATGACTTACAGCATCAGATGTATCAGAGCCTGTCAAATCGACTTTGCTTGATCCTTAATTTCGACCTTTTCTTCAGGCTAAGGGGGTCGTTGATGGTCTGTCTAGGCCAACACAGCATGTCGATGCAGATTAGACATACGTATCTTCAACTGTGAGAGGATGACCAGCACAGACATGGATAATGCAAGCACATACGTCGACAGTGATGGGAGTCGCGCTCTTCAAAAAGGGTCGATGGGTTATCCTTGACATGATAAAACCACATGCTGCTGCAGTATTTGTGAAAGGGCCCTCGTAGTCAGTGGATTCAGAACGGTGAAGTTAAACGGTGTGCTTCTCCCTCGCCTAGATGACCCAAAATTAAACTATTAATTCACCGGATCAGTGAGCCGTATGTACTGCTGCGGATGACCAAAAGTCTTACCATGAGTCATACTATTGCATCCCACACTAGTCCTCCGACTGAATCGGCTCCGACGAGTATCAAAAGTGACCATATGGAATCTTCTCATGAAGTCAGCGCTAGTCAACTTTCTTATCTTGTGGTGGTCGCGTGCGCGTGCTAGTTGACCCGTATCTCATCCTGTCCGAATTTTACATCTCCCTTCCATACCACTAGCTGGGAGTTGGAAGTGGTACAGGCGTGGAATATCATGCCTTCATACCAGTTACTTCTAGCAGAAGCACTCTTCGGGGCGACAGTGATCAGTGGCTTCGCACTTTTTCTCGCGCGGTCTCGACAGCGGAAGATACGCTTGTCGACTACCCAAGCCGCTAGTTTGGCCAGCGATTTGAACCAGGATGATCCTTTTAATGTGACCAAACCGGAAGATTTTATCAGTGGAGAACCAATTGACGAAGATGCCTTCTGGCTCAAAGTAAGCATCATAATAGTTATACGCCGTCTGTGATGAAGGGTCTCATCTTAGTTTAGATGCGCAACAGGAAATCACTGCTAGTTTTGCTTTCAGCCGTGATCCTTGTGCTTGAGGGCGTTTCCCTGGGCTGGTCGGCCTACTCAGATGGTCAAAATACGCTTGCAGAACATATATTTCGGACTACGTTTGGACTATACGTTGGCGTTCTAGTCATTCGTTCTGTTACCCCGGATCGTCATTCTGAGTCGGTGATACATATCACTGCCTTGACCTTCTTCTCCTCGGTCCTTCACTTCGTCGCATCAATCCTTCCTTCGTCTGACTCTATCTCGGCACACAATCCACAAGCTTTTCCTCCCTTACTCGCTTTCTGGTATAGCAAGACCGCATTGTATACGTTGACTTTTGCGATAATTGCGACAACACCCCGTGGACCACCGTTGCACTTTTCTCCCTCATTCATCTACTCTAAAAAAACTATCGATGACACGACCAATAAATCGTACGAGAACGTCTGTGGCCTTCCGAACGCCTCTGTGATCGATGTTCTGTTTTTCCGTTATGTGACCCGTGTCATTCAGCTTGGAACTTCCGTTTCGGTTGAAATCGGCGACTTGCCAATCATTCCGGTTAATATGCGAGCGACTTATCAGTTCTTTAGGGTGCGCACGAATCTTCGTGCAAATCCTCTCAAGCCAGGATGGGACCTCGCTTGGCGCCTCATCAGTATCAATAAGCTTGCATTTACTGCAGAAATAATCTTGGCCGTCGCAGCTGCTCCTATGTGGTTTGGGTCCCCGTTCTTCGTTCGCAAGCTCATCGCATACCTAGAAGACGATCCTGGCCGCCTCAATAAAGGATGGGGATGGGTATATACTTTTGGACAATTTGCATGCCTTGTTATTGTCGCGCAGCGTAAGTTTTTTCTAGTGCAACACCATCTAATTCGACATTAACATGCTGTAGTCAACTCTCAAATGTGGTACTTTGCAACTTCCGTTATCCAAATTCGCTTGCGGGCGCAGGTCAATACCATGCTTTTCGCAAAAACTCTCGTTCGGAAGGATGTCGTGTCTTCTGGTACCTCCCCGTCCGACGAGGGAAATGATAAAAAATCGAAAACTGCGGATGGAGAAAACAAAGAGAAGGACGAAGAAGAGAACGAATTTTCGAGCAAAGCCCAGGTCATGACTTTGATGACCACCGATGTTGATCGGATCGCAGAGTTTTCTTACCATCTTTTTGCCATTACGGGTCAGATTCTTTGATCACGCCGTCATTCTGGTCCTGATTTCTTTCAGATTCTCCGATCGAGATTGTTGTAGGGACGACGTTGCTCTATAGCATGCTTGGTGTTTCGTGCTTCATTGGTCTTGCGGTCATCTGTCTCTTCTTGCCATTAAATCACCTGGCAGGTAAAGTAGTGATCACTACACAGGACAATTTGATGAAAGCCAGGGACGAACGGGTCTCACTCATGAACGAGGTGATTACCTTGTGAAACACTTATTGACCTGACTTCAATTACACCTCTGACAGATACTGGGTGGCATCCGCATGCTGAAGGTAATATCCTTTGCATGTCATTTTTTGAATACCTCCCTCATCGATTTGTAGTTCATGGCATGGGAGCGCAGCTTCGAAAAGCGCGTGATGAAAATTCGTGAGAGAGAACTGAAATACCAAAAGTTGAACTACAAGATTGAGGCACGTAATTTTCCTTTTCGTGACATATGATTCCTAATGTGTCCACCATTTAGGTCGTGTTCTCTGCTATCTGGTATGTTTTCATGCAGGTTTCCCCTACCTCGTCTGACGGAGGGTTTAGGGAGGCGTCTCCTCTCATTGTCACCCTAGTTTGTTTCTGGCACTTCGCGGTCTGGCGCCAGCAGACATTGACCCCCTCTATCGCCTTCACATCTGTAAGCCTTTCCTTATCAGTTCACTTTATGTTCACAAGTTGAATGCATATATGTCTAGATGTTGGGTAGGCACTTATAGTCTGCACGGTACTTGAGCTGAACAATCTGGCGTAGTTTTCAACGAAATGCGTTTTGCGATGAACGCACTCCCAGAAACTTTCATTAACCTGCTTCAGGTCCATGTTTCCCTCAAGCGGATTGGGAAGTACCTCCAACTAACTGAGGTGGAACCTATACCTTCGCTCTCGGCTGCGCCAGCCATTAATACCATTGCTGTTCAATCTGCTAACATCACATGGCCTCGTGATCGTTCTGCGGACTCATCGGCAGCTTCCACACCCCGGCATAAATTCATGCTCGTCGATCTTGCTCTGAAATTTCCTGAAGGACAACTTTCACTTGTTTGTGGCAAGCTGGGCAGTGGAAAGACCCTGTTATTATTAGGTACGTCTTATGGAGCGAATCCTGGAATACTACTTAATGTCACGGCAATGCAGCTTTACTCGGCGAGGCGGATGTCCTCACCGGCCAGGTCATTTGTCCGCGCTCACCACCAGACGCGCTTGCTTCCTTTGCGGATCAGAAGGTCACACAGGAAGAGTGGATAGTGCCTGGCGTTTGCGCCTACGTACCACAGGTGAGCGGCAGTGGTGGTGGGTTATGTCATGAATTGAAGAAGTTGACACTTCAAGGCTGCCTGGTTGCGAAATGCTTCTATTCAAGGTGAGCCATGAAGTTTGAACCATTTCAAGTATGCTTATCGCAATCTCTAGACAACATCCTGTTCGGTCTACCGCTTGACGAAGAGCGATATCATAAGACATTAGAGGTCGACCGCACTTCATGGACAATAATAACTTGACTGACTGCATCTTAAGGTCTGCGCGCTCATAAGCGATCTCAAGATCCTTGAAGACGGAGACCAGTCCGAAATTGGCGAGCGTGGCGTATGTTTCGTTTTGTCACTTAGCATCATACATATTGATCAAGGTTGCACTGGCAGGTGAACTTGTCAGGTGGACAAAAAGCTCGAGGTCAGTGAACTGAAATTCGACTTGTCACACACATTGAATTTCTTATAAGTTTCCTTGGCTCGGGCTGTTTACTCCCGGGCATCCATACTGTTGCTCGACGACGTTCTGTCTGCTGGTGCGTCCATTCTAAGCGTCGCGCTTCTAAATGCCAACCTTTGAGTGTAGTTGACGCTCACACGGCTCATCACATCTACTCCAAGTGCATTAAAGGAGAGCTGATGCATGGGCGAACGGTGATCCTTGTGTCACACCATGTCCAACTTTGCTTGACCGGTGCTTCATATGTTGTCGCTCTTGATAACGGCCATCTTCTATTCGCTGGTGAACGCGAGGCCTTTGAAGCATCTCCTGTGAAGGGGACATTAGTGCAGACCATAGGTGGCACTGACAAGGAGCGGGATACGGCAAGCACTTCGAAGAGTCCGTCAGTGTCTGCAGGCCATTCTCCTGTTGCCACCCTCGTGCAAGATGACGTGGAGCCTGACCCGATATCCGAGACGAGCTCCACCGTGGTCAATGAGCCGCAAGCAAATGTGGGGCGGAAAGCACCTAGGAAAGTTGTGGAGGACGAGAAACGCGCTGTAGGGCGCGTGAGTCGTGATGTCTGGGAGCTTTATGTGAAGTCATTTGGCGCCTACGGTTACTGGGCATGGTTCTTGTCCGTTCTCGCGTTGGGTGCTCTCTGTCCTGTTGCAGAGAACTGGTGGCTCAAGTATGTTCATAATGTCAGCAGTTTACTGTCGCATGATTAACATTGGTATCCGTAGGATATGGTCGGGATCGAGTACAGAAGAGGCTGAGGCCAAAGGACCGGTGTATTACATTGTGGTTTATGCTGCAGTAAGCACGGCTCTACACTATTATCCTTCATCATGACTCATGTCCTTGCAGATCACTCTCACAGGTTTGAATCAGTTGACTTGTACCACACGGTGCTAATCATTTTTCAGGTGTCTTGTTTTCGACCTATAGATTCTTCGTACTATGTATGCAAACTACATCTATTCTCCTGAACTCTACTGAACTATTTCCCACTCAGATAACGGTTCCATCCATGCGTCGACCGTTTTATACCAACGTGGGTCGAAATCGAGACGTTGCTTTTGACCACTTACTTATATCACCCGTGATAGAACTTCTGGAAACTGTGTTGTTTGCGCAAATCCGGTTCCACGATACTGTGTCGCGGGGGAGACTCCTGAATCGATTCGGGAAAGACTTTGAAGGTCCGTTTTTTGAGACAGCGCTCTCTTCGCTTACACAATAACACATAACATTATAGGCATTGACAGTCGACTCGCGGATCATTTTGGTCGAAGTCTCATCTTTGCATTGTCTTTCGTAGTTACGGTTGTGTCTGTTACTTTGGCAAGCGGTGTTCCATCCCTCATTGCTATCATTCTTCTGGGCTTCCTTTACTATGATGGTCTGCAACTTTTTTCTCGATCCATTACATTAGCGCTAATCGTCGAACCTATTTAGTTGCAAAGGTATTTTTTTGTCATGTTCTTATACAGAGATGCTCAAGTGTCTAGAATTACGGACAAGCTGCTAGAGATATGCGGCGCCTGGGTAAGTATTCTTCATATTCACTAGCGGTCCATTGACTTTGGTAACCTTAAGACTCCGTGGCACGGTCTCCCCTTTATTCGATCTTTGGTGAAACCATTGCTGGAGCGCCTATTCTTCGAGCTTTCGGTGCTTCATCAAAGTTTTTGCGAGACATGCTTCGCTGTGTCGATACGGTGAGTTAAACTGAACTCGCTTTCACTTAATCTGATCGATGTTTACTAGAACATAAACCCGTACTATTGGCAATGGGCTGGTACGTCGAGCGGTCGTTTGCTTTTCGAGAGTAGTTGACATTGGGTGATATCTTTAGTCAATCGCTGGCTCTCCACCCGGTTCGACCTGTTGTCCGCTGCGACCGTTGGTATGATAGGTCTTATTGCCGTTTCCACCCCGACCATCTCAGCTGCGCTCGCTGGATTCGCTCTTTCATTTGCTGGAGGCATGACGTGGACAGTATGTGCATAATTATCATAGAATACGGAACAATATACTAACATTGCCTGCAGTTGTTAGTCCTGGTAGGTAAAACTGGTGTCTGTCTAGATTTTTTACTAATCTTGAACTCAGGTGCGACGGTTCGTCGGCCTTGAACAATCTATGGCTAGTACCCTAGCATACTGTGTGACATGCGGCGTTATTGATGGACATATAACAGGTCGCCCTGGAGCGTGTCAAGGAGTATTCGGAGCTTAAGCGCGAGCCTCCTGAATTCATCGAGCCACGTCCGCCAGCTTCTTGGCCAGACAGAGGTATTATCAGGTGCGAAAACTTGGTCGTCCGTTATGCGGTAAGCCGGTTTCAGTGGGAACCTCGTCAGCTCATAATCTTTCCCATAGCCTGAGTTGCCCGATGTTCTTCACAACTTGAACTTTGAGGTCCACCCTGGAGAGAAGGTACTAGATATTAGAGGACTCCTTCGTCAGTAACTGAATTTTGGTCTTAGGTCGGCATCCTAGGCCGCACAGGTTCCGGAAAGAGCACCCTTGCACTCTCGTTCTTCCGCTTCGTGGAGGCAACAGAGGGTTCCATCATCATCGATGATCAAGACATCTCCAAAATGGGACTTTCGGACCTTCGTAGCAAGCTCACCATCATTCCTCGTGCGTGTCCTGCTAAGTGGTGATTATCCTACTTACACCGAACAGAGGACCCTACCATCCTTAGCGGCACTTTGCGATCCACGCTGGATGTATTCGATGAGTACGAAGATGCGGAAATTGTCGGTTACATTTACATTGCCTGACTACAAAGGTATACTGACTGTTCATTAGTTCGAGGCTCTTCGACGCGTGCATTTGATTCCGTCTGACACTGCCGATGATGTTGTCGAAATTGAAGGTGTTGAGGTCAATGTTAATGTTTTCCGAAACCTAGAGTCACCAGTATCGGAAGGAGGGGAGAACTTTTCTACGGGGTTAGTGCTCTGTCAACGCCACTAAATAACCTTGCTGACGAATTTTCTAGCGAGAAGCAGCTTTTATGCATGGCTCGGGCGATCTTGAAGCGGTCAAAAGTTTTGGTCATGGACGAGGTACGTTTTCCTGTCCTTGACTGGCGCTTCATTTCTGAAGGCTACGTTGCAGGCAACAGCAAGGTAATGTCGTTCGTATGATGCAAGTCGTGATTTCAAGTAACACAATTTTAGCGTTGACTACGCGACCGACGAGCTCATTGGAAAGACGATCAGAGAGTTCGTTTTGCGATATCGATAAGCCTCACGAGAAATTGACCATACCCAACAGAGAATTTGCAAACAGCACCATTCTTACCATCGCGCACCGACTGCGCACTGTCATCGATTATGATAGGGTAAATAAATCCAGTTTATGTGGTTTGTGTATTGCTCATGGACTATCAGGTGATGCTCCTCGACCAAGGCAAAATCGTCGAGTTTGACCCGTAAGTCATCGCGAAATATAATATGGTGCAGAAAGTTAACTAAAACCTCCAGTCCTGCTGTCCTGCTTTCTGACCCCTCGTCTCAATTCTACGGGTTGTGCCAGGCAACGGGTGAGAATGAATTTGCGATGTTGAAGAATCTAGCTGGGGTATGATTACAAAAGTGAACCAATGGACAGTATCCATACCGTGCGACACTAGAGAATGACATCTTGGTCGATACACGTTAGAATGCACTTGCTTTATGTTTTGCATCCAGAGAAATGACGGCAGGAAGGCACCGACGGTGACGTGACGATCTTAGTACTGATGTTATCTACAGTGGACGATATCTCGAATCATCTCAAATGTCGAATGCTATGTCGTTCTGATGAATCTGGATATGTTAACTCATTCGCAGTGATATCTGATTGTGTCGCGTGGGATGAGACAAAGGGCAAGTAACATGTGACAGTATTCCCCAACAGTATATACCGTCAAATTCCGCTAAATTAATAGGGAGCGGCGGCAGCTTGGCACTGAAAACACAATCAGTCACCGAACTACATTTAATTAGATGGATGCGTACAGCTTTCAACTGGTCAAGGTACCATGAGCAACTTTGCAGGTCTGCCTTGTCCAAGCACTTGGTAAACTCCTTAGCTTGAACTTCACAAGCAGCGCCAGTTGTCTGGTATGCTTGTTGTTGTTGTACAGGCGCTACTGACTCCGCGGGTGCTGCAGATGAGCTGGAGCCAAACAGCATAGACGAGATACCGTGACCAATGGTAGATCCAACAGCGACGGAACCGGCAGTTGCGGCCATCTGGGCCATCAACCCAGGACCGCTAGATGTCTGAGCGGGAACAGGTGGTGCGGGAGCGTGTGCTGGGTTACCGTGGGCTGCAGCAGGAGGCATCGCGGCCGTATGAGCACCGCGGGACTGCTGAGGAGCTGCAGGCTTAGCAGCTGGGCGAGAGGAACGTGAAGAACGCTGTGAAGAGAGAAAAAATTAAGCTCACGGAAAAAGACAATTAGTTGAGATGTCTTACAGGCATGATGATTCTGATGGCAGTTCAGAGCAAAGGTGCGTCGGGTAGAACTGGATGGAATTTTTAACCGGCGAAGCGAACCTTTTATATTCGTCTTCCCCGGCTTGAGCACACGCGTCCCCGGCTCCCGGGTTTGTTCGCACGCATAGATTCCGGCGACATCCTTTTTGAGACATTGACGTCGAAATTTAAAGTCTTTGCTTCAGCTCACTGTATTGCACGACAAGTTCCAGCTACAGGGGCGATGGTGATGGCGACGGTGAAGGTGGCGCGTGTCTCCATCGGGACTCAACTGAAGAAGAGCTGCTTGCTCTCTCCACAACGCTCGTTCTCGGCCTTAAAATCTGCTACCCGAACGGCTCCTCTCCCTTCAACGTCCAAGGCTTCTACCACGAGCGGGCAAGCGTCTACTACAACCTCGTCCGGTGTCTCGAGAAAATCTGCGACAAAGAATGAGAAGAAAGCGAAAAAGGCTCCCCCTGCTCCAGACAGCACGGAGGCACATCTCAAACAAATAGAAGGCATGATGAACATGGCAAACACGTCGAACCTGTTTCCAACCATGGATATGTGGGGTACTAAGTTAGTGACTCTCGGTGTGTATATTCCCTGTAGAAGTATCACCCAAGCTCAGTTTATTATTCGTTCAGACATAGAAGTACCACGCGACGCTTCACTGCGCATGCTTTTCACAAACCCAGGCGCGTTTTGGCATGCAAAACAGCACAATTTCTCCAATTGGTTGAAGAACACGTTCAGGTTCGCGTCAAATGGGTTTATGCATTTTTTCTGCCCCTCTAAGTCTCCTTTACACCTTATGCAGCATGTATACTATCGCCAAGGCTCGAGCTTTTACTGGAGTAGATTGTGATTTTCGATTTAGTCACTTATTCCTACCGCGCACATGGCGTCAACTGGGCAACGTAACTTCACATTCTGCTTCATCCTGGCTAGCACCAATGCGACGTACTGCAATGGATAACTATCTGGCCATTGGCCGTGCTATGGCTGAGTGCGTATTTTTTTTTCCTGACCCCCATTATATTAATTATATCAATAGCAAGGATGAAGCCACCCTGAAGGCACTGACAACAGCCGACTATGCCACTAAGGTGAACAAGATTGTTCGCACTCGTAAACCTGGCCAGGTTTGGCAATGGAGGGTTCTAAGCGACGTCTCAGACAAAGCCCTATTCCAAGAGAAGAGCTGTAAGTATCGACGTTACGCTCTCCGAATTTTTGGATTCACGATAATCTAGTATTCCGTCCACCTGCAATATCACCGGGAGCTACCATCGTATCTATCCGTTCCGGTGAGGTTTATATTGCGAAGGAACCCCCAAAGCGCGGCAACCGGCTGGTGATACATGCACTAGTCAAGTTTGAGACCACCCAGGTGAGTGTCCTTCCAGCATGCGTAAATCGTATACAAACTAACGCTGCTCCAGGAATTCGAGGTGTTCACCAAGCAGGGCCAGCCTGTAGAAGCTAAATCTGCGAAGCCCCATCATGTCGTGGAATATCTCGTGTTTGAGAAAGTGGGCTGGTATGACAATACGTGGCAGGTGCGGGACCAGATCTACAAGTAAACTGGTGCTGGATGGCGAATATAATGGGAGTTTGTGATTAGATCTCTGTTAAGTCTCATTTTGCAGAATTGTGGGGGGCAAGCGGTTGCCTGCCGTCGTGCGGTGGGCTAAGAAAAGTGCGAATTCAATACAGTAGTCGTTTTCAGTCAGGCGAAAATAATTGTACCATAGACCCCAAATGTTTTTAGTCGTGGATCAAGAGATGGTGGATCAGGGGTCTCAAGGGCGAGAGTAGTGGTTCACACCAACCTGCCCTTGCCACAGCTTAGTCAGCACGTAGACTAGGTTCCACCGCATGTTCCGAGCCTAGCTTCATCATCACAGCTTGTAAGCTGTCTGCCTTGCTCTGTGCTTAGGCCGCTGGCCCCTGCTCTAACAGTACTGTACACCAGGGTGCTTGTTAGTCGCACGAGCGGCACTCGATACTCAGCACTCGGTCCGGTTTGATGCAATGCAATGACAATCAACTTTCAACAACTTGGCACCCCTCTCTCAAGTTCGCAACCTTTGCGGACAGTCGCGATGTGGACTTCCCAGGAACGCTGGTACGATCTGCTGCTTCAAATTCTCCGTCAAAGCTATGCGCAACTATACATCGATCTCGTTATTGCCCAATGCAATATTCCCGCAAGCCAACGAAAAGTGACTGGGGATGGCTCTCGCCACTCATACACGCCTTATAAACGAACACTTTTCATTACACCACGATCATCCATTGTCCAGGCGACTTGTTACAACTGTTACTGTTACATTTCAGAACACTACTAGGGACTTCTCTATATCCCATCCCATATTCTGCAGTCCGGGTTTGATGACATGCGTTATCATAGCATCAGGACCACACGCTAGGATGAGTCCATGCTCAGAGTGCCGAGGCATGTGTTCGGACAGTAACACATCATTAATCCGCCCAACGCTATACGACCACTCCTCAGAAGCGATGCTAAGCGTGTAGTGCAGCTTGAAACGCTCCCTGCCATGCAATGCGAAGAGTTCGTCAAGTTCTTCTCTACAGAGGATATCATGCTCTGTTTTGTTTGCACTGATCACCCACACCCGGGTCTCGCTTTCCGCGTTTTGGAGGATACTGCGAAGCACCTGGAGGATCGGCGTTATCCCTGCACGTTTTGTTTAATATCGCATATTGACAATGTTGCATTCGAAGTCGTACCGCTTCCACCACAAATCATGCCGACTTCCTTGATGATCCTCCTTATCCCCTTCCACAATGCAGTATTTGGCCTATCCCAAATGAAGGACCCTAACGGCCCTTTGAGTTCTACGCTATCTCCGATACGTAATTGATGGAAGCCAGTGGTCATCTTCCCTCCAGTGGGGATTGACTTGGAAGGAAGATACAATCTAATGAAGAAGTCAGTCAAGCTGCGAAGAGCATGTCCTGATGGAGAATATGCACTTGATGAGAAGGTCGATGAAGCCTACTGTTCCTTGTTGCGATACCGGAGTATATGCTCTCTGTACCATTTCCCCGGTATCCTGCCGGCGTAAGCGGACGAAAACATGTTGTCCGACTGGCAGACCGAGCGGCTGGTCTTCTTTTGGCAAGCCAAAACGATACAGGTAAGAATCGTGGTTGATCTGCTTGATGGCACATAATTTGACGTCCTTCCACCGGCTACGCTCTAGAAAGGCATCATCTGACTGCGTTGTAATGGGCCTTTCTTTAGTCAAACTGGTCATGAGGGTGCCAATATGGTGCTGTGGAAGAGTCATAAACCGACGTTCCGCGGGCAAGCCGTGAGGACTCACCTCAGCCAACTTACGTTTGCCTTCGGCAGAATGTATGGCGAAGAAGTCTTCAGACGCGTCTTCGCCAGCCACAAGCAATATAGAGTCACCGCCTCCCGGATGGTCCTTCAGAAATGGAGTTCCATCGTAAACCTCGCCATTGACGACAAACCATGGTTGCTGTCGATCTTGCGCCTTAAACTCTTCCAGGGTGATTTTCCGATTTATGCCAGGCTTGGTCAAGCAGATCTCTTCCGATTGATGCTTTGGAACACGTGGCGCGAGATCCCGTCCCTTTTCGCCGAAGACAGGTTTTGTAATATCCTCGCCGGCCACTTTTATGCGCTGATTTGCCACCATCAGCATTCTTTCTCTGGGACCAAAAATTAAGCATCACCTCCATCCATCCTCCATGCGCCGTCCCTGCGAGCGTTGGATGCTCAAATTGCAAGACAATTTTCCCGTCATCGCTGACGGTTCTATGAATGGCAACGCGAAACCACCTGCCAGCGGCTTGTAGCAGGGCCCAGAATATCGCATTTTATTAAGACGTACCAGTTGTTCATCATGCCAAGTGCATGCCAGTACCTGTTGACAGTTGATGTTAATGGACCCACACGGTACGATCTGATCCTGCCTTACATATCTCTTTGTTGGAACGCGAGGCCTTCATCCATAGCTCTAACCATCAACGCATCACAGCTCGCTAGAACGTCATGAGAGACATCAAAAGACCAAAAGCACCAACAGCTACACAGGTTCTGAACATTTTTCATTGTAGCGATAATGCTTGCTGCTCACAAGGAAGTATCGCGCTCTGTCGCATCAAGTGTTCCATAAAATGAGTCTTGGTGACGCACTTCTCTGAATCGGTCCTCGGGATACTCACTTTTCGACACGGTATTAATGAGGTGTCGATTCTGAAGTATGTGGACGTACATATTTCCCAATGTCCATGTCTCCCCATGGTCAAGCGAAACCTCGACACGGGTCACCCTGCGGCCTCCACCTGCATACGCATATCCTCGGATAAGATATGATGCGATTGTGCCATTCTCATCTGGTGTCTTATCGATGTAGAGCTTCTCGTTATGATCCGGTTTCGCGATGACGCTATTGACGTTGAGCTCGCTGGTTACTCTTGTTCAACATGTGGTACGTAAGAGAACAAAATAAACCAACGTGATGATATATCTGGGATATCCCCGGTCTGGTGAGTGCACTTGCCAAGGGACGTCAGTACTGAGACTAACCTTGGGTCATACCACCAATGCTTCTCAGCGCGGGCTTGGTCAGGCATAACCTGCGTTGGCAGCATTTTGTTGTCCTATGCAACGTTAGTGCGATTCATTCTCGAGGGTAAAGTGATCCACGCATACCCAGAAGTGCAGCTGTGTGAATAAAGTCATCAGTCAATGCTGATTTGAGTCATACAAGAACTGGCATACGTGGTGCTGGCTTTCACAATCACTTATTTCAATGCGTCTCAGCCACTAGGGGGGTATTTAATAGATTACGGGCTCCTTGTCATTGGACAGCACCTTACCTTAACGGACCGTCCACCAATCTGACCTGGCACAATGACGCGCACGGGAAAACCATGGTCTGGTTCCAACGGTAAACCGTTCATTGCCCAAGCTGATGTAGGAGGTCAGGAGGAATTATAACACTGTAAGTGGTTCGAATTACAAATGAGCATGCCCTTGTCCTTATTGGAAGCCCATGACAGTCGCTGTGATGTTCCATAGGGCCCGTTCGGAAGGTTGTCTCCGCCTTCAAAGATAACGTATTTGGCTTGTCTACGAATTGGTCTTACGTGATCTAACACATCGGCCAGATACACGCCCGTCCAAAGGGCTGTTGATACTTGATATTGATATTGATATTGGTGAGGACTTCCGATCAGCACGAGCCGAAACCTCACCTCCCGCTGCTCCCCAACTGAAGCCAAGTGTCTTGTGGACGACATTCTGTTCTTTCCGCCTGTTGCCAGCGCATACTAGAGTTACAGGAAGGGTAACAACGGGGAAGTTTTCTTGAAGCTCTTGCAGAGTAAATGTAACCTCTCGTTCCACCAGACCATGTACACGGATCGTCCAGTTAGCAGACATCTTGTGGTTGACCTGTGGCACTGCACCGTGATTCCGCACGAAATGTAAGTGAGCTGGAGTCAAGAACCCCTGCAAGGACACTCAGTCCCGTGCATGTCATCAGAAACAAGATACCTACACACGCAAATAGAACACCGAGTCGCGCTTCGGAGTTAAACGGATGTTTCCCCGTCAACCGTACGAGTTCTGGATTCTGAATGCAGAAGATTTCGTCAAAAATCACGCAGATTATCATTGATTTCCCGTCCTTACACGATTGACCCAGTTATCTGGCGTCTCCAGATCCTGGTGAATGCAAATGTCAAATTAACGTTGTGTGCTGAAATCTCAAGCACAACCTGCTCAGCTACTTCCGTCGGGGTAGCATTGATTGGCAGCTGTGGAAGGTACTTGGGAAGTTGGGGACCATTCCTTTTGGGCTCATCCAGAGATGGGGGAAGGAACGGTATAGGTAGACTATCCTGAAGTTTCTGGGAAGTGGGACCTGGGGAGCCTGCTAAGGACGTGAAAGCAGTAGACGGAGTGGTAGCAACGTGATTGAATGCGCTAGGTGAGTTGTTGGAGGATGAACTTGAGGTGGCACCTGGATATTGGGTCATCATTATCACCTCAATGATGCTAGCCAACTCCCAAGTGTAGGAGGGGATACCATCCCATGGCTATCATGGTCCTTTCAAGTAAAACTAATTATCTTGGTATGCCCAGACACCTGATTTGGTTCTGTCAGCACGGACTTACGGAAGGAATCAGAGGCAACAGATCTAGAAGTCGAGCGTGGAGCAGGCCATTGCTTGAATGAGCAGGTGCTTGGGGTCCTCGTTACCCCCTTTCGAAGCATTCTTATCGTACACACCAGTGACACCACACGACGATAGTATCAAATTGTCAATTATATAGACTATAACGCGCAGGGTCACTCGCGGCAGAGCCCGCTACATGTTGGAGTCCGACCAACCGAAGGCACAAGGGGAGGAGATGATGATGATATCAGACCAAGTAGGAGGCAGCGTCTCGAGGTCGGCCGACCTTCATCTTTTTTTCACATCCATTTAGGTTTATCTATTCTATCCGTTTGATAAAAGAAAGTCCGTGGTACGACCATCTCGGTCCTTTTAGTGAGACAGATGTGAGCCTTATAGATTTATTCCTTTCGGTAGCGAGTTAACAATACCCTTGAAATACATTCTCTTATAGTACTATGTATAGAGTCCTTTTACCGAGACTAACATCGACTACCCAAAGTAGCAACTGCAAGTATTCAAATTCTGTGCTTCCATTGCCGAAATCTGTCCGAGATCGACTAGCGCCACTCGAGCACTGCTGTAGCGGGAATAACTATACAAGCCTTTCAACCAGCATGTCACTCAAAGCTATGTAGCAGTCGATACTTTCCTGCTTAAGCCCGCTTTCACACTGACACTTGAAGTCTTCCTCTGATTGATGAGAATTTGGAAGCGCTTAGCTATCATTCTTACTATCATATGGGACTGTACAGAAATATCTTTATAATACATATCAACCAAGACGCAATTTATAACAGGCTCATGTATTTGGACGCGATACGAACAGACAAAAACACTTCCCTTAAAGAAATTCTCCCTTGTTCAAAACTGTGGTACACGGATAATACAGAGTAAGAGATTCACGCTCTGAAGCGTGATCTCAGTACTCATTGCACAAGATAGACAAAGCCCCCCCTACTTACAATCGCGATGACACCAGAAATCCAAAATGCCTTGCCAGAAGGAGACGGCGCAAAGCGGAAGATAATCGCAAAGAATATCCCTCCAAGATTTCCCATGGCGCCTACAATTCCGGTCTAGACAAATTTGAATCTTTCTGCCATCATCACACACCAAGCGATGGGACACTGACCATAAATCCATTGGAGTCTTGTGACAGAACAGGGTCAGTTGTGAAAATTGGCAATTCGATACACTGAACACGGACTGGGGTTGCAATGTGGGACAAGGGAGAAGTTGGCTCCATTGGCCACCTCATTGAAGATTGCGAGGATGACAAAAATCACAATAATGACCGTGACTGGTGACATTACTGTCAGACCATCGGTGATAAATTGGAGTCCGGACTCACGGGTTGGATGAGGGTGGTTATCAATGTAAAGGCCAAGACCAACCGATAAAAGTCCTTGAACAACTCCACAAGCGATGGTCAGGTACTTCTTGCCAGGCACCTGCAGAGCCTCTTCAAACCAATATCACGCACAACGTCAATGGCACTTACACCAAATTTGACATATATGAGGTCTCCGAAATATCCGCCTGCAATGAGGTGGTGGATATGAGGAGACAGTTTAGCTTGCGAGGAAAGTGACTAACCAAGCAACCGGGCGAACACGTTAAGGAGACCGTAGATACCTGCAATCTAATTAATCTGTCATCATATGGGTCGCAGCGATTGTTCAAGGAGATTCACATAGCCAGCTTTGGTCTGCCCAAAAGTGGGGGACTTGAGTAGTGTATACAGAACGGTCGCCAGGTTAGCATCAATAGCAAGTTCGTAACCGAAAGTAGTCATATAAGCCAATGAGGGCAGCCAGGTCAGCGGGTTTAAGATGATTTCGTACGCCACGTTCAGGGAAAGTGGTTTGTTGACAGCAGTGTCCAATTCTGAAACCAAGTCTATAACATTGGTTAAGCGCACAAGCAAAATCCAAAAGAGCGATAAGCACCGACTTATAGCAGTGACAGTGACCTGAATGTCCTTCTCGTCTCCAGTCTCGGTATCATAACCAGACTTTGTTTTTGCATGTTTGCCATTGATGCTGCCCGTTTGATTGTCTGACGCGGAAAGGGCAGTGGCAACAGCCTCATAGCGATCACACCATTTGCCCGCAGGGTGGTCAGTGCCAAACATTAGAGTGGCAGCAGCAACAGAAAGGAGAATGGGGACAGGAACGATTGCAAATGCCACCCGCCAGGCGACGTGCGGGCTCATACCGTCAGCAAGCAATTGATTGAAGAGAGCGATCATGATGATGAATGTGAAGCCGCCGCCCGCATTTCCCCAGCCTCCGCCTAAAGCATTTGCTGTGAATTCGACTGTATCAGAACACTCAAACACATAAGTTTTTGAACAGAGTTTCACCTCTACCAACGACATTCTTGTCGAAGAAAGCAGTGTTCCAAGCTTGACAAGAGACAAATGTGGCACCGAGAATTCCAATGAAGAAACGGACAATGTAGAGACCATTTGCAGTTGATATGGTTCCGGCAAGGCCAGAAGGAATCGCCCCGATGATGAGAAGACTGGCCATCACTTTGCGAGGCCCATATCCTGCAATATGAATGGGATCAGATATATGAAATGCTAGGGTGTCGAGGTGTACTCACGATCGACAAGCGGACCTGATATAACTCGCACAATGAGGGTGGAGCACAGCGAAACAATATTTGAATTCCCTGAACAGCGTTTCAGATCATAACTGACGGAGCATGGACTCGGAATTCGAATGTACCGACTTGCTCAGATGTCAGCTTCAAATCAGTCTTGATGACATCTGGAATGAGAGGGGAGAATGCGAACCACGACAAGCTGTGTAAACGAATCACAATCAGCGACTAATATGCACGAAACATCTAATAATAAATCTCATTCACAAGGCGACAAAAAATCCAAGCCACGACCTGCATGGCTGATAGTAAGATATGACGCCGCATGCACTGTCTAGAGACACGTACAGATGGAAATTGCGCGAGTACTGATTGTTCAGCGATAAAATAGGGACCGTGGAGCATTTGCGGTTGGTGGGGTTGATCACTGGGTAACGCAGGCTAGCATACCAAGCACTGCTAATGCCAGAAAGTGTTAGAGCAGACATGAACGCAGTCAACAAAATACGGTGTTGAAGGGCAAATTCTGGGGGTCTTGAAAGGAGTGCAAGCCTTTTGAATAGGTTTATTTCAACCACTGGCAGCAAGCTAAGACATTGGTCCAACAGTGAGTGACATACTTACGGCAAAGGTCAAGAATGATAAAACAAGATGGGAATAAATTATGACATATTACGGCTGAAGAGCAAGACTACGAAATCAAAGACTGCTGGCAGTGAAGACGGAAATTGCCGTGGCTCGAGGAAGGCATCCTGACCGAGTTCATGGTACTTGTTATCACTCGGGTTCCTGCAGCAAACAAGGTACAATCACGAACTCTCATGAATATCACAACAGACCTCGAAGACTGCAATAAATTAATTTTTTTGAGCATGCAAATCGACTGCGATAAACTGTCAGCGTCACTGCTGTTCCTATCGCGGAGAGTGAAACACGAGCAGCCGAACGACTTGCCGACACTATGGCGCGTGATAACTCAGTGCATCGACAACGTCAGCGCCGACGGCGCAGCAAGAGATTAGAAACTCTCGCAATTGCGCTCCTCGTTGAAGCAAAGGCTCTGGGGATCAGCTCATTGCTATTTCACGCACACTGGTGGACTGCGAAAGGGCTAAATGATTTAAAAATTGAATGGCGTGAGTCTGGGTTTGTGTTAATAAAGGAGAGCTGATACACTAAGAATGCGAGAAGTTAGCACATCGAAGACGTGAGGAGAATGTTACCGAACTGACGAAGCTGAAGTTAAGCATGAGAATAGTACCTCGGTGATGGCTACAACATTGTTAAGCTGCCAAAGCGAAGATGTCACGTGAGCAGAGTTCGGGGTCTTTTCATTGTGAATGGGGTATCCGGACTTTTTGCGCTCAGGATTTGAAGTGAACCAAGCTCAGAGCTGACAGGTCCGAACTTTGATAACGATAACAAGTTACCAGTTACCATGAACTCAACCTACTTCTTGTGGTCCTTCCAAGCATTTTTGTTTTCAGATACAGTGACCAATAATCTTTTTTGTATGTCACATTCACTTGGTTTCCTTGCAGCAATTGTGACAAGCTCAAAATCATGATGGCATGCGGCATGAGATCGGAGCAGTACCTCCTGGACATTTATAGACGAGGAAAGATAATCTATGCTCTCCACGGATCCGGCTTACGAGACCCTACAGCAGCTACTAGCTCACTGACACCAAACTTCCAAGTTCACCTTCGGTCCTGTCCTGGCGCTAAGCTCCTTACCACCATCGTGATATTTTGTCATCAGAGTGTGTCGTCAGTCTGTGGATTACCACTAAATGATGGCCTCCCCGGAAAAGCGAGTCATACATCAGGATAATATTTCCATGAGTCAGGGTGCACGAAGGACAATTTTTGTGGTCGGTCTGGGGATGGTGGGGATAGGTGAGTTGAAACCAGAGGTAGGATAAGGTCGGCTGTTACTTATACTTTGTATAAAGCATTTATCGAAAAGATGCTCGCCTTGGATGAAGCTAAACGGTACTGCTTGGTAACATGCGGCGAAGGTAAGCAACATTATCTTATCTACTGTGGAAACCTATCGTTTCATAGTGAAATGAAATATGAGTTGACCTGTCACTCGTTAGAGTCCCATTTGGCGTATAATCGCGTCGCACTCACGGACTATTTTCAACACCGCTCTGTCGAGAAACTCTATCTAAACCAAGGTGGCGTATTTGATAGTACATTCATCCTGACGTGTATTCGCTTACTGTGACCGTTTTCACATTGTCCACTTCCAACAGTGGAGTGGTATGCTCAACAGGATCCAGAGCGCTTTCTTTTCCACATTGGAGAACGGGCTACCTCCTTGGATACTATCGCACATTCCGTTACGACCAGCAAAGGGCGTAAGATAAGTTATGATTACTGCGTTCTTGCTACTGGCTCCGAAAGCACTCTCCCGCCATATGTTTCCTCAGTCAGGGCTGAACAAGCTCGAGGAATATTCGTTTATAGAAATATCTCTGATCTCGACGAAATGTTGTCGTATTCTGAACAAGAACACGTTAAAGGTGGCCGAGTACGTGTCATACAACCCAAGACATGCCTGCGCAGTGGGTTCATTTTCTTCCTTTAGGCTGTTGTCATTGGAGGCGGCCTTATCGGACTGGAGGCCGCGAAAGCGGTGTTTGATCTGTAAGTGACCCTCTTTTGTCCACGCTAACTCTTTTCTTATTGAAAATTTGTGAGACAGTGAGACAATATCAGAAGTCGTGATCATCAACCGTCAAGCCTTCCCGCTGTCGCGCCAACTCGACGATGAAGGCGGAGAAATTGTCCTTCGACGGATTGAAGCCATGGGTGTGCGAGTCCTCACTAGGACGACTGTCAAAGATATCATCACTTCAGATGGTGTCTTAACTGGCCTCACTCTGTCAGATGATCAATATCTTAAAGCTGAGATGGTCATTCATGCTATTGGCATCACCCCTCGAGATGACTTGGCCCGCCAGGCGGGCCTGAAATGCGTTGAGAAGGGAGGTATAGTTATAAACGACCTGTTGCAGACCAGCGCCCAAGACGTCTATGCAATCGGCGAGTGCGCGAGCTGGAAGGGCAACACTTATGGTCTCATTGCACCTGGAGGTGAGAGCACCTGCATTCACCTATCGGTTGCTACTGATAGTGTCATTAGTGGAGATGGCTGACATCCTATCATTCAATTTCACCCAAATTGAGACTGACATCGGTGGCTTCAAACCAAGGGTGATGGTAGGTAACTATTCCTGTGTTTGTGCCATCTGTTCACCACTATAAAATTGCCAGAATATGCCCGACCTCTCAACAAAGCTGAAATTGATGGGAGTCGATGTAAGTTATGACATTCCGCACCTAACACTACTCTATATCACTCGATATTAGGTCGCCTCTTTCGGTGATTACTTTGCCGACAAGCGCAGTGCACGGGGTGTCCTCACCAGTAAGGTGGCAGTTGCAGAGCCTCTTACTCGAGACAGAGCCGAGAAAGATATCGACGTGAAACCTATCGCACGGCAGATAAGTCCTTCGGGAAGCAGTCCTAGCAACAGAGTGAAGGAAGGCGAAGTTGCAATCAACACTGTCACTACGGGGACGAAGCACGGAACCCGCCAGGCCGCACTAGATGGTCCTACTGAGTGCTTGACTTACCGTGATCCGTTCTCGTATGTCTATAAGAAGTGAGTTGCGGAGGCAGAAGTTTATTATATAACGCTCACGGAAGTGTAGGTACATCTTCACCGCCAACGGCAAGTACCTATTGGGCGGCATGATGGTTGGTGATACATCCGACTATGTGAAACTTGTGTCCTTGGTCAAGAAGAAGGTGAATTTAGCAAAGATTTTTTTCCCTGGCAACCCCGCTGATGCTGAAAGGTAGAAAGAGCTAGAAGAGCCACCTTCCAAGTTCATTATGGGATCGGGCTCCAAAGGCCCGGACGACGGCGCTGATCTCGACGATGACACCCAGATCTGTAGTTGCCATGCAAGTATCCTCTCTTCTGTATCACAAAGCTCACGCATCTTAATTTGACTGTAGAATGTCTCAAAGGGTGCGATCGGCGAATCTGTGAAAGCAGGTATTACCACTCTGTCAGACCTCAAGGCAAAGACAAAAATTGGTACTGGATGTGGTGGGTGTGTGCCTTTGGCCACAAACATATTCAAGGTACATTATTCCTCCCTTCATCACAAATATCCTCAATGACCTGAGAACTTGTAGGCAGAGATGAAGAAAGCAGGACATGCCGTATCGAACCACCTTTGTCCCCACTTTGGTATGGCTCGGCAAGAGCTCTTCAGCGTCGTGAAGTGTGTCTGCGGCTTTGTATCCCGAAAAACTAATTTATCGTGTCCGCTAGGATACGTAAGTTGAAAACATTCCCAGAGATCATGGAGGCTGCCGGTGTGAAGAAAGATTCACTCGGGTGCGAGATATGCAAGCCGGCTATCGGTATGGAATAACATAGCGTTTATCCATGCAATGCTCAGCCTGCTTAGGTTCCATCCTGTCGTCATTGTATAACGAGCTCGTGCTCGCACCTGTACACCACGCCAATCAAGACACGAACGATAAATACCTTGCTAACATTCAAAGGAATGGTGAGTCCCCGTTTATTCACGAATATGCTCACGTCCACTTCTTCTTTTTTAACTACTTTAATTTTGCTGTCAGGTACATTTTCTGTCGTTCCTCGAGTTGCTGGAGGAGAAGTCTGTACTTTTTTTTCGATTGTGGGTAGAAATTCACTCCTAACTTTTCAGATCACGCCGGACAGACTCGTCGTTCTCGGACAAGTCGCAAATAAATGTGGGGTGTGGTTGCTACATGTTTTCCACGCACTCACACTATACTGGCAGACAAGTTGTACACCAAGATCACAGGAGCGTAAGTGCATCATATTGTGCAGGTGTCACATGTGAAATTTGAGATTTACGGTACCAGGCAGCGCATCGACCTCTTTGGGGCTCAAAAGCAAGACCTCCCAGACATTTGGGAGGAACTTGTCGCTGCAGGATTCGAAAGTGGACATGCTTATGGTACGATAGAACCTAGCAGTCGATTCAAGTTTGTTATATTGATCATCCATGATTCAGGAAAGGCCTTGCGGACTGTGAAGTCTTGCGTTGGTACCACATGGTGCCGCTACGGAATCGGCGATTCTGTCGGAAGTTCGTGTAATGCTGTGTATGTTGAGCTTCATCAGCTGAATGAGATGTACAGTGGCCATTCACCTTGAAGAACGGTATAAGGGCATTCGCTCGCCCCACAAGCTCAAGGGCGGTGTGAGCGGTTGCGTTCGAGAGTGTGCCGAAGCACAGTCCAAGGACTTCGGCTTGATCGCAACCGACAAAGGATGGAACAGTACGTACTCTCCACTACATTGTAAACCCACGAACCTAAATCTGCATCAGTTTTCCTTGCCGGAAATGGCGGGTCGAATCCGAGACATGCAACGCTGTTTGCTAAAGATGTTCCTCCGTCAAAGGTTGTCCACATTCTTGATCGTTTTCTAATGTACTATATCCACACTGCAGACAAGCTCATGAGAACTGCGAGATGGGTAGAACAGTTTGATGGTGGTATTGAGGTTTGTCACATGAGTATCGCATAATCTTTTCTATGCTTATTAATATTATCTTACGCAGCGACTCAAAACAATTCTTCTTGATGACGAGCTCGGCATCTGTGCGGATCTAGAGAGGGAAATGGGCGAACTTATCGGATCTTACGCAGATGAATGGAAAGCTGTGGTCAATGATCCTGCAAGGAGAAGTCAGTTCCGTCAGTTCGTCAACACTGTTAGTGGAGCCGCATGTCTGGGGAACGCATGCTATGGTACTAATGGCTCGCGTACAGGATGAGCGTCGCCCTCAAACAGAAGTCATCACAGAGCGAGGGCAGGAACGTCCAGCAGACTGGCCGAAACTGTTGCCTCCCGCTAAACTTGGCGAATCAGTCATTGTTACTCCTAAATCTGAGTGGAAGTGGCAAAAGTTGGCCACTATCCACGATCTTATGCCAACTGATGACGCCACCACGTGGGTTCTTACGCACATTCGTCTGTTGTTTCACCTGATACTAAGACCTCCGCCTTCTCAGGTCTGCTGCTGTCAAGTATGGTGACTCGCAATTGGCTATTTTTCACATTCCCAGACGTGGTTACTTTGCCACGCAACAGGTACAGTCCATTTCGTTCCCTTTCTGAATATATTTCGGAAAATATTTTTGCAGATGTGCCCACACAAGCGGGCTTTCGTGCTCGATCACGGAATTGTTGGCGATGACCTAGATGGCAATCTCTACGTCTCATGCAAGTGCCATGTTTTATCCGCTTTCTGCTAGTCTTCTGAAGTGTCCTTCCTAAGGTCCTTTGCACAAACGGAACTTTCGTCTCACAGACGGTAAATGTTTGAACGACGAAGATTTTTCCATCATTCCGTTTGACGTGAAGCAAGAAGGCGACGATCTCCTCGTGCTCCTTCCCGATTCAGACAATTTGGATGCAGCCATTGGAACAAGTAAATGGATGGTCAAACAAGCTTCGGTCGAGCTTTCTTCACGTGGTGGTGGAGAAGGGATTAAAATCGCCGATGTCGGAATTGGTCTATCTGAAAGTAGGTCTGCGTGCGCTGGGGGACAAAGTTCGTGCAGTGGTGGAAATACATCATTGGATTGGTGATTCGATGGTACCTGTCGTCATTTATATTCATGCACAAAAATAGCTGTAACATTTTCGAAATTCCAGCAATTAATTGTAGCTGACCAAGACTAATAGGCGTTGTAATACTGACACGTACAACTTGTACGGACTTAAAGCTTTAAAGTGTCACAAGTCTGCCATAGAGTAGTATTGATGCTAGCCCACTAGGGTCAGGCACCTTGCTTGCGGTTGTAATTTCCTAGAAGGGAAAAGAGGTTGATTCAGGAGAGGAACCGGGAAAGGAATGAAAGTACGAGAGTCCAACGGTCCAGAGATTTATGCACACCTCTGATTTCTGATATTCGCAACGTATGATGTCTCAGTATCAGTAATACTTGTCAAATGGAATTGTCTGGACGACACGAAGGAAGTGCGAACGCAAACCGGTTTCTCCGATGAGTTTGAAACACAATAGCCGATGTCCTCCATTATTTTCTTTATTTGGTGCTGGCATAAAAAGTAACTTTCATGCGACCTTGCAAGCAAAGTGATGATCAGCTTCCCATATCGCGACCAACTCTATTAATACAGTAGATGATTTGTGTCTAAATAAATTAGTACGATTCGTGCCTAAGGAGTAATGTCTTCGTTCAGCTTTCTCGCCCTAAGCTTTGTCCTCGTCGTCATCATCGTCCTCGTGTTGAGGATTGTCGAACGAATATGGCAATGGGACCTCGTGCGTAATTCGGTATTGATCCATATTCCCAAGATGCTCATTCTCGAGACGGTCTGTCCATCGAGGATTAGCGAGTTGCATAGAAAGAATTTTGAATAAAGACACTGACAGAAATTCCACACAACTCTTCTTACCATCTCCATTAGGCCACATACGAATGTCCGGACAGTAAAGTATGACCAACTTGGTATGTAGAAGACCCAGAGAAAACGAATGAAAAAGTTCGTGACCTGTATTAGATTGTCCAGAATGAAGGGAGTCACAAGTATATATTCTGCTCACCAGAGCAACATAGTACAGCTAAATAAAATGAAAATTCAGAACATTTAATTTAGTAAATGGTAGGGCACACCGGAATCTGGGATGTGTACACCAACTCCCGCCTGAGCAGGGGGTATTTAGCGCGAGGTTTGCAGATAGACCAGTCCATCGCGAAGTCCTGAGTGAAGTTAACAGTGTACCCACCCTTGACTGTTCGTCAACTCACCCATGCACATCCATATAGCGCATAGATAACTGCCGACAAACACCACAGAATGAAAGAAGCACCGCCGTCAGTTGCTCCTGAAGGAGATCAGATAAGAGTGGGGACGTGAGAAAGCGGCCTACCGTCGCGTCTCCAAAGGTAATAACAGAGGTAGTACACCATGCCCATCCCGTACTTACCGGCCTGCACATTCAACCAAGATGTAAGCTGTTTTTGAGTGCTTCCATTCGATAATGAAGACCTACGTTGATGAGATGAGTAGGTAACTTTGAATCCCTATAACGTCTGACGCTCTGCACGAATCGCACTAAGAACGGTATCATAGCAAGTGCGAAGTAAGAACCCCAATGCGATTCCGCTCCACAAGTCGTCCACGCGTCTCGAACCGCAGGGTCGTATGCAGACGAGAGGACTTCGTCTCTTGGCACCAAACTAAACATCTGGGAGGAGGGAAGGAAGCGTGGAACAACTGCCATGGAAATGTTTTGTTGCAGTGATGACACGTTGGTATAGGAAGGAACATGAGGAAAGTATCGGGAGTAGAAACACCCAACGAAGTAAAAGTTCGACAAACTATAGGCAAGACTGCAAAACTGATCGCTGTAAAGGTTGAGATGAAAGACACAATCGCGCGGAATTGCAGTCACTAACCCAAGCCAGAAATCCGTGAACTGTCAATCGCGTCAATTACATGATATGCGTCACATGATACGAACGTACTTCAACGCCCCACAAACCGCTAATACCTAGTCTTGCAATGCTCTTGATAAGCCACCATCGTGAACGACCTCGGAGGTTCTATACATTTTCAAGAACATATCAGCTCGAATCGTAGACACAGGTAATGTGACCTTGCCGGAATGGGATTGCACAAGACAATAACCACAAGGGCAAGCCACACAAGCGGCCAGACGAGTGGAGGACCGACTCGAATGAAAGAAAGCATAAAGCAATATGCTAGTGCACATAATAGGAAAGCAGGAAGCTAATGTGGAATTGTATCAATGAACCTCATAGAATGCCAAGGCGTCAAACCTCAAAATATTCGCGATGGTCGAGTCGAGATCGTACATTAAGTTCTTCGAAAGAAGGTCAGCATGAGGGAGATAAACAAGACAAGTTATGCACACCAAATATGAACACATAGTTGATCCTTTCTCTAGCCCATACAACGAGGTTCAAACCAACAAGCAACGCGAGTAACGTAGGAATTAAAAAAATAGAGTAGATGAAAAGTATGATATCCCATGAAGGCAATGAGGTGGCGGTACTGTGACGCAGACCTGCAGGTGACATAAGCATTTTTGTGGTTGTCAGCATCAGGAAAACACAACGTACATGTTATGAAGCCGATAATCGTTGCTGGTATAGATGACCCAAGCCACATACCTGTGCGAAACGTGCTGAAATGATGGGATTTCTGATTCGTACCAACACGAAGATGAGTGATAGCTTTCTTCTTGTCATCAAATTCTGCGGTAATATGTAGAAAGAGAAAACCCGGGACCTTTGAGCGACATACCGAATCTTGCGGCAAACAACTCTTCCATCTCTTTAAGCATTGAGTTGACCATTGCGCCAGAAGCAAAAGCCGAGGGCTCGACCTGACCATGGTGTAATTTCAAGATGTTACAAAAGGTATCAGGAAAGTCTTACTCTCTCCTTCATATAAGCTGCTTGAGCAGGCACCTGTGTAATCTTCTCGTACTTCTTGACAGCTTTGCGGAAACCAGTAAGGTTAAGTATCTGTTTGATTTGAGAACAACGGCAGCATGAGTGATCGAGAAAATTAGCATGATGGGACCGGTCACGTACACGGTAATTATTCAGCGCCTCGAGCCCACTGGACAAGGGAAAAAGTCAGCTTCCGCCGGCATGTAATTATTAGGAGAAAATAGAAGCAGGTTGGCACGAGGGATCCATTGCCAACACAGTGAATCTAGCGTCGATCTTTCCTCGCCACAAGAAAGAAGAGCAGTACTCCCGAAAACCGGCGACGGAAATGGGACATACCGGTAATACTCCACGACAGCTTTCTTGAGGCGTTTCCTCGCATTCTGGTACTCTTGGGGGTTCGTGAAGGGCATACTGTTGTTTCTCACCGGGATATTGCCATTGGCTTTTGTAGGCGGGGCTGAACGAATGATCCTGAGTGATGCAACCTGAGTTGAATCACCTGTGGTAGACGCAGGATACAGCGATATCGTTTTACGTTCGGAAGTTTCTCCATCTCCAGTGATGATCGAATGACCTGTTTCCGCAGATCAGCGGCCCACTCTGTTGCCCCTTTCGACTGGAGTAATGATGAATGCATACCTCCCCGACACGACTCAGGAGCTACTAGTCCTGGTTGACTATCGTTCTTGTCTGTACGACGTTGGGTTAGGGCAAGTAAAACTGCTGCCAGACCTAGGCGAGCTCGTGCAGCCCAGCCCGGTGCTGTGTCGTTTGCTTTAGATTCCTGCATATGCGTAGAGTTAGAGTGTCTCAAAAAACAACAGAAGGAAGCGCATATGTGCTGAATGGTAGACTAACATAATACTTCTTGCGATGCAACCCAAGTTCATTAAGCTGCTCTTTAAGCCGCTTGCCACGGTCTCGCATTTCCTTTTCTCGTTCTGCATAAAAAGAGTCGACTTTCTCCAATTCAGAATCTAATAGCTCGAAAAAATGTGCATGAAGTGGTGGTAGTAGAGGAAGAAGGGTGTGTAAGGCAGCAGGAGCCGGAGAACCTAATGGTCAAGTGAGGTTTCTACGCAGAAACCGAAACCGTTTGAACTGACCTGAATCACGGAAAAAGGGAAATATGGGTGGCAAGTACGCAGTCTTCGGGGGTAAGGGAGTCGCCTGCGAAGGAGCCTGTGATGATGAGCCTGTGAGATGAGGTGGAGGCGGAAAACTATGCACTGAAATTCTGAGCGATGGACCTGTCAAAACCCTCCATTAAATAGAACACAGCAGATGATGCTGAAACTGCTCACGCAGATGGCTATTCCTTTGTTGGATTCGAGTTGCGGAAAGAGTCGAAATCACTTCAACTGGAGCATCAGGTCGTGGAAGGAGCGGCATCTCTGAAGAGTACATTGAAGTGAAATGAGCTAGTGAAAATTTATTCGGAATAGCCGACATACCGTTGTACTGTCCATATTCTCTAGCTTGCTTATCAACATCAGTGGTTCCAGTGAAGCTCTGCCTGGCAATATGTTCTGCATGAATTGCACCAATGCGCTTCTTTAGGCCACGATAATCACTGAAAGAGAACCGTAGTGAGAATAACGTTAGTGGATATGATTAATCAGCACATGCAAAACATATCTGCGTGCGTAGAGCTGGGACGCACATATATGCCTTTTTCCACTCGGGAGTCTGCAACGAGATGTCATTCAGTACACACATCACCACGATAGATTGGTTAGTTTGGATTAACAGACTGACTTGTGTATCGTTAAGATATCTACAATCAAAAGAAGTAGCACGAAACGAGCATAAGCAGGAGGATAGAAGTCCGGATATCGACTCACTGCGCAAACTTCATCACTGTCCAGCGGCTTGTGACCTGATGGACTTGGTTAGGTTATGCCGGACGATAAGTCGCGTACTGTGAGTGAATACAGGGTATGATCCACACAAGATAGTGGAACTTTTCGACTGACACGCAACTTTAAAGCGCAAAGGAGCCGCTAAAAAGCTCCAGGAACAGATGCCAGGTTTCATCTAAAAGATCCTATGGACACCGAAATCCTGGCGAAAATCCAAGAATGGATATGACATAGGATCCATGGCCGACAGCGGAAACTGTAACCTATAGATGAGTGACGAGATCGTGGCGACAGGTCAGAGTGTTTGTATTTCGGGAAGTTGCGGGAAAAGATACAGCCGTTTGACAAGTAATGTGTGGCCAGCCAGACTCGTCCCCCAATTTCCAAACGATTGCTTACCTATCTCACTTCTGATGCGTCCAATTTCCAGCACACGACCTCCACAAACGTGGCAGAACCTGGTTTAGTCTTCTGTCGATGACGCTTTGGACGCCCCTTTGTATGAGACAGTGAGAACCGTTATACTTCCCAGTTTACGGCACCCAACCCGCTACTTTCTGAGTCACCATTCTGATGTCTGAGCTCGAATTGACATCTCACAAAGTCTTGGTCTTTGACGTTTATGGGACCCTCATCGACTGGGAATCCGGAATATACAATAGTCTCAAGCCGCTCTTCCCAAAGGACACTCCGAGAGAAGAGGTGTTGCAGAAATATGCTGCTGCGGAACTAGATCTTCAAATGAAAGATCCGAGTGTACCATACTCGAAGATCCTCCATCTCGCTTGGCTGCAGCTCAGTGGTCAAGCTAACACTACTCTTGGATCAGGTGTGGTCACGGATGAAGGGAGGGGATAGCTTCCTCGACGCTACCAACAAGCGATGCTGAGCGCTTTGGAGCTTCCATACCCACGTGGCAGCCATTTGACGACACCGTTCAAGCCCTCCACAGACTGAAGAAGCACTTTGCTCTAGTGGTTCTCTCCAATGTGGATAACAGAAGTTTTGGCGGCACACATGAGTTGCTAAAATCTAAAACACATGAAGCTTCCAAGAGCAGATACCCGACAGATACCCCCGACTCCCCTTTCTCACTCATCCTCACCGCCCAGCAACTTAATGCGTATAAACCAGACTTGAGGGTGCTGGAAACTGCACTCCAGCAAGTCTCGTCTGCGCCTCGCCCCCTCATACCGCATCCTAGCCCACCCTGGGGTGTGGGGGCACGCGAGGTACTTGTAGTGGCGAACTCGCTTCTACATGACATCGAGCCCGCAAATCTTCACAGTCTTAACAGTGTGTGGATTTCACGCCATGAGAAAAATATCATCGGGTCCAAATCCGAATTGAAGGAACGAGGTACTTGGACATGGAGGTTCGAGACATTAGGTGATCTGGCAGATGCGGTGGACCAGGAGGTTAAAGAAGCGCGCGGGGCTACATGAACTTCAGGTGCGTAGCAGTTATGCATTCTGTGTACGAGAAATGAATCCCCTTTCTCAGATAGGACAAGTTGTTGTCATTGTATACTTTGGTTGGATGTGGTGTATGAGGCTGGTACAACTGTCATAATTCCAGTGTATGAGCGAACACTAGCTTGAAAGAAGTTGAAAGATATTTATGATGCGATCCAACGGGTTGATAGGTTCTTCTGTATACAGTCTTCTGTCTGGAAAATTAACTAAGGGTTCAAGCGAGATCGGAATAGATGATCCCCTCCTTTCTCATTTTTAGCACTCCAAATTTCGAATAAGTTGATACTCGAACTCCTGTTAAAATAGATCAGACAGTAGTCCCGGGCTTACCCGAGCCCCGCTTTTAACCCTCGGTTTCTTAGTTCACCCGAACACATGACATAGATGGGAATCATCTTGCTGGCCAATGCAGGCTAATCCCCGTGTAAACCATAATTCTAAACGCTACGAAGAACCGTCATAATATTCCTATTGCTGAGAAACAATTTTTTGTTGGGCCCTGACCCTTCATTCAACGATATCACTCATGATAGGAACGAATTTAAATGCAACAGAGACCGAACAACGGACAATTATTAACAAAAAATAATTATAGGGAAATTCCTCAACTATAATCAAGTGACCTCCCGCTCAAATGACACAGATAGTCGACTCGATATAATAGACCTATTGAGTAGGTATCACCAGATCGGTAGAAGTGGGGAACCGGGACGAATAATTACGTGAATACGTGTGGTAGAAGCCAGGCAGTAATAGACGGGAAAGAAACAGGGTGGGCGACGATGTTGTACAGGACACCGCTGGCCGAGTAAAACTCGCTTGACGTCGAGATTTGGAAAGGGACACAGACAACCGGGCATTGCCCGACGCTCGTTAGCGACTGAGTGGGTATAGTAACTATTTTTTCATTCGACGTTAATATTAATTAGGTTTCAGGTGAACGTGGGACGAGGACATGATAAAACTCGCTTATGCACCTTGGGCTAGTGTGACAATGACGACTCCTAACTCAGTGGTCTCGTGATAAATAGAATCTCCGTCATTTGGGACGGAGATTTCTCAGTGTTGCGCCATACCGAGAGCGCCCGGAGCATGTGTCACAACGGACAAAGGGTGTCCATAGACTTGCGAAGCTCGACCAATTGGACGTTGTATAAATGGTAAATTACAACTCGATTGTTTCAAACTTGAAAGTGGTTTCACATACCTAGAAACGTTTTTCAAACCGCACAAAACTCATCTTCTTACTGATAGAACCTTTAGCCGACTTCGTACTAAGCACAAGCCTTTGTGTTGCAGCAACACGGGCAAAGATGCCGCGGGCATCAAATGCATAAGGCTAAGGTATCGTATAGAAATTCCACAGCTCTTACACGAGAATGACCGCCAATAATAAGGCAACCAGCACAATTATAAGGATAGTTATACACCATCCCGACTTCGTTTCTACTCCTAGAACGTCAGATGTCATAACGACCACATAGCCAGCTTAAACTTGCCTTCCGTGTCTCGTACAAATTTCTTCATTCTTCGCATCGCATTTGATAGCTTGGAATCCGTCTGGTCAACATTTGCCTCAAGATCGTCAAGCATTCTGGTCAAAAATCTTAGTATGAACTAGCGGCAGCGAATGACATGACCCACTCAACGTGTTCGCTAATCTCATGCCCCATCAGGCCTGCTTGTTGAGCTAGAGTATTTAAAGTCCCTGATATCGAATCTATGGCACGATCTTGCTCCTGAAGTAATAACTTTCGCACGTTTTGCTGTTAAGTAGTCTCCCCTCTTATGAGATGAATGTATGAAAACATACTTGTTGCTCTTCATGAGCCCATTTTGCTTGCTCATCATCGGGCTCTCCTGACTGCGAGCCAGGTACTGATTGTAAAGGAGACCGTGAACCACTGGGTAAAGATGATTGTGACTGAGGAAGGGGGGTGGACGGTGAATTCCCTCCAGACGGCAACTAATGAACCATCAGAAACTGCATATCTAGCAGAAATAAATACCGACATTTCGTCCTTCAACGTCCGCCCTCATACCCTGTCCTTAGGTTGGTCATCTGAGTTAGGGTGTGCATGCCTCAAGCAACTTGTGACGAACCTCAATTTCACGACGTACGCGACCCACATATTTCCGCCGTTCAGAGACCTCTGCGTCATCCAGTCCAAAATATCTAGGACCCGTGTCCTCCACTATCCTAAAAGGAATAAGTTCCTTGAACTGCGGACCATCATCCCAGCTTACTTGACGCTTTCTTCTAAATCCTCCAAGTCTGTGTACAGAGCAGCAAGCGTAGCTTTCAACTGCACCCTCATGTCAGCTTTTCGTTTGAAGAGTGTGTCAAGGATAACCTCACTTCATTTCGGGCCAACACAAGCTCTTCACTCCCATCCCGAGCGAGGCTGCGGATTCGCAGGAACGAAGAGCGCAACGACGACGCTGTCTGGAGCAAAGATTGAATCTCCCGCTGTACTTCATGATATGGGTCGGTCGACATGATATGAATGAATGTAGCAGATCTGGTATTCGATTGGTCCGAGTGGTCGTACAGTCCGTAGTGATCAACGTCCCCAAGAATTTTGAACACGTGATTCCAATCCGCCGAATTAGTATGTACTACTGGCCCGATTTGGTCCCTGGACCGGTTATAAGTATGTATGCATGCATGCATACTAATAAGCATGCTTTGATATTGTTACCCCGATGTGTGTGCGACTCACTCATATTGTGTGAACCATCGCAGCTGCTTAATTTGTATCAAGCTATACTGCTCAGAACCTAAGTCAAAACACTATCACATCCTACAAGTTGTGTCTACTGCTTCCAGCTGAGACGGCCATATTCATACAAGTTTACCAGGTTCGTATGTACCTGTGTACGCTGACAGGCAAGTCCATGGTCCGTATTACTAATCCTGACCGCTGATACCAACAACAGTTACAGCTCGCCACTTCGAAGGAAACCAGTACTATCCGGCAAATTCATAAGGATATGGACCTCTTGGATGATCATTGATCTCTACCCTGCCCTGCATCTTCAATAATTGGCTGTCTTTTCTGTCCCGCATACATCGCGTTTCAACACAGCTATATATTATATTTGCAACAATATCCAAATGGTCCATGTCCAGCTCATACTCGAGCAATCCTTCCGTAGATCGTGTGTACTCCTGCCGGCCAGGTCTTGATGGGCTTTGGCGCATCATCCATATGGTCTAGCCCCAAGCTAATACCGTGCTCATTCCATCCCCAGCCTCAAACTTCCGTGTCTGACAAGCCAGATGGAAAGATTGCTGCCATCATATGTTCGCTGCCACAAGCAAAGGATCTCAGTGAAGGCAATTTGCCATCGTTGGATGAGGCAAATTCGGCAAGTCCGACAGTAGCCCCGTTCTCCTCGACTTGCGACTCCCGAGCTAATTGACCAGGGCATTACTTCCCGTTGATAGAAGGGTATTTTCATCGTCGTCCTTGAGAAAGTATGTCCCATTTCACGTGCACCCAACTTGTCGAACACGCCCCAAAGAATCCATTCTATGAAGTCACCCTTTCTTGTTAGATCCAAAGACTGCTGTCTGCCCTGATCGGTGGCAGACGACGGTGTGTTGGAGACCGAGGGAACATGTTTGCACCGGATCTGGAGATACATCAAGGGAAATTATGTCAGGGCGGGCGGTCGTAGTCATGGTCTTCGTGTCCCCCAGCCAACGAACATATGTTCGCTATTGAGAACGGCTCGCGCATGAAGTACGACATGACGAGGTCCTGCAACAAAGGAGTCGACAACGAGCTCACTGGGATTGATAGTGCGTCCCTCGATAGTGAGGTGATCAAATGAAACGACTGCCGGAGGTGCCATGGCTTGTTTTGTGCCCCCACCGAGCGCCCCGAAATCATTCGAACCCATCGAGATGACCGCGTCTGGTCGGGAAGGTAATTTCGAAACAAGATATGATGTCTCCGATATGCTTATCGCTGCGGCATGCCAATTGGATGGTGCATGAATTGGACCGCAAATAAGTAACCCATATCTTGAGCAAATCACACGAGTTAAAGCAAAGCAGTGTCCGACGGGGAGTTAGAGCTGTTATGATAAGCTGGTTTGCATCGTCTAACGTACGAAATGCTGATCATCTACTTATGTAGGGACTCTGGGCCAGTCAAGGCCGCAATGAGGTACCAGGGCCCCATGGTTCAAGCTCCAGGCTTGTCTGGGCTGATCCAACTGATGTCATATGATGATGCATTCAACTTTTGAGTTTCAAAATGTTTCGAAATTCGAATTCAGTCCAATCTTGTGGTGAACCCCTTCATATAAATACTAAGGAGCCTTCTCCTGTTGCACATTCACCATTCGCCTTACAACATTCATCATTCATGTCGAGCATTCCAAAGACACAAAGCGCTGCAGTCGTGCCGTGTCATGGAGCTGCTCTTGAAATAAAGAAGGATCACCCAGTCAAGCAACCTTCCGAGCTTGCCCCGGGCGAATGCCTCGTCAAATTATTCTGCACTGGAGTCTGCCATACGGACTTACATGCTAGCAAAGATGATTGGCCACTTCACGCCAATACACCTCTTGTTGGCGGCCATGAAGGTGTAGGGGAGGTCGTTGCCATTGGGGAAAACACCGGCGAATGTCCTGTGAAGATTGGTGATCGCGTCGGCATCAAGTGGGTTGCGTACTCTTGTCTGAACTGCGAGCAATGCCGCAATGGACGAGAACAAAGTGAGTTAAACGTTTGAACGTTTGAACATGACGCTCAATTTTATATTCAGACTGTCCTAAGGCGAAATTAAGCGGGTTCACCATTGATGGCACATTCGCAGAGTACACAGTGTGTCAGCTTCCAGGTATTATAAATGTGTCACTGATTTCGTTAGGTTTCCTACGTACATCATGTTACTCCTATTCCCAAAAATATAGACAGCAATGCCGCAGCCTCAATACTTTGTGCGGTAAGGTTATAGCCTTTCCAATTGATTATAATTCACTCACATGCTGCATCAAGGGACTTACTACATACAGAGCTCTCAAATACAGCCGTGCAAAGATTGGTGAATGGGTTGTCTTGCCTGGTGCAGGCGGTGGCCTCGGACACTTGGGTCTGTCCCACTACTCCAGTTAATTTTAATGATCTGACCACCGATTTCTTGAGTAGCGGTTCAATACGCGGTAGCCATGGGCTTCCGTGTCGTAGCGATAGGTATTTTGCCCTATTCATACTTGAGAGGAGACTGATATCGTCGCGTTCAGATACAGGCCTCGAGAAGAAGAAACTGTGCCTAGAGCTTGGAGCCGAAAAATGGATTGACTTCAAGGAGGCAAAAGATATTGTCCAGGCTGTGCGAGAAGCCTGTGATGGTGAGGGAGCACACTGTGCTGTCGTCACTACTGCAAGTGCATCTGGTTATACGCAAGCTGTTGATTACCTTCGACCTGGAGGAACGCTGATGGCAGTAGGGTTACCGGGCGAAGCAAAGCTCGAGGCATCCATCTTTTTCACCGTATTCAAGGTAGGCTCTGCGAAGAAAGATTTAAGTTTGGTTTGTTCAAGAATTGTTGCAGAGCATTAACATCATTGGTTCATATGTTGGTAATCGTCAGGATGCCATCGAGGCTCTGGAGATCGCATCGAGAGGTAGGGTAGTAGTGAGGTATGAGTGCAAGGGTCTCTCTGAGCTCAAAGAGTGAGTAGTTCGCAATGGTAAGGACACAGCTGACATGGTTCACAGGGTCTATAACGCACTCAAGGAAGAAAAAGTAGCGGGGAGAATCGTCTTGGAGATGTCAAACTGAACGTCCAACTTGCACGCATATCGAAATCGGTGTATACTACTCAAGCCTTCTCTTTAAGTCCTCCGTCTGAACACCAGGGGAAGACGGGTTGGTCTAAACAGCCATCAACACTTCATCTTACAGGAGCTGATGTTCAACGTGCGCCAGAGTGAGCATTCTTCATGCGTCAAGTACTCTCTCCTTGCGCTGTTCATACGTTTCGCCAGCAAATTGTGGCTCGTCCTTAACCGAAGTGATATATTGCGAAATTAGAATGGTGAGAACGGCTGCACCATCGGTTTCCGCGAACCTAAGCAAATTCAAATCAACGACCAAGAACAATGACAATATGCTCACTTTCTTCCTACACACCCTCTATAACCTTATGGGCGTTTACAAGTTCGTTCTGAGCAAGATATTGAGACACTTACCACCACTGAAAGCGAGGAATGCATTTCTGTTCCAGTCACTCAAGAATCGTTCACGTTTAAACGTGAACGGATCTTCCCAGTACTTAGCTGCAACCATGCGCCGGGTTGTTATTGCGTATCTTTGCATCTGGCAAGTTGTGGTGAAGCCCAGGTACGTCCAGTGTAAGATCCAATCCTTTAGGCACAGCGACTGTTTTCAGCGTCCCATTCACATCCGTGAGGGTGAAGGTCGTGTCTTTGGCACAAGGCAAAACTGCACCTGAAGTTAACAAAATCGCTCAGGGATATTCGCTCCCACCAACATACAGGGGGGAACATCCTCAGTGCCTCGTTGAACACGCTGCCACGATGTCAACTCATAACGCTGTCGATTTAGAGGCAAAGTGACGCAGAAGAGTAGGTCAATGACAGCATATCATCATAAGTCTGTCAAAAACATCGTAAGCCTGGCTGTATAGCTGTCTGTAATTCAGGGGTCCATACAGGAATTCTTCCATCAGACAGTACGTGCTTGATGTGTTGATACATTTCTTCTTGCTTATCGGGATGTAAAGCCAATAGTACGAACGCAAAAGAAAGTGCATGGGCCGTCGTCTGTGAGTTGTCAGCGTGAGGCAAAAGTGTCGAAGGGATGTAGTACCTCGTGTCCCGCGACCAAAATTATGAAGATATCGCCAGTCGGACGATGTAGCCATGTTCTGCTGGAGCCCGAAACTGTAGCTTACCGATTAATTCGCTGTCGGTTAGCTTTACTTCACCCTTCGACAAATCTACATTTGCTGATGACAAACTAGATAATAGGTCGTTATTATCTTCTTCGTCCTTGGATCCCTGCCGTTTATGAATCGTCTCTGTAAGGTATCGCTACAAAAGGGGGTCATTAAAAATGTCAAGTGTTCAGTCACAATTATGGTACAGACATCCAATTCATCGAAGGCAAGCCTTGCACGCCTGAAATGTGTAGTGAGCCCCATGGCCCATCTCGGTACTAATAATGTAAGGGTGAGGTCCTGTGTCACTGTGCGGAGAGCATCTTTGAAAGTCAGCTGGTGTCCGAGTGGGGTCACAGCGTCCTCTTTCCAGGATATAGGACGACCAAAGCCTATAACGAGTTCACTATGTTAACAGCTACTTGTTGATAATACCTGATCATGCTCACCTGCAGCCCCGATCACGAACAGGGCAATCTAGTTATCCGAATGGAATCAAAGAAGCATGAAGGTGGCCACAAGAGCTCTCACTGGAAAAGTCAAATCCACGGAGTAATTTGACAACTACTTCTTCTTGTCCAGCCCACATTGTATCAAAAAGGTCGAGCATGATCTGTGTCGTGGCATCCCAGACCAATCTATTGTTCCTCTTTAAGTCATAAGTTAGGAAGCTCTATTGTACACATGGACATCAGTTACTAACTTCTGAAAACCCAGGTGCGACGATCTTGCGGTAACGCTTCCATTCGTTGCCTTCAGAAGCAATAATATTGTCGCCGAAGAATGTTAATACCGTTGGACCAGGGGTCCCAAGGGCAGGAGCTACGCACCGAAGGGCCTATCGGCCCTTTCCATAGCTTAGTCAGCGCCTAGACTAGGTTTTGCTATGTTTGTAGCTAGCATCCATCATCATCGCACCTTGTCTGCCTTGCTCTAGGCTTAGGCCGCTGGCCCTGCTCCACCGTGTATTGGCCAAGAGGTTTCGGGAAGCGTTCCCCACGAGATCAAACAATGTCCTTTCATGCGATTAATCAAATATGTCAGGCTTTCAAGACCGAAGTAGACATACCTTAATCATATTGACGTCTGCTATCAACATCGATCCCATTACTTTCGGCCAGCATGCCACCTGAAACCATTGGCCTCTGATACACCAGTGTTGTAAGCAACTTACAGCGGAAATTATGTCAAGGCCACTCTCCGCAAAGGCTTCCGAAATTTACGTTAACCAAGGTAAATGAACCAACATGAAAAATGTTCGACGTACGACCATGCTTGAACAGCCAAGAATGATCATGACCTAAGATCAACAAGAGGGCCGAGGACTACACGAAGCCACACGCCAAAGAAGCGGAATTCAGCCAAACGACATAGTCACCAATTGACCAGAACACCGGTTAATTATCACCTACATTGTTTGCATCCCTCCCGATTCCTGTACCAGCTGCCCTCGGCAGCCGAGTACGCGTTAGAACATATGTACACCACAGCAGTACCATACACCGACAGCGCGCACATAGTCATCTCATCCAAAGGGCAGAGCGTCTAAAACGGCCGGCGGGAACGGCGGACTGATGAGAGTGCGCTCCACATCAGGGCATTCGCTAGCCTGAGATGCACTCGAGACACTGGGGGTCTCTAGTTTAGATCGTAATGTCCTACATAGAGTACTACTCTGAAAAGGACAGAAATTGGAAACAAAAAAAAAGGGGGTCGAGGGCAACAGGCGTCCGAGCACATTTGACGAACTCATAATTGTTCTGTATCCTGGAAGATGACTATGCAGGATAATTAGTTCTATGTAAGTGATTCGATAAAGCTGGTTAACTCACTGAATGCTTGCCAATAGTCGACGGAAATCCAAGAAGAGCTGCAATGCGCGCAGTGCAGCCACCGAAACCACTAAGATTGAAAGGGTCTCCAACGACAAACCTGTAACAATCATGCTTGCAGAAGTGTTGGAAATGAAGACGTCGTGAGCCGCGCTACTCTGCTCACTTGCAGCTTTATCATATACGCAGGATGCTCAGTCAATTTCAAACCCGGTGATTTTCGGAATGGACTATCTTCATTACCATCGGCAGACCGCCGCGCGGCTCAGACCATACTCCCTTCCGACGGATGATAAGGATCACTGCGGAAGTTCGAATAGACCCTAGTGGTGGGACGTATTATGACCAGTCGAGAACTGCAGGCACTTGGGCAGATGCCGCCGGAACACGTACATGGATCAATTCCGTCGAGAAGGTGTGTGCGAGGATCGAGACATCGAGTGACCCAGGAAAGGACAGTAGGTTGTATGAGCACTAATTAGTACAATGGGATTACATCGGTCACCCCAACTACTCTTGAACCTCCACAACGACCCACTTGCGTGTCAGCAAATTAAAGATGCTTCCGAAAATCAGTGTCATGAGCGTACAGCTGAGGATGATGACGTTATAGGGCATGCTGAAATCTGGGGTAGGGAGGTCGACAAGGAGTGTCGGGGTATAAATTCTCTCCCAATCATAACTCGGAGGGGTATCGTGAGACAATCGAGGGAGCGGGAAAAACACGGCCCCTGGTAGATCCCAGCCTCTCATCGCATCGGGTGGATGTTCGGTGTATTTCAGAAAAGCTTTGTTGACCTCGATGGAAATTTCGAGCGTGGTCTTTGGTGGAATTGTGAGGACAGCTTGCAACATCGAGGGGAGAGAGGCGGTCATTAGATTGTGGTGAGGGTGGGTGATATTTTAGTCCTGAAAGTAAGTCGCCTAAATACACAAGATGATCAGTAAAGGCAATCTTCTTATAGCCGTAAGTCATACTCCGTATCTGTGAGTTTATTTCGACTTTCAGAGTGTGCATCCACAGTGTGAGGAGTGCAGGCACCATCTCCAGATAACCAGCTGATATCTCCTGAGGAGAATTGTTGGTCACAGAAACAGATAGAATGCCTCGTGTTTGCGTTGTACCATGAATTGTTCGTTTCACGCTGATCGGAGTGACCGGTGTTAATGGTGGCAGTGCTGCATTGATGAATCATAAGTGAACTGGTTGTACGGACAGAGATGGACTTACGATACTGGAAGCTATGCTCGCTCGGCCAGGACATAGCAATGTTGGACGGAATCGTGAAATTAGATGCTTTGACACATTATTGGTTCAAATTTATTGCAGGGAAATTCCTGTACGACGCACAGGAGGACAAGTCATAAATGGCTAAACCATCGACATGGGCGGGATATTCAGGGATGATTTGGTAGTCCTTCTCTTCCGGTAGAATAACAGTGATAGAACTGGAGCTTGCAACTGGGCATGATCGTTCAATGGAGCGATCAAACAGTAACTGAAGGTTCCAGTCTGTCAACATTGTCAGTAAGGGTTATATCATAAATCGGTTGTTAGCTCGCCTCGTCTCTTCCCTGTGCTGGTTCGGACTGGATTGAATACCGCTTGTAAGGTCAGTTTTAATTCCACGCCGGTGTCTTCCTTCCATATCACGTGAATCCCCATGCCATGCCAGTCCGCATCAAACACCTTCTGAGGATTGAGAAGTGAAGCAAGCCCTGCATGGCTCTTGCACGGAAGTAGCTTTAAGAAGGGCGTTAGATTCTCCGTGCAAACGTTCTCTGAAGGAAGTGAGGCGTGCCGAAGTTCGTGTGGGGCAAAAGTAGGAGTAGACCCGGATAAAGGGAAGGCGACCGTCGGTGACAATGTTCGTCTGGAATCTAGCGACCCAAGAGAAGCGCAAAAGAGTCCTGAAAGTGCGTTTCGAAGACCAGACCATCGTTCATCCACTCTGACAGATTGAATGAGCGAACATGATTGCAGCTATTCGTTGAGCTTACACACGTCGTTATCTCACTAGCGCCCATCCAAGCCCATAGTTCAGCTCCAGTACCAACCCCAGCTTCATGAGGATGCCCCCAGTTGTCATAATTCCATCTTCCAGCGTTGAGAGTCAGGTGCAACTCGGTGATCGCGTGCTCGCGTAGGATTTGACCAAGAGTCAGTGGAAACAGGGCGTAGTGCTGGGCTGCGCAGCTCGTGTAATTCAGGAGTGACAAATGGCGACGGTAGACTCACATTCATCTACTTGTCCCAAGGCCATCGGATTTCGTGGAACTGCACCCTCTAGAACAGTCACAAAAGAGAACGTCGTCGATACCCGCCCATCTCTGAGTGGTTGTATGCGGAGATCTTCCCTATAAATTTCCCCCGGATATAGAGCAAAGGATGGAGTACACAGGCAAGCTAAGAAAATCCAGACTGGAGTACGACGCATTGGTCTACAACTTCAAGCTTCAAGCAGGAGCTTCAAACCGCGCTGGACCAATGAAATGTCACGTGATCCATATTCATTTGACGAACTGCACAAAAGTTTATTCTAAACATCTTTCGGACTCGCACAGTGAATTCCGGATTCATACAGTGGATTTCGTGTCCACCGTCACACTCCAGACCATCCTCCATCCGATCTCACCGTTTGGAGCTATCACCTCTTTCAGGACGGCCTCCGTCTTGAAGGGACCTGCATCTTCCCAAAGCTTATTCCAGCTCTCAGGATCGTAGCAATACATCTCCACTGTCATACCAAGTGTTTCCTCCCGTATGGTACCCTGCTTCGGAAGTCCGACATGAGATCCAAATACAATGCTCCCTGGCACAGGAGACAGTAAAGCAGCTACAGCACGGACGAGCGATGCCTGTTGCTCTGCAGAAAATAAGTGAAATATGGATGATGCATGAATGGCAGTGAGTTTGCCATACAAGTCATTCAGTGAGGCGAGCGAGGACAAGTCAGGCGGTGACCGTGACGTAGGCCCAGACTCGGATGATAAGAAAGCTGGATCAAGACAGTCACCCGCAATGAAATGCAAGGGGAAAGATGTCGGCGTAGACCGGAAAAGTACATGCCCGAGGTCCCAAAGTTCTGTTATAAAGTCTCAGTCTAAATATGCATTTCGCCTTATTTGCGCAGGGAGGTGACTATCGCGGGGCGCACCTTGCCTGAGATCGGTAGAGATCATGCCAGCGATTGGCCAGCCATCTGCGACTGCCTTGCGTGCATCATTACCAACTATGACGAGGCGAGTCAATGACCATAATCTACCAGAATAAATTGAATGTACTTACAGCAACATCCAAGGTCCAAGAGCAGTGGGCTTCCGCAATCACGACCTAGCTGAAGCACCCTTTGGTACTTCGGGTGTCTCGAAATTCTGAGTCTGGAATATATGTCAATCGTAGAGTATAAATCCCGCGAGTACGACATGCCTTGTGAATCCGAAGCTGTAAATACAGGGATACGGCGCCACCTACACAAGTCGCATAAAATTCAACATATGTCGATAGAATTCATCACTCACCGCGAAAGCCTTTGCTTGAACAGCAAGGATGTGGTGCTTCAGGTCATCTTCTTCGGTGATGCCTGTTTGCTGCTGGAAGAACTCAAGTGCAGCGGGGTCCAACCCGTAGAGGCTGGGATCCAATGAAATGTTACTGATGAAAGTCATACTAATACCCCAATGCGGCGGTGGGTAACACCGTTCACTTAAATATAGTTGAGTATCGGGCCACGTCAGCTAAATCGTTGGAACCTTCTGACGGTGCCGTCGTTGGAAGACAAATGACTGGGTGAAGAATGCCGCAGAACTATTAAAGATCACCGCACTGCATCAACCCGTCGCAGATCTTAAACGGAATTAGAGTCGGGCACGAGCCGGTCAGGATATTCAGCTATCGTAAGAATGAATGTCATGACTCAGAATAGTCGACAGGGAGACGTATTCACGATCATTCAGTGGCTAAAATTGCATTGCATTGTTAGATTAGGTGCAGCTTTCATTTTGGTTGTCAAATCATGAGCGGCCCCAAGCATCTTCTTGCTCTGCGCAGTCATGGTGCTGTATAGAGGAAAAGACAAACGGTCGCTAGAGGCAATACGAGTGAAGATGGCCCAGTGAGCACAGCGAAACACTTGGATTCAGCTCCTGCGTACCTCCAGCTAGGAGAGCGAATATCAGCGTATAGGAAGGCAACCTGCACAAAATCGAGAACCTGCGGCATCTTTTACCATCTATCGGGTGATAACCAGCCTTGCGGCACATGATACAAAGCCTTTTATAATTGGTTCCTTGGAAGAAAGTAACTTCAATCTCCGAGCACCGAGGCATACTGTAATGCAATGAGGCGAAGAGAGTCGAGGAGTAATATCGTTGTTCTTGTCGCTCAGCAGTCATAACCCTGATGACGCCCCTGTTCTTTCCGCCGCAAACGTGGCTCGAAATACGGTAGCATTACAGAAAGTGTGCCTAACGCGGCGAGGCGGGTGGCCCGCCGCTTTTCGATGATAGTAATAAAGACAATCCTGATGGACGATCAGTATAATGCGCAAGCCACGTAATTATGTCTTTCATGCGGCATACAGAAAGATGACATTTGCGTTTTCCCCATCAATACCGCGGCAATATTTCCAAGAGTGCAGGTTCAGCTTCAATAGTGCAATAGGATGCTACGCGGCGTGATGCGACTATGGGCCCATTATGTTGCTTGTCTTGAGGATCATCGGTGGCGGTAAGCTCCCAAGATGTTGAAAACACCACATAAAAGCGCCTGGCTCGCGGTGCGACAGTAAAATCTACTAGATAACTGTTAGTAGAATATACGGTTTGACTTGGTAAACTCGGGAACGATGCTCTTCCTGAAGCCTGAGCAATTACTAGCTTCAAGACTACTACTAAATGCAGTTCAATTTTTCAAGCCACCATGGTTATTTGCAACTATTTGGCACACTGGTTTCTTTCTAACCACACATTTGAACGGCTACTTGACCGCGATGGACTCACCAAAACGCACGGGCTCGCCGTCGTCGACATCAGATGCAAAACGAATCAAGCTTACAGTTCCTCAGAAAAGTCAAGGTGCTTCGCCTGTGGAGCCTGAGTCCGCTCCGGGAAAGCGCAGCGAACTTGACCCAATTCAAGCCGGAGATATAGGCAACCTTCCACCTGACACTGGCGACCCTACATCAGCAGAGAATGGCTCCGGTGTGATTAGGGTGCTGAAGGAGGGAGACGGAGATGAAGACGCCGGAGACGTATCAATGGGGGAAGCAGCTGATGAAGAAGCTGAGTCCGGAGACGACAACGATGATGAAGACCCTGCACAACTAGAGGCCACTCGCTTGCGACTGGAGGACCAGGCGAGAAAGTACCTCGCCGCGCAGACACACGATGTTATTATTCCGTCATACTCTGCATGGTTTGACATGTCCAAGATTCACCCCGTCGAACGACGCGCGCTCCCAGAGTTTTTCAACTCAAGAAACCGCTCAAAAACGCCCTCTATATACAAAGATTACCGCGACTTTATGATTAATACGTATCGTCTCCGGCCGACAGAGTACTTGACTGTCACCGCATGCCGGAGAAACTTGGCAGGCGACGTGTGCGCGATAATGCGCGTGCATGCATTCCTGGAGCAATGGGGTTTGATCAACTATCAGGTGCGAATGGCAGAAATGTCATTTGAGCATTTTGTAATGACTCAGTACTCTTAAGATCGACCCAGAAGCGCGACCAGCCGCGCTTGCACCACCTTTCACCGGTCATTTCCGCGTCATCCTCGACACGCCTCGGGGCATGCAGTCATTGCACCCCGGGACTCGACCTACTATCACGCATCCAGCAGCAGCAATGAACGGTGCCCCGAAGCCAATACAACAACACAGCGGCTCCGGTTTGGCGTCACTTGAGCTGCGGAATTCGATCTACCAGACGACATCCAAAGCATCACGTGCGGTAACTTCTACCGAGGCGAATGCACTCGCGAACGGTGTGTCGTCGAAAGGAAACATGTCGTACCAGTGCGACACATGTGGGACAGACTGCACCGCACTGCGGTATCACTCGTTGAAAGTGAAAGACTTCGAGCTGTGTGGTCCGTGCTATCTCGACGGGCGTTTCCCGTCGACGATGTTTAGCGGGGACTTTGTTAAACTCACATCTAGTCCGCCTGGTGTAAGCCATGGCGGGACCGACGACGACTGGACAGACCAGGAGATACTCCTGTTACTGGAAGGTATCGAGATGTTCGATGATGACTGGAGCGCAATCGAAGACCATGTGGGGACGCGTACGTCTCAGCAGTGTATCAGGAAATTCCTGGCTCTGCCAATTGAAGACCCGTACATCGCCTCGGAAGGTGACACGGGCCCATTAAGGTTTGGGCGGATCCCTTTCGAACAGGCAGATAACCCTGTGATGAGCGTGGTCGCCTTTCTTGCCGGTGTTGTTGGTTCGGGGGTCGCCGCTGAAGCGGCAAAGACAGCCATGCACGCTTTGACAGACGACGCCCCAAGGGAAGGCACGGAGAACACACTTGACGAGAAAGGAGAGTCTAGTGACCAAAAGGGTGCGGAAGGTGACACTGCCATGGACGAGGATGCTCCCGATGCATCTACAGGAGCAAACGCTAAGCCGGAGACCAACACTCTATCAAATACAGAAGGGGCAGAAGACGTATCCGCCGACACCACAAAACCTGCGAAGCTGCAATCCAAATTACCGCAGTCGCACATCGTGCGCGCCGCTCAGCTTGCTCTCAAGTCCTCTGCAAAAGCTGCCCAGAACCTAGCAGACGCTGAAGACGTACATATTCGCTCGACTCTCTCGTCGCTCATCAAACTCACGCTCACGAAACTCGAGCTTAAAACGTCTCAATTTGAGGAATTGGAAGAGGTCTTGGAAGAAGAAAGGAAAGGTCTTGAGAGCGCCCGGATGGCCCTTGTGAATGAGCGCGTTAACCTCAAGCGTATGCTTGATGGTGTGAGGAGTGAACTGGCGAAGAACGGTCGGACATCCATCCCTCCTACCAATTTAGGTACCACGGGTCAGGGGACGATTGCGACTGAGGTATCGTCCAGCACTCCGCTGGAAGGGGATGCAGGGCCTCGGAATGACGGAGAGTTCGCTCAGCTAGCGTGATGGAATAGTAGGGTATGTTGATTATATTCGTTCGCGTGTTTGACGCAGTTCTGTGGTCCCTTTACGTAGCTTTCGTCTGTCTCTTAAGTGTATACTAATTATTTTCTGATGCAACTCTGATGCCTGAGCTGAAGTTCATTGTGATCGTCACGGTCGTGTTCGAGTCCTCCGGTGCAAGGGGTCGCGAGGTGGGCATTTCTACATAGTCTCCCTTACACATGTCTTGGACTCGAACGAAGATAGCCGTCCCTTCTAGTTCTCAGACATTTCCCGTTGTAAGGATTACCTAAATGCATCCTGCTAGCGAAAGTACCCCCACCGTAGCGTGCATATTTCATCGAGCTCGAGAGAGCAGAGGCCACTAAGGAGACCAAGTAACAACACAAAAAACTGACGGCCTATGGGACAGTTAATAGACAAACAATTTAAAATAGATTATCCTGCAGAACTAGCGCATAATTCATCGTGGCTATGCCTTCAATCAACCGAACATCCAGTCGTCCAAACGCATAAAATGCCTCAGGCACGATTTTTGCGCAAAATCTGGGCCACTTTTTCAGTATCGCCAAGATTCAATCATGATGTATCATCGCACCGAAGTTATCGTTTGGATTGCATGAGCAGTGTCCTTCCCGCCACTGTCTACCCTGGGGGCAGTGAGCGAATTCGGCGTATTTATAACCTTTGAACGGATCAGTTATGACTACGAAACGATATGGCCGAAACTGACCTATATCTTTAAAGAAATGTAGTTGGTCCTTGCGTGTAAATAAGGCTGCGGCGATGCTATGAACAGGTGCATCTCCCCATCTCTGTCTACGGTCAGATGACACGAATAGAAAAAAAGAAATCTTAAGCTTGCCTCATAGTAAAATCCTCCTGTGTTCTCGAGATGATTAAAGAATTTTGTGTAAGCTTCACCCCTCCAGAAATCCATATCGGCAATTTCAAAGTTTGACGAAACTGAGTGACGGACGTCAGTGACCTTTTCTAACATGATATCGAACGGTTCTTACAGTGACACATGTTATAAGTATCGCCCGCGTCATCGGATATAAAATCCATTGAATTGTTGGGTGACACGTATTCGGGGTGGTCCGAGATGAATTCTGGAAAATAGGTTCACCCCTACAGAGCGTGCTGCTTAATGCTTACCTTTCACTACAGACCACAGCGAGGTTATAGTTGGTTCCCGTTCTGTTCAGGGCGCAGTTCATGCTGTAAAAGATACGCGAGGAATGTCAATTTACCTGGCATTGAAATAGTGAAGCCTGGCCGTGGATATAAATTTAGCAATTCGACCACTGCAGAAAATTTCTCACCATAAATTTTGTCATTATCTTCCATGAATACAAATGGGTCATATTCAAGATCACAGTAAAATCTCACGTCGGGTCTACAGAATGGGTCAGCACTTAATTCATCTGGTACGCCGAACAACTGACTCTACTCTCCAATACCACTTATATGGCGTTAAGAGCTCATGGTGGAAAAAGAACTACACAGATAGGTCAGCGGAATGAGATATCCCTCCTAAACCCGCAGCGCGGAGCACCCACCCCTGAGTTAAACCGACACATATTACGGTAACTAATGGCCAAGGATGAGGCATGACCTGAATGGGTTGTACGGAAATACGCACGAAACACTGCCTGATTTCAATAATAAGATATTAAAGACAATCTGATCAATGATGGACTTACCGCCATAAATTACACCTTCTTGTGTTAGCATATTGCGTCCCTTCTGAGCTCGTTCTTCATCTATCCAGGGCGGCTGCACCCAGGTTTCGCGAGGGATGAGCCCAAATGATACATCCGCGTCAGTCAACACTTCAACACGCCTAAAAATGCATGATGAACCAACTGCACTAATAGTGACATGATATACCTTTTGAACTCGTAAGAGAAGGGTTCGTCGCTCAAAAATACCCAGGGATAGTTGAACTTGTGATTGAATTTCGCCTCCAATTGTTCTACACTCCATACCACAGCCGTCGAGATAACTGTTACGCGCCAGCATCACCAACGTAGCATTGGCTCGGTGAGGAGTGGAAGGGTCGTGTGAAATGGGATTGCCAAAGGTGGGTGATGGTTTGCTCTCTGCTGGAGGAGCCAAATCGAGTAGGGTCTCGTCCATCGACTGTTCTGTGGATAAAGCTTTGGAAGACAGGTAGCCGTCTGTGGGACTGATAGTCATGAAATAACACACACACGACTATACGGGAAGCTGAGGGTAGTGTGCGGTACGGAATATGCTTTTGACATACCACAATGATTAATACAACAATGATAGATCTGCGATGTGCCACGGTTAATAAAGGAAGAACCATATTTTGGAAGAGAGTCTGCATTTTAATGCGACAGCGGGCAAGTGTCGACAGGCCGGATGAGGTTTTGAGAGAGCACTTATCTATTTTTAATATTTGTGAGGCTCGGGGAATTGAACAAAGGAACCTGTGACACCGTGGTACAGTTATACATCAGATTCACGCACGCCCGTGAGTATGTATTACAGTAAGAAACCTTGCCTTGACATTGTTAACGTACCCATACCGTATCAGCGAACACTGCAAGTGCACTCTGGAAGGCTTGATTACATCAAACACCTTCCTTTTCAGGAACAGAAGGTTTTACTCTTGACCAGCTCATGATTTTCGTACTTCACTAGGTGAAAAGCCAGAGTTAGTGCTGCACTTTGCATGGCAACATGGATGCTTGGCCAATCACCTTGGCTGCATGCTAGCCGTGTGCGCTTACGCCTAGATTTTCTTCCACCAAGAGTTTGGTCTCAAGCACGTAACAGACTCAATGCGTCTCTCGCTATTTCGACGCAGTCGCCATCATCCATTGAGGTCGAACACATGCCTCTTCCACGTCAAGCACCTAACATGTCGGTGTTTGAGGAGATGACTCCGGAGTATACAATGGCCGTGTCTCAGAGTTCATCCGAATACACGCCACGGACTTCCTCTAGCACCCTCGTAAATCTAATACGCACAGGGGACTACGCAGTTGCGGAATCATTGAGGAAAGAGATGGTGGATATCAAGATACCCATTCAACCACACGCCATCTATGAACGGGCAGCAAGAGCTGTTCTTCAGACGAAGGGGTTCAAAAATCGAGGGGAAGCATTTTCAGCATGGCTTTCGTTGGTGCCTACTGCAATAGAACAATGGAGCTCATTCAAGGATATCCGCCAGCAACTTTTTCGTGGATCGAACTACCTTAACATCTCACTCATCATGCGGTTCGGTCTCATCATGGCGTCAAAAGGTTATATCACTGGTGATGCACAGTCCCAAGTGCTGAGCACCCTTGCCCGCTATGCGAATCCTGCCACGACTGAGAGATATATTTTACAACTGGAAACAGTGGTAGATCGTCTCTCGAAAACCGGCCACGTGGAAGTAACTCCGAACAATGGGCGAGCATCTACAGCCTCATCATCAGAAATCAGGTGCTGGCTGGCCGAGAGGAGCACGCCCTTCAGCTTGTACGCGTCGCTGCAACACGCGAACGTCAAGTCACAGACTTTACGTTTAGATTCCTCCTAGAGCACTCCTCAGACAAAGCATTTACAGCCAGTATTCAGGAATTACGCGAACAAATATCCAGCAATCCTTACAGCACCCCAGACGTTTGGAATAAGCGCACTTGTTCCCACACAGATGCCCTTGCCCTGGCTTCCCAACTGCGTTATCTCCGACGCGCTATCATCTCAACGAACCCTCCCACTTCTTACTCCCTTTCTGACTTCATGAGTGCCTACCATGCCACCGGACGTACACGCGCCTTACTCGCTTTGCGGAAAAAGGCGTTCCAGCACTCACACAAAGCCAAGTCCCTATGGGTCATGGCAGAGATGCTCTACCACCGCTCTCGCAACGAACCCCAACTGGTCCTTGTGGTCTTTGCATACCATTTCCACATGATCGGCGTCCCTCGTAGAACTGTTTTGAAAATATTGAGGTTAATATCCAAGCGCCGTGCTCGGCTTTCCCAAAGAACATCGCTTCCAAAGCACATGCTAAATCGCCAATACGATATCTCAGAGAAGCTATGGCCGACGCCCTACCACACCGCCCTCGTCTGGGAAGCTCTCGTTTGGTCAACGCCGGAAAGTGACCATGAGCGCATGTACAAATATCTCCTCACCATCGCAGATTCCAGCGCATCCCAGAAACCTATTTCTCCCCCCGACTCCAAATTCGCACCATCGTTGCTGCAGCTCCCAAAACGCACGGTCGACGCGGCTCATTTTTCGCCTTTTATAAAGCTGCATGCAAAGCGTGGCCGACCGGAGCGGGCTGCAGCTGTCTTGAGGGATATGGTGAGCTTTGGGTTGAGTCCTGGGGTCGTGCAGTGGAGTATTGTGGCAAGAGGGTTTGCTGAGCATGGGAATCCGGCTGTGGCAGTTTCTATCATCGAACGCCTTGAGGAAGATGGTGGATCGCATGTTCGGGCAGGCGCGAGTGGTGATCATGCAGACCGAGCGCCGTCGATTCTGGACATTGGGCTTTACACGAATGTGCTTAGAGGGTTCGTCCTTGCAAGGAATTTGGAACATGCTCAGGATATAGAGAGGAGGATTCGACAGAAGTTTGAGTATGTCGGTGGCAAGTTGAGGGCTACGGATGATGCGCTGCGTCTGCTGCGGAACCTTGAGAGGCAGATGGCGAGTTGATAGAGGCGGTACGAGCATTTTGTGATCGTCCTAGCGTAGATGAAGTTCAATATATTTCGCAGCTCGTGGTCTCAGGGGTATTCAAGTCGAGTTGCGCTGTCACAACGTTGCACCATGTATACCTCCTATCGTATGTGATTTGATCCCCATCTACACGGCAATAGTTGGGTAAAATGGGAATATTGTATTCTCTTTCAAGTCATCCGGAGTCAACTAGCATGCCCGTTTATGTACTACATGGAACGAGGCTTAGGATAACTCAGAAGCATCCTGGCTTATACTTACTACCGTAGACAGGTCGATTCCCCCTATCAAAGGCGTCCGTCAGACTGGTGAGTCACAAGCCTAGGGTCTAGGGTCTAGGGACGATGGTAGTAAGTACAGAACGCCACTGTCATGTCAAGCCTCCTTGGTTGCTCAACTTTATATTTAAACTCCATTATAGGATAGTATGTATACCCCATCCATCCCTTAATTGGACTCCATTGACCATGTCCACACCTTTCCCCAGTGATGAAACTGCAAAGCAGGTTCCCGAAAGTGTCTTGCAACCCGTCACAAGCGTTGGACATCCCAGCCTTATCGACCCCTCTGATGCGCCAGGTTTTCCCGAAGGTGGTTTTACCGCTTGGAGCACAGTGCTGGGCGCGTAAGTGTTTCTGTCTACCTATCGATCGCTGCACACTCACCATCAACCGCGGCCGTTAAGTTTCTTGATCCAATTCTGTGGTTTTGGGTAAATTCGACTCAGCATTTGTGGGCCCAAACTACTAACACGTTCCAGATATACCTCCGCTTACGGTGTCTTCCAGGGCAAGTATATTTGGATTATCTTACGTAGGCAAACTGACAATCACGATACGCAGACTTTTACACTCAAACATACCTGACCAATTCCACACCATCTGCAATCGCGTCAGTAAGCTCTAGATCTTCCTGGGTCATTTTTTGGCTACTAGTGTTTCTGACTTCTACCGCGGTGCAGCTGGATAGGAAGTGTTAATGGATTCTTGTTATTATCAAGTGGTCTCGTGTCAGGACGGATGGTTGACCGGGGCACATTGTATGTGTGCAAGAAGTCCGCATAAAGACGTCCCTGATCATACATTTTCAGCTACCCTGTGATGAAAATCGGCTGTCTCCTTCAATGCTTCTTCCTTTTTATGCTGTCTCTGGCAAAACCGGGTGAATATTATCAAGCAAGTCTCGTTTCTGTTTATGCATGGCTTTGTTGACCGTATTGTTATGTATGCAGATATTCCTTTCCCAAGGTATCGGTTTCGGTATTGCAATTGGCCTTACGAATGTTCCCTCTATCGCCGTAGTATCGCATCACTTCCAGCGACGCAGAGCTGTTGCGATGGGAATTGTCGCTGCGGGGGCGTCGCTGGGTTCAATCTTGCACCCCGTCATGCTCAACAATCTTATTAATGGAAGACTTGGCTTTGCAAATGGTGTCCGTGCCAGCGCAGGCTTGAGTGGTGGCCTGCTTTTCATCGCAAATCTCCTGATGCGAACGAGGCTTCCACCACAATCAAAGGCCGTTAACTACACCCGTGTTTTGCAAAACTCATCGAGAGATGGTGCTTACATTTGTGCTTGTGTAGGGTGCGTAAAGCTTTGCAATACTCGATGACACGAACGTTAAAGTTGCTTTCACTGCTTAGGCTGGCTGCTTTTGAGGTCGGATTCTTCTTCGAAACATTTTATCTCCAGTTAGATTCCACCCTGCATGGTCTAAGCCGAAGATTTTCGTTTTATTCAGTGCGTGTGTCAGAGACTACTTAAATAGTCGAGAACTGCTCATCACCCCGACAGCTTACAATCCTTCATTCTGGTTCTTTCATCGGAAGACTTACTGCGGGTATTGTCTCTGCCTACGTGGGCATCCCGAATACATTCGTTGGCTCTTCATTAATATCCTCCGCTGTAATATTTGCAATGGTTGGCTTGCACTCGGTGGTCAGTGTAGTTATGATAGCTGTAAGCTATGGGTTCTTTTCCGGAGGCCGTGCGTAGGTTCTTGACGTTCCTCTGACTACTCACCAAGTTTCAACCCTAGTTGTGGCAATGATGGGCCCGTTGATATCGTATCTAACTCCTGAAATCTCACATATTGGGTAATCAATTGACATCTGCCTTTGATTTTCTCTGACATTACACAAGCGCGCGGATGGGAATAGCATTTGCAATATCTAGTAAGTCTGGATCAGGATTTGGTGACACCCCGAGTCTTGACACGTATTCACAGGCTTTGGATCACTCCTGGGCACGTGCGCCAGTTTACTTTTCCCGGCCATCACTCACGTTCAACTTAGGTCCACCTATTTGTGGGGCTTTCCTGACGTCGCGTTACATCTGGTGGAAGGCTGCTATATTTGCTGGGGCGAGTGAACCATGCCAAGCTGCGCTTTTGGTTTGTGGCTAACACGTTGTCTAGAGCGTCGCTACTGGCGGCTGCATCATGTTTGTATTCATGCTAGTCATCTTGAGGATCCGTCAAAAGACTTCAAATGTTTACTCCAAGGAAGCTGGTGTCTGATTTGTGTCACCCCGGCATGTATGTAAAGTCAAGAACCCCGATTCACGTTGTACGTGAGTACTGATTGTCAATGGGTTATGATGTCATGAGAATAAATGTCGCTAATAATGTCGCGAAGTGTACCGAGTTACACAGACGCCGTTTCACTTCGATGACCCTTTATAGATATCCCGGGCCGCCTATATTGTAACTTAGTCAAGACTGTCGTTCGCTTAACTGTTATGCCAAAAGGCAATGATACTGAAAGCCTGTATTTCAGTATTGCACACCTTATTTATGTAGCTTATGGGAATTCTAGTAAGCCACTGGCTTACATATATAAGATTTGATTCCACATGTGGAGCTACATGGTATGATATTGCGACGTACATCCGTGTACGTGAGGATGATGAAGCTACGATACTGAAATCCCTGAGAGTCCGAGTGGAGCTGGGTGAAGTCACGACAGTAGCTGATATAAGACACGATGCATGTAGGTGATGTAATTTTGGACAGGGAGATAGGTACGAAGAGGATGCAAACAAGGGACATGCACAGAATCACGAACGACGGCTTTCGACCTATGCAAAAGTCCAAGTGTGAACGAAAGGGAAGAGGAAGACCGTTAGAAATGTGAGTAAACGAATTTTTGAAGCGAATAATTCAATTTGTATCTGGTTTTCGAATATTAGTATATGCAGGGGGAAGCTCAACGGTGTCCGCAGCGCCTGCGTCGTCGTGCTGAATAATGTTAACAGGCCGGAGCTGTCTTGGCATGGGAGATTTGCGAGAGCTGTTTGGGATAGTAGTACTACCAGTGAGTCCCATTTCATAGTCAGGCGTCGCAGATCGCATATCGCTAAAACTCCCCAGTGCAGACTGTCTACGATCCGAGGTGCCGTAACGTGAACCTGACGTGACTGTGCCGGCTCCACCCTCCTCACGTCCATACATAGAAGACGTTTCTGTCGGTTCAGTGGCGAGGAAGGGTTCAGGACGGTAGTAATTCCCGAGATCATTGGACGTTGGATCACGATCATCTTCTGGATCACCTTGAAGGAGGTCGACGGGACGTTCCTTGGTGACCTTGGCGGCGGTTCTGCGACGGATAAAGTAAAACCCTGCGAGCGCAAGGATGATGAGTGCAGCAAGGCCGCCGATAACGCCACCTACACTGCGTGAGACGGATATTGATGGACCGGATATGAAATGAGCTTACCAACTATAGCGCCGACATTGGTTTTGCTGTCGTGGAGATGGTTAAAAATAGCTGTCCTGGTGGCGAACAATATTGCCTACCTGCTGCTGCTAGTGCCACCGGTGGTTTCTGCACCGCTGGCGTTAGTTGGGTATGTGCCACCTGCGGGAGAACCGATAGTGGATGAGGGCGAGGTGGTGGTCAAACATGAGCTGTTTGGATATATGCCTTGTGAGACAGTATACAACCCGCTTCCTCCTGTACCAAGCCCACGGTCGTCACCGGCAACTACGATAAGTGTGGAGCCTTCGCGGACAGAGGGTATCCAGCTAAACCCAGTACCCTCGTTGGATACCTGTGTTATCTGGCCTTCGGGAATTGAAAAGGATTGTCCACCAGGAATGACACCCTGGAAGGATGGAGTGCTGTTGGGACATGTTGTTTGAAGGAGGCTAGTATAAGGGAGAGAAAAGCGTACCCTTCGACTTGAGTAGGGTCCCACCACAATCTACTTGCGTTGCATTGGACGACCTGGTTGGTGGGGTATATGTTGAATGGGAAATCTGGCGTGACGGTTGTATTTGGGTTAAAGCAGCTACTGTCACTACTGCTCATCACTGAAGCAGCAACGCTAGTCCCACCAGATCCAAAACCAGTGCTATCGCTGACCTACATACTAATTAGCTTATACACGAGGCATATTGCAAGTGACAAGACTCACCACGGCGACGAACTGGGATGTGGACGGGTATTTGAGCTGGAAGCTGGTAGTGGTGGAGCTACCATCAAATTGTTGATACACGATGGTGCGGACCTCTGTGTTATTCGGGAGAGGCGTTGGACCATATGGAATGACTAGAACGCTGTATGGAGGAGAGCCAGAGCCAGATATCTGTAGGGATAAGGTGGCACATTGCTGGGGTGTGGTAGTGAAGGACCAAGTGTAACTGGAGACGAGAGGAAATAAGCAGAAAGCCAGCTGCAGCGCAACTAAATATCGGTGCATTGTCAATGTCGTGACCAGGTCGTCCTCAAGAATCTGTTATCAGATTTTGTTAGACTCCTTGGTTCATTCGTAGAGGCAAGAAAGCCTTGTGATGGCGGGCGCAGTGCGTATGGTTAGCCAAGACCGGGAAGCGGTGTGGAAGCCCGTTCCAAGACCGTCAACACGCCACTGTCGTAACCAGTGAAACAATTTAAACTTAAACACAATAGGCGCCCCCTGAGTACAAAATTATCATTAGCTACCCGCTTGATCACTGCCATGCACGGCCTCTAGTTCTAACATTATAAACTTGCACTGACCTGCTATGATAGTAGTAACTAGTGAGTACTGACCACTAATACGACGAGCATTACAGGGATAAACTATATCAAGGGTATTTTAATTCCCACGCATCACCTTCTCGAGATCGACGCTAGCCTTGCAGCTTGCTTCCTCTCGTCCACACACTACACGCTGTACTTCATTCTATACCCACCGCTCCTCTACTCGGGGCATTTTTCATCTGTATATTTTTAAAGCATATTAATCGTTAACAAAACCTATCATAATGACTTCGGTAGTCGACCAACCCCCTCGTGCGCCTCCCATCAAGTATACCGCTCATCTAGGAACTCGCTGGCAGAAAGAAAAGGCTGCCGCAGGTCACGGCGCCTTCGAGTTTCCTGAAGATCCAAAGTATATCGGTCAGTGGATCATCGGCGAGTGCGTCGGAAAAGGTGCAAGCGGTCGCGTCCGCATCGCAAAGCACCGCCGTACTGGCCAACTCGCCGCCGTCAAAATTCTCCCCCTTCAACCGGTGGTCAATTCCCGTGCTTCCCTTGCCACACAGCAAGCAAAGTCAGAAAAGCAACGGTTGGGTATTGACAGAGAAATTATCATGATGAAGCTCATGAACCACCCAAACATCCTCCGTATATACGATGTATTCGAAGGCGAGAAGGAACTTTACCTCGTCCTCGAGTACGTAGAAGGTGGCGAGCTCTTTGATTTCCTTGTCAACCGCGGAAGGCTCCCTCCTCTAGAGGCTCTCTCCTTTTTCAAGCAAATCGTATATGGACTTAACTACGCCCACACTTTCTCTATCATTCACCGTGATCTTAAACCCGAAAATATCTTGATTCACTCACTAAAGCCGCCGCTCATTAAACTGGCCGATTGGGGCATGGCCGCCTTTGCCCCTCCTGCCCTACAGCTCGAGACTAGTTGTGGAAGCCCTCACTACGCAAGCCCGGAGATTGTCAACGGCCTGAAATACAGAGGAAATGCCACCGATATCTGGAGCTGTGGCGTTATCCTCTTCGCGTTACTTACTGGCAGGCTCCCTTTCGACGACAAGAATGTCAGGATCCTTCTTTCCAAAGTTAAGGCGGGCAAGTACGACGTTCCAGCCTATATCGACCCTCAGGCAAAAGACCTCTTAACTCGCATGCTGGTAGTAGATGTCAACCATCGAATCACGGTAAGTGGCAGTTATTTACTGTTTCCAACATTATCAAATACCATCAGATTCCCGAGATCATGGCCCACCCCTGGTTCAACAAACCAACTCCTGGGATTGTCTATGTTCCAGCTCCCTCTGTCGTTGAATTAGCTCTTCCCCTCCCATCAGCGGCCCGTATTGACCCTGATCTTTTGGAATCTCTTCGCGTCATCTGGGGGAGACATGGCGACATCGAAATGATCAAAGCTGACCTCTTGAGCTCACCTGGAGAAGGCACATTGGCCAAAGCATTCTATTTCTTGTTGCAACACTACCGCGAGCAGACTTTGAAAGATTATGGTATTATTCTCGATGTAGGCGAAACCCCTGTGTCTCCCGGCATGAAGGTTATTACAAAGCAGTACATGTCTCCCCCGCCAAAGAGAAGCGTCAACGCAGATACGTATTCTCTACGTTTACAGAGTAATCGTGATGCGCCCTTACCTCCGTCCCGCACACCATCGCCCCAGCAACCTAGTCTGGCGTCTCCTTTCCTCGATGGAGTTTCACGAGCCCGACCTCCGTCCCCGATTGGACCCAGGCCACCTCGCGTCCGACCTATGTCATCTCCAGTACGTGAGGCCCCCACACGTCATAGGAGCATGAGAGTTGGCCACGCCATCGCTGGTCCTGTGAATGCCCACCCCGAGCCCCAATACAGGACGCGTGCATCAACCGTCTCCCTTCTCTATCCTCGAGCGAATCAGGATCAGCACAGTTATCACGCTCACAACCAGCAAATGTTCCAGCCCTTGACTGTTCCAAGCACACCGCCAGTGGGGTCCCGCTTTCCTGGCGCTCCTGTACACCCCGCCTTCAACCCTTGTATTATCCGAGCTCCTGTTCCAGTCTCCGCTGTTGCGAACGAACAAGTATCAGCAAACTCGATAGAAGTCGATATGCAACCTGTGACAGGCTCTGATCCGGATTGGGTGAACGTTCTTTCTGCGTGGCACACTGTGGCGCAGGAGCACAATCAGGAGCAGGCCTCCCATTCTCCGACTCAAGAATACAGCGAGGCATTTGTTAACCGTCATGAATTTACCCCGTTGAATAGCCCTGCGGTCAATTATGAGTATCGCCGACTCTCCAGCGGGGCTAATAAGGAGAACCACGACCATTATAACTTCCGACAACCTTACCTGGAGGGCAGCGATATCACGCAGGCACGTAGTGGGCTGTTTGGTGGTAGGCTCAATGAGGGACGTGTCGGTCGTGAGTTGCGCAACAGTATCTATGGTGCTCGTGAGGTCATGAAAGAAAAGGACAAAAAGACACGACGTAAGGGTTTTTCTTTCTCTCTGTCACCTTTCAGATATCAACATCTTACCAGCCCCCGCGCTTGATCTGCACCCACAAGTCCAGTCATCCAAGCGTTCTATCCTCAGCTCACCACTCCAGATCTCCTCACCCATCATGCCCTCTATCCTCGCCTCCCCCGTCGGCGAAGTCAAAGGCTGGTTCTCCAACCTCTTCAACTGGAAAGCACACACTTACGTACTTTGTTCGACGAATACGATGTACGCCACGCGCAATGAGGCCGTTCGCATTCTCGAGCAGTTTGGTGTCATTGTCGGCCTTGAGGAGACGGATGGGCACGGAGTTCTCCGATGTCGTATGAACGACCTTATCGATACGATGTCAGGATCGGTTGTACAGAAACAAGTTCGGTTCCGCGTCGAGTTCTCCTCATCGCCATCGCCCTCGTCTTCGCATGGACAGCCACAGTCCCCCACCCCTGCTAGTCCACGATTGCCCATGTATCATGCTTCAGGACCGATGTCACCTACGTTTCGATATGGGTTTGGGAAGCCGTCGTTAGGGAGCGAGTTCACGTGCGCGATCCTGCTTGTGCAGGAGAAGGGGTCGGTGTCTAGTTTCAGGATGGTGTGTAGGTTGTTGAGGGAGGAGTGGGCGTTGGATGCTTTGCAGTCACCTGTTGCTGGGACTGGTGCGTTTATGGCGGTGTGACGCGGCGAGACTTACACTGTCACCCTTGACTAGACGCCAGAATATCAGACGACTCGCGTACAGTTCATGCTATTGTACATCCGATAATTTAGAGTGCGGTATCGGTACAAGAAACATCCTAGAGTGAAATGAAACTACATACAAACTATACGAGTAATCAACGACAACAAAATAATGAGTGTTCGCAGACAGCCAGCCAACCACAAACACGACCTAAACCATATAAAGTACTAGATCAGCCTACATATCACATACAACACCACACGAGCCGTGGGACTCTAAACAACTGACGCAGGCACCTCTGCGGGGTGCTCGTTTTCTGGGGCCTCGGCAGTATGCCCGCCATCAGAACGTGCCACGCTCAAACGCATCAGGCCTGAGCGAATGCTATTGAACATACTGCCAGGTGCCGGCGGCACGGTTGCTAGAGGGTGGTCGTCGTGTTCGTCCTCACGCTCATGTTCGTGGTCTTGGTCGTGTTCATCATTCTCATGCTCGTGCTCATCGATAGACGCTCGATGTTCATCGTCGGATATATCCTTCGTCGGAGGTGTCGTAGAAATCCGTAAAAGCGAGGTGTAAGCTGGATATGCGCACGATGCGTCAGGCAAGACGCAAGTAAGATAAATGTAGCTTACGTTGGCGGCAGACGGGGCAGAACCAGCCTTTTGCCTTTCGCTTTCTCCGTATGTTCTGAGCGATCGTAGTGGGTACTGGAGCTGAGGCTTCTATGGCTGAAGTCTCACCTCCCGCGGCTGCGATTGCGGTTTCTTCAGGGTGGATGATGTTGCCGCCTGCACCGAATTCGACCATATTTATTGCACATTCCTTACATGCGACGAGGTGGCGACAAGGGAGTAGAATGACCTCGCGCGGGGAAGAAAGGCATAGTAAACACTCAGACGAAGGCTCATCCTCGTGCATAGGCGGTGCAGATGCAGACGCGGGGGGGTAGGTATGTGCGTCCGGGGCGGGAGAAGTCGCCTGTGGGTGAGAGGATGAGGTAGACTGAGAGGAAAGACCATAAATCTCGTGCAAATGGAACGTGTGAGGTCCGATCTACGGTTCATGAGATAAAAAAAGCATAAAGTGACCGGATACGAAACGCACTGTGGCTTCACGTTTCACAACCTTGACGACCCAAGGCCTGGAGTCTTCTTTTTCATCATCGGGAGGAGCGCCAAATCGGACAACATGGAGGTATGTTATCTGCTCGTTGACTACAGACAGGTCGGTACCATCCTCTTCCAGCGCTGACAACCGGATGGTGACTCGAACGCCATCCTTCACCTCCTCTTTATCCCCTTTCTCTTCGCTTCCTTCAACTGTGGGTGCAGATGTTTCTGCATCAACGACGGCAAGAGCAGGTCCTGAGACAGACGTGTTAGCAGAGCGCTTCCGGAAATTGAATCCTGTAAAGCGTTTCCGGGCACGGTCATTCCTACTGCTAGCAGGAGCGGAGGAGTCAATGCTATCTGCTGCTCGAGGTAACTCAGGGACTCCGGTAATGTGGGAAGAGGCAGTCTCTGCTTCGGTTTGTTTGTGCTCAAACCTTCCTAATTCGAGGGTTGCACCTTCATCTAGATGCAGTACTTTGCCAAAACCACCGTCAACGACGGATTCAAAAACGGAGATGCACGAATAGCCTGTGCTATCTATGGTTTCTGCATAGGGATGATCTGCAGGTAGCACGACGCTGACGTTTATGCGACACTTGGCTGCGTCGCAATCGTATTCAAATTCTAAACCGTGGTTATGGTGAGAATCAACTTGGTCTGAATCTTCTCCTGATGAGATAGTCAAAGGACATAAGCGGAGCGTCGGCCGCTTGAGATTAACCAACGCCTGGAGGGTAGTCGTTGGTTGTGAAGGCTGTCCATAAATCAGTACATAAGACAGAACATTACGCGATGTTTTAAACACCTCTTTGCTCCTTGTAATCCAGTTCTGGATGATGTTTGAAGAGACATTATCTGCGGGAACCTTTTGTCCTATGGATTGAGCCCACTGGGGTGTAGAGCCGACAGCGCCAATGTTTGGCCCGAAGAGGGTCTCCTGTTTCTTCTCCTTCTTGGACGAGGGATCGTCCATGTTGATTATGACGGCGTCCTGTGTGTTTGTGCGAGCCATGGAGGTAGCAGTACGAGATGTGTGAGTATCGGTGCGAGCTAGGAAGGAGCAGCGTGCAGACGACGAGTGCGATTCCAAGTTGAATACTGATTGTGATCTGCAAGTCGTTGTATGATTAACAGTGAAAGAAATGGAAGAGCAGGTTTTGATTCTTACACCAAGTAGAGATGGAAGCCATCCTCGTGGGTTTAGGATGAGAAGCAGAAGCGCAGCAGATATAAGTATTAACTCAGGGAACTCCGGACTTGTACTGTGGGAAGAAGCCAAAGTCGATGCTCCTGCCGAGTGACATCCTAAATTAGTCTGTCGGTCTCATCAAGGTCTATCTTTGGTTTCCATCTTCACAACTTCACGGTTCACGATCAATTATCATGTTTCAGGCATGGGCGTTCTTATTGCAGCATGTCATAGTATCATGGCGTGTGATAGGTAAAAGAAAAAAACAATGATAATGAAACTCGGAGCCTATGCCACTAGCGACACAACACCGCCAGCCTCTTTAATTTTAGCCCTGTGCACTGCGTGAGTATACTCTCAGGAATAAGGGAGTCCATCCAACATACTCTGCTTTCTGCGAAACAAAACGTGCCTTGACGATGAAAGGAAGTTTGGGCAGTCTGCCTCAAAGTCAGAATTTATGAGAGTAGAGTAGATCACAACTTACTGTCCATTGCCAAGCACCTTTCCGTAGCCATGTTGGAGGGTGTCAATAACAGGAACAACCTCAGAGTCCTCTGTTAACCCTTGCTTTTCTGCTTCGGGCACGAGCGTCCATAGTTTGTCAACGTTAATGATAGGCCGCCATTGTGCGCTGCGGGTCAAATGGTAGTGGCGCATACCAACTTTACCGAAGTAACCAGGATGGTACTTATCGAAGTTGGTGCTGAGGGTGATCAAATTTAATTCGTTGCAAAGAACCTGATACCAAATCAAACACACCGGTGGTGGTGCTGACCACCAGCGAGACCGCGACCTCCGGGATGTTTACGGTGCTTTCCAACACGACCGTGACCGGCAGAGACGTGGCCACGGTGCTTGCGAGTCTTCGAGAGGTGGGTCGGCATTTTCTGCAAAACCAAGTATTCGATATCAATAATTCTGATGCCATCCAGGTCTGGCCCCATCCATCCAGCAGCAAGATATCATCTCTCAGCATCACAACACCTCCGTTCGACAGCTCCAGTCGCGTAGAATCTCCTGCTGGATAAACGGGGCGCAATACAAGAGCATGAACTGACCTTGAGGCGCGAGTGTTGATACCGGTGACCTTGTCTTCAAGTTTCTCGATGCAGAGCTGTCGGTGGTTATAGCGGAGTTTCAAAAGTCGGCTTTGCGCCCAACCCCTACCTCAGGCTGTAACACCTCCACGGCTTCAATCTTTTCAGGGCCTTGTAGCATATGAGGTGAGTTTCATTATCAATTAGTATGCAAATGATGGCCTTTGGCATTATTTATTGTCGGTGAAAATTTAAGAGAAATCTTTCTTATGAACACAATTTGTTTTTCTGATACTTTTTGTTCATATTATTTGCTTGTTTCGAGGTTCTGACGACCTCGACTGCAGATCTACACCAGTTTACTGGCCAAGAAAATAACATTAGGTGCGAGCATAGGAGAAAAAGCAGGGCTCCACGTGATAATTGTCATCGCGTACTGTGTGTTGAATTGAACGATGTTCGTGACCATCGTGTCCCTTCCTCGCCACTGCGAGCTTATACAAGTCTCCACGGGGTTTCCTTACAGCCGTTATGAATGCGCCAAATAGATTTGAGCTCTTTGTCCTCGAAGACGGCGAGAAACCGTGCGTCCCTGCCATTGTATCCCAAGGGTAGACACTTGACAGATGGGTCATAGCGTCGAAGTCACAGAAGACACCAAAATACCCAATGCAGCCACTTTCAAGATTGTAAAGCAAGATCACACGTTGGGTAACATGATTCGCGCGTACGTCTCTACTAAGCACCCGTGTTCTACCTCCTGGAGTGTGTGAATCGTCTTCCAGACAAGTTCTTTCGATGCCTCAAGTGCTCTTTGCCGGATACAAAGTACCTCATCCACTGCATCCCTATTTCCTATTGAAAATCCAGACGGATGGGACCATGACGCCGCAAGCTGTCCTTGAACAAGCCTGCACGAAACTCATCGCCACAATATCCTCGCTCGAGGCAAAGTTCAAGCGAGAGTTCTCCTTCAAGACGACTGAGGGTAATGTGCCAGAGGACCCATATGGCGCGACGGGCGCAAGCGCGCAGAGTTGGGGAACGGGGAAGGATTATCTGGACTTCTAGAATACGTATATCATTTGTACCTGTCACGTCGTGGTCGTACATAATGTCGCCTTTGTTATGTGCCCAGTTTTGCACCCCGAATCACACGGATCACCGCGGCAACGTGTCTGCCAGCAAGATTTCACAGGGCACATTGGGTCCGTTAGGTATTAGAGTAATTGGGCGCAACCAAACGTAATATATAGCTACAAATAAACCGTAAGTAATGCGGGGTGCCGTAGCAAACACCGAGGATAATTATGCAGTTTTACGTGCAGCAAACTTCGCCTTGGATTTCGCAGCGCGCATGGACTGCTTCTCCTGCCAGCTACGTTTCCTCTCTTGGGTTGTACTAATCCCGACTCCTGACCGCTCGTCCTCCCTCGCAGCCCTCATTGATTCATCTATGCACTCTTCCATTTTCATCTGCACCGCCGATTCAAAACCACCATCGGCGGAATTCATAGACGCGTCCACGGTCCATTCGAAATCGAAACCCCATCCACGTCGCAGTAACGGTGTATGAGTTCCATCCGACCCCGTCGGGAGATTTTCTGGAACAGAAGCAGATACGAGGCCGCCTTCGTTGCGCCACCATTCTACGAACCACTTTGCTGCTCTCACAGTATCCTTCTCGCCCCCTCGTAATAGCATATTAAGCCGTATTGCGAGTTGTTCCAAAAAATCTTCCGCATCTGTAAATGGATGTGAACCAGGCGGGAGGAGCGTCAAGTATGCTGGCGCTATGTATTAATCGTGTCAGAACCGCGAGGTAGTGATAGTACGGCAGAGTAGACGCACAAATAGGATTTAACACGTTCAGCCTATACAGCAAGTATGCAACAAGCGCTTCGATGTCATATAAACTCTCTTTGATGCCGGCTGCGGTGAAATATATTTCAGCCAAAAGTGCTCCGGTGAAAAAATCTATTTTACCTATGAGAGCAAGCTTAACTCCTCGCTCTGCACCCCGATCGCCTTTCCCAAGAAATGGTAGCATTACACCGGGGGAGTCGTATGAATATACGAGCGGATCTTCTGAGAGCTTAAGGCGGGTCGAGATAGCGCGTGTATGACCAGGCTGTGCAGATGTCTGTAGTGCCTTTGGCGTCCCTGGGTGCATGTGCTTAGCTCATTTTTGGGGCCAATGTATGATTTAAACTCACGACCTGGGATACCCATATTACGAAGAGAATTCAATAATGTTGATTTACCAACATTAGGCATGCCAATCACCAGGACATTCGTCTCAGTTGCATGGGGGTTTCTCTTGGCTATATCTACATTGTCTGTCAGCTTCACGTCGCCAAGGAAAACACGGTAGACATGGCGATGAAATGAGCGACATACTTACGACCATCTCGCTCAGGGATCTTATGTCTCGCGGTTTATTACAAGAAGCAAAATGCACCGTTTGATCAGGAAATTTTGCCTTCATGGCTCTCTTAAAGGGCTGCATTTATAAGGGGATGAGCCAGTACGATGAATAGAGGAGGTAATGAATTACCTCGATGCCCCATTCAGGGACGAAGTCGCGCTTGTTTAAGACCACGATGCGCTCGCAGATTGGGCCACCATATCCTAGGGATGAATTCCTAGCTGTAGTGAGGGAAGGGGGAGTGACAGTGGGTGGAATGGTGCCCCCGTTCGGCCCTCCATTTGTTGATAGCACCTGTCAAAAATAGATTTTGTCAGGGCCGAAAGACGCTAACCGTCGTAAAATAGGTTGACTCCATTACGGGGCAAGAACGGAGGAAGGACTGAATAAGACAAAAGTCTCATAGGTGACAGCGGAAGCAATTGTAGGGTGGAATTGGAGCTGAACTAATGGTGTGTTTCTTTCTCAAAGCGGCTACGCACCGGAAGCGAGTAATGGATACACCGGAGGAGATAAGCTTACCTTCTAGATTGTTGTTAATGCTAGTAAGAGGTAGACGAGAGTCTCTGAGCTCCAGGACAACATCTGTACGGGATAGTAGTGCTGGAAGCTGCTTCGTGAATCGGTTCATGTGTCCAGGGAACCATGACGGTGCGGGTGGCAGTGCAGGAAATGACACGACAGACATCATTTTGAGCTAACCGTTAATTAGATGGCAGAATGTGAATTCAGTCGGCAGCAAAACGCTTCCGACCGAAGTTTGGTCCGGAAAATGGAGAGAAGTGGGTCCCGCTCCAACCTGAGACAATTAGTACGATGCAGGACAAGCGAGATCCGTAAGGTCTGTAGGTAAAAGTTGACCTATTGGACTAGCTGTCGCGATCTTTCAGTTGTGTGGTATTGGTTTGCGACAAAAGAGTTATCAAAGTACATACACACATGGAAAGTGGAAAGAACATGATTGTTTGGCTTTGTTGAATTCTAAAGCCTCCGGCATCTCGGCATGATCAATCATTATCACGCTGGTGAGTGCATTGACGGAACGCGATCGCAGGGAGACCCAGTTTGAACCGGGCAGTGCATCGGCATTCCTTGGATCATGAGACATCTGTTCAAGCTGTGGATATGAATTTGCTCATGAGCTGGATACTATGAAAGCAAAATCCCAAATTATTAGGAATTCCGTTCATCGGCCGACATCAAAATCGGTCACCATACATACACATATTTAGCAAAGAGGACACAGAAAGGCTGGTAGATAAAGAAAGCGGACACTATGACACCCAACCAAGTAACGGAAAATGACAAGATTCAATGTTAAAACTGGGGGGGTACAACAAATACAGAACTAGGACCAAAATTGATATATGTGTGCATATACTGTAGCTATAGTTATTGAGATGTGCGAGATAGAGGTGTGGGAAACCAGTTGAGCAGAGGATAATACGGTGGCGGGAGTATACGAAAGGGGGTAGGTTTCAGCTCGGACGAAATCCTTCCGACCCGTGAGCTGGTATCAAGTGTGATTCCAAAGGGCATCGCGATGAGAAAGGCGGGGGTATGATGCTGTGTGCAAGGAGCTGTAGAACGTCCATCAGATCATATTTTACAGCGGCAAGTAAGGCGGCGAAATATCGGACCATTTATACCCAACCATCCTTTCCAACACCTATTGCGTCGAAACTTTTGCCACTGCGTGTGCGTCTCTCCTGTAGTACAGGAACTGCGTCTAGATTGATGAGCTTCTCGGATGGCGGTGGCGAACCCTCCACCCAACCCTTCCAGCCCTTCTTCACTGCAATTCTTTTCTTTCGTGGTTGTGGGGCGCTTCTGTAGTGACTCAAGGTCTCAGAATCGGGGTAGTCATCCGCAGGCGTGCGGGGGCGCTTTGATGATGTACGAGATGTAGCTGAAGAAATTGATGGTCCGGGGGTAGACTGTGGGGAAGACGCCATTGGGGGCGGTGTAACGGATACAGAGCGCTGCATGGTCGCAATGTGTATAGTAGGTCGGTGACTCGTCCCGCGGGCACGCCAGAAAGAGGAGGGCTGCATAACGGGGGCACTGATTGATTGGATGGCTACGATGGGCGCAGGGGAAGGTGCGGTGGCACTCTCCACTTTGATAGGTTTCTCTGGAACCTTGGAGATGGCTTTTGTCCTTTGTTTCTCCTTCAGGCGTTCCTTCTTTTCTTTCTTTTTGGTTCTACGCGTCTCTTCTTCTTTCTCAACTTCTTTGTAAGGTGCTACGCCATTGAGTAGGCTAGTGAGCACATCCCGGGGAGGCCGAAGATCGAAATCGCCAGCGAGGACACTAGTAGCGGTGCGGCGCTGTCGCTTATGCGCCAGAAACATTGGCTGGTGGTGAGGAACCAAACGGATTGTTGTTGAGAGGGGCATGGCGTAGGGGGAGGTATAAAAGAAAAGCGCAGCGGAGTCGTGTTTTAAAGTAATTCTCATTGCTTGTTGTACACTTACGGCAAAAGGATAAGCACCCACAAACAAATCATCGTTGATTCTTCCACACCACAACCATATCAATCACGGAACCTTCCACGCTTCCTTGGAAGTTCTTAGAAAAATGATCATTCTGTACGATCCTGGTCACCGGCCTGCGCCGGGGCCGCCAGGCCAGTGGCCCAAACAAAAGATATAAAGTCATTTCCCCTCTTGACTCACTTGACCGCACAGCCTGATGTGGCAGCTGCTGTGCAACCTTGCACGTTTTTGGTCCAATGCTGATATGGGTATGGTCTGGGAACATTCCAGGAACTGCACTCCCGCCATTTTTCCAATCTTGCAATTATGATTGGTTATAATACTCTTATCCATCGCAATCAGACGAAATCAGCATCCCTTGAATGGTGGATTTTTCCAACAGAGGCTTTTACAGCACCTTGATTTTTGATAGACGCTTACTAGTGGTCCATTTGACTTCAGCCAGTAAAAATATCCTTGTAACTAACCGCATCCAGGGACTCGCCGTTAGGAACTATTCAAGCCCCGAAGAACAAAGAAGAAGGTCTTCCAGATCCCGAGTCCCTCCCGCGCATCCTCCACGACAAACGGATGCGCCTCACGGCGTTATTGCGGCATGCCGTAGCTGTCGAGCCTCAGGCCTCAACCTTCGTGCCTTTTAATTGAATTATTAAGACGGTCGATAATTTACGCACTAGCCCTAGATCTGTCTTACTTTGTAGGTTTCAGCAGGTCTTCTTTACCACCGTAAATCACGCACTGACACACGCCTATGGCGTGTGCTTGGAGAATCCATCACTCCGCGATGATGTGTTTCCCTATGGGGCACAACGAGGCCTAATACCTAAGCATCTCTGTTGCCGTCATGGTGGAGCAGATACACGTGAATGAACGTGGACTTTCATTTTGGAGAACGTGAGTCGACTTCAGTCATATTCACTAAATTCAATAGACAGATGAAGGATGCCAATCACAGCCTCGAGGCTAACGTGCAGCTGTCATGTTGTAATTTTTTGTTCCGATTTTCAGGCGGAACACAATGGTGCAGGTAAAACATTTTCAAAATATTTAATCTCATAGGTGATACTTTGCGGAACAATATGCTTGCGGCATGTTTTCATCAGTCTGGTGTAACCCCTCCCTGCGGCCAACCGAGCAGGAAATTTATGCGACAGAGGCCGCCAGTTCCTTGGCCTGTTAAACCCTTCAAAACTCTTACCGATGATAAAGGGCATTAAAATGCCCTCATTAGACAACGCCCGGCTCACCTTTGCTTTGACTTCGACAGAACGTCATTGGCCACAGAACATGCGATTTATTGCATAACGACCGCTCCGCTATATGGTATTGGCAAAGGGTTCCAATACTTCGAGACAACGTGATGGGAATTGAATTATCTCGTCACGAGTCTCGACCGCTTTTGCGCTTGACTCGACATCTACTTATTGTGGCACTGGCGTTTCTTGACAGATTATAAATTGATTTGAGTTTAGGAGTAAGTGGTGATAATACGGCAGGGTAGAAACACATCCCCGCCTGTTACTTCTGTCCTTGGTACCCGGCGCTGCCAGCGAAGTGCCGGGCGTTGCTACCGAGTATCCTCTCACCCATCTTGGGATCACAATATTTGTCCGAGTGCGAGATTAATAGACCAACCAAAGATCTCGGTTCCAATGTGGTACAGCCTCCTTAATTTTTGATTACACATATTACCATCCAGGGATGCGTCCACCTGGCTCACATGAGTCTTCTCAGGGTAGTTGGCTGGGCGTTGGAAAGGCGACATCTTGCTGCGCCATGGCTAGATTTTTGCTACTTGCAAGTACCGCAGTGTATTGTATTGTAACGGGACCTTCCGGTATGCCGTGCGAAGACACATTAATATTACTTATAGGTAACATATATTGGGGGAGGGGGGGCACTACATAGCCTCCCATCGGAGGACCCAATAGCAGATGATGCGCCTCCGAGGGGGTTCGATCCTTCTGGAAAAAACATATCATATCATAGTCCTTACCACTTTTACGAATGAATATGAAAATGGGTTGCGCTCAAGTACGTCAAACTATAACGCATCTTCCCGATCCATTTATAAAGGGAATGTATTTAGACCGTAGTCGTAATACCCAACAAAACTGGGGCTAGGAGGTGCCACAGTGCGGGAGCTATCCAAATTCTGCTCCACACAGGTACACAGGATAAGTAGAGTTATGTAGCCGGACAGGATTGTTGAGTTGATCTTCAAATGGGTGTTCGCAAAAAAAATCCGGACGTCAGGCTACCCTGAGGATACCAATTAAATTATAGTCCTCTCAAACGAATAGCGTGTTATACAATATAGGTGGATGAATCGGTGATATGCTCGCCCAGACTTCCCAAGGAAAGACACATGAACTACTGGTCACCGCTCTCTTTATGACCGCTAGCGGCAGCTTTGTACTCCTCCATATCCTGGTCGAGTTCAGCAAGTGACTTTTTGGAAACATTTGACTTATTTATGCGTCGTGGGCCCTTCTTCTTGCGGCGCCTCAACACGGCCTTTGTCCCGGCAGTCTGAACAGTGCGCGGTGATACTACGATTTTTTGAGAGGGGCTGAAAAACCGGATTCGGTCAATAAATTCCGGAAACCAGTTAACAAAGAATATCTTACATAGGCGGAACGTTTCCGTTCAGTACTTGACTCTGAGGAGCAAGGGGGTCACTCTTAGGAGTACCCGCGACTTTCCCGATGCGTCCTAGTAGCGAGGGAACTGCAGATGCAGGTGTAGATCGTGTAGACCCCGCGGCATCATCCGAATCAACAATTATTTCGATCTTTATTGGACGTCCTAGGCACAAAATCAATATAAACGGGCCGAATGGACAAGAGCAACGAGTTTAAATAGCTTACTGCCGTCGATGAGTTTACCATCATATTTTTCACGAGCTGCGGCTGCATCTCCTGGGCGCTGAAATGTTATGACTGCCATCCCTTTCGAGCGCCCTTGCGTATTGTATATCACAAAACACTCTTTCAAAGGACCTATGGTCTTCTTGAACAGTTCCTATGAACAGTGGCTTGTGGTCCTGTGCCTTTCAGGTGGACATTGGATAACCACGCACTTCGACTTCTGTTTCTCCAACGTCCACAGGGAGCCTACTGAGCAGAATCTTGCTTCCTCGTTCTTTCTGTTTGTCTTTGCTGTCCCGCCATGCAGGTGGCACATTTCCAGCTTGGTTTCCAAGAAGATTGCGCTTTGCACCATGGTAAGAGGTGATACGCGCTTGTGGACGGTCTCGTGTAGACATGGTATCCAGGAGCCTAGTAGTGATAGCAAACTAGGGGAGGTGCAAGGTCAGTCGCGTCGACAAAGAACGCGAGGCACTGACAAAATATATTACATAAGTGGAGGGGTTAATTAGATATGATGGGGGTTGTGTGATTGAAAGATTAGATTTTCCATTTCTGTCTTCTTTGCCTCCCTGAACTCCCTCCCCTGGAAGGAAGACGCTGTTCCTAAATTCGCCGTTTTGCTGCTTGCCCTTCTGTGACAGCAGACGATCCTGAAAACTCTTTAGTTTTTGGTATCATACTGGTATCAGGTTGGAAAATGGACTCAAGTCGTGGTCAAGATAACCTCCAGAAGGATTTCTTGGCCTTTCTGTTTCCGGAATCTTCCTCCGACCAACAACGAGGCCATGACTCTCAGCAGAACGAAGTTATGAACACAGCTGCTGTGCACTGTCAACGTTCAAATTCTGGGATGCTCAACTTCACCGGAACCGCCAACCCTCCTCCTTTCAACCAACAATTAGATCTTATGACCATGAGCAATCTCATGTCTATGCAGGGCATGGACACCACGGCACTTCCAGCCCCGCCCAGTTCCACTGGCCTCACACCACAGGTCATTTTTGAACAACAGTACAAGCTTACTCAGCTGCATCAGCTGCAGCAGCTTCAAAATCAAATCCAGAATCAAATTTTTCAGCAGCAGGTGAGTTTTCATCCTGTTCCGTGCTCTCCCACCTTGTGCGGTGCACAGCAGTGTGATTTGAACATCGTGCTGAAGTATAATCTGTATCAGCTTGCCCTTATCAGTGGGCAGTCAGTCCTGAATACGCACGATACCAGCGTCGAGCCCGGAAGGGATCAGATTACATCTTTTAGTGGCCTTCCGACTCCAAGTGAGATTCATTTGGTTTACTTCCAGATTCACCTCTCATCGCCATCGTAGTGTCTTCCACGGAGCTCCGCCCCTTGCCTAACCCAGAGTTCCTCAGCCGTATTGGCTCACAATACCCTAATCCTCCTTCTCAGGACGTGTACTCATCCCACGCGCTTGACCCAGTTCCCTTCCTTCTCCCCATGACACCTCCGTCTCCACGCAATATCTTCGCGACACGCGCCATCCAGGTTCCAGCTCCGCACCTGCCAACATAGTCTTTCGTCACACGAGCCCTTCCATGCCGCTTCCTTCACCTCCAGACCTTGACATTGACATCTCTCCGTTGACGAGCCCCTGGCTTGAGGCATACCATAACCAACGTCCCCCAAATAAGCGCACGATATCGCCAAGTGCAGAAGATGCGGCGCGTGCGGTGCGAAAGCGGGGACCCTCCATGACTTCTCCAGTGCCAACAGTGAAACAACCTATAAGACATGCCAAGAGCGCAACGAATACCCCTCTTCTGCGTTCCACAAGATCTTGTCGGAATAGCACCGTTATGGAGACGGATTCGCCGTCACCTGTCGACTTGTCGATGCCGCCTCCCGCGCCTCCGGGACCTCGCCAATCCCCTCCCAATTCTGCAGCATCGGGTACTCATGAAGCGACATCGCCGATGACTCCGGTCACTCCCGCAAGCATAATGAATCTTGGCCGTCTGGGTATTAGCAGTAGCCTCACTACTACCGCAGCACCCACGTCTCAGAAAGCTGATAGAGTAAAAGAACCCGCTAGGGCCAGGAAAACGCCTGATAGCGGTGCACCAACAAAAGGATCCAGGAAGGGCGCACTGCCGTTCATCAGTCCTGGGCCTAAGCCGATTTTACCAGGTGCGCTCTTATTCCAAATGACGTTGAAATGTTTGGTGTGAACCCCTGTTCGTGCTAGCAGCTGGGACGCCATCATCTGTAAATGCAGGCTCTTCTGCACTCTCACCTACTGTTCCTAATCGCAAGTCGCACAAGGACGCCGAACAAAAACGCCGTGATTCTCTGAAGACTGCATATGACGATTTGCGCGTTCTGCTCCCGCCAGTTCCGCTACCTTCCGATGAAAACTTCCCTGATGAACCGATCCTTCCGGGTGCTTTACCCCCCAGAGGGCCACCGAAAGCTGGTGGTGATGGTCCAAATAAAGGTGTCAGCAAGCTGCAACTGCTCAGATGCGGGAACGATTTTATTCGAACGCTCAAGGGTCGGGTAGAGCGTCGAGATAGCGAAATCGAGAATCTGAGGAGAGAGGTGCTGAGACTGCGTGCCATTGCTGGAGATGTAGCCGGAGGGGAGCACATAGATCTAGAACAGGATCTCGATGCCATTGAAGCTTATTCGACTTTCCGCCAAACATCATTAGGTGCCGTTGCGGAGGAGGATGACGCGGACGATGCTGAAGAATGAAGGGCAGGCTGCAGGTCTATGCCAACTATTTCCCTTGATTTCTTTTTGTCAAAATATGTATAGTTATTGTTGCTAAAGAAAGGTTGACCCGAATGAACAACCGGCCGGAACAGTAGTCGAATATTTATAAGTCAGGCGTGCAGCCTATCCTTGGGTGGGGGGAATATAGTCCTTTTGCAGGTAGGCTATGCGAGTCTGGAGACTATTCCTTTGATCGGCCACCTTGTTAAATTAAAACAAGTGATTGACCGCGAAAATCCTTCGGAAAGACCCGGCCATCGGTCGTGGGTTTGTAACTTTTAACCATGCGAAATTTCAACTCTCAGGCACCAAGCAGATAAGCCAGCCTTGCTTACTTAACTCGATTCTGAACTTTTGTACCGATTCCCGAAGCTCCCTTCACATTGTTCACAAGAACTTTTATCATGTCTGTGCACGCTGCACGTAGCCCGCTGTAAGTTAAGTTTCATTATACCAAGGAAACGCCTAACATTCGCTAGATCTGCTATATTCCTACTGCATATCGCGTTGGAGGCGCCGCTGGCCCTCCAGGCGTTCTGGTCCCCACAGAGCCTTCCCTTCCTGCAGATGAACAATACCACGTTAGTCATGTTGAAGGTTCGCTTATTTCAAGATTCATTACACGTATAGCTGTTGACGCCGCCCAGCTGTATGCCGCGTTGGTCACTGGATCCTGCATTACCGCTTTCCTGGCGTATCCTTTACCAGGTATCATCCGCACGCTGCTTTAATAATTATGAAGCGAATGATGTTTCCCAACCAGAATTTCTGCCCGGAAAGCGTGCACTCGCTATAGGATTCTGCATTTACCACAGTGTGGTGTCAACAATTCTGTTTCAGACTCCAAGGTTCATTCCTCACACCCTAGGTCCCTTCCTTGAGTCGTGAGTGTTATATTATCTCTTATTTGGGGTGATTCCAATGACTACCTTATAGCGTGAATCTTACACCTGAGGTTGTGTGGGGTACTTTCCACGGTCTGCTGGGGCTTGGAATGGTGGTGTGGTGGCAAGCAACGCTGCAGTATGCAGCAGCAGTGAGAGGAGCTGCACAGTGATAGAAGGAACAACTGTATTTATTCGTGTATGGCCTGTCTAGGGGAGACTACCATTAAGACCTAGTACTTAGAATGTAGTATCATTAGTAGCCAGAAGAACCAAGTTGCACATTAAGGGAGCATGTCCCGTTTAGCTCAGTTGGTAGAGCGCGTCACTAGTAATGACGAGGTCAGTCGTTCAAGTCGGCTAATGGGAAGTATTGGCGCTCCATCTTGATTGATGAGTATCATTCTTTTTGGTTTCCACATGATAATTTATACTTCGTATACTTAAGGTGGTACCGTAAGTTATAGCTTTCGGTTATATGTTATCGTGGGAGATAAGATAAGTGACTAGTCGTCGACCTTGTGTCAGCAACTTAAAGAGGTACACATATCCAACCCAAGTAATTGAAGCATCGAAGCATGGCAGCACCCCTCTACACAACAGCTTCGGGATTACTATTTCACGCTGGAAAGATCCTCATCTTGACAGTTGGCTTACCCGCTCGTGGCAAAACACACATTTCTCGCGCGCTCGAACGTTATCTCAGATGGATGGGCGTGAAGACTCAGGTCGTATCTCTAGGTGACTATCGACGGAAGACCCTTGGTGGAGCCAAGAAACTTCCTCCAGATTACTTCACGTTAGGTACGCATACTTCCAATCTTTTAATTCCTGTGTGAATTACTACCGGCAACAGGTGAGAAGAGTCCAGAGACCATGACATTGCGCAAGATGGTGTCGGATGGCTGCGAAAAGCTCATCGAGGACTTCTTTGAGTCCGGTGGACAGGTCGTGATTTATGATGCCAACAATGGATCGCGAACTACGCGGCAGGCTTTGGCAGAGAAGTACGACAAGCAGGGAATTCATGTGATCATCCTTGGTATGTCTCACTAGGTTTATTGGGCAACAATCGCTTATTTGCCTTCGGTGTAGAGTCCGTGTGCGATAACAAAGAGGTTATAGAGACTAATATCCGGAACGTCAAGATATCCTCTCCTGATGTGAGTTCCCTCACTTTCTTGCTTACATTTTTTTTGAGTCTGGTATAGTATCGCGGCTGGGATCCAGACAAGGCAGTGGAAGATTACTATGAACGAATCCGTGATCGCGAAAAATCATATGAGACAGTTGAAGAAACCACTTGGCCATTTATCCGTATAATAAATGTGCGTACCATGTATACGAATCTTGTGTCATTTGTTGGCTTACCCGCATGGCTGAAATTAGGTAGGCGAGAAGATGATGGTCAATGTATGTCCTGACGCACTTTAATTTCGGTTGACCTAATTAGTCCCCGCACAGAACATCCGTGGTTATTTGCAGGTGGGCGAATATTTAAAGTCGTCGTGTCTGGATGACTGATCCCATGAGCAGTCGCGAATTGTCTTCTTCCTCATGAACATCCACAATAGACCCCGCATGATTTACTTTGCTCGGGTAGGTAGCAAAGTATAACATAGCTGTTACTTGATTCATATCCTAACAGTCCGGACAATCACTCATCGAACATTCTTACAAAGCCGACTCGGATCTTTCTCCTGCGGGGTGGGAATACTCTGAGCAGCTGAAAGAGTTCGTGGTCGAGCGGCGTGCCAAATCGCTCGAGCAGCGTGGGTTCGACCCTAATGATAGACGTCTAGTTGTACGTGGCCCTCGATCCTTATTGTACGGATTGATTTTCAAACAGAGCTCACTAGATATGGACCTCAACTCGGCGTCGTGCCCACCACACCGCTTGGCCATTCCTGACCCCGACACCCTCCACTTCAACTCCGCAGCAACTTTCTCTTGCTGCCTCCCATCTCACCGTGCCACCACAGTCTGCAGTTGCACGGAATGTGGTAACCACCGACGGAGCTGGAGAGCTGACAGAAACAAAAGTTACCGCTGGGTCGTCTTTGAAAGTTAAGGTGATCGAAAAGACACAGATGTCCGAGATCAACCCTGGGGTCTGGGACGGCCTCACTCCCGATCAAGCAAAGAAATTTTACCCTCAGGAGTGGGCGAGATTCGTGAAGGATCCATACGCATTCCGCGCTCCCAGAGCTGAGAGTTATCACGATTTATCTGGTAATACTACTTCCTCTTGTATATCTATCTGCTGTTATCTTTGTTCTAAAAATCCAGTTTTGGCTCTAGTTCGCTTGGAACCTATCTTGATTGAATTGGAACGTGAAAAAGAAGACCTCTTGATTATCGGACACTCTTCTGTCATCCGATGTCTTCTCGCGTATCTGATTGGATTGCCTGCAAGCGAGATACCCGCAATTGAAATTGCGAGAGGTGACTTGTTGGAAGTTGTTCCGACTTCCTATGGAGTGCATAGCCAAGCCTTCCACTTCTGGGATGGTCCTGGTCGACGGGGCGAAGGCATTGACGGGGATGGCGACCACGATGACGAAGAGGTTGGGAAGTCAAGGAGAGATGAGACAAACTTTTACGAAAATTATGCGGAGGACACGAAGGGGAAAAAGAGAATGACCGCTATGGATCTAGGGTGCCTTTCCCCTGGTTTTCTGGAAGGTAGCGAAGGGGCTCTAGCTGATGGAACCTGACTCGCACCTTACAGTTTTAGCAAATTCTCAGGGCTGTATACTACATACTGGTATCACATGGATACGTTGCACGCTTCCATTGGCATGTTCAAATGAAGCCGAGCACCTCCTAACTATTCCGGCTGCGCATTTCATTCCATACTTAATCTTCTCTGCAGTGAATACAGGATAGCACAGGGGAATTAAACCACGAGTCAACTGGCTGTTTTGAAATGAATTGAAAGAAGTTGGCGTAACGTTGGTTTCTTCTTGTGGCCACAACTCGTCAGCGCTAGCGCTTTATCCGAATAACAGTGCTCTGCTCAACTCCCTGCCGTGAACTTGAACATGAGGATCTATTGTATGAAATCACGTCCCGACCATATTGTAGACATCACTATTCGAGAAACCTATCCACCACGTATCGTTCAGTTACAGAAAGTGGTGCATGACCTCCACACACGCGATATTTGGATGCGCAACATCCTGCCGCATTTTCTCTCAAGCCCAAAAGCCGGACGTGTGTGGGCGTAAGCAAACTTTATCTTTGACTTGGATACCCTTCCCTCATATTCTGCGAAGCACAATTTTGGGTCCCTGTATAACGGGAGGTCATACACCGCTATCTGTAATAGGTCTCTCACGCCACTCCCTGCTCAGCGGGATGCAGGCAGGAGATGACCTCTCCCAGTTGCCCTGGGTGGGTGTCATTGCCTGCGAGCATCCCAAAGCGCCTTAGCCGGACACTAACAGGACAAACTGCTACCGTCGTCTGACATCAATCTGCCAGCGGAAAACACGAGACACGGGTGAAAAACTCAATTTCCTGATATCTTCACATGAATTGAAGTTCAAAGCATTCTGGGTGAACTACGAAGGAGAGGAAGTTCGCCTGGAGCAGATTAGAAAACCATACGTTTCGAAGGGAGTTAGGTATGCCCCAATGGACGTTGTGGATGATGATAGATTCCTCGGCTTTGTGATGAGAAACTTGAATGTGGTATCCACTATCCACAACTTACCCGAGGGGATCCCAAGTTCTATCTTGACACAAGACACTACCCAAACCATTAAATAGGTCTTGCACCTCCAATACAATATTAATGACAAGCCTTTGCACAATGCACAGCACATGAACACGACCGTTTTTGACAAGGACCCACCTCGTTCTCCAAGTTATCTCAGCACACAGATTCAGATTGAAACAGAGATGTTCCTTCAGCGTCATGGACGGCAGGGAAAACACAGATCTGGACGGACGCGAGATTGATTATGTTGATGGACGATCGTGTAAATGAAACGTCACTGGTGAATTCGTACCCTTCGCCACTTGAGCCTTGCACTCAACTTTGCATACCCGCAGTTTACCCACCACCGCGGTTACTTGAGTTGAGTTTCCGTTATGGCGTCAACAAATGAGCGCATTAATGAGCCTGCAGCTATGTTTGTTGTAGAGGTAAACGTGGGGTATGCGCTGAACAAAAAGATTCAAGAGAAGTTGTTGGGCTCCGTGAATGCTCACCAACGATAGCAGAGCCTGAACGTTCGAACACTGTCAATTTGGTCGGGGGCATTAAATTATAATCGTCGCACGGATGTTGAAGTGGAGAAGCTTTACATAAATTGACCTGAACGACCATGTCCGGTTCCCGCCCACTACGTACGCCTAGTCTTCCACCGACAGCACGCTACCGTCCACGTCCAGCGCATGGCCTTATTACACCGCGGGCGCCAGCACCTCGACGCTCTTCTGTTTCGGGGCTCACCACTACCGGCCAGAAAGCTCAACGTTCCTCCAAGACAATACAGAAGCTCGTCGTTCTACCCTCTGCACCACAAACAAAGCCTCTACCAACAACTGTTTCTGATGATATCCTCGGCTACGAGACCGATACCGGTGTAATTCGTGAATACAAGTCAGCTGGCGAGCGCATGAACAAAGAACAGAGAAAGCGAGCAGGATACAAGAGGATCACAGCGTATTGTATTACCGAAGAACTGAAGATGAAGTTGCTCGCAAGTTTTTTGAAGAGGGAGCATAACATCACTCCAAGAGTGTTTGATGAGGCAATGTATGTTGTGAGTCTCGTGTTTCTCACTTGCCTGCCAATGTTCCTGACCTGCCTCATGTAATTTGCCCTGACCGGTGTCTTGTAGATTTACCACCTGCCGCTCCTTCCTGGGTACGGGCCTAACACCACCATCCGTTCCTCCGCAGCCCCAGTAAAGGAAGCCAAGTCTCTCCAGAAACGCCTTGCTGAAGCTGAAGAAAATGGCTATCAGGGTTCATATTTTATCCCTCAGGAAGACGTACCACGGACTTCGGATGGATACATGACGTCCGGATCCCATACGGAATCTCACCGACCCCCGCCCCGTCCTGAATTGGAATCTGAGGCCGAACGGGAAGCAGAGTATGCCGAAGAGGGTGAGAGTGAACGGTACGATGTGAACGAGAGAAGTCAGGAAATGAAGGAGAGCGCAGAGGGCGAGCGACGCGAGCAAGTCGAGGTGAAAGAAGAAGACCGTATTGCGGAAGTGGTCTTCTTTGCTTATGGCGTTGCTGTCTTCTTTGGACTCGAAGAAGGGCAAGAACGGGCTATTGTCGAGGATATCAGTAATGCTGGTATTTTGAAACGACCAATGAAAGAAGATGACTGGGAGATTGAAGAATGCCATTTTGCGGTACGTCACTGTCTTGTAATTTATATGACTCCTCATCTGACACTGTCTAGCATGACCCAACGATTTCATACCCTCGCATATATCATGATTTCTTCAGTGCGTTTTTCAAGCTGTGCATTGTGTGCTCTGCTAAAACACCGTAGCTTTCAAGTCACCTTCCCATCTGCTCAAACTGTCTGTTGCGCATGCCCTCGCCCAGTCTACCCTCCTCGCACACTACGAGTCTGTCGCCTCTTCTGTACTTTCATCCCCTAGCACCGTATCAATACCAAGGCAGCTCGCATCCTCTGGCGCCATCAACCTCAAACGCCGTGATGCGATGAGGCTCACAGGCAAGCTGTTCAAGCTCAGACGCGACGTAAATCTCGTGAGCAATGTCTTGGACGTTCCAGAGTTATTCTGGAGCGAGGCAAGTCTGGGAGGGTTGTATGAAGCTGTACGAGAATACATGGAAATTGGAGAACGCGTACAAGTACTGAACGGGAAACTCGGGATGGCGAGCGAATTTGTGGGTGTTTCTTTGCAATTCGACTTGAGAAGCAACTAATGGTATTTTGTTTTTGTCCTCAGCTCGATGCTATACATGATCACTTGAATAACAATGCGATGGAACGGATAACGTGGATCGTTATTTGGTGAGATTTAATAATTACAGTGTTAAAGTTAGGTGATTCGATCTGACCGGTTCTTCAAAAGGCTGATTGTGGTCGCACTCTTAGTGGAGTTGGTGAGTCGTGTGCACTGCAATCTGTGAAAAAAATCCTGACAATCGTACTACAGGGTGAAGTGGTCGCGCGGCTAGTCGTGCATGCAACAATGGGTGAAGACAAGGCGGACCGCATAGTATTGCGGGGAGGAGGTGCGCTCAGGGCCCTTATCAAGATTGCATCACAACGATAGGTCAAGAGGTGGTCATGGTATTATTGAGTTGGTTTCTGCGAGACTCATCAGCTGAAGATAGACTTGGGTCGTTCATTGGAACGGTATCCAGCAACGAGTTTGTAATCTTAATCTATAGCAATACCTCGCTGGTCTTCAATGTCACTCGGATCTTGGGTTTTTACATTTTCCGCTCATTGCAGCTCTCTCTCATGCGCGACCTCTCGGTACTCAAGCACTGTCTCGCCGTCATAGGTAAGCGTCTAGGTCGATTTTTGACTGCATGTGCACCAGTACTGTGCTACCACGAGTATTTGGCTTTATTTTGGCGCGCATTACATACGCGCTCGGTTTTGTCCAGGGCAGGACTTGACGACAGCCCCTTGACAGCCCCTGAGGAATACAAGCACTTGGTCGATTCAGAAGAGGTAGGTCCATGTTTCAGTGCTTCAGATTTTTGTCCTCATCTCATCAAGATTTTACTGCTACCAGCGGTCAATGGCGCGAAAACAGAAAGTCATACGGTGCTCCTTTCAGTCGCTTCCCACAGAGATAATGTGCAGCATCCTCAATCGTACTTGAAAGTATGGTCGAAGATGATATGATGGCAACCCCCGAAAACGAGCAGGTGCTGGCAGGAGGCATGCCATTCCATTACAATATGGCATCGGTGTGCAGACACTGGCGAAATATAGTGTTTTCTACACCCCAGTTGTGGACTCGGATATGTTGGTCTCGGGCACTACCCCGGGAGAACAAGCGGGTGACCTCCCAGCTGAAGAAGGCGGGAAGTTACCCAGTCCATTTGGTAATCACGCGGAATCACCTAAGCAAACGTCTTCCCTTATCCCTCATTTCATCACATCTTCCGCGACTCAAGAGCCTTATAATGACTGCTATTTTCGATGGACTCGGCAATTTGAGCGCACTGACAGGAGATGCGCCCCAGCTCGACTGTTTACGATTGACGGATATTAGACGTCAACACGGTTTCATTCGCTTGGAATCATATTTGAAACTAGAGTGTCCCAACCTAAGGGCCCTTTACTGTCGACCATAATATAGCTTGTCACCTTAGCCACCAGTGGCTCAAGAATAACATGTGACATATTGAGGTCATGACCATTTATGTCGGCTATCCGATCAATAGCTTGACATCCTCAGCGATTTCTCGAGCCTTACAGGCAATACCGCGGCGAATTCCTTGCCTCATTCTCGACAACCTGCAATTTTACGATGCCCTGGCGGTAAGCCACAACATCGCAATCCAGGCAGAGAAAGTGGTTATGCGCACATGCATTCGAGGTGCTTTGGCTGCGTTCAATGGCGATTGTCAATCCCTCGTTCTCCAGGAATGCGATGCTATCCATGAACTTCGTTGCATATCGCTACCCCCCTCAAATTCATTAGAGTTGGATGGGTGCGCTGCCAAATTTGGCATGCGGTGGATACCTAAGACACGCCCATGGAATGGTGATACTGTGATCGTCACGAACAGCCACTCCTCATGCATCAAGATCATCTTGTATTTCCTCGGTGCACCTTTCGCTCGCCGTAGCTGTTCGCTGTGGCCCCGTGTCACCACGCTCAAATTCATAGCGAAGGGCGATTTCGTCATGGAGTTCCCTTTGATAATACTGAAGGCGATGGTCAGCAGCCGGAGGGAGGCTGCGGGGCAGGAGAATTTAGGGAAGGACAGCGTGCGTCCGCTTATGGTGCTTCATGTGCATGGAGCACAACCCCTTCCATGTGAGGAGAAGATGTGGTTTAAGAAACAGGTGAGGGACTTTGTGTGGGACTAGACAAGGGAAAGAGACTATCAAAGACAGCAGCCAAGGAGAACACGTGTGGATTAGTCCAGGGAGGTGTGTTAGTTGGTCATTAAGCATCAAAATCCATATCTTCCGTCTGAATAAAATTGAACTATCAGCATACTGTGTCCGAAATTTAGACACCATGATACACGAACTCCTCTCTTACAATATACTGCTATACCTAATCAAGCACTGTTATTTTCCAAAGAATCCATGCGTTCGACTTCAAAAGGTTCCAGAGCTCAAACGGGTGTCCTCTCCGTCTTCGGGCCAGAACATCTCCTCAAGTTCCACGACTCTCGCCCAAATACTCTCCATCGCACGTACAGCTGAGTGCGAATGACCATGGTGACGTCTCGCGAAGTGCCTATTTGCCAGAACCTCCAGCTTCTGGACAAATTCTTCGAATTCCGGTGTCGTCCAGTTGTTTGTTAGTTGGCGGATCGCATTCGCAGTATTGTCTTCTAAGTCGCTTTGAGGAGGGAACAAGGATTTTACATACTTCCATGCGTCGAGGTATACCTAAGGGGCTTGTGTCAAGTAGTGTAATGTCGATTGCGAGTCTCACGCACCTGTTCCATTGCCCACAGAAACACGAGCCCCTCTTCCAACGAACCAACAGAAGCTACCCTTGCCATTTCAGCTGTGTAATCTCGCGTGGCTTTCCGCTCCATCCAACCGTTAATATCCAAGCTCCATTCCTTTGCGACCCCTTCAAAGAAAGCAACCTCACGAATAATCCCCTCCAAGCATATTGTCAACAGAGCGAGAGTCTCTCTGTTCAATTCCTCTTCGACAGCAGGTCCATCGAAGGGAATTTTTGATATGAGCAGACCAATAAAGCGTGGATATGCATGTGCCGCATAAATGCGATCCTGACAGAGCCACAGTGCAAGACGGCCTGGAGATAGGCTCAACGTACCAGCAGCTGTGAGGAATTCGTGCTGAGTGGCTGCGCTGTAGTATGGCTTCAGATTAGATTGGTCTTTCAGATGATGCGTGATATGATGCATGTCTGACGGTGCAGAGGTGAGTACTTGAGTGGTGAAGGTACATGGTAATCCATGCAGTCCGAGTCACTGGCGCTCATCTTATCTTATCTAATGAACATTATCTAGTTCCTCCGAGTGGCAACCTTCCCACACACGTGACACGCACATCCATCCGCGTCCATCAGCAAAACTCCCCAACGTATATATAGCCATATATACACATGTAACCCCTGTAACACACCATAACGACTGTGACTAGTATCTATGACTGAGTCTAGAATATATACCAATGTACCGAATCGATTTTTGCGATATGGTCACAACCATGTTCCAGAACGCGTGATATACTTGATGCCATGTTCCAGGGTACTGTATGATTGCATTGTCTTATATTTAGTTATAACATTAAATCACGATGATATCCCATATAACCACCTATCATTGAGCTATGTGAATACATGTGGTACAGTAGGTTACAGTGGAATCTAATCTAATGTAGCAGTGGTAACTCCATACCAATTGCCTGGACATGAGCAGTGAGTGAAAAATCGTACATGAGTGACACCATTGTAAGCTGCAGTGAAAAACGAAGTCCATGAGAGCATGTGACCAGATGAGTATTAGTCTGTGAGTAAAGTATGTGAGCGGATGGGTCACTGTAGTGATATGAATGTGAATGTGAATGTGAAGGGAGACAGTAAAATGATGCAGTAGAGTGAATCTAATACAAATTGAAGTGAGTGACAGTCATAAGTACCAAGCAGACTACGAGAATGTTATGACTCACTACTTCCTTGACTTGTGTTTTGAGGTTTTCTTGCGTGGTGCAGCAACCCCCTTTCATTTGCACTTAGTAGGTTGGATAATCTCTTCATCTTCAAGTTCATCTTCTTCTGTCAGGGGGCTGTTGTCATCGAAAATGGCTGCAATGGGTGTGGAGGACTGTTTGCGCTTGCCTGAGTCAACAGGAAGATTGGGGGCAGGGGAGTGTGCAGGTAATACTTTCTCCTTGCCTGAGTCAATAGGAGGATCGGGATTAGGGGAGTGTGCAGGTTTGATTTTCTCGCCTGAGTTGACAGGAGGGTCAGGGTTAGGGGGGCGCATGGGTGAGACTTTCTCCTTGCCTGAGTTGACAGGAGGATTGAGGGTATTGAGGGTAGGGGAGCACGTGGGTAAGACTTTATCATTGCGTGCATAGTCTTCATCATCCACCTTTTCAGGAGATGAAGGAGGTAGTGGTGAGGGCTGCTTGTCCTTGCAAGGATTAGTTAATACTTGGGCTACTGGAGAATCTGGAGTGGGTGATCTATCAGGAGCAGGAGGTAAGGACCTATGGCGCGACTCTTGTTGCTTATTGACTGCCAAAGAGGATCCGGAGGCTCGTGCTGCACATGCAGCAAGTTGCCGTTCTATCGCGATCATATTGTCATCCTCTGAACACTCAGCATTTGCAGAGTGACTAGGTCTGGCACTGTTTTCATTGCCGAACAGTTTCCTAGATCAATGAGTATGTTAGATAAGAGAATAGCATAGAAAATCACTTACTTGTTATAATGCCCCAGCAGGGAGTCAACCCACTCCCCGTCTTTCCTCCCCCGAATTAAGTTTACTATCCTGGTGTAAAAGTCAGTATAATAGAACAGGGCATTCCGATCTTTCCACTTGTCAAGCAAACTGATTGCAAAGCAAGCCTGTACAGTACAGACTAAGTAAGTAAGGTGTGCATCAAAAAAAACACTTACCTGAACTGCGGCATATGCAATATGCTTGGCCTCCACTTCTGCCATCCTATGGAGTTTTGCATTGCAAGCGCAAGTGCCATTGGAGACGCCAGCCTTTAGTGCAGACGATGGAGAAGTGAATATGTGTTTAGTCACCTGTATATATTAGTGTTATCCAATATAACTGAAGAAGAAAAAATGTACTTGCTCCAAAAGATATCTGTGGAAAAGCCCTTCAACTATATCTTCCGGATTGAAGTCTTCACCTGCAATATCGCCTGGATAGAGAAAGGCAGGCCACAGGGCAGCAGTCACCTTCAATGATCCATTATTGAATTTGTTCTTCATCCTGTAGTCACTACTGTTAGTACAAGCGACTCAAAAACAAATCAAACATACCCATGTGGATCCTTGATGTAGTCAGCCAAATATTTAGTGGGACATAGCATTTTGCCCAGCTGGACGTGGTTGAATCCCATTTGGGCATGGCTCTTGCTGTTGTCAGTGATTGGAGGGTAGACAAGATCTTTGTCAGGGTTTGGAGCTGTGTATGAGCCCATGTGGGATTTGAGGCGACTTGCATCCTCGGAGCATGTATGATTGATCATATTTTGCATCTATACATAGTTAGCTGCAATTAGTATAATTGAAACCTACATACCTTGCCGATGAGTTGCATGAGCTCCTCGTGTTTTCTCCTCCTGCTGATTAGAGTCCCAATATGAGGAGCACTCAAGACCTACAAGTACCATGTGCTGGGAGATTACCCTGATACAATCCAACAATTTGGTACCACTGATAGCTTCAGCACACAGCCAGTAAGTTTTCATTTGATCGCACATGTACATACATACTGATTAGTACTACTTAAATTACTAGGGTGAACTTCAGCATCAGCGCATAAAACACTGGTATCCGAAAACCCCCAAAGGGAAAAAGAACACAGTGTCAAGTATGACATGGATCGAGACTAGGGAGTGACTGTTGGGAAAGATTGTCAAGGCATGAGCTGCATTGGTATCAAGAGAAGGTAATGCTGAATCACAGCACCGCCAACATGAGCGCACATCTCCAGCCGATCACTACCACATTTCCAAATATGCCAGAGCCTCGTTTGATCTCACAGAATGGCTCAGTGAGCTACCAGAGGACAATCAAACAGTATTGGTGTGTCTTTGTTTAAAAAACCTCTGAATTACTTCATTTGACATGAGGAACAGGATTTTATTCCAAGACTCAAGGATCATCTGCTTGCATGTCTTCGTGGGATGGAGTACACCAGAGATGAGCTGGATTTTACTGATGAAGACCGCACACAGATTATAATTGCTAACAATAAAATCTACAAGCACAGCGTCCTCTGGATTAACTACACTACATACAACTTACGGTGAGAGCAAGATTCGCTGAACCCACATACCCATGCTGATGTTATGGTCTTGTCGCATGAGAATGATGATGCGCGGCACCCTTATTGGTATGCACGGATCATCCAGATCTTCCATGTTGATGTTTGGGACTGCAATGACATGTCCATGGAGAAACCACGCTGAATAGATTTTGTGTTGGTGTGATGGTTTGGACGCGAGGCATATTACCAATCTGGTTGGTCTGCAAAATGTTTGCATCGCATTGGTTTTCTCCAAGGTGAGGACAGCCCCTTCAGTTTTCTGGATCCTGATGTCATCATTCGAGGTGTTCATCTTATTCCAGCATTTGAATCTGGCAAGACTGATGAGCTTCTTCCTAATCCATTTGTATGACCCAAGGCAGATTTGAATGAAGATTGGCTCCATTTCTATGTCAACATGTGAGTTTAGTGTACCTATCTACTTCTAATGAATTTGTTGATCTATGTCTAGGTTCGTAGATCGAGATATGTTTATGCATTACCGAGGGGGAGGTATTGGCCACACCATAACCCACGAATGGGATGAGTTCCTGCAAAGTGATGGGGTGCAGGTGATGAATGAACAGGCAGAAGAACTGGAGGATGAAGCTGGAGAGGAAGACAGGGAAGATGGGGACGAGGATGAGGATGAAGACAAGGGGGAGGTGGAGGGGGAGGAAGAGAAAGATGAGGGTGAGATTGGGGAGGACAAAGATGATGAAGAGGAAGAGGATCCTGATAGGATAGAAGCGGATGAGGGAGAAGAGTTAGATGATGATTTTCTGATAGCGGAAGGCTATGGCGCTCTGTAGTTTGATATTGTATGTTTTCATGTTAAATCTGTGGTGTGACTTGTTATCAATTCACAATGTTTAATCTTACTTAGAGCTCATTATTGGGAGGCCACAGAGTGCATTCATTTCTATTGCGCATATATGCATTTATAACTGTAGCGAGGTACATATAATAGTACTACCACCTTATAACTACGATATAAAGTCGCTACCACTATGTTTCAGTTGCGCCAAGGGTTATGCGAGGGTGATGAAATATTTATAATGTGTAATGTTCATATGACGCATGCACACATGCGTCATAACACTGAAGCGTTTTGACAATTCCTAATCAGGTAATGTTACGTGTTGTGACATTTGGGGAGTTTTGCTGATGTCAGCGCGTCCCGTCGAGTCTCTTTACCATCAGTGACATGTGCATCACCGAGTCAAACAACAGAGTTAACGCCACCTGGACCCGCCCCTTTAATGAGAATGCGTTTCGAGATGTTTTCCAAGCTTCAGACAGAAGTTGGTATCAAGAGATACCATGGGTCGACCGTCGGAGGTGACGACAGGGCCAGTAAGAACGCCGAGAAAGACATGCGCGCAGTGTGCCAGTCCAAGCGAGTCGGGATAGACTGGTGGTTATTAGAACTTACCTCGCCAGTCTGAGTGATATAACCGGCAGACTGTAGATGTGATGTTGGTAACGGGAACCTGAATCAGAACTGGTGTTTGAACTGGGACGCAACCTCTTCCACGCAAGGAGAAAACGTGGTTTAAGAAACAGGTGAGAGACTTTGTGTGGGGCTAGAAGAAGAAGAGGTAAAGAAAGGACAAGAAGAAGACTATCACAGCAAGCAGTCAACGAGAAGGGTTTTTTTCTGACTGAGGGTATCTGACTGCCTCTAAAATCATCGGGGGATGAGGTCTTTGGCTGTTGGCTTTGTGATTGCAGTCTGAACTCACTGAGTACTGAGGTCTGAGGTCCCGTGCATTGACTGATGATATCCCCTCCTCTAATGGAGAAACGGTCTGGAATTGGGTGGGGGAACATATTTTATAACATCAGGATCCAACACGGTCTGAAATGTAATGATTCCGTTCAGGTTCCATCTTAATCCCGTCACTGTGATTAGCATCGAGGCATTTTTTCAAGTCTTTGCAATCCCCTATGTCATACAGAATCCGTACAATGTAAACCAAAATACATGTAGCCTAAGTTATATATTTGAGACCCGATATCACCGCTTTAACTAGAATGTTAGACCCCTGTGAATGGTATTGTACATATGAGTGCGGTAGAAGATGTCGATTCATAATTCATTTAGTATTCAATTCACGCTCCTCACTTTCCTTGCGCCATGATTCTCCCTTTTGCAGTACCAATATAACCAGTAATTCCATCACAACCATGACGCCAGCCCATGCCGAATATAATCCCCCATCTCCTAAAACATCCTGCGCAGAGAGCGCTCTAACATCAGGACTGGTGATTTGCAACGGGCATCAAGGAACTTACTTGGAGCGGCACAGCAATTAAAACCGAAACGAAAGCCAGGGATCCTCGGACCGAGCTGTTGGTCGCCACCGCTGAACATGAGCGACCAGGGTTGGCATCAACGAGGTATGCCAATGTACTGGTATACATCCATCTAGAAGTATATGTCAGAGCAACTACGAGCGTGAAGAATTGGTCTACTAACATGGAGGAGAATCCAATAAGTAGGAGCATGACGCAAATGACGGCGACATGCACATGCTTTTCGCACACCCAAGCATATCCGACGACAAATGGAGGTAGCCACAGCATCGCCAGTTTCGAGCTCTCTAACCGCATCTACGGAAGACGTCAGTTAACAATTCTAATGTGAGAGTGTAGAAAATATTCACTTCTGCGTGCCACTTTCCTCCGTTCGCTTCGATCATCTTTGCAAGCACCCGATCAGACCAACGCCCACTAAGTACACTCCCAGCGATACTTCCTTCATAGGAAATTAGTCACTGATCTGCCACAATCCAGGGTGTGAAGATCGCCTCACCTACGCCCAAGCAAAGCAAGACCAAGCCAATGCTAAACGCGCTATAATCATATGCATTGGCGAGAGTGCGAGAGCACGTGTATGAAAGACAATACGTAAATCCGAAGATGAGTCCTTATCCCGAAGTTGAGTCACTAACATCATTTACATGAGGACAACTCCTCACTCACCATTAGCGATAAGAATTAAAACGTTGTTCTTGCGCGACAGAATTCGAAAGCATGGTGGAAATGGGTTGATGTCCCTGAGTGATAGTTTGACATCGTCCAGTCCTGGTGTAGAAGTCACCGTTGAAATATGGTCTGGAACATCCAGCGGTTGGAGCTGCTTCTCGACATCCATGACAGGTGTTTGGTCATTGTTGGACTCATGCCCAACGATGATAGATTCGTTTGGACTCCGAACGCGTTCTTTGGAGGTAAGAAGTCGCTGTAAAGCGGAGCAATAGGTGAGGCTCCGTTCACGTCGGTATGTATCCTTGAACAGGACGAGGAAAGACAAGAATACGACTGCTGCACAGATAAGCATGAAGTAGAAACTTGCACGCCAGTCGAAGGCTTGTGACAACGACCCCCCGAGTATAGGGCCCAGGGCGGGTCCTAAGAGAGGTGCAGCAAAGAAGATACCCATCGTGGTCCCTCGCTCGTGAGTGTCGTAGACATCAGCCAGTGTCGCAGCTGAAATAGACATGGCAGCGCATGACCTGCAGAAGGGGGAGTCAATCAATGACCAAGCTTTTTGCATGGATGCTTACCCCGCAGCTTGAAGTGCTCGCATGCCGATCATCACCTCGATGGTCTTGGAAAGTGCCAACGCAGCACTTCCTACCACAAATAAAGCCGAAGCCACCAAATAGACAGGCTGTGATAAACAAAATTCGCATTCATCATGTAGATCAAGGAGATGTGCCTATCATAGACCAACCTTACGGCCTTTAATTTCGCTTGCGGCGCTCCATAATAGAGGAAAGTTCCCCTGTATGATTAGGAATGCCGCCAACGTCCAGCTAATCTGGCTGCTTGTTGCATGCAGATCTACCTCTATCAACGAGTTCGAGGCTGCAAGACGATATCAATATGAAACCACTGGGTGTGAAAAGACATGCGACAAACGATTTTGGATGTTAGAAGCTAATGCAGACATCATTGTAGCCAGTGACACAATGCACAAAGTCGTGGTCTACAGATGGTACAGCATCAGATTGGTCACAGAGTGCAGGTGTGATACACGTACTTTTCTAGCAGGGCTCCACTGACGGGGGTCGTCGTTAACTGGAACGTGTTCTATGTCAATTGTACTAGCTGCGCCTGTGGACGACTCGGTATCGGCATCTTGGCGTAGTGGTTGGGGTTTGGACACAGAAGGCGTTTTGGAAACGGTTGGACTAGCCATGAGTCGCAGATTGAGAAGCACGATGCAGCGGAAGCTTGTAGTCTCTGGTTCAAGGTGTATTGCTTTTATACAGTCAAAGGGGCCATTTGTATCTTACGCTCTCTGATATCGCGATACTGGTATGTACCGAGCATGTGTAGGCCCCCATGCGTGAAGGCAATCCTAGCCTGGCTAGCCACAGCTGCCGCAGATTGTTCCGACAGAATCACGGGCGAATTTGTCCCGGCCCGAAGGATGCTACTAGTTCCTCCTGCCGTACTCGAGCATCAACAGTAACAGTCCGTGTGGCATTGGTCCAAGTTTGAAGTTTCCAATGACACAACGATAATCGCTGTTCGAAGATCTCCGATTCAGAGAACAGAAGCAGCATTGTGCAGACCACACATAGGAGCAACATAGCCGCGAGGGCGTGAAGGCGAAATAGCCCAGAAATAAAGTTGCTCGGATCAATTGACTTGTCGTGTTTCCTTACCGTCCTTAACCTCACCCATTTCGTGAGCATGACGGGTGCCAAAATTGCTACACTCTGTGACTCCGGCACCTGCTACCAGTCACGTAAATATACAGCATTTCGGATGAAAGAGAAAGGGGATACATGATTATCTCGCAATGATGTAAAAGGAATATTCCAACAAAAGAGTGAGGAAATAATCGGGTACGTACCCTCTGAACTTTTTGGCATGTTTTCCCCGCATCAAACTCTTCAGGTGCGGAAATTTCATCGCATCGAGGAGTTTCGACACTGGTATTCAGTATTTCCGATTTGTCCGACACTTCAGACTCGAGTTGGTCTATTGCGCTTTGAGTTCTTCTGCCGGGCCAAACAAAATTTGGGCCAGAAGGTTGCCACTGATTGGAAGGGCTGAAACAGAAACGTTAATTGTCTGAGAATAGCTATGGTTTCGTCAGTCCTGCAGAAGCCACATTGAAGCAAAGCACCACCGGATGTGTTGAAATAAAGCCAGAAGAGAAGCTAAATTGGGCAATTGTCTGACAACCTCGAACTTGGATAATAATGGGATGAAGATAAGAAATGTGTGCGAATGCAGGGACTGACTTGCCTGAGGTCGGTTAGGTGAATCTTAATGATGAGGGTCCGATCGAAGATGTTCCAGCGAAAGTGGCTGGGCTTTTGGGTTTCCCGGGCCGTCCAAGCCTAGTTTGGTGAGCACTTAGGCTTAGTCTTCGACTCCGGCTCTTCGCTTGTTGATCTTATACATAGAAGCATCGCATACAGAAATATATGGGCCACCGCCACTTACTAGTAGACTATCCTCAAGTCATTTTGATCCCACCCATGTTACTTACTAATCAAATGACGACTCGGAAGCCCTTATCAGCTAGCGGACGATATTTCTATATCATTGTCGATACTGAGATCTGATTCACATGCAGGCGATTGCTAACTCACTTGAGCCGTACTAGTAGTGCAGGAAGATGATAGGGTCGAATTCAAGTCGAATTACGACTGTCAAGAAAAATAGGTCATGTAAGTCAGCAACTTCCATAGCACACGTGACCACACCAGGGCCTGGACTGGGCCAAAAGCGAAAGTCTCACGGTTTTCGATCCAAAAAAGGCGGTGTTAATCACAATCATACTGCCTCAGCTGTACTTTTGAGGTGCAAATCCAATGACTAAGATATGCCAATTACTAGATTACGCCGCTACAATGGAAATATAGCAAGGTTCCAGCCGAGTAGTACGAAATTATCAGCCGTGCTTTCGAGCCGAAACTCAGAGACGGAGATCATGCGTATGATCGACCGAAGATTATGGAACTGCCACTTACGTACTTGGAATCAGCCGGCAGAATTGACGGAAATAACCGGTTCTGCTTGGTGAACTCCATGAGTCCACGACAGAACAATAAATTTAACCTGTTTTATTACTCCATGGCAGGACTCCGAAGGCAAGATTCGTGTAAGTAGCCCAAACCAAAATTTACTGTAAGCCGTTTGCAGAACGCTAGACCAATCCCGAAAAAGAAAACATAGGCTAAGTGCAAGAAGCTCGAACTTTCAATTTCCGACAACTAATCGCATGAGACCTCACAGCCTGAGGATGTTACACACCCCAAAGATTCGTGGTAACTGACCGGACATTGTAATTCAAATAACGCTGTCCTGTTTAAACTTGGCTATCAGCCTAGCGTGGCTGTAAGACTACATAGCGATCTTCGGCGGCGCGTCTCTGTCCTAAAAATTCAACTCCCGTGTTGGGGAATAACGCCTCCTACCTGAACCATAGCCGCCTTGGAGCCCTCCTTCCTAAAGCTTTTGTTCAAGTTTGATAAACCTTTCCCTCATCCCTCATCATAATGATCTAGTGGTTTTTTGTTGATGCAGAAGGTGGTTCAATATGTCCAAGGAGCTTAGACTGACGGAGTACTTACTGCATAGTTATGTGTTGTACGAGAATATGAAGCCACATGACACTTTCACCTCTCCATTTTCGCCTCGGGTGCCAGGCCGGCGCCGACTGGACTCTATTAATCAATATTGGACCATGTTCTCATAGTGTTCTCATGTTGTCCAGTATGCCCATAATGGATGCACGAGTCCTCGTCACTGTCCTTGGTCTAGCTCATTGGACTGTCAATCGCAATTCGCGGTCCGCAACAATTTTTAATGGCTCACAAGGTCTTATTCTTCGACATGCCTCGGTGCTTGAGCTTCCCACCGGAAGTCATCTCCTTTACGTATCGTCAACACTACGCCACTCTTTCCAGAGTTCGATTTTGTTGTGACAATGTTCGAGCTGTCGACGAACGTAGTCGGCACAGATTTGTGCTTGCAATGTTATACTCTATCATTGCAGCGCCCAAAGACGAGCGTATCGCTTGTATTTCTTATCATAACTCGGTCACATTTTTAAATCTGAAACGAATCTACTAACGTACTAGACAACATGCATAGCCATGACCCTCCATGATCTTTTACTATCAATACCAGCTCAACGTTCGGAGTTCTAAGCAACCTCCTTCGTGTCTGCATTGCAGTCATCGATGTAAACTCCAATGCTGAGAAGCCGGAGAGCACGTGTTTGTGATTGAAAAACAGATTCAGAGACGGCGCTCGGGCTGTTGAACTTTGCCAAAAAAAAAACGGACTACAATAAGATGAGAGATGTCATGTCAGTAAGTCATCCAGGTACCGTTTAAAATTTCGAGCGACTGACGGGGGAAAGCGATGGGCATTGGACGCCGTGGTTGGCATGAGTAACATATGTTACGGTCCATAATGATGGAAAGCCCTGCTTTCTGAGCTTGCGATTGCATGGGTCATAGGCCTGTTGTCAAGGCCCTACATATCATGCGGTCGTATAGGGTTGCATCTCCAATGGTAAGTAGTGTGGAGATTCCGCAACTGACTGTTACTGCCCCCATCGACATAGCTTTCGAAACTATTGTTGCGTCCTGCTCGGACTTTTGGAAAATTGAAATAGCATCTCACCATCATATTTTCAACATTATGCGGGGAGCCACCATTTTCCATACTGCGCCCATGTCCCATACTGGCTCGCGGCAGTTTCCGAGTACTTGATGACAATTTCCGTGACTTCTGATAGACCCGGCGGCTCGTTTCTTCCACGATGATCGCAATGCACGATAATTCCGTGACTTGAGCGTTTTAAATTCCAGGCGCTGTATCCGGGGTGCCGGATTCGAACCCTGGCTCAAACGGTGAAGAACGGGGATGGCCGCTTCATCTCGCTTATGATGCAAATGTCGGCAGCTTTGATCATGCCATAGAGTTTGACCCGTTATGGCTGACACACCCACAGAATCGATTTCTCAAGTCATCATGCATGTAGAAAGACATGATACGTACTAGTGTGTGTCATCTGTCCATGTTCACCCGTGTCGCACTAGCATGAAATGTAGAGATCAGCGCCATACAACACAATAGCTCGCCCAAGCAATCAAAATTTATTCATGGTGTTAACCTATGCCAGTAACAGGGCTGATGAACAATTTCGCAATCCTCATTCCCAGAATGTTCAGCGAGGCCTTTAAGACAGGTCATCATTCTACCGTTCCAAAGTCATTCAAAGGTCCCTCAGACCAATCATACATCACCTTCGTATCAATTCCAATTCCAAACATGCGTTTCTCCTTCCTCGGTATCGTTGCCGCTTTGGCAGTAATTATATCTGTCAGCGCAACGCCAGCTCTGTTCGACAGGCGATCATGTGTCAGTGGTATTGACTGCGTGGGGTCCGCCTGCTGCATTCAAACTTGTGTGAGCATGCGGTTCGCTTGCATGATCCAAAATCGACTCACTCTTTGTGCCTTCCAATAGAAAAGCAAGATGTGCACTGATGTATGAACGATCCTTGAGATGCAGAAGACCTGACGTCTAGCCAGAGTCACTGTGAGTGATGTTTCTGCTTTCGTATCGACATTGTCGTTCATAGCACAATTCTTAGTTGATCGTTGAGCTGATTTGCATGGTTAATTTATGCCACTAGCGCTTCAGCAATGGGAGGAAATTTGGGATAAAGCATAATATTATCAAACACTCAACTTTGAACATAATCTTAATGCAAATTTCACATATAAGTGATCGAAGTACTGCGACACTGATTGTCTGAGCCTGTCCATGCGTTTGAGCATGTGCATGTAAAAAGACAACGTGATGGAGAGGGGTTGTGTGAGGTAAGTCAGGAGTTGTACGAGGGGGTACGAAGCGGAATGAGATGGAACCAAAATATATACGAACCAATATTGACTGCAGGAGATGATTGGGAATGTACAAAGTGAGACGACAGACAGAAAAACAAAGCGCGCAATAATGTGCATGAGGACCGCTACCACCGGGGTGGTAGAGCGATCCAAGACAGATAGACGCCTCTTGGCGCGCATAGAGGACTCTGCGTTGAGCGAGTCATGAATATAAAACGCCGGGAATATAATCGCATAAACGAGATGGGCAGAGTAGGGTAAGCGATAAGTAGTAAACGAGGGCAAGTCCGGTATCAAACGATCCTTGCCACCCGACACCTTAAACATCAACAATACACATAACGCTGTCGAGTATCCTGTACAGAAAAAAAGTTGATGTTCAGCAAGAAAATAAGCAGCGCGTTTGTGAGAAGTAGGAAAGAGTGGTGTGAGGTACTGCTTCTCCGCCTATAGCAGCAGGTAACTCTCCTGATGTGCTGACTATGAGGGCGGTAGCGATGCGGTGCTAGCCATGGAAGACGCTATGCCGCCCGATATGGCAGACATGTGTGGCTGTATGATCCTATGATACATTCTCATACAATGCTGAGGCCCTCTGTGAAAGGAATGATCCAGGGGCACAGACAGGTGCGTAGAGGTGGAGAAAGACAATGAGGTAATTTTGAATCAGTGGAGGCGGGTTTGGATGAGGTCGGACGAGGTGGGTAGCTTCGAACTAAGGAAGGTTAGACCTTGAGGCGATACTCGAAGCCATCCTAGTTCTTCCCTAGGCCATAGGAGATACTTTTTTGGGATTGACATGGTAGTACCAAGATTGCATCGATAAGACCCAGGCGAGGACTCGGACGAGGCTTGACATGGTGACACAACAATTCATACAGTATCTGAATACCAACATTAGATCACAACCAGAGAGAATACCGAAGGCACACTACTAATTGATACGATCCCCGACCTGTACGACGCAGAGGACAAGCACTGTAAATGTGGTGAGAGGTGCATTTTAGTACTCCAAGCCTGTACGCGGATGGACATTAAAATATTCATCAACAATGAGCACTCAAAGTTGACTAAGGTGTTTAGAGTACATTTTGAGCGATACAACATCGTGTTTGAACGGAACACGAACTATTTGTCATGGCACCACGTCACTTTTACCAGTCGACGGCTCCCGCTGTAGCAGGCGATATTGTCAATAACTGCAAGTGCTGTCTGCCTCGGACACAATTGTTTGGGGGCCGCAGTAACCAGACAGCTTCGATCTCCGTAACGTATATTGTGCGAGTGTCCCTTCGAGATGATGGTGGCGTGCATGAGGACCAGAGGTGGAATGCTTTCACCGTCGAAATCATGTGCAACAATTGACATCGCGTAACGAGTACTGAGTGCGTCCAGCGCTTCTTGAGCAGTTAATTAGTGGACAGGCCAATTCCCGATAGAAGGGTAAATGCCCGTTTTTGCCTGGCACAGCTGCAGTCGTGTAATCAGTGAGGTGCCGTCGGTTTCGTTGCTGCAACGTACCCTGAACAAGCTGTGACCCGCCCTAGTTGAAAAATGTTCAACGTTCATGATTACTTGAGGGTGCCCGATGAATGGATACGAGACATTACATTGACACGGTGCGGTTCACTGAATGTTGGACCAGCTGCAGTTTGAGCCCAGCACGTGACAACCTGATCGAGAATGAGAGCACTCAGTGATTCATCACGATACTACTCTTCACTTGTCATGCTGCAAACACCAAGCAGGCCAGCCACCTCATTGTACATTGCAATTACTGCCTTCAGATGATACCCGCTAGTAAAATACAAATAGCGAACAGGATGCGTACGATACACCCAAAGTGATATCCAATAATGTGCTTACTAGTACTTTTCTGCATCTTCCTCTACCTCGTTGGAGTCGTCCAAGCTGCAACTACAACAAATACAACAAATCCTGCTACTAGCGACAGTTTTAAAGCCTCACCATTCACGACCAGAACCCTATGGACAATCGTCTCCAGCTCTGTTCTCACTCTATTTGCGTGTATATACAGTGCCATTCACGCCAATATTCCAAGTCCCAAGGACAGTCCTAATGGTACCCTACGGCAGCGACTTGGCATCATGGTGATCGCACTAATCGCTCCTGAACTGATCGTAACATGGACTATGCGCCAATGGTTCAGCGCTCGTCAAGTTACAAGGCGGTTAAAGGATTCGGGGTACTATCCCAGTGTTCATCCTGAGCAAAAGGAGTCTGAAGGTGAGTTGTGCTTTCAGAGACTCTGCATCTTACAACTCACTATACATGTCCTTAGAAAAGGAGCCTGTTGAAACACCTGGACAATGTGAAAATCGCTTCCTTCGCTTCTTTCGCCTCCTTCTCGTAGTGCTTGCTACAGGTGTATTATCTGTACTGGTATTTCTTTGGTGTCTCCCTGGAGCTCTTGCGAGGTGGGTCAAAGGATGGGTCAAGGCTCATTTCTTAGAGCAATCTGAAGGTAAGCCCGATTCGTGCTCACCTGAATGTTGGCTCATGTACATCCTTAGATTATACGTGGACTCAGACACACAATTTCTCTGTGCTAATGGGTGGTTTCATGCTAAATGTGGACGGGGAACCCTGCCTTATACTACAGCTTGATTACATTCTCACACTGATACGTGCAGGACGTGTCGACGTTCCTACCCTAACGGCAGACTAGATCCACGATAGGAGCAAAGACTGCCATATCGAAAGGATTGATCATCATTCAGGTGGCCTGGTTTGTTATGCAGCTCATCACCCGCGCCATCTATCACCTCGAAACCACCCAGCTCGAGGTTGGGACCCTCGCTTTTTGCGGTTCTCCATTTCCTCACCTATGCTGAGTGGTGGAACAAGCCTCTCGATGTGCAATGTCCACATCCAGTGTACTGGAAGTCAACTTCGGGGCTAGAAAATCACATTGATGAGTATGTGTGCACCTCAACAATTATTTTGCTGCTGATTATGTCTGCCTTGGCGTCCCTGGAAGCGACCAAGTCATTAGATGGGGGATCTTGTCTCCGGTCTTCGGCCCAATTGAAGAACTGTTAGGCTCGTCTAAAGTTCCCACCTCTCGAAAGTTCCGAGTTTCAACATTTGATGGCAGCATCAAATTCGAATATTTGGACAAGATCGTTCTTTGCCTTGCTGCATTGCTTATGGCATCCATATTTTGCGGCATCCGTTGTATAACTTGGTTTTTTGCCTTCCCACCATACCAGGAACGGGTGCTATGGCGCATGAGTGCCGTCGTTATAACTTTCACACCCTGGTGCGGTTTCCTCACCTCATTGCTCTTTGGCGTCCTGTATACGCCAAATGAGGTGGATATCTCGGTCTACGCATTGCATGCTCTGTTGTACATCACAGCTCGTGCCGTCCTCTTGGTACTTATGTTCGCCACTTTATGCAATCTTCCTCCTGACGTATACAAGGCGGTGTTGTGGACTGGTTTGGTGCCGCACTTATAGTTCCTGATCGTGGCACTTGAAGTTGTGATACGCCGCATACTTTGTAATTATATTCAGATCCGGCATTCTTGTGGTTGACGATGTACATAAATAATTCAATCGCTATGAATGACGCGATCACATGACCTGGAGGTGCGGCATGACGCGAACCTGGAACAAACTCTGTCCAAGTCTTGCTTGAACTTGCTCATCACCATCAGGACGGCAGTGAAATAGGGCTGTCTGGTACGCTGCGGCTGATGAAACGGTCGACTGATGAGCAGGTAGTAGCATTCCCAATCGACGAGGAGGCAGTTACCTTTGGACGCGACCGGACGTGCAGTGTTCGTCTCTATTACCCAAAGATCAATGCTCCGCACGCGGACATTGTGTTTCTAGAAAGAAAGGTGCGTGCCCTATCATATCCGTACATACACTGACACCTTTAGAAATAAACTATTTGTGCTGGAAAGTTTACGTTTATGACCTGTCAATGTGTCAATCGTCTGCCAGGGCGTACTGGTTGGATTATCTGTGTCCCCTGGCGTAGAGTCCTGGATCATCGATGAGACTTTCCGATTCCCTCTTTCAACCAGAAGCTGACGCACCAAAGCCCCAGGAGAGATGTCTTGTTGTTGAAGAGGACTGATATCATTCTCGGCCCGCTGCATGGTCTCAAACCCACCATACCTCGGCTGACAGAGCCTTGGATACAACACCCGCGCAGACTCAGACGCTGCCGAGGAGCTGATTCCTCAACCAAGCACATGGCGTAAGTCTCTGGATGCTGCACTGTGCATGCATTGTTATGGCCTTTCCGTTCGAGTTCCTCCCCGCCTAAAGAAAATGATGACCAGGACTACAGTTGCGGACAAGCAAAGTCCACAAATTCTGTAGGGCCTGCAGGTGATTTTTTTAGGCCAAACCAAGGCCAAATCCAAACACAGGCAGTGAAAATACGCCTAAAAACACATTTCCAGAAAATTTTCCATGAGGTTTTTGAGCAATTTGATCGATGTTGTGTACCCCTTTTGGGGGGTCCAAGAGCAGTCCAAGGTACCCTCTGCCGGAATTTGGTCAGAATTATTTGTGTACAGCTTTATTTCACCTCTTTGTAGTTGAAAGTAAGTTATAAAAAGGAATAATTATATCATTTTGGGACATACCAGCAACATACCGGAGGCAATTACATCCATATTTACCAATTTTTAGCGCTGAAATGACCCAAGATTATGATGATATTTTAATGGAATCACATACAGGACATCAAAAGGAAGCGATTGGCATATTTTTCATGAATTTAGGAATTTTTTAGGGGTGCGCCAAATTTTTGGCCTCTGAAACCCTTATATGGTGGTTTTATAAAAATCTGCTCGTACAAATCAGTTGCTTTGGTTCCCTATGAATGGATTCCACACTAAAAATGGGTTCCTGGTTATTTGTGGCAGCAGGAAAAATCAATCTTTAGCAATGTCCAGATTGGCGGAGTTTGCTTGTCCGCAACTGTAACAAGATGAAGATAAGGACGAAGAGGACACCCCTTGATTTCTTGTCATCACTACTAATCACGAACAACACCAGCCGCGCAAATGGATCCCGACCGGGACGCACGGTCCCCACCCGTCCTCCTTTCCCATTCACATCACACCTCAAGCCAAACTACATCTTACACCCGTAAGAGCCCCCGACCTCTGGGCATCATGAATGATGCTACAAATATCACACCCACAATCAGCATTGACATTGGCACGGGTGCATGGCGGAACTTCTTTGGTGGAGTATTGTGTGTGCCCCAACCTTCTGGGGTATTTGTACTTGCGCCACCTGGGCCTCTGCAATTGCACCGACGGTTCTTGTGGAGACGTGAGGACGTTCCAAGAAAGTCGAGCCGAAGTGACACATTGGGGAGATTGAAGTGCGGGACGCGGAGCGAGTGAAGACGAGAAGGTAGTGGTGGGATTCGGAAGGCCGCGGGTGAGTGAGGAGGAAAAGAATGTGAGTGTGACCGGTACGGACGGACGAACTTTCGAGGAACCATGTTCCCTCCTAGTTGTCGTCGTTGTATATCAGTCTGAGTGAAACGTGGGTGTGATTAGAAATAATCCAAGGAAGGATTCCACATCGTGTCATCAGAGTAGCATACTAAGTAGCAATGCCCTTGATCGCAAGCCTCAGGGCGACTTCAAGCGCTAAGACAGTGACTCATGCGCCACGGACTTCCGGGAACCGGGAAACACTTTGCAGATCGCAGATCGATCACGGTCTGACGCTCGCAAGCAAGGCCCCAGTACCTGAAATTCAAGCAGAGTTCGGCGAGTCATAAACCAGGTCCTTACAAGCATCTGAATGGCAAACCCGATAGTGTCTGATCAGCGCGGCTGGCGGAACCTTCATGCAGGGAAGGAGATTGAGGCGACGCGGGATTTCTTTGAGTACAAGGGACTTGCGATGGCAGTATCAAGGAATGATCGCCGACTCACGGGTTATCACTAATATTGATGCTGCTGAAGCCTGCAGTAATTCAGGTCGAGAAGAAAAAATTGCACCCTAAGGGTATCGCGTGCTTCGATATCTCTGCTGTCCAGTTGACATACCCCAATGTACAGTGAGCATATCAGAGAGTCGAGTGCTTCAAGTTTTCAGCCGACGGCGTGTCCGTCAGTATCGAGCCGTGGAAAAAATCGGCACAGCCTTACACATGTTTTTGGCGATGGGAATTTTGTGTTCGACAAAGCCGCCCTCCTTCCACTAACGTTTGGTGGGGACCCCCAGCATACTTCCTCCTGGTATCATACGATGAGACGGTGGAACTTGGATACACTAGTAGCTGGTCCATTCCAGAGTGTCAACAATGCGGTGGGCGTAGCTCGATTCTCGCAAGACTCGTTGAAGCTCGCAGCCGGTCAAGTCGAGTGTGGGACGTCCAATGTCCCTGGCTTTGGTTCGACATCCCATACCTCAAGGCACCCTTTGAGGTGTGGAATGTCGAATCACAGGCATCGGATGTGAGAGTGCCCTGGGTACAACAACAAGCTGCCACTGCCTGCCAGTCTTTTGGACAAACAAACACAATTTTAATGCGGATAGCAACCCCACTCCGATTTGAGTTTGAAGCGTTGATGTCGAAAGCTCCCTTTGAAGAGCATACGTGGATAGTCTTAGGCCTAGCACTCTCGGTTAATGGTGCTCTCCTCGTAGGCGCTTCCAGCGGCAAAACGCATCAACTTGTGAGTCAACGCTCGATATTACTACTCTCTTGCCCTCTCACCAACTGGCTTACTCGCCGAACTAGGATGGTGCTAAGAATATTCACATATATGGCATTCCGTCTAATATCCTTGCTAGTATCTAGCTTACACAGAAAGAACAATATCCACTCCAAGTAGGTGGTCCCTAACATCTGCACCACTCCGCTATCATTGCAGTGTGACGCCACGCCACCCCCCGTGGCGTGCGTCGTAACCATATCCGGATCACACCTATCCGCGACCCGCCACAATTTCTGCCTACAACACACCCACTACAACCCGTACCTTGGCAAATCCCTTTCTTCCTCGGGCGCAGCTCGTCCTATTCGGAACGATAAGCCTCGTAATCCACTTCAGGTATGTTTTTTTCGCTCCACATGCAGCTCCCTGCTACGTTGCCCCGAACCTCGCAACCATATCGACCGCCGCGAGGGTGAGCATCCACTTTCGTAATCACCATTGCCTACTAACATTTTGAAAGACTCAGCGTACACGAGCGCTGGCCACCACCTTGTCTTCGACTACAGCTCCAACCACCTTCAAGGACCACCTACACCACTCATCAAACTGATGGCCAGTTCGCGCAAGTCGTGCGCCTCCCCTCCTGTCGATTTCTCTCGCGTGGGATAAATTGGTGTATTGATTCCTATCGAGGTCTCACATCACTTTGGAGGGGGTGTGCCTGGAGGATGATGTGCTTCTCCTTCACCGAAACCCGATTCACAACCACTGCTGAAAGGGCAGAGTATCACCGGAGGACATGGAAGTGACCGTTTGCGCAGCTGCTTCTAAACTATTACGACTGGGAGACTCCTATTTATGACCTGTGTGTACCACCACACAGATGGAATGAAAGTCGAATGAAAATATTTCCGGAATCCGGACATGGTGATGGTATGCTGCGGGTCCCGAGATGAATGCATACAAATGTTGGATTACCCGTTGCCAGAGGTTGGTCAAATCTAGGGTGTTGAGAACGGCGAAGAAGTAGATCTATAAATCTATAAAGTAGGACTAGCTTCACACCCGTTGTGCCTTCGGCACAACGGGTGTGAAGCTAGTATAGAATGTGGTGAGTAAAGTGGTGGCAGCTTGGTTAGACCTAGACTTGAGGTGATAGATAAATCGAAGAGACGTTCCACGCAATGTCATTAAGTAATAACTTAGATGCAAGATTATCGTGGGTCTACAAGGCGATAGTACTGGGGCTTGTGTATGTTTTTCTAGTATGACATGTGAAATAAGTAAAGCGGGCTTAGCACGACGCCGAGAATACCAATATTTGAGGAAGGAGAAATTTCAAAAGCAAGGAGAGACAACACACATGTCAAACATGTAAATCTGAATAGTAATGGCATTGCTTGGTGGTAACAACAGACGCCACAAATTTTCTCTCCCATGAAATATCTCTGTTGCTCGAGTAGCAGTAAAATTTATTCAGAAGCAAATACATGATCAAGCACATGAAAGGGTAATCTTATACCACGTCAGTAAGCCATATGGTTAAACCCAAGACGTACTCATAAGTACTCGCGCATTTCCTTTTTGCAGGCGCTGCAGTCACTATTAGTATGTCTGCATCAGCAAGGACAGCCCTTGGTAGCTTAGCTCCTACCAGCGTCAAAACGGCAAAGACGATGAGGATATGGGAGAAACGCATTGTTTATGGGGATGCGATCTTGGATTAAACAAATCTGAAGGGGGCTCGGATATCGATTTGTATTAGGAACTTGAAGACGCCATGTACTGAATATCGTTCTTTATGGCGATAGTAGAAAGAACCATTCTTCCGCAATATTTAGGGGCATTCAATTCACTTCATTTTCATCCGCAGGCCCGTCGGCTAAAGCTTTACATGACGCCCTGAGACCTCCGAAGCTCGCCGCAGAGAGAAAGCGTGATTTGATGAAGGTTCATTTGGCCCGGTACCAAGCAGCAGAGGAACCAGTTTTTCGGCGTATAGCACAGGCATGGGCAGCATTATCCGCTATGTTCCCGTATTCTAGAAAATGATTCGCGTTTGGTCAAAAAAAGTCTCTCAGCACGATCACGACGACTCCACTTAAGCTTGGTTGTCGGTCCGAGTTGAACCTCACCTGGACTATAAATTAGAAAGTGTTCGTCAGCTTTTTACGAAAGCGTCCAAGACGAACCAAGGTATCGCACCGGGAGCGTAACGCAGTGTCCCAGCGCCACGCTCGTTACACGACAGAGAAGTCGCAGCGGAATATTACATCAAGCAAGAGGAGGGGCATACTATCGCTGAGAAGATCTGCCGCAAGACGGAGTACGACAGCTGTGCGATAGGCAATATGTACAAGCTGATGAATGGCCGGGGGGACGCATCATTGGAATCACTGCAATTCCAATGCGTCCCTCTGCTTCTTCACGGGCGCTGCTCTTTTGCAGTTTTATTCCCATCGTCGTCATGAATCACGTCACGGCAGGAAGCACCAACACGCACAAGAAAAATGATTTCACAGCGAGCGCTCAATCCAAGCTGGCGTGATCCAAAGAACGACCGTTGCCAATCACTTACTTCATCGAGCAAATCTATATTTGGTTCTGAAGTCAAACCTAAACATGAACTACAGAACACAGGATAGCAAAATCAAAAAGTACTGCAAAAGTCTATGGGGGATTGGAATTTGACATGGCCTCCACATTGGAGGAGCAAGCAGGGTACGAGCGTCGATCACGCATGGAACAGTACGGTATGAAAGTGGGGTAAGAAGAAAATAGTAAAAACAGTAAACACAAAAAGGCAAGGTAGCAAGTCCATCAGTACGAGTAAAACACCCAGGGTCGGGCCATGGCAAAAGTCACGTAGGGAAGGAAAGGGAAAGTGAGAAGTGAAGTCCTAGTCTATCTATATATGCGTGATAAGCATGTCCATGTGTTTTAAATGTCATCGCGGAGTTAGTGGGCCGATTCGAGTGTTGTATGAACGCGAATGAGTTGGGCGAACCGGGAATGGGTTGAGCGATGTACGAGGGATTGGGATGTGCGTCGCACGAACGGAACAGGAACAGGCATCGTACAAAACCAGAAAGAACTGCAGGAGGAGGTGAAAGGGGGAGAGGGAGTGACTGCGAATAAAATGCACAATAATATGCAAGAGGACTGCTGCCATCGTTCATCGGGTGGTGGTAGTGGGGAAGCGACCTAAGATATATATATATACGCGTCTGAGCGCGCATAGAGGACTCTGCTTCAAGCAAGTCATGAAAACCAAGTGCTGGGAATATAGTAACATAAGCGAGCTAGGGCAAGATGGGAGCATAAGTGGTAAGCGGTAAAGGGCAAGGTTCGGTATCAAACGATCACTTCCCACCCGACATTTTAAACATCACCAATCCACACAACGCTATTGAGTATCCTGCACGAGATATCAGCACAGGACAACCATCAAAACCAAACCCAACAAAAACGCACCAAGGGCCTGCAAAGTGCCAACCTGCCCACCCCAAATTACCACACTCCCCGCAACCAACAACACATCCTTCAACACCCCCGCAAGTGTCAACACCAACCCGCTCCCGGCACCCACCAAAAACACAGCAGCAATATTTAGCAGGAACGCAAGCAGCGCGTTTGTGAGAAGAAGGAAGGGGGTGATGTGAGGTGTTGCTTCTTCGCCTATGGCAGCGATCAGTTCCCCTGACGCACCGACTATTGAGACAGTAGCGTTCGATGCCACTTCGCCTGATACGGCGGACATGGCATGGCTGTATGATCCTATGATGCTTCCCCATACTACTCGGAACGGCTCCATGCCCTCAGTGAAAGGTATGACGCAGAGGTTGATAAGGGCGCAGACAGGTGCGTAGAGATGAAGAGAGACGAGGGGGTCCATTTTGAGTCCGTGGAGGAGAATTTGGATAAGAACTAGGCGGGTAGCTTCAAACTGGGAGGAAGGTTGGTTAGATGTCTCTAGAACCGAAGTCAAGTGGTGCTCACCCCAACTCCTCCAGCTTGAATGATAAACCCGATCCAACTGAAGAATCGTTCACCCTTGCTTGTGACGGCGACACCGGAGGAGATCATGAGGACGATGAGGAGTAGCTTGCGGGAGGGTTCGCTGATGCGGGTGGCCCATGTGATGAGAAGGATTGCTACGGGGGTGAAGGCCTGTATAGATGTTAGTATGTGAAGAATTCAAAGGAATGCGCGTAAGGCATAGCGTGAAACACGAGACAACGCGTGTAGTACTGGAGAAGCGGAAATTAGGCGGCAATGAAGGTTGAAAGGAGGTTTAGTACAGAAACGAGGTCATTAAACGCACGGCGCCAAAAGTGTGGTAAAGATAACGCAAAAGCACATGGTGGAGTGAACGGACCTTGAGCATCTGAATATAGGCCACGCTCAGGTACAGATAAGCAGTGTTGCTAAGGATGAGACTGCCAGAGAAAAGGAGACCGATGGGTAGAATGGAGCGAAAGAACATGTCTTTGCTGACTGGTACATCCTTTGCACCGTCTAGGAGATGCGTTGTACGTTGAAGGATGCGAGTTCCAATAGCCTACTTGAGGTGTCAGTAGAGTATTGAGAAGAAGAAAAAGAAAGACTGACTGCAAAAGTCAAATGCCAAGTAACCAAAAAAACGGGGTACTTGAAGTTTACAGTGTTGTAGAGGTAATTGTTGTAAATGATGACTCCACTACTAAGAACAATCCACACTGGAATGATCGTGGCGGCACTGAACCTTGCACGATTGCGAGGTTGTTGTGCTGCAGTGGCAGGTGAAGGAAGGTCCCTGCTTTGACGGACTTCCTCGAGTTCGACAGATTCAAGTTTCTCTAATTCGCGTTTCTCCATTGTTGGGAGTCGCGATTGGCGTCGTGTGTGGTGGTGCGACGTCGTTAACGACAACGAGCGAGAAGCGTCGTTGTAAGAAGAAAGAATTAATGAGACCCGAGTAGATAAAACGGTTGAATTCCACGAGGTACCCTTCCAGGGTAAGTATCCCCCTGGAAATAAACACAGCCACACAGCCTCTTACTGCAACTTCAATGTCAAGCTTGCAGGGTTACGTCGATAGCAAGTCCAAGCATCCTCTTTATCATCTTGATAATAACTGATAATAATTCAGGGCGAGTCCTTCTGGTACTGCAAGATGGAAGAGCCATCGTTGGCGTCCTAGCTGGTTACGACCAAAAGTCGAATGTCGTCCTCAGCGATTCAAAAGAGAGGATTTATAGTATCGACGAGGGTGTAGAAGAAGTAGAACTAGGTCTCTACCTTGTTAAAGGCGATATGATGTGCGTGAGATCACTCAATTACAATACTGCTCTCACACTCTCATGCTCAGTGTTCTCATCGGAGAGATTGACGAAGCAATCGATCAAGCAGTAGACCTTGCTTCCATACGCGCAGAACCAATCCTACCTATTCGCTATTAGCGCCAGGCTGTAAGATACAAGGAAACTGGCAATAAAGCACCATGGGGCACCCATTCACAAAATGTATGTCTACAGTGTACACAAGCACGGCCGTGGACATACTGATCCCATACGTGACCTATCTTATTTATCAACCAAAGGTCAATAACTAGGTAAATTTATACATAGCACCCTGTGCTTCCTGCAAATTCACTCTTCCATAATCTCTGATCTGTCCAATTTTGAGGCGACGCTCACACATTCTACTAAATAGATATAGATTCATATTCCCGGTCCCACCTTTATAATATGATCACCTCGATCTATCCGCCGCCCACTCAACTATCTCCCTACAGTTCAACAACGAAACCGAACCAACACATATAATCCCATTCACGTCTTATAATCCGAATCCTTCCCCCGTTCCTCGAACAATACACTCATTGCGCTCTAACATGGTAGACCATAGATAACGTGTCATGCAACCCCATAACTACTGTACTCCTTGCAGAAGTTAAAGTTAAGTATCGCTTCACCTCAAAATGCTCCAGCATCCAGCGCGCGTGCTTTAAGCTATAGTGCAACTTACCGCCAATAGTGATCCAGAGTCGTACCGGGTACATCATACCCATCCATAATATGCAGTATTAACGTTCCTGCTACGTACTTCAACGCGGAACTAGAACCTGCTGATACGACTCAGTTCCTCGCTTAAGTTGGTCCGTGCCATCAAGTTATCTCATAGGTGTGGTGATCTCGAGTAAATCGATGTTGTTCTGACGTTGTTCTGACACAGAATTCACCCGACATCTGTCAGTCTCCCTGTTGTTCGTAAGTAAATACCATAACTTTTTTCTCATGTACCTGCTTGAGCCAAGGACGTGCACCTGTGCCTTCAGCCTGCTAAACCTTTAGACCCTGGCCCGTACCAGTATTATTTACACCGTGATGTGGCGAGTTAGAGGTAGATTTTGACCTCAACATGTTGGCTTGGCTGGTTGGTGTTTCCACCATGTCCCTTTTTGCGTGGATTCGGAATCGAAGCAGGATTCGTCATTTTCAGGTAAACGATCCATCACGCAGGTTCCTTTGTTCTATATGGGGACTATCTTCCCTACATCTGTGAGTCGTTTATGATATCAAGCTTTGGAATTGTTTGGGGAGCCTATCTGATTATCAAGGTTCAAGTCTCGACCATTCGAATTTCGGTGATTGTGATGTTTTGGGACGTCCTAGAACGCTGCTCGCTTCGCCATGTTATGATTACGATAGAGGTACTTTACATCATTCATACACGAGGTATATACACTGACGCCGCCAGCGATGGCTTCCTGCTTCTTCCAAATCGATCGTACTCGGTCACATGATTCATGATAAGACCTTCTGTTCAGGCGGCGGGGATTGATCGACAATCGAGAGGATGACTACATAGGTACAGTCGTTCTTGACTAGAGCTTTCAAACAATACAAACGATCAGCTTACAGACTCATCGTACAACAATTCAATTGGCGGAATGTTCGAGCAAGGTATAGTATATCATTTTATCCCCAAAAGCGCTTCCCCCTCTTCCCCACGTGATCTACTCATCTTTTTTAGGTCCTACGGGCACTTCAACAAAGTCTGCCGCCCCGAAGATATCCTTAATGCGAGGATCACCCGCCACCCTCGCGTAGTGTGCAAAGACATTCGGGTAGAGTGCTCGTTCAGCAGCACCGAGGGTCACTCGAGCAGCACGTTGGGTGATACTAGCTAAAACGATATCCGCCAGTGTAATCTCATCAGTGACGACGAACTCGCGAAGGTTGAGGTTCTGTTCGAGAAACTTGAGTGAGCGTTCCTGCCGTTCCAATACGGATTTGTGAATCTGTGATTCAACCGGTGTGAGCCATTGAAATTGAGTTCCGCTGTACATCTAAAGAACAACTGACGCTTTCACTGTAGCCTTTCTCTGGGAAAAAGCGCTCTACCAACTGCCATACCAAGTCGGTATATCCATTGATCTCGTGCTCCGCAAAGTGGATCCACTGGTCAACTAGTGCAGCATCTTTGATGCTGTTTCCAAGAAGCCCAGACTCAGGAGCCAGAGATGCAACTGATCATGTAACGGCGCACAGTAAGAATCGTCTTATAGGCTGTGTAGCACAACACTGACCATAACGTGCAATAGAGGCACCCTCTAGAAGAACAAATCCATCCTCGCCCTCAAACGTAGGAATTTTGGCAAACGGGAATTTGTTAACAAATTCAGGTGACTTGTTGCTGACGCCGAACTCGAAAGGCTTGAGATCGACTTCGAGGCCCGCAATAGCAGCAGCGCTCAATATCTGCATTAATATTTTGTCCAGTCAATAGTTCTCTGCACAGGAAACAGAACTGACATATTTAGTTTGACGTTGACGAGGAACACCCCAGAGAGAGCCGATTGGAGCCATTAGGATTGATAGAAAGACTTTGAGACGCGATGAAGACTGAGTGATATTTCGTCCAGTGACCCCTTATTTATACCAGCTACTGTCAGCGCAACAGTCATGAAATGATCAAAAGGTTTTCCGAGCGTCGGATTTCCCACAGCAGAGCTTGACTCGACGGTACCGATCGTAGTCTGTCTGAGTCACCTACTGTTCCGTAGGTGGAGCTCGAGTTTCAACTCGTGCGGTCTTCGAAATCAAAAGCTTGCACCTTGAACTTCTGTCGCAGGCGTATTCCATTACTTTCAAGTCCAGATATCGGCTGTCAATATGCATATTCTAGAGGCAAGACTAGATTTTGAAGTGAACACAAGTGAACGTAATGATGTGAAGTACTTGACATCGCGGATCCGAACTGTTTTCGGATAATGATTAAGAACTTTGTCAGATAGTTGTTACCAAGCAAAAGCCATGGGCGCTACGGTTCTCTAAGTTGATTGGTCAGGACAATCGACTATCGACAAAGTCTCCCTACAGACGGCGGCCAGTTCTGCCGAGAAAACGACCTCCCTGATCACCCACTCCTTTACCTCTTCTAACAATCCCAAACGAAGTCTTTCACCTGTTCCTCGAACCACTCTCTCTCCTTGTGCAACAGTCCTTGTCCCCCATGCACATGAAGCACCATAATTGGACGGACGCGTTTGAATCCGATGGCATCCAACTCTACGTTGCTCTTTCCCAGGTTCTCCTGCCCTGCAGCCTCCCTCCGACTGCTGATCATTGCTTTCAGCATTTTGAACGGGAATTTCAAAGCGAAATCATCCTTGGCCACGAGCTTGAGAGTAGTGACGCGTGGCCACAGGGAACAACTAGAGTCCTTAAAAGGTGCACCCAGGAGGACGAAGATGGCTTCCAAGCAAAGCGAGTCGCTGTTCGTGATGGTCACTGTATCACCGTCCCACGAAGGGGTCAAAGGTGCCGCTTCCAAACTGCCGCCGAAGCACCCATCAAACTCCAACGTATCCGAGGAAGGCAACCTCCTTGTACGCGGGTCCTCTACGAATTCGCAGCCACGAATAACAATCGTCTTGCAATACTCGTCGACCATGTCCAAAACTTTCATGCACTCACGCACAACCACTTTCTCTGCCCCGATTTTGAGGTCTTTGTGTTTGATCCCTGAGATGGTCTGGAACGGAAATTGCAAGCCGTCGATGATGAGGCAAGGTATTCTTCCTGGGACCGCGTTCAGCGCTTGAGGAACATCCTTTACCAAATACGAAGGGCCATAGCACGGAAGTTCATCTCCAAAAGATAGTGTCACAGATTCGATATTTGTCAAATTGTTCTTGAGCCACTGGTGATTGAGACTGTGAGCTACTTTATGATCGATATCGAGGATTCTGAGAGTCGGGCAGTCGAGTTTGAAAAGCGGTGGTAGGCGCTTGCGGGTCGTCCAACATCCCAAGAGTTTCGGGCCTGTCACTTGTAAGCACTCTAGCTGGGGCGCATGTCCTGCTAATGCGTTGCAGTATTCTTTGATGTATAGGCTGTAAAAGTTACGAATTCGCAGACTCTTCAGTTGTCCGATATGCAGCGCGATGCAATTGAGGATCCCAGGAACTTCGTCTTGTTTGAGATGGTTATGCTTGTTGATTATAGTCAAATGGACTGGATGACCGCACGCCTTTCGAAGCTGGGAAATCAATGTCTGATGCCTGCTCTCATGGGGTATCATGCAAAAGATACGAGTCCAGAGCTCAGGTGCAGAAGAAACAACATCTCGCCATTGTCTGCATACTGATGCCATGGTGTGAGGAAATGGTAAGCCTCCCGCCATAACTCGGTGTTCGGCTTCAGCAGTTGTCATCATATCATCTTCGATGATGTCCTCCAGTGCAAGCTTGAGGATGTTGCATACTGTCTCCGCGGGAAGTAATTCGACAGGGGGTCGCATTAGCTTTTCCCGGCGTAGCATGAGAATCACTAGATAAATCCCAAGATGAGTACATTAAGAAAAAATAGTAGAATAATGGACATACCTTGTCGAGGCTTCGGGTTGTAGACTATTAGTTCGAACTCGACCAGATATTATCATAGTGTGTTTTGAACCCTTGGTCGGCTCAAATATCGACAACCACGTGGCCGCATCACGGTCACACATCAAACTTTGCACTCAAGTCACAGCCTGTGTCCTCTTTTTACAAGCTTCACATCCATACATGATGCAACCTAGCTCGACTCTTACTTTCATTCGGGATAGATCGATCGATCAACGGCCCCCTGCTTTCGGAACTGGCAAGCATGAATTGATTGAATCTAGGGTGAACGCGCCAGCAACTTGAAGTTCACCCAACCACCAAGCTAGTACACCTTGCTATCTAATGGACCCATGATGGTAGTCTGAATGCTCCCAGGCAGCGTAGTCATCTAATCAGCTTTGTTCTTCGTCTTTCGGTTCCCGGTATGGTCTCCGAGTGTGCACCTACTCAGAAGCATCTTCGGCAACCGCAATATCTGTTATCATCACGGGTATCATATCTGGTGAGCCAGCCGCGGCGCACGTGTGTTGGCACGTTCGAATCGCACTGTACTAAAGTTACAAGATTCAGACTGCGAGGCATACTGATACGAGCTGGTTTGGGGCATAGTGCGGCTGGGATATCTTGCACGGAAATGGAACAAGAGTACGTTGGACCTTGGCCAGCAATGAAATGCAAGCCAGATATCAATAGTGTACGGGTGGTGTGACTGGGGACGTGCGAGTCGGTGGCGGGGGGATGTAGGGAGCAGGACAAGAGCGAGTTTAATATTTGCTTTCATATCTGGAGGACGATACGTGGTTGCCGAACCTTCATAATAGCTCACAGCTTGGTGCACAGATATGTTCTCCCAGATCACCACCTTTTACGATGAGCAATTCTAGAAGGCTGGGGGGACTATAGGGGGCAGCAAAAGTTTCTTCTTCCTTGGTCGTTCAGTCTCGCGCAACATCACCATCTCTTTTTGATATTTGGAAATGCACTAATCTTCCCGCGCTGAACTCTTCAACTTGAGTTACGTTAGCGCTCGCCTGCATATTTTTATGATTCAAATTCTTTTTTCTTTCAGATCTCAGCAACGATGATATAGTTAGGCGGCAGCCAATATCGCCTAGTAGCAAGGAAATTGAAAACCTTGCGACACATGTAGCTCGGACCATTGCACATAAGGCCAACCTGAGGCAAATCATTCCCTGTAATGACATTCGCACAATTTCCTCTATTCATTCTATTTTTTCAGATACCTTATCCGTTCTCAGGCAATCGTCCAATCCAGCGTATCGGGGGATTTCGGGTCGAGCAACACCCGCCTCACCGTGGCTTAGGAATCTCCATTCATCACATTCAGCGGCAACCCTTCTCGACCCAATTTCAAATGATACAATTATGGCCGCGGGTGAGCCAGGCAGAAGGACTTCGCAACATACTGACCAAGTCTAAAGTTCAGGACAAACCGAAGATCGGAAAGACGGGTGCGGCGGAGCTAGTTCATTATGAGACATTGAACTTCTCCTGCACCTGAGGAATTCGGTACGAGGAAGAAAAGGATGCAGGAAGATGCCCAGGGTATCGTACTTGATTGTTTTGCACTCTCCTTTGTTTCGATACACTCGTATTCCACCGTCTTCTTTCTTCTTATTGGCAGATTATCATTTAACCCCTTTTTCTTTCGGCCGAAATGTATGTTTACGCGACTGTTAGCAGGTGCTAGCATCAAAGAGTGTACTAAATTTGGCGCGCCCCATCAAGAGCGGTAACAAAACTCATACATCTAGATAAGGTTGATTCACTCGAGTAACCTTAAATCTGGGAGGCAATTTTGCCTTCATGTCCTAGGAGGTGTTGTTCATATCCTACGTCGGTCTGGAACCGCTGAAACCTTCATTTCTCGTGTGAGCGGGCACCATACTGAGGTCTTCGAACACTGATTATCGTTGTGCTATTGGTCTCAACTTGAAAAAAAATCATTGCCACGGAGTGAACGCAAGATGTAACCGTCGATCCTCGAGTACGCCACAAGGAGCAATCTGCAGCATCCCTCGGAACCTAGAGAGGAGAAGTCCTGTCGAAACAGTCCCTGATAGCTGTGGCTAGCCAGGTTAGGATTATCTTCACGGGTGCGTGCACGTACTTGGTACAGACCGGTATCGCAATATCTTTCTGAGATTTCAAGATTACCATGTAAGTGGCCCCTTTGACTGTATAAGAAGAAATCAATCTTAGGTCAGAGTTTTCCAACTACTTGTTACCTCGTCTTTGCAATTTGCGAGTCATGGCTAATCCAACCGCTGATACTGCAATTGACATAGAACATGTTCCAGTTAAGGACGACCCCCGTCAATGGAGTCGTGCTAGAAAGGTGCGTGTATCGCGCGATGCACTCTGGAATTAACTTGACCCTTACCACCGATAGACGACAACCTTGTGCATTGTGTCACTGGCTACAATGGTGTCTACGTTAGCTTCTAACATTCAAAATCGTTTGTCGAATGTCTTTTCCTCATGTGTGGATTAAAATTGATATTGTCTCAAAGCGTCAAACTCTCTCATAGAGGAAGCTCTCCATGTAACAAGCAGTCAGATTAGCTGGACATTGGCGGTGTTCCAAATCATACAAGGGAACTTTCCTTTATTATGGAGCGTCGGAAGCGAAATTAAAGGCCGGAAGGTTGGTCTATGATAGGCACATCCTCTTTGATCTGCTTAACGAATGCGAGTCCCGATCATCGTAGCCTGTCTATTTGGTGTCTTCCACCTTGTTTGTGGTGGGAAGTACTGTCTTGGCATTGTCAAACACCATTGAGGTGATGATCGTTATGCGAGCACTTCAAGCTGCGGGGTGAGCACTCGTGCAAAAGCTTGAGCACTGATTGACTCCCCCTCTTGTAGATCAAGCGCTGCTATTTCTATTTCAGCTGCGACCTTAGCCGATATCTACGATACTCACGAACGCGGGACCATGATGGGCATCTTTTATGCTGCACCTCTCATAGGACCCGCACTTGGCCCTATACTTGGCGGGTCATTGTCGCAGGCTTTCAACTGGCGCGCTAGTTTCTACTTCCTGCTAATTTGTGGAGCAGTTACCTTCTTATCCTTCCTCATCCTGTTCAAGGACACATACAGACGTGAACGAAGTCTCACTTATCGCTTTGCGTTACAACGCCTAGATGCCTCCAAAGAACCCGTCAAGAGTCCAAACGAATCTATCATCGCCGGGCAAGACTCCAGCATGCCTGTCAAGGACGTCGAGAAACAACTCCAACCGCTTCATGTTCCAGACGCGACCCCAGCGCTGATATCTACGCCAGGGCTGGACGATTTCAGACTATCAATACAGGACATTAACCCCTTTCCACCATACTTTCAAATTTTGTCACGAAAGAACAACGCTGCCATTCTTACCGCTAATGGTGAGTGAAGATTTGGCCTCTCCACATTGTAACTTAATAATATCACATCACTTCGTGATAAGGACTCGTCTTCGGATTTAGCTATTGCCTTTCATACACGTGTGCCCGCACTCTCGCCAATAGATATGGTTACGACGCGTTTAGCACCGGCCTGGTATTGCTTTGCCTAGGCGTAGGTGAGCTATTCGCCCCTTGGATTGTGGCAGATGTCTAATTTCCTATGAAGGAAGTATCGCCGGGAGTGTGATTGGCGGCCGTTGGTCCGACCGGGTGCTTGCGAGCATGAAAGCAGCGAACGGAGGAAAGTATTTTCCAGAAGTAAGCCCTTTCTACGCTCTAGCACTGGAACTCTTGTTTGATGTCTTTCCAAGATGCGCCTAGAGAGTTCGAAACTAGCGATGCTGTGGCTACCTCCGTCCGTTATCGGTTATGCCTGGGTGTGCGAAAAACACGTGAATGTTGCCGTCATTTGCATCATGCTCGTTCTTATTGGATTCACCTCCATGTCTGTAGACCAGTTATTCATTGCCGTGGTTGCCCTGACATCTATGTCCAGATGGATGTATAGTGGTACATTAGCATATCTCGTTGATGCCAACCCTGGTCGCTCGTGCACAGCGGTGGCTACAAATAGCTCGTTCCGAGGATCCCTTGCTTTTGTTTCGGTTATGACTGCTGTGCCGCTTCAAGTGAGGTTCCTTGGTCTGCTGTATTTCACACATGCTGATGCTAGTTTGCTCCCTGGGCAGGATGCTTTAGGAGATGGGGGATTATATACGGCGTGGGCTGGCATCTTGATTGTGATGGAGCTACTGGTTATGTTGGTGCTACGCAAGGGAGAATCGTGGCGTAGGGAAAGTGAGGAGCGTGAGCGTGAAATACTAAGTAACTAAATCATCACAATCAGACTCGGTGACTGGAAAGATGTACTTACATTAACGGCCGAATTGATAGTCTTTGTATACATCGTTGGGGGGGTGATTGAATTTCAAACCGAGCGTTTATAATTATGGACAACCGATTATCCGCAAAGTACTCGCGGAAGAATAGTCATCCGAAACATGCAGGGTAGGTTGTGCACATGCCAATTCTTACTGAATCGTTGGTTAGGACCGCCCTAGTCTGGGTACCTACTTACGTTGGCGAGGTAATGCTCAAATACGGCGAGGCACCTGCAGGACAGTCGCAACTGAATGAGAGGGAAACGCAAGGCCGAAAATCTGAGTCACTCATGACTCGAAGAATTATTGAGAACCGGTGGGATATTTGCTATCACTCGTAATTACAATCTTTGTTCTTGCGCACCATTGCATTTAACTGATCTGACCTGTGCTAACGCAAGAATACCTCCACAACCACTTTTAGGGCACCTCCTCTCCGAAATACCACGCGTTCTGTCTTTGCCCATTGTTGCGTGTACAACTAGCCGTGCGATTACCTCGCCATTGCGTTGTTGTTCAAGTGATCACATATAGTATTTACCTGGTGGAAATCCTATTGGTTACCGAAAATGACGAGTTGCAATATGATATCTACAAGTTCGCCCTCTTTCATCGAACTGGCACGGCTGATATTTGCTCATGAAGAAGAGCTTGCTACACAGCATTTAAAATTGAGAACATGAGATGAGCTGCTATGGTATTGAGGTGGCGCTAAGGAATAATTTTTTTGAAAAATAGATTATATGAACTCGCTGGATCATGCCCGACAGTGTAAGATGATATACGGTAGACTCGGATATCACAGGATAATGTCGGACGTACTCTGCTTGTTAGAGTCCGAAGACAGCGGCACCGTGCGCACTGGCAGGGGAGACGGACTTCCTGTTTCTTTTAGTCACAATGTTGTTCAACACTAGCCTCAGATTCCATTTAATGATATGGCGAGCGCCACCTGACGGGACAGAGTCATAGGTAGACACTGCTTTGGAGGAACTTGGCTTCTGTGACGTGCACTACGGAGAAACGGACATTAGCATAGATTAGCATTTCGCTAGTACCAGGGAGAAGACTTCAAGAAGTGGAAGGTGGAGAGTATATATTTGCTTGTCTGCCTGAGACTGCCTCATCTGGAGCATTCAAAGACTATTGAACGTTGGAGTGTCGATGTATGGTGCTGCATTCGCGAGGGTCATTCGCTCGACACTGGTTGGGAATTACGTTGGGGGGGTATGCGCCAAGGCATGTGAGATGTTGGGTGAGAAGCGAGCGCCTGGCGCTGCGTTTGATAATGTAGCACTTGTGTCTCGTGTATTCGGAATTCTATCGCTCAGTGCCCTCGCGGTCTCCCCTTCTGCAATCCCTCCCAATCCAACCATTCTCTCCCAACACCAACTAGGCTCCGTACAATGCCCAATATCCCACCTTGTACAACGCCACCGCCGAACGGAATTCAAAATAAATGGGCATCGTGAATACTTATGCGCATAGATAGGAAGACATGCGTGTTTTTGTGCTTTGTTCCCGTTCTGCCCCCCAACACTGAGAACGTCCCGGGAAATGGACACTTTGGGGGCAAGTCTGTCGCAGACTCTAGAGGTGTGTCGGCACGGATGAGATGGGTCACTGGCATGTACTGTAGTATACTATTATAATGAAATCGGGTAGCGACATATGGACTGTAAGGCAGAAAAATAGGGAAGGGAAGGGAGTCATTTATTATGATGCCGCTGGCAGCAAAGGCGCTGATCATTAATGATTAGTATCAAACACAGTACTGAGTATTGAGGCCTGAGGCCTGAGGTTTGAGGCGGGATGGTATGAACGTCGAGAATAACGGCATAATAAAACTCCGACCGATTGAGCCCGAGCGGCTTACACGCCCCGGGCCTAGACCAGTGGGACCAAAATAATTCGAACTTCCATGACAGAGTACCTGCCCCCAGACTATCCATTAGACTTTCTACCGGGTGTGGCTCGACACGGTACCTTGCTCAGCTATTCAAGTTTGTGCTAGTTTATGAGAATCGGAAAACAAGCTCGAGTTTAGAAATGGGCTCAGCATCTGTCGGTTTCGACAGAACTATTTTTTTCCCTATGGGATGGGACTGATCACCCAGTTACCTAGCCGGCCAATCAGCTTCGTTCCTCATTCTACGGCATGGCTTGGTATGATCAACTCCGACTCTCCAAGTTTGGAGAGGGCTGAGCTGCTAATTGAAGTTGCTGTTCATAGTCGAAAAAAACTGCCATATGTCGTTACGGTCAGTGAAGGTCTCTTCTTCCCAGTTGATCGGTAGTGTTAACGTTGTGGGCAGAGCTCGGCAATTCAGCCAACCGGTAAGTTGGCAGAACTGGTTAGTCTGCCATAGGCAGGCCAAATTCATCTCAAAGGAAGATACTTCTTTATTATGAGAACCGGCTATGGTGGTCGTGCCTTCGTAAATGAGTCAGAACTTAGTGTCGGCGGCCTGGGCCCACAACACTACTCGGTCGTTTACCGTATCGCATGCACAATTTTCTCTCGGTCCGTGATGTACAGCGACTGACTTGAAGGAAGTTCATACTCGCTTTCGCATTATTCGGCACTGCATCTTCTTCCCCCAGCCTTTGGTAGGTTAGCACACGCCTCAAACTCGCTTTTGATCCGAACTCCTTTTGAATCAGATCTCAACATCGATGCTCACATGGTAATATCGTCCCGTAGCATGTGGTTGCAAGACAGACATGACACAGGTAGATCGGGCCTCGTCATTGCACCTGAGTCAGTCCCTGTGTTCGCATAGGCTTTTACTATTCAGAATATTCAAGTTCACATAACGTCTGATCCAGCGTCTCTTCGGGTTTTGGCTCGACATTGAATGAGCAAATATCCACCTGAACCATTATCCCTGCTCAAGTAGTTTCGGTTTTATTCTTTCCTGTCAGTAGCGACCCTTCTCGCCTCATTTCAGGTTTTAATGCCATCTGTAGTTGCGGTCTGGCTATTCGAAATACTCGACTCAAAACGCAAACGGAAAAGATACAGGCGATGCCGAATCTTTTTAATAATGATGAAACCACTAATCTGCACCGAGGAGCTCAATACAAGGAAGAAAAATACGTGACACAGGGTACGTGCTCGAATCTCGATCGAATTTCACTATAATCCCGACTTATTGCGCAGATTATCATTTATTCCCTTTCTCTTTTCGCCGAATGCTGTATGTTTACGTGACTGATAGCATATGCCGGAGTTATAGTATGCTAATTTTTGCGCCGCAACGTATGCATGAGGTCAAGAGCGCTCATACGTTTAGACAAGGTCGATTCATCCGAAAAACCTGACCAAAATCGCTGCTTCCGTTCTCTGCGAGTTGGCAACGTTCCAGTATAGGGCCGCCGGACAGGGTTTATTATGCTAATTGACCCGACTCGACTCGAAACTCAAACCAATGGAACGAAATGTAACAGTAATTGACGAGGCTCGAGTACGGCAGAAGGGATTGATTCGCATCCTTCGGAACGGGGAGCAGCCTCACCCGGAACGATCTCTGACAGCTGTGATCTAGTTGCCGGACTATGATCGTCATCACCTTCATGCAAAAGTGCATCCACGCACTCGGCCCGTGCCGGTATCGCAACATCCTTCAGAGAGCACAAGCTCACCTTGTAAGTGGCTCCTTTGACTGTATAAGAGTCCATACATCTTGGGTCAGAGGCTGCAAACTTCCCTTGCTACATCTTCTCAATCTCTAACTCATGGCTAGTCCAACTGTTGCCAACGCACGTTCTGTATCCGAACCGAAAACGTTACGGCAAGACGCTGATGTCGAGTCGTCCGTAGATGCAACTAGTACAATTGACATAGAACACGTTCCAGTTAACGACGACCCCCGTCAGTGGAGCCCTGCTAGAAAAGTACGTGTATCACACCTGCACTCTGTGACCAATCTGATGCTGTACCATCTGTAGACCACGACTTTGTGCATTGTGTCACTGGCTACAATGATGTCTGCATTAGCTTCTAACATCCAAAATCGTTTGTCGCATGTCTTTTCACACCCGGTGGTTTCATATTGATATCGTCTTGCAGCCTCGAACTCGTTGATAGAAGTAGATCTGCATGCGACAAGCAGCCAGATTAGCTGGTCGTTGGCGGCATTCCTAATCATACAGGGGAACTTTCCTCTATTATGGAGCGCCGCAAGCGAAATTAAAGGCCGTAAGGTTGGTCTATGATAGGCACATCTCCTTGATCTACTCGATGAATGCGAATTTTGTTTATCACAGCCCGTCTATCTGGTGGCTTCGGCTTTATTTATGGTAGGAAGTGCTGCGTTGGCACTTTCCAAGACCATCGAGATGATGATTGGCATGCGAGCACTTCAAGCTGCGGGGTAAGCATCCATGCAAAAAGCTTGGTCAATTGATTGACTCCCCCTTCTGCAGGTCATGCGCTGCCATGTCTATTTCGGCTGCGACACTGGCTGATATCTACGACACTCACGAGCGAGGGACCACGATGGGTATCTTCTTTGCTGCACCTCTCTTAGGACCCGCCCTGGGCCCTATCCTCGGGGGGTCGTTGTCACAAGCCTTCGACTGGCGTGCAAGTTTCTACTTCATGCTTATCTGTGCAGCAGTCGTATTCTTGTCTTTCCTCGTCCTGTTCAAGGATACATACCGACGTGAACGGAGCCTCACCTATTGCTCCGCTTTACAGCGACTTCTTACCTCCAAAGAACCTGTTCGGAATCCAAACGAATCTATCATCGTTGGGCATGAGTCCAACAAGGACCAAACACCTGTCAAGGATGTGAGATCCGGTTCCAGACCATATTTCAACGGTGACTTCTACACCAGGACTGGACGATGTCAAACTCTCACTCAAGGACATCAACCCATTTCCACCATGCTTTCGAATTCTGTCGCGCAAGAACAACGTTTTAATTCTTATCGCTAATGGTGAGTGAGGAGTTGTCCTCATGTAAATGATATTAGTGACTCAACTCGGGATAAGGACTCATCTTCGGATTTACGTATTGTCTTTCATACACGTGCTCTCGCACTCTCGCCGATGCGTATGATTATAGCGCGTTTAGCATTGGCTTGGTATTGCTTTGCTTGGGAGTAGGTGAGGCGATCTTCACACCCTGGATTGTGACAGATCAGTGACTAATTTCCTATGAAGGAAGTATCGCTGGGAGTGTGCTTAGTGGGCGTTGGTCTGATCGGGTGCTTGCAAAGATGATCGAAGCGAACGAAGGAAAGTGGCACGCAGAAGTGAATATTTTCTATGCTCTCACATTAGAATTGTTAACTGACGTCTTCCGTAGATGCGGTTAGAGAGCTCGAAACTGGCGATGCTGTGGCTACCTCCATTTGTCGTCGGATATGCTTGGGTGTGCGAAAAGCATGTGCATGTCGCCGTCATTTGCATCATGCTCCTACTTATTGGATTCTCCTCCATGTTAGTAGACCAATCTTCACGCTCGTAGCTGCCCTGACATATACTTCTAGATGGATGTATACTAGTACATTGGCATACCTCGTTGATGCCAATCCTGGTCGCTCATGTTCAGCGGTAGGCGACCAACAGCTCGATCCGAGGATCCCTGGCTTTTGTTTCGATTTTGATTGCTGTACCGCTCCAAGTGAGTTACTTCCTTGATACCCGTTGTAAATCACAGGATTCTAATGTTAGCTCCTCTCTGCGCAGGATGCCTTAGGAGATGGGGGATTGTACACAGCATGGGCTGGCGTCATGGTTGTGATGGAATTACTTGTTTTATTGGTGTTACACAAGGGTGAATCATGGCGCAGGGAAAGCGAGGAGCGCGAGCTGAAATCAGGGAATTAAAGAATCTGCATTTTTTTATTGGTCATAGGGTAAAACGGGTATAGAGTAAAGCTCGTGTAAAGCAAGTTTGTAATATATACATTATGTAGACTAATATATTGCATATAATTTACTGCCAGCCTGGACTACTTATTATGCACCAGAAACCATGGAGGGCTATTGATGATAGAACTCAGTCCGAGTCTTTCAGAAAGAGACACGATGCTGACTACCCGAATCGAAAAGGAATCGGTGTTTAGTGTCTGGGCGTGCATGATGATGATGTCATAATAAGTCTTACGGATTACATTTGAAATTTTGACCATAAACGTCAAACGCGATATGTTTGTTTGTACTTGTTGAATTTACAAGGTAGTACATGTTCGGTACGCACTATCTCCACTCGTTCAATAGGACGGCTCTAATTTCTACACAGGTCTGAGCTGAAAAAATGGCTCGGCCTTACTCTCTCAGTCGGCGAGAGATTACACTTATTTTGTTCTCGGTCATAATTTTTTTGGTCTTCTACAACTTCGATGCGACTTCTGACTTCTTTGCCAATCCTAACCTGCCTGGCATATCCTCAAATCCCACTGCTGATGGTGGTCTCGACATGGACATATTTGGGGACTGGGAGTCTGACGAAAGACGCATATCCAGCATTCATAAGCAGCAAGAGGAAGCAGATGCCTCGGAAGGAGATATATGGCTAAAGACCGATCGTATACCTGAGGCGCAGAAACAACTCATCTTCGGAAACATCGGCGCTAACGATGGTTTCATGCACTGGGGAAATGATATGCCTGAAACTCGAATAGTGAAACACGTCGCTGGTAGGTGCGCTGCAATTGCTTATGGACGTATTACTGATAATGTTGTTTATCAGGATTCTCGATCATGGACAATGTAATAATGTGCAATGGCACAATTTTCATTGTGACGGATTCTCCTTCAAGCTTCCCTTCGTTGGGTTCCATTGCATCGTCTGCTGACAACTCGCACGAAGCTCCGCTTCCAAGAGAATGGGCCATGCTGTCGATCGAGCAAGCTAGAGACATACTTGGTTCATATGGTGGATTGTGAGTGTCGCACGTTTATTATCACAACCGCTCTTAACATCATCCAGGATTCAAGGCACGAGTTGGCTATCGTATGATGCAATTCCGAGTTTGTCGATACCTGCATCTTCAAGTTCATGAGTCGCGTCCTTACATAACATATCTAGGCAACTACACGCTTTTCTCGCTCTGGAGGACCCAGAGCTCCCTGAACACGTCGACGTCTCCAGACCCTTTCCGTCCGCCACGACGACTTTTCTTCCCGAACATTCCTCGTTACAAAGGAATACGACCCGACCTCAGTGGACCCATCATTAGACGTCAACGTTCGGACAGTGGGTTTCATTCGTATCTTCCCAAGGCCGCTTTTCCATTGCTCGGGTTGATGTATAAAGAAGATTGGGAAGATTATGCGCTCATGGAAGTCCCTTTCGTTTTCGAGAGGCTGGTCGTCGCCGATTTTGGTGCAGCTGCACGTTCTGCAAACGATGTGCCTCCATTCGCTCTCCCGCTTGTTGGCCTGAATGCGTCAAAGGAATGGTGGGAGCCAATTAGGCAGAATCTTGCCAAGTTCTTGCATGTAAACCACCGCGCACAAAACCTCAACAGCGGACAAGAAAAAACGGTAGTCACTTACATATCCCAACAAGATGCCACAAGCGGTTCAAGGCTGAGGAGAGCCGACCACAATGCGTTGGTCAACGCTCTTGAGACATTGCATGAGAGCAACGACTTCGAAGTCAACATAGTCTCTTCAGAGGGACCCTGGGTGGACAGGTTGTCAGCCGTCGCCCAGTCTAATGTAAGTCTACATCACTTGTAAAGTATCACGCTACGACCGACTCACATGCATGAAGGTCGTTCTGGGTGTTTACGGAGATAGCCTCGCTGACAGCGTATTTATGAGGCCATCAGGACACTCAACTCTGATGGAATTTTTTCCCTCTGACGTCTTTACTCGCGACGCAGAAATGGCGGTTCGTTCCTTAGGCATTCGCTACATCGCCTGGTGGAATGACCGGTACACTCTGTCTTTGTATTTTTCTTCTCCGATGTCTCATTTTATCTATTTATAGGCGGTTCGAAACCGACAGTCTTCCATCTGTCGCTCCAGTGAGCGACCTTACTCAAGAAGTTCAGATCGACCCTGCTTCAGTCGTGCATGTCATACTGGATGTGGTCAGTCGCACGTAGATATTATCAGCGGTACGGTTTGCCTATACAATCGCTCTTCACTTGCTCAAGTGGAACTAACCCCCTTTTCATCTTTTCACAGCTACCTGTCAGCCATCTATGCTTTCACCGTAACTTATTTACCCCCAAGGAACGCAAAGTAGTGTGACTCTTCTTGAACTCTTCGATTGTATAGTCTATCGTGTATTTCGAACGGTGATGTGTGTACTTGTATTTTGTGATGACCGAGTTTGGGAGATAGAAGCGTTTGGGAGGCGTTCACCGCTCACGACCGCTGGGCTGGGTAGTTCAGGTTGAAAATCAGAGGCTTGAAGCTATTCAGATCACACACGGACGCAATACATTCAGCAATTTTATGTATGACTTGGAATTAGTAGTTACCACCAAAGAGTCTTTGTGATGCGGAGGTGCTTGGAATTTCAAGAATATATTCACTTTTTTGGGTCAGTGTTTATTGTCCGTTGGGGCAATGTCCTATGGTAGACAAAACAATACATTCACTGCAAGCAAGCGCAGTACACTGTAATACATTGATAAAAACGACTTGGGACTTGGGTAGTTATTGAACCATGACAGCCTTGATGATCTGCATAAGACATTAATGTCAGAGGGACGACTCAGACATTCTAACGCTTCTATAACATTAGGCTAGAATGATTTTAGAAAGAGTCTAAACTCGATACTCAGACATACCTTCGGCGTTCTCAACAACTTGTGAATGGTGAATGTCTGACACACGACTTAGTGATGATGATGATGATACCATTTGATCCCAGCCGTACAAATCCATGGCCTCGTGGAAAATGATCGAGCGATTTCCAGTCCGACCAGGCCATGATGTCTGATGTACCATAATGTTCCAAACCGTTGAATGTCAATGCGACAGTGTCCAGGCGGAGGGGTAATTCTGTTGGATGATCCTCGCCAATATAAGCTGCATTGAATATGGGTGAATTGAACTACTATGGCAAACGACAACGACATACTGTACTGTCCATCATCAACAAACGTGGGTTGCAAGCGGAACATGGTAAGAATGTTCAATGAAATGCTGATGGCCAAAGCACCATGCCAAAATACCCGCAGAATTTCTGAGGATCGACGTGTGAGGCTGTTAAGCATTGCTGGATGCGACCTGCGACCTGAGAAGAAGTTTTGGTCACTTTCTTACTGACAAGAACGAATACTCTTGGGGGAAATATAGCTGCTTTGCTTTATGGTGTGCGTTTTGACGATACATCGACCAGATCTAAGAGAGATACGTTTTTGGTCAAGGGTCGGGGGAGTTTGCTCAGATCTCCGAGAGCCGGACCGTTACATCTGTATACGCGTTTGTCTGAATCCCTTCACAATCAACGCACGCCTCAGTTCGCCCGACAGCTGTATAAGTAGCTGGATGTTCCATGACGAAACAGAGATGTCAATGACAATTGCGTGGTATCGGGGGAAGTAGGGAATAGCTGGGGTTTGATGGTAACTTTACGGACTAGGGAAACAGCAATGGTGGCTTCGGCGGGAATTTCTCGGGCAAGTACAGCATATCGAGGTTTTGTTGTGAATATAACAAAATATAGGACAGAAATATGTCGAGAAAACGTTTGCAGGTACGGCAGAGTGACCTGAAATTCCGTTCGTGAGACGATATACATGCTTGCCACGTCGTCAACCCACAACGCAATGGAACGGAACAGATCGCTCTGGTGAAAGAGGCATTTCGAGCTATAATTCCGGCACGATATTGGAACCGTCCATAGACTGAAAGTCAGTATCTGGATGAAAAAGGATAGGAACTTCCAGCCTGTAGCCTGAGCAGTAAGCATCTAAAAGCTAGTAGTACCTGGAGTTTGATAATACACATCCCGCTGGTCCCCTGAGGGCTCCCACACGGCGGTAGCACGATAAGATACTTCAGCCTTCTTCACAACAGACAGGCCTCCCTCACCTGCTATCGCAAGGCATCAAAGCACAGAAGGTGTGGGAGGCATCTCTTCACCTGGTCGACTTCCGCGAGGAATGTCGAAGCTGAATTCGATGATTTAGATGAAGGATCACTTAGACTCGAGTCACTGGAAAGTTGTGGTACCCTAAACATGTCGCAAACAACAGAAAGCGGGTCAAGGAAAGATGAAATAGGAATAGCGACAGAAGCGAACAAGATTATGTGCTTTTATTTCGAAGCTTAGGTCCCTGGGCAGATTCGTCGTCTAGATCCTCCTTTACAGACACACACACAAACATGCCCTCGATCTACAATATCGATTGTTATTGAGTTCACATATATGATTCATCGCATTAAACTTACAGATATGTTCAGCCGACCGTTTTGCGAGCAGTTGGGATGTAGGATAATTTGCCTTCGACCTTGTCATAATCCCCGAAGACTAGGCCAGAGATCATTCCACTAAGCCCAACCTACTTGACCGTTTTAATAGAGGGGCTATGTAGTTGCATATCCAGAAGTGATGAGCTGTGTGTACCAGTCAATGACCGATCGCCTGGATCACACCACTGGACTTGTGACACTCACCGGAAGCTGGATATATGACAGTGTGAATGCGAAGTCTGAAGACAACTGTCGAGTCCCGCAGCCTGCACGAAGCTCGATTGCGGTGGCAGTGCACCGAGTCAAGGCGAAGGCGAGGCTTGACTCGGAGTGGCTTGCACAGAGGCCGGAAGATAAGCTATTATATTACCTCGAATTTGAGTTCGCAAAGAGCATCGATTTGAACGACGCACCTGAGTGGTCATAGCAGGAAACGAAAGGAGACTCTGTCAGAAAATAGATTATTATGATGGGTTGGAAATACACCTAAGCTACACTGACAGTTAAAGAGTGCTGACGCGCACCGAGGTGGGGTTTTACGCGACATAGGAAATTGTGGAGGTTGACATTAGTACAGAGGTTGCGAAGATGTTGGGGAGAACTTGTACTGGTATGAGTGATGCTTGATCCAGTTTGAGTGAGGCCCGACATGACATAGTTGGGGCTTGGCTTGAATGCACAAGTTGCATCGGACTCGACAAGGTGGGGTGGAGGCTTGGGACAATACTTTACACTGTGTCCGAAAACCAACATTAGATCAATGATTAGACCCAGTGAGAACTGGCTGTGCCCAGATAGGGCCGTATAGGCTGAGATGTGAATTACCATATTAGTACTGTGCCGAAATCTGCTTCTTTCTGTCGAGAACGACATTCTTCGAGTGCAGCGCGTTGCAGTTGCACGAACGCTGTGCATCATTGCAACGTTTTTGCATCGTCATCGTAAATACTTTGCAAACGCGCATTGCAAACGTGCAACCATTGCAACTTTCTCAATGTTACCATCAAACTCAAGTTCGGCCAAATTCATATGCGTCTGTAGCAAGCACAATTTTGGCCGGCCACATAATGTTTCGAGGTCAACATGGTATGAGCATATTCAACAGGCTGAGACAACAGCGGAGAAAGATAGAATTCGATCAGCCCAAGCATTGAATATACCAGGTACTGTTTGATTGATATTTTAATTCCATGGTGCTGACTATGCACTATAGACATAGACAGTGCCATCTTGAATCTCCCTCCTCTGAGTGGGCAACCTGCCCAAGGTTCTTCCTCGGGTCAATGTCCTAGTGACTGTCGTGCTGTGATGATACGAGCACTTGCCAAGATTGCTCAGGAGAATGCTGTTTCGAAGTGTACTGGATGTCACAAATGTGCCTGGATTTCAGAGCCTGATGATATGTTAAAAGATCTGGTAAGCTTTAACTTCAATGAACAACTCAACAACTTTAATTAAAACATTGGTAGTCTATGGACCAATTTTCGGGTGAATTTGACTCCCATGTTCCTCCTGATGATTTCCCCATGCTGAACAGACTACCCATCCCACCAAATGAGCCACCCATCCCACCAAATGAGCCACCCGTCCCACCAAATGAGCCACCTGTCCCACCAAATGAGCCACCCATCCCACCAAATGAGCCACCTGTCCCACCAAACGAGCCACCTGTCCCACTGAATAAGCCACCCATCCCACCAAATGAGCCACCCACCCCACTGAATGAGCCACCCATCCCACCGAATATCCCTGCTGAAGTCAATGGGCACCAGCTGCAGTATCAGTTCATTCTGCAGTGCCACCCACGGCCTAATATCGACATGGAGGCACTGGCTGGGATAGCCAAGCTTCCAAAGATCAAGGAGACTATGGAGTACATACTGGCGCTGAAAAATGCATCACTAGAAGATCTGATAGCGAAATTAGGTGATGACGCACTCGAGAGACTGTGCAATCCACCCAAAGGGCCCGTTACTATAGATAGCCCAGGGATTCAGCACAGCATATCCATGTATCTTGCATTAGAGCATGCATCCCAGGCGGCCTACAATCGGATAATGAGATCTACGACGCTCAACTTTGCAGGAGCTGATGGTGTTGATGATTTGCTGAGTTTTTATAAAGTCGAGAGACTTGTTGCTGAATATACTGGTGTCGAATCAATCAAGCATGACATGTGCTTGAATTTGTGCTTAGCTTTCACGGGCCCCTTTGCTGATCTCAAAACCTGCCCAATGTGCGACACATCTTGATGGGATCAAGCAAAGCTGCATGTGAGCAATGGATATACCAAAGTTGCTGCTCAGATGTTTACGACTATACCTATAGGTTCACAATTGCAGGCCCTTTATCGGCATCCTGACAGCGCACATGATATGCGCTACCTCCACAACCAAGTTCAGGAAGTTCTTGCAGGCCTTGCACAAACTGGAGAGATCCCTGTTTTCGACAATATTGTGATGGGACACAATGCTATTGGTGCTGTACTTGATGGGGACATCAAGGAGAACGATATTGTTCTGATGGTGTCCCTGGATGGTGCCCAGTTGTACGAGAGCAAACAATCCGACTGTTGGATGTATATCTGGGTCATCGTCAACCTTTCACCTGACAAGTGATACTGTAAAGTCCATGTCCACCCTGGTGGGTTCATACCAGGGCCTAATAAGCCGAAGAACTTGGATTCCTTTCTCATCGTGGGGTTGCATCACCTCACAGCTCTTCAGAATGAGGGCCCTGTTATATGGGACTCATCTCGTGATGTAACATTCATGTCTGATCTTTACCTCATCTTCATGACTGCAGATGGACCCAGACTCATCTACTGGGATGGGATGGTGGGGCACAGCAGGAAGAATGGATGTTGAGTTTATTGTGGTGTCCTTGGCAGGCGCAAACCCAACAGGACACATTATTACCCCACTCTATTGAAGCCACTAGGTCAATGTGCACCAGGTAGCGACCATGCTGATATTAGTGTGTTTTGCCTCCCCCCTGGTGGTTCTCAAGAATATGCTGACAATTTACGCCATCTTGTCTCATCCCCTAGTCAATGACAATTGGAGATGCGCAGGACAGAGACCAGTATCATGAAGCCACCTCTTATTCTTGGACTCAACCCTTCACATTGCCTTGGAGTTCCCAACTGTATGACCACGGATATTATGCATCTCACTGGTAACCTCAGTGACCTCCTCATTTCTCTCTGGCATGGAACAATAGATTGTGCTGCTACAGATGATGTAACTATGTGGGATTGGGCAGTACTCCATGATGTGGAAGCTTGGAGTGCACATGGGGAGTTGGTTGCACAAGTGGGTCTGTTTCTTCCTGGTTCTTTTGATCGCAAACCACGCAATATCGTGGAAAAACTCAACACAAGTTATAAAACTTGGGAATTCCAACTTTACACCTTTGGTCTCGCTCCCGGCCTACTCTATAATGTCCTTCCTGAGCGATATTGGAGGAACTACTGCAAGCTTGTGTGAGGTGTTCAACTCATGTGTCAGCACAGTATCACCATTGAGCATATTCAAGAAGCCCAAACACTCTTGTGTAATTGGGAATATGAATTTGAACTCCTGTATTACAGACGACGCCAAGATCGCATCCACTTCATCCATCCCTGCATTCACCAAACTAACCACCTTGTTGCAGAGACTGTTCACAAAGGCCCCCCTATTTGTTATGCACAGTGGACCATGGAGCACACTATTGGGAACCTTGGACAAGAGATACACCAACCATCTCGCCCTTACGCCAACCTGTCGCAAGAGGGTGTTCAACACTGTCAAGTTAATACACTTCTATCTGCCATCCCAGAGCTTGATGAACCTTCCAAAGGTCTTCCAATAGGTGCAATAGACTCAGGAGATGGATTTGCATTATTGTGCAAACATGACAGATATGCATTCAGTCCAGTTGGAGGTGTGGCACAAGCCATACTTGACTATCTTGGAGATGGGTCGACACTTCCTCGTATCAAACATTGGGCACAACTCCTCTTGCCCAATGGACAGATTGCACGGTCTGTCTGGAGAGAGACACTCAAACTGTTAGATCAGACTCGCATGTCATGCAATGTGAAAGTGAGAATTTCGGACATTTATGTGATGAATGTTACTGATGTATCCTAGATAAAATATCACAGGGAAGTTTGGTTCGGCAAAGTTCTATACTTCACCAGGCTTTCAGTTGAAGCAGGCCTTGATGATGATCGTGACTGGCGCTGGCACGATGTTGCCCTTATTCAGATGTATTCCCATCCAGACAATGACCTTCTCCAGCTCTCCTCACATACCATCACATCTTGCTCCTGTCTTGAAGATATTTGCGTTGTTAGCATAAAGCAGATCCTAAGTGTCGTTGTGATGATTCCACACAAGCCTATACTACCTTCTGGAGTTATGGATGAAGAAGGTTGATTTTTCATGCTGGAGAAGCCCAGATTAGATCTTTCAAGCATAGGAATCGCTAATGTCCCTCCTGATGATGAGGACAATGTTCCAGACGTAGAATAACCAGTAGACTGATAGAGCGTCTATTTTTTGTTACAATTGCCAATGTATTACAACAGGTATTTATAATGAGGTATTGTTTCTATCGTTGGCGAGTACAAAATATAAGAGTGAGTGTAACATACATTGAGTGAGTGCAACAGTGAGTATGAGCAAGTGCAAAATATAATGGGCAAGTGCCAAATACAATGAACAAGCAGAACATGCAGACAGAACATCAAAAATCTAAAGAAAGGAGGGTTAAAAATCAAAGTTGAACATCTTTGTCTTGCATCTTTCAATCTGTGCCAGCCTCCTGGGGATATCTGATGCACTGAATGGCCTAACGATATGACGCCAAGGGCGAAATTGATCAAGGAGGATCTGCCTGGTAGCAGGATCTGGGTTCCTGGTGATTTGAGACAGATGAATACATGGTGTTGCAGTGCCCAATGCACATGACCTAAAAAATGAGTGTTTATTATACCCTAGATAATTGAGGACTTACATCTCAAGCTGATCCAAATCACTGAGAGCGTCCTCCTCCTTGATTGCCGGGACATCTTCTTCAAACTTGATCTTCCCCTCCACTTTCTCAACCTTAATCCCTACATCTCCTTCTTCAGCCATTGATTCATGCTTGGTTTCCAAGTCGCTAGTACAGTGATACATTAGTCCAATCTATGTCTTTTATAATAATCAAATAATACCTTGTGCTTGGATTTGGATCTGCACCATTGCACAGGTGGAAAACGAGGGTCTGAAAGAGATGTAGCACTATAAGCACCACATAGTAAATGGGGAAAAATAAACTTACTTTGACTCCCGGTGTTTCAATGTTTAATTTGATGCAATAGTTCTTCCAATTGGGAAGAACACCGTCAATCTCAAGGAAGATAATGTTGCCGCAGACGCTGATGCTATCAGTCTTATTAATGGTAAGAGAGGACATAATAACTGATCAATAAGGTAGAGGAGTAGAGTTTGCATAAAGGTTCTTGGACTTAGACGATCAGAGAGATTGCGGCAATTCCCAGTGGGGTTTAGATACAATATCATCAGCCTCACCATATACTACAGAGTGTCTCCATCTCTTAAATTTATCACTCCAGGATGTTTTCTTCTGTCAACAGAGGTTCTATGAATTTAAATGGGGGGAATTTCTTTCACACCATGCATAACTCAAGCCATCCTCCACAGAATCCACATTGGGGGTGGGAATTTACTCCTTCCCCCCTATCTACCGGCTCTACTAGTATTCCTGATGGGGATCTCTTTACAGATAGTTCCAGGATCCCGCAGCCTCAATTTCAGCCTGTATGTTCACTCTTCGTGCTTTTTCTGCTAACAAAAACATTTTTAGGGTGCATACATGCATGAAAACCAACAGTTTCAGACGCTGCGCGAACAATATAGGGCACTGGAGTCGCAAATTGTGAAGGTCACAGCCAAATGCGATTCTGTCATGTGCGTATCTTCTTGGTTTATTTATTTTTACTTATGCTTGATAGTGCTGCATATCAATATCTTGCAAGTGCGGTTCACTTCCCAATTAATGACCCATTCCAATTCAATCCTTTGTCGATCCCAACACCAACAAGTACAAGTAATGCTGAACACCCAAATCCAGAGACACATCCAAACGTTCGGTTTTGGGACAAGGCTGAGTACCTCAAGTGGTTGGATTCTGCTGATGCTGAACACACTGCACTGCATGGCAAGCTCGCATTCCTGGAGGACAGCAATGGAAATCCAGTTTTGGAAACCACAATCAATGCTATCCGTAAAGCTCTGCATGCAGCATGGTCGGAGCTCCTCATTCACAAACTCACACCTTTGACTTGGGGGAAGCTGACTACATCAGGCACCCAGCTGATGAATAGCTTGATGGAAAATGCCTACCCACTATTTAAGCTCGCCAACAACAGCTGGAAGCTTGACTACCTTGCTACAATGTCTTACTCATCTTGGTGGCAAAATCACATGGATGAATGTGGTAATCCACTAGTGGGTGGTGATGAGGAGGGTGATACCACTTCAAAAGGCAAGAAAAGAAAGCGGCATATTAAATCTGAAGCACCTGAAGTCCCTGAAAAGAAGATCAAAGGTTCATCATACTGCAGTTACCGACAGTGACTAATACTCCCATTTTTCAGTCAATTGTGGTGCACTAGAGATTACCATCCTACCACCGACTCCTCCACCATCATCTATTTCATCTCTACCAGAATGCCCAATGCCATCCCTGACACCATCATATCCTCCTCAAGCGGAAGAAGGTGCAACAACAACATCAGCAATTCCACAAGAGTCCACTCCACAAGTCCACGAAGCAGTCGCTGTACCTGTTCTTGAAGATATTCAGCCTAAGAGCATCCTTCCCGAGCCTATCTGTGCTCCAAAACCTGTCAAAATCACAATCATTAATCCACTGTGAGTCGCCCATATAGCTTTATTCACCGCTAATGACTTTAAACAGCTCTACACTGGCATTTGTTGCATCCAGTGTCACTTCCATCAACCCATCACTTGAGCTACAATCTACCAGTGAGCCTGCACCCAAGGACGTGCTGGGAAGTGTTCTTCAAGTTGCTCCAAACTCTACGAGCAAAACAAAAACAGTAAGCAAGGGACCAATGCACCCAAGTCCCATGAGAAATGGATGGTGAGAGTGCTTATCGTGTTTTGCTCATTATGTGCTCACTATCACAATAGAAATTTGTGTGCATTGCATTGGCTTAAGCAGATCAAGCGAGGTGGGAAGACAGACGAGTTCAATAATTACTATGGGTCACTAACACCAGATCAGCATGGGGTAAGTGATCCATCTGCTGCTGTGTCACTCCAAGTCATTATTCTTATTTGCTCAAATTTCAGAAATACAATGAGGAGGCTAAGATTCTGGTACTTGGTATTGGATCCTTTGTCTATGATACTAATACAAGATCTGCAGGTTGCCAAGAATATGTGGACCAAAAATGTCAATGAGGGCCATGTCTACTAGACCACATCTGTTAAGGTCGCGTGCTCAAGGGGGTTGGATCACAAGGGCTTGGCCTCAGCTCGTACACTGTGCCCCTTTCCCAAGTATGTGCCCTTAATTTCCAGGGGCTAGAACAGTTGTCCGGAGTTTCCGGGATTTGACTGGGGCAGATAACGGACATCTGGATGTTACCTGGGCAAGCGGACAAGACTAATCCGGATGAAGTCTGGACTAGAAACTAACAGAGGATGGACCCTTAAGGTAGAGTTGGAAATATAGTCTAGGATGCAATCCTAAGACTCAGAATATGACAAGAGACTTATCTCGAGTCCAGAGGACACAGGAATGAGCAGGAACTAAGATGATATTCGAACTGGAGTATTTCTGAGAGTTACAGGAGGTTTATATACTGTAGGTATCATATAGGAATCAGTCAGCAAACATAAAGGCTATGTATGAAGCATATGCAAAGTCTATTAGTAAGTAGGATGGATCACAAATAATGAACACTGGAAATGAAATGTACGTAATGGATCAATAATCAAAAGGGAAACATGGTTAACCAGAGTCCGGAGACTGGGGCAGTCTAAATGGAGTTGGGCGCTGATATAGGGTTTGGATTCCGGAAGGGAGATAAAGATCAAGAGGTAGGGGAAATTCAAATATCTGATATCAACCTGGACAAACTTCGCATGCCACCACCACCACCATTACAGCGTTATGGTCACACTAATTAGACCATATATAGTAATTACTTCCGACTTCCAATGGCCAAAATAATACAAAGAATATTGTTAAATGCGAGTGATTGAAGTGAGAGTACAATGAATGTGATATTGTAGTTGCAAGTACAATTTGTAGACTACGATTATGTGAATTCAAAGCATAGAAAACACAATGAAGGCACTACAAAGGGTATCAACGGATCAAAAGCAACTCAGCGGATCTTCTGTGCTGTAGAATACATGATGCGATGGTCTAATGTAAGTCTAATGGTTTGGTGAAAGCTGATGATGCTAGGATGATGGAGAGATATCAGACATTAAGAACGTGTCGATGAGACACATCACATTGATATTGACGCGTTGTATTGCTTATTGTGTCATGTGTTCTCAAAATTACATCTAGAAATTATCGTTCCTTTATCAGTGTGCCCCAATGCACACTTCTTATTAAAATAAGTATCTAGATGTATTCTATAGTACTGATTATACCACACTTTCTGTACTCAACTAACGATTTGACGAAGAACTTAGGCCGCTATCAAGAAACTCAGAACTTATGTTTTGAAACTTTGGGTGGCTGTATATTAAGGTTTACAAGCTTAGTAATGTCGAGCTCTATATCCAGGATTTGCCTTTTGCCCACCTCTTGATAAAGATAGATCAGATCATTTGAGATCCAGATCTTGGATCCGGACATCCGGAGAAGCGGATTTAGAGTTGAGAGTCCGGAATGGCATATGACAACATCATACTACCACGACATTTCCTGCGTGCCTCAATGCATTTTTGTGCCTCCCGCCTCTTCTCTGCTCTGTTCACCATGTCTGCTCTCAACATATTTCTGAGGTGTGCTCCACCCATTCTCGAACCGTTTCATATCAGTTTTGCATTCCTACTAGACCGCATCATACCACCATGATATTTTCCGTGTTCCTCAATGCATTTTTACTCTGATTTGTGCCTCCCGCCCCTGCACTGCTCTCAACATGTTTCCTGAGGCATGCTCCATTCATTTTCGAACCATTCCATATCAGTTTCGTATGTTTTGCAAGTGCTTTCAGATACCTATACTGCATAATACCTTCTGTGCAATCAGAGCATATTTGACACTATTCTGGCACATCCTGCAGTGACAGCATGAGCATGCATACTAAAACAATCAGAGCATATTTGAGAGTATTTAAGCACATTCTGCGAGGACAGTATGAATATGTGCAAATATGTCTAGATGTGCTCGATGTCACAAGAAGCACAAGGGAGCACGTGGAGCACTGCCCTGTCTTATAGAAAATGTGCTGTGAGTCCAGATATTGGGCGAGATGTGCGAGTATGTGCTCTGTCTCTCGAGTGCGCATCTCAGCAGATTCTGTCCTATTTGGGCACAGCCAGTTCTCGCTGGGGATTAGAGGTAATACAAGACAAGATGCACACTACATTACCGAGTAGTACGAACGCGAAGGACAAGCACTGTAAATATTTAACATGGTGATAAGCGAATGCAACAAGTACTCCAGGGTTGCCTGTACGCAGATGCTACACTCATACGTTTTATCATTAACGAGGATTCAAAGTGTTTGGAATTCATTCCAAACGACATAAGATGGTGTTTCAAAATTTCAAACATGGTATGTACTCTGAGTGCCGCGTGACTCAATTTCATCAATACACGATGCTGACTAATGAGCGCGGTTGGTCCTGGCTTCAATGCAAATCAGTCCATCTAGAACGAAAATATAAATGCGCTGAACAAGAAGCCTAGCTAGGTGAATGATTTTGACGTATATCGATATACTACTGTTTGCTGCCAATCTATCATTGTTTCTTGGAGTCGGGTATTGGCGCTTCCCAGCGCCGCTACGATTTTTCATTCAAGGCTCCGATCTAGGCCACGAAACACTGTTAAGGGTACATTGATCCGCGAAGTAAGCGCAGGTAACAGGGCTACAAACCACAACCTACTTTTTATCAAGCACTGATACACACTACCCTATCTCTATCAAGTCGAAAGCTGCACAATGCATCAATCTAACACCTCAAACCTGTAACATAACTGCCTGCACTCACCCAACGGAGGAGATGAAAACAATTGTTGAAATTCAAGTCTACAACCTTCGCAGGCCACCTCGATGCTAACAGTCATTTTCTCACCACAGGAGAACCGTGTCGGCATCAGTGCTTGCCATCCATCTTGTAATTCCAACTGCTCGGTCTTCTCTATCTCAGGAAGAAATGCGACAGTACCCATTAGTGTGATTCGTTGGGGTCGGGAGTTCCAACTGAGACGCTTCATGGATTCTGTAGGAGTGGTGACATTCCAAATTTGAATCTGGGTGAGGGAGCCAGATGAGGTGTAGGTCTTGTTGGCCGCAAGGCCATCTTCCGGAGTGGCAACAACACTGTCGATATAGCAAGATGTGAATTTCGACTTGCGTAGGTGCCATTGGAAGAACATTGAATCCTGGGGACGACATAAGTGACCGAGTGACTTCGGGTGGAGATCCACTTACGTCGTCGCTCAATATGACATGTGAGCCCGAAGTATACACTTGGTCAGGTAAGGCTTTGTTTGCCCGTACGATTGTGCTTGGAAAGTACGTCATAGGTCCTGCTTTCCATTCTGAAAAGGTGCCCATGATGACTGAACGTGCGTACCTTTTGGTGCGAGCTCTTGAGCGAATTCCAAACCTGGGAACTGGCTCGGCTGCCGTAAACCATAGGCATTATGCTGCCCGGAAATCCTGGCAGAGGTGACATACAACGAGCATGCACAAGCCACTGTTAGGACATAGAGTCCGAGTTTGGCCCACTGGCAAACGGACCGTTCGAATGCAGGATCTGCCTCGCGAGGCTTAGAAATGAAGCGTTCGCTGGGGAGGAGAATTGCCTCTTCTCCATAGTCTTCAAGTTGATATTCCAGATCGTGCATTTGGAGAGATGAATGTGATACTATGAAGGTCTGTGAATATATTGCTTGTCGGTGGCAAAGTGCCCATTTACCTGTTTCACCCGAATGTTTGGTAGGGCGCACCGAAGCCTACGCAGGCGAGATTCTAGTTCGGATAATATTCAAATTTCATACGTCAGCAACGCGATTGGAAGAGAAATATATGTCCAACCATGACTCGTTTGAAATACTAGATGAGCAACGAGCACTACACACATGAATGAATTACAAATCCAGCATGATATTTCAGACGGATGAAGCATATGAAGACAGGGACTGAAGAGTCGATATTGCTGCACTGAAGGATAAGCTATTAGCAACAATACTTGAAAAAAAATACTCACTTGGATGTGGTCTGGTGACGGTAAAACCATATTCGCTGTACGAACGATGTTAGTGAGGACATAATGTTGTACATATTTGGTTTGTGGCACTTATGAAGACTCTTACACACCCGCCGATGGTTTGGAGTCTGGACGAGCGGTTTTAAGTTTTAGATGTAAGAAACAATGATGGATTGGCAGCAACCAGGATATCGATATACATCAAAATGATTCACCTATAGGGCCTCGTTCAACGCATTCTATTTTCGTTCTAGATGGGCTGATTTGTATGTAAGCCGGGATCACCCACGCTCATTTGAGTTAGTATCACAACCTCATCTACAGTAGGCAGCGGGACTTCGTTGCACTGCACCCGTGAAATTGACGCGGCACTGTCATAAATCTTAGGGTATAGATCATGCATCATGTTCAAACATCATCTTATGTCGCTCGACATGAATTCCAAACACTTTGTCGTTAATGATCAAACATCTGAATGTCCATCTGCGTACAGGTCCTGGAGTACTTGTTGCATTCACTTCTCACCATATTTACAGTACTTGTCCACCGCGTTCGTACTACTCGGTAATGTAGTATGTGTCTTGCGTTTGTCCTGTATCGCTTCTAATCATTGATTTAATGTTGGTTTTCAGACGCAGGGTTGAAGCATTGTCTCAAGCCTCGACCCCACTTTGTCAAGTCCGATGCAGCTTCTGTATTCAAGCCCCAACCATGTCATGTCAGGTCTCATTCAGGCTGGGTCAAACACCACTCGCACCACGACAAGTTCTCCCCGACATCCTCGTAACTTCTGTACTAATGTCAACCTCCACACTTTCCTATGCCGCGTCAAACCCCACCCCGGCGCACGCACGCACGCACTTTTCAACTGTTAGTGTAACTCATGTACATTGTCAACCTGTCATAATAATTGATTTTATAACAGTGTCTCCTTTCATTCCCCTACTGCGACCGCCCAGGTGCGCTGTTCAACTGATGCTCTTTGCGAACTCCGATTCGACAAGTAGAACAGGTAATATAATAGCTTATCTTCTGGCCTCTGTGTAGACCACTTGGCCGTCACATGCTTGGATGACGTTGCTACTCTGAATCAAGCCTCGCCTTTGTCTCGACCCCGGTACATTGCCACCGCCATTGAGCTTCGTGCAGGCCGCGGGGCTCGACAGGCATCTTCAAACTTCGCACTCGCTGTCACAAGTCCAGTCGTGTGAACCAAGCGATGGGTCATTGACTGGTACACACTGTTAATTACTTATTGATATGTAACTATATAGCCCCTCTGTTAAAGTGGCGAAGCAGGTCGGGGTTGGTGGAATGATCTCTGGCCAAGTCTTCGGAGATCATGACAAGGTCGAAGGCAAAGTTACCCTACATCCCAACTGCTCACAAAACGGTCCGCTGAACATATCTGTAAGTCTGATGAGTGATGCACATGAACTCAATAACTATCGCTGTTGTAGATCGAAGGCGTGTTCGAGTATGTCTCTGTAAAGGAGGGCCTAGATGATGAATCTGCCCAAGGACCTAAAACTTCGAGATACAAGCACATATTCTTGTCGTCCTCTGCTGTTATTCCTGTTTCACTTCTCCTTGACCCGCTTTCTGTTGTTTGCGACATGTTTAGGGTACCACAACTTCCCAGTGACTTGAGTTTGAATGCCCTGCATCTAGATCGTGCGAATTCAGCTTCGAAACTCCCTGCGGCAGTCAACCAGGTGAGGAAATGCCTCTCACCTTCCATGTTATGCCTTGCGATAGCAGATGGGGAGGCCTATCTGTTGTTCAGAACGCTGAAGTGTCTTATCGCGTTACTACAATGTGGGAGCCCTCAGACATGTCGGAGACCAACGGGATGTGCGTTATCAAATGCCAGGCACCACTAGGGCCCTTCAGATGCTTACTGCTCAAGTTACAGGCCGGAAGTTACCATTCTTTTTCATCCGGACACAGACTTCCAGTCTATTGACGGTTCCAATATCGCGCCGGCATTATCCCCCGAAATGCCTCTTACACCAGAGCGATCTGTTTCGTTCCATTGCGTTGTGGGTTGAAGACGTGGCATGCATGCATATCATCTCACGAACAGAATTTATAGATCATTCCCCCGCGCCTGCAAACGGTTTCTCGACATACCTCCCATATTTTGTTACATTCACAACAAAACCTCCATGTGCTGTACTTGCCCAAGAAATTGCCGCCGATGCCACCATTGCTGTTTCCTGGTCCGTAAAGTTACCAGCCCCAGCTACCCCCTACTTCCCCTGACACCATGCAATTGTCATTGACTCGTTGACATATATATTTCGTCATGGAATATACAGCTCCTTATGCGGGTGTCGGACGAACTAGGATGGTACCATGGGTACGCGTATATACAGATGATGGTGTGGCTCCCGGAGATCCGGGCAAGACCTCCCTTGATCTGATTGATGTATCGTCAAAACGCACACCACAAAGTAAAGCAGGGTGCCACGTAGTATGTTGTACTTGTCAGCTATATCTCCCTCAAGATTATTTGTTCTTGTCAGTAAACAAGTGACCAAAATTTCTTCTGAGGTCGCATCCAGCAATGCTCAACAACCTCACACGTCGATCCTCAGAAATTCTGCGGGTATTTTGGCATGGTGCTTTGGTCATCAGCATTTTATTGAACATTCTCACCATGTTGCGCTTGCAACCCCCGTCGGTTGATGATGGGCAGTATAGTATGTCGTTGTCGTTTTCACTGGCAATAGTAGTTCAATTTCACCCATATTCAATGTAGCTTATATTGGCGAGGATCATCCAACAGAATTACCCCTCCGCTTGGACACTGTTGCATTAACATTCAACAGTTCGGAACATTATGGTACATCAGACATCATGGCCTGGTCAGACTGGAAATCGCTCGATCATTTTCCACGAGGCCAGGGTTTTGTACGGCTGGGACCAAATGGTATCATCGTCATCACTAGATCGTGTGTCAGACATTCACCATTCACAAATTGTGCCAGGACGGCTATTTGGGGTATCCATGTTTCACCAAATTCACTGCCTGCAAATGATCCGGCTAGCCCTCATCAATGGGCCCAACGGTCACAGTGGTCATTGCCTCAATATATTGCGACAAGCAATTCTTTGCAATTCTGATATCACTCTCGATCCACTTTTTACCGACCCTGATGGATCGATGACAGCCACAGATGGTTTGGGAGTGACGCATTTTTGTCGGGACTGGTCGCAGGTTTATGCCTATGTCATAGAAAATCAGAAAGGTCCCATGTGGGAAGAGTAGAAGATGATATTGTGGTAGGGGACCCCAGGGGTAGGAATGAAGTAGTAGCCACACAGTACCGTAGATTAGTCAGGGTCTTTCGAGCTTTATCGTAGCGTAGTGTTTTTCGGAACTTCATGCCTCGCTCGTGACATGCAGGTACACAGTCGCGGAAACACTGCTGCAACATGATTATAGCATAAATGCAATTCATAGTAGGTGGTTGGAGGGAGGGACCAGGGATGTGTAAATGTTGTACATAGAACATCCAAATCCAGCATGATATTTCGAAGGACGACGCTTACCATGACACGATGAAGATCTGTCGTGTATCTAAGAACCGCTCATTGAATATATTGCTTGTCGGTGGCAAAGTGCCCATTAACCTGTTTCACTCGAATGATTTGGTAGGGCGCACTGAAGCCTACGCAAGCGAGATTCCGGTTTGGATGGTATTCAGACTTCATAATGTCAGAAACAAGAAACGCGATGCGGCCATAGTCCAGAGACACTCACCGTGTAGTGTTGTGCAAAGAAGCCCAACTAGGCCGGGCCGGGCCGAGCCCTTAATTCATCATTGGCAAGATCAGCAGAACTATCACTTTTGTTCAAACTTTAAGCTTAAATTGAATACACAAATGCACAACGGTACTGAAACGGGAATTGACAAGGACATGTGGCTGTTCAGGATGCACGCAACTCACTACGGTAAGTGGGAGTTCCTCGCTTCATTCACCTGGATTTGGAGTGCTAAGCAGTCTGGCAATTGCTAACAGTAAAATCATATTTCCTGTACGAACTATTAAATGTGGAGCCTGGTGACGAGATCATATGCGAAGTCCGGACTCACTAGACGGTAAAGTAAAAGCCATTGACCAGATGACACAATGGTGCAGAAACACTCACTTGAAACAGGAATTGACGCATTGACATCCGACGCGTCACTGTTACGTTCAGGATGCATGCAACTCACGGTATGTCGGAGTTCCTTATTGCATCACAATGTATTGCAAACTTGAAGCTTAAGCCTCAGACAAACGGAAAAATGTATTGCCCGAGCAAATCGAAATAATACACGAAACATCCGAGTCAGTGAGTCTGATAATCGAGCTTGTAGTAACGATATAAAGGCAGCATTCCTTGAATCGAAGTACCCCAGTAAAGTTCCAACAACCACTTCACCGTGACATCTAGCAATCATGAAAGGTTTTTGACACATGTGATCCGATCAACTTTAAAAGCCTCTGATTTTCAACCCGAACTACCTAGCCCAAATCATTGGTCGTGAACGCCATACCAACTCTTCTATCTGCCAAACTCGGTCATCCCAGCCCACCGCTTCTGTTGACTCACCTCTATAGCGAAATGACGACATATCCACTATCAAATCAACACACCAGCCCAGGCGCCGGTTTACCAGGCTTTGGCTCGTTGCAGCAGATTCGAGAGATCCAGTTTATCCTCTGATCTACTGCAGAGTCTCGCTATGAACCTGATGCTGCACCAGGGCTTGGGTGTTCCTAGTTTTTCTTGTATAGAAGGAAGGGAAGTTGTGAACCACCCCACGACCGCGAATAAGAGGGATTAGAACATCCCGGACTTCATCAAGCTGGTCTGGTCTGAGCACAATGCCGCCTCTTAGAAGCGCTGCTGATGACTATTTTCCATCATACGCCGGCGGCTCCGAAGTGAGCGTGGTTTAAAGGACATAGAGGAGGGCAAAGACCAGGAAAAATGGCCTAGGGCTGATTACAACAGGAAGACTAGTGCTGCTGAGCTGGGCACTAATGCACCGGTAGCTGATAAGTACTGCCAGTTGGAAGTGCACCGTAGTAAAAATATGTGCTTAGGTTTTAATCAACACTGCGCGTCCAGTCTTCCGGCAGATCCTTGACTGCAGTCTCTGAACGTCTGATCCAACCTCGTAAAATACAAGTATACGCATCTTTTGTTCTCAATACGCGACGGACTAATCAAATTGACTATACAATTGGAGAGTTCAAGAAGAGTTACACTATTTTGCGTCCCTCGGGAGTAAATAGATTACGGAAAAGACACAGGAATTTAGTTCCACATGTCCTCTTCAGTGAGTAAGTGAAGAGCAATCGTATGGGCGAACAGATTGATAAAGGCATTTCAAGCTAGTCTAAAAGTCCAGGAGTCACAGTGATGCACTCGGCAACGATGATGACAACAAAGTTCGACCGTGGCTGCTGGTAGTCCAGTTGAAGAAGTCTAAATGCTTCTACAGATATAATGTCCATGTGACTGCGCAATTAAATGGAACCTATCGCCGACAATATCTATGTGCGAGTGACCACTTCCAGGATGGCATGCACGACTGAAGAAGGGTCAATCTGAATTTCTTGAGCAAGGTCGCTCCCTGGAGCGACAGATGGAAGACTGTCGGTTTCGAACCGCCTATAAATGGATGAAATGAGGCATCAGAGAAGAAAAATACAAAGACAGAGCGTACCGATCATTCCACCAGGCGATGTAGCGAATGCCTAAGGAACGAACCGCCGTTTCTGCGTCGCGAGTAAAGACGTCAGAGGGAAAAAATTCCATCAGAGCTGAGTGTCCTGATGGCCTCATGAATACGCTGTCGGCGAGGCTATCTCCGTAAACACCCAGAACGACCTTCACGCATGTGAGTCGTAGCGCTATACCCTTACAAGTGATGCAGACTTACATTAGACTGGGCGACGGCTGACAACCTTTCCGCCCAGGGACTCTCTGAAGAAACTATGTTGACCTCGAAGTCGTTGCTTTCATGCAACGTTTCAAGAGCGTTGACCAACGCATCATGGTTGGCTCTCTTCAGCCTTGAACCGCTTGTGGCATCTTGTTGGGATATATAAGTGACTACCGTTTTTTCTTGTCCGCTGTTGAGGTTTTGTGCGCGGTGGTTTACATGCAAGAACTTGGCAAGATTCTGCCTAATTGGCTCCCACCATTCCTTTGACGCATTCAGGCCAACAAGCGGGAGAGCGAATGGAGGCACATCGTTTGCAGAACGTGCAGCTGCACCAAAATCGGCGACGACCAGCCTCTCGAAAACGAAAGGGACTTTCATGAGCGCATAATCTTCCCAATCTTCTTTATACATCAACCCGAGCAATGGAAAAGCGGCCTTGGGAAGGTATGGATGAAAACCACTGTCCGAACGTTGACGTCTAATTATGGGTCCATTGAGGTCGGGTTGTGTTCCTTTGTAAGTAGGAATGTTCGGGAAAAAAAGTCGTCGTGGGGGACGGAAAGGATCTGGAGACGTCGACGTGTTCAGAGAGCTGTGGATCCCCCAGAGCGAGAAAAGCGTGTAATTGCCTAGATATGTTATGTAAGGAAGCGACTCATGAAGATGCAGGCGTCGACAAACTCGGAATTGCGTCATACGCTAGCCAACTCGTGCCTTGAATCCTAGACGATGTTAAGAGCGGTCAGAATAGCACACATGTGATACTCACAATCCACCATATGAACCAAGTATGTCTCTAGCTTGCTCGATCGACAGCATGGCCCATTCTCTTGGAAGCGGAGCTTCGTGCGAGTTGTCAGCAGACGATGCAATGGAACCCAACGAAGGGAAGCTTGAAGGAGAATCCGTCACAATGAAAATTGTGCCATTGCACATTATTACATTGTCCATGATCGAGAATCCTGATAAACAACATTATCAGTAATACGTCCATAAGCAATTGCAGCGCACCTACCAGCGACGTGTTTCACTATTTGAGTTTCAGGCATATCTTCTCCCCAGTGCATGAAACCATCGTTAACACCAATGTTTCCGAAGATGAGTTGTTTCTGCGCCTCAGGTATACGATCGGTCTTTAGCCATATATCTCCTTCCGAGGCATCTTCCTTCTCTTGCTGCTTATGAACGCTGGATATGCGTCTCTCGTCAGACACCCAGTCCCCATATATGTCCGTGTCGAGACCACCATCAGCTGAGGATATGCCAAACAGGTTAGGATTTGCAAAGAATTCGGAAGTCGCATCGAAGTTGTAGAAGACCAAAAAAATCATGACGGAGAACAGAACGAGTGTAATCTCTCGCCGACTGAGAGAGTAAAACCGAGCCATTGTTTCAGCTCAGACCTGTGTAGAAATTAGAGCCGTCCTGTCGAAGGAGTGGAGACTCAAATAGTGCCTGCAACATGGACTACCTTGTAAATTCAACAAGTACAAACAAACATATCGTCTGACGTCAATGGTCCTCGGCACCAGGGATTACATCTGAAAAACGACCGGATATATGATACTACAAGAAGATCGAATCCAATAAAAAAAGTTTGTAAAAGGAACATAAAGGTGATCCACAGAAATTTAGGCCTCCTGGCTTGCACCCTCCTTCTTGCCTTTGCTGTAAAGAATGTTAAATCTGAATGAACAGGCATACAACACGCAGCGTACCTTGATTTGCTAGGCAGTAATTCAGGGTTGATGAAGGGGACCACTCCTCCTTGCGAGATAACTACGTCACCCAGGAGCTTGTTCAATCTATGCGATATCAGAGTCACGGGATTTTTGAGCCGGGAAAACGACTCACTCTTCATCGTTTCGGATGGCCAACTGAAGATGACGGGGCACAATACGTTGTTTCTGTGGCAATTATCAGCCCGTGCCCTTCAAGAGACAGAAGGGTCACCGACCTTGTTATCACGGGCGGCATTGCCTGCAAGCTCGAGAATCTCAGCAGCAAGGTACTCAAGAACCGCCGCAAGATAGACTGTAAACGTGCGGTGTTGGATCAGGTAGGCTTATTTGAGAGTTACTCGACTTACCTGGAGCGCCTGCGCCGACACGTTGGGCATAGTTGCCTTTCTTCAAAAGACGATGGACACGGCCAACAGGAAACTGAAGGCCAGCTTTTGCAGAACGCGACTGTGACTTGCCTTCGCCGCCAGCCTTTCCGCCAGAAGATTTGCCAGCTTTTCCTGTACCGTATACCGCCGTGTTAAACTTGAGTCGACCAGAATTCCCAAATCCACTGACCCTTGCCAGACTAGAAAGGGACGCGGATTAAATTGCGCTCCAATCCATACAAAATAAGGACATACCATTGATAGCGCTAGTTGAGTTGGGCGACTATTAGATTGGTGGTGGTTTGTGATAAAGGGATGATGATCAACAAACGGACACGGAGCGCGACTTGCCGTTTATATACCTTCACGTGATATGGGACCTTCATATTCCCGATTAGGAATCTTTACTTTTGACCAAATGCTTGTCCGTGCACTTGTCCATTCACGGTGGCAAGAAACAGCTATCCTGCGCAGGTTTATTCAGCGTCCTGGATGTACAAGGAATTTGACTTCTGGAGCTCATGGATCTGCGGAAAAGAGACCGTCAGTGAAGGCAACTCCCGATGAGTTGACAACGTTACCGTTTCTGCAGCGCCCGCTCGGTGTGAAGGAGAGACCTTCGCCTGTCCTGAAAACATGGGCGGACACCAGGGAGGAGCTGATGAATCAGGAGACGCGCTTGGCGCAAAGAGAGCACCTGTAAGTTAGCTACAATTGACTGGGTTTGAAGTTATTTTGACTGCTTGCAAGGGTGAAAGAAGCCACGAAGGGCTATTTTACTGACCTCAATGCAACAAGGAGGCACGGTGGCAAAACATGGATAGCACCCAGTGTGATGATCCGCGAGGACGTATGTTCTATAATTCTTCACGATGGCAAGGAGACTGACGATGTACCCAGAAAGCACTTTATTTCCCAAACATCGTCGGGTCGAGCCTGGATACGAAATCTAAGAAACATACCGCCAGCATGTGTGAAGGTCGTATCTCCGTTATATCTATGTTGTCCACAAGGATGTCAGAGGTACGTTCATGTCTCCTTAACATTTCCTCGGCGCTGAGCATACTCAGATACACGTGAATGGTTTCACGATACCGACAAATGAAAGGTATCTCTCGAACCCGCTGTACCAATATGTGCAGATAAACTTGCAAGAAAACCTTCTGAAGTCCTTTCTCGTGTCGCTATTTCTATCATCAATAGCCAAGTCGGTCCCCCCAGAGCTACACTCGACATACTTAGTGTCGAGTCAAAACATGGAGTTCGTACGCGAGCACCTTGGTATGGTAAACAAACACGTCGGGTACGTCTACCTTGTGGATGACAACCTCAAGGTTAGGTGGGCTGGCTGCGCAGACGCCAAGGTAGAGGAGACAAATGCACTTGAGCAATGTACAGGAGTACTGTTAGGCAGACTAGACAAAAAAATATCTGCTAAGGCTTCACCATAGTACTACGCAAGCAAATCGTGTCAAGTACCTATTCGTTATTTAAATTACAGCATGCTGTCTTAACTAATTTTGACTGTCTACAAGCCCGAAAGTTGTTTGTCCGTGTTGGCTACGTGTCGTGTTGTAACAAAATCCTTTCCACACTGCCAGTGTGACCCGCAATTCTCAAGTCGACCAAATTTTACGTTCATGGCTTCTCCTTCTCAGCAGCTTCCCCCTGGTTGGACAGCGGAATGGTATCAGACTCTTCAGCTCTGATTTTCTGCACTTTTATTGACGAAAAACTTGCAGGGATCCTGCTAGTCAGAGATATCTTTTCATCCGTGCGTGACCTGCGTGAGCATGGGCGTTGACCAATATATTTCCTTGCAGAAGCATCGACTGGACGCAGCCAATGGGAAGTACCGACACCCGCACCAGTTCAATTGATGGAAACCGCACCGTCGGTGTCACCTCCCCCATACGCGACTCATCATGGTAAGCGTCGCCAATACGCAGCCGGGCAGACGCAAGTGTACTACAGCGCGGGCGATGCCCTTGGAGACCAGTATGGCGCACTTAGTGCACCACAGCAGCAGCAACCTGCGGCCACTGCTCAGCTCTTCACTCCAGGACTCGCGGCAGAGGGGGGTTTCGCAGGTCAGCAGCAAGTCCCGCAGGCATCATACTATGCGCCCCAACAGGAGCCCCAGTACATCAATGCTCCTGGATTCGGCCAGGAACCAACGTATCACCCACCTAATGCGCCAATCCACCATCTCACAGACCAGTTCGGGCAGATGGGGATGGGGCAAAAGCCGCTACATCTCACAACCACCAACCTGCTTACGTCGCCGCCAGACCCTCGTGAGCTAGTTCGCCCTCCTCCCGAGATTAGATTGCCTGCGAACGCGTGCATCACGACGTCACCGTATGCGAATGCGGATCCATCATACCAGCGGTGCACCATCAATGCCATTCCGACCACATCTTCGATGTTGAACAAGTCCAAGATCCCGTTGGGTCTGGTGATCACTCCCTACCGAACGCTGAAGGAGGGTGAGCCGCCGGTTCCCGTTGTGACCGACACGGTGATTGCGCGATGCAGACGGTGCAGGACATATATAAATCCTTATGTTCAATTTATCGACAATGGCAATCGGTGAGTTTGATATGCATTGAAGACTTATGTGGTGTGCTGACCTATTTATGATCATAGTTGGCGGTGTTGTATGTGCAGCATGTCGAACGAGGTTCCTCAGCTCTTTGATTGGGACCAGATACGAAATCAGCCTGGGGACCGATGGGCTAGAGACGAACTGAATCACTCTGTCGTCGAATTTGTTGCGCCCACTGAGTACATGGTCCGCCCACCACAGCCGGCTGTGTATGTGATTCTTATCGACGTGAGCCATACCGCCGTGCAGTCGGGTAAGTCATCACGGTCGGTGAGGTACCAGCTTCGTGACATCTTCCTATAGGTATGGTGGCAACGGCGACACGTACTATCCTTGAGAACCTTGATCGCATACCCAACGAGGACGAACGTACCAAAGTCGCCATTATCGCCTACGATATTTCTCTTTATTTCTTCTCTATGCCTGTTGGTACTTTCTGATCTTCTGAGGTCTCGTGCTAATGGGTTGTTGTAGCCTGGGACGACGGAATCCACTATGCTAGTTGTTTCGGACGTTGACGACGTCTTTTTGCCAAAACCTACTGACCTTCTCATAAACTTGACGGAAGCGCGTCAGTCGTTGGAGTCGCTCCTCGGCAGGATCAATGACATGTTCCAGGATAATCACACTGTTGGAAGTGCTATGGGCCCCGCATTGCAAGCTGGCTTTAAGCTGATGGTCAGTTGCTGAACGGAAAGGCATCGCAGTTTTTGAATTTTTTCTAGGCTCCTATTGGTGGCAAGATCATGGTACTCTCGTCCTCTTTGCCAAATGTTGGCGCTGGTTCCCTCAAAAACCGTGAGGATCTCAAAATTTTGGGCACGTCCAAGGTAAGCCTCTGCTCATGTTACCGATTACATTATAGCTGATGAAATCACTTACAGGAATCAGGCTTGTTGCAAGCTGCTTCACCTTTCTACAAGACATTCGCCATCGAGTGCTCGCGTGCACAGGTGTCGGTGGACATGTTCCTGTTTAGCGCTGCATACCAGGACGTTGCCAGTCTCGGTTTGTTGCCTCCTATCATTCTTCTCACTCGATTCACCTGATGTATTTCAATAGCTTGCCTCCCACACTATACTTCTGGTCAAACCTACTTCTACCCTGCATTCAATGCTGCTCGGTCCGAGGATGCCATTAAATTCGCGCACGAACTTGGCGAGGTTCTCGCGATGCCCATCATGTTAGAAGCCGTTATGCGCGTCCGTGCTTCGAAAGGTAAGGGACCTTTTTACGTCGCCATCAATACTCATCAATGTAATCAAGGTTTGCGTATGGCTTCTTTCCACGGAAACTTCTTCGTCCGCTCCACTGACCTCCTGGCCATGCCCGCCGTACCCACCGATCAGTCTTACGCCATTGAGATCCAGATTGAGGACACCCTTACGCAACCATTTGTAGTTTTGCAAACTGCAGTTTTACACACGACTTGTCATGGGGAGCGGCGAATTCGTGTTATCACACTTGCGTTGCCCACAACTAGCAGCCTTACGGAGGTATTCGCATCTGCTGATCAAGTGGCAATCGCGACCCTGCTAGCGAATAAAGCCGTAGAGCGTTCGCTTACCCACAAGCTGGAGGATGCTCGTGATGCAGTGCATCAGCGGCTGGTAGAGATCTTGTCCAGTTACAAGAGTAGTATGACATCCGCAGGTGCAGGTGCGAATGCGCAACTAGCAATCTCGGAGAACCTGAGAATGCTGCCTGTGTTGATTCTTGGGCTGCTGAAAAATGTGAGTTGGTAACATTGTTTGGTCACGAGTAACCTGACTCGCTCTGCTACATAGGTCGGTATTCGTCAAAGCGCGCAAATTCCTCCCGATCTCAGGGCCTATGCCCAGGCTCTGCTGACCACCTTACCCTCTCAAACCCTCATCCCGTACATTCATCCCACGTTCTTTTCGCTGCACAACATGCAACCCGAAGTAGGCTGAGTTTGTATATTCGAATTCAATGTTTCACTGACACTGTCCCCAGGCTGGAACGGTGGGTGAGCAAGGTGTAATTTTGCCGACCCCTCTGCCTCTCACTTCGGAACGACTGGAGAGACATGGTTTGTACCTGATTGAGGATGGTCAGACAATATTCTTGTGGATAGGCCGTGATGCTGTACCACAACTCGTAATGGACGTCTTCAACCTTCCGAATTACGAAGTGCTACGTGGCGGCAAGGTGGGCATCTTATTGTTTTGCGGGTTCCTTTCTCCATGTTGCTGATAAACCCCTTACGATTAGACGACACTTCCTGTTCTTGATAATGACTTCTCACAGCGGGTCAACGCCATCATTCAGAAAACCCGGGAGATACGCAGAGGCGTTTACTATCCCCATCTCTATGTCGTCAAGGAGGACGGCGAGCCCCCTTTGCGGCTCTGGGCCCTCAGCTGCCTGATTCAAGATCGTGCCGATGTTTTACCGAGCTATCAACAGTTCATTGGACAACTCAAGGACAAGGTTAACGGAGCCAATAATTACTGAGCCTGTATCTCCTGCGCGCAAGCTATCAGACCAATTCGGGCGGTCTGGTCTGAGATATTACGCGCTTTCTCTTACTTTACTATACGGCGTTGTAGAAATGACATGTGCAGACTGAGATAAAGATATTTTTGCTTCCCTTTGGTAGGTATCACGTAAAAATTAAACGTCAAGTTTGGTCAAAGTTTGGTTCTTCTCAAGATCTGCGCCGCGAAGCTTTTCCGATGCAATACCGTACTGAAGAGTAATCCCTCTGATTTAGAATGGAAAGGAGTCAAACTCAGCTGGCAGTTATCGTTGTGACCAGACATGGTGTTCCTTGCACTATTCCACATAGACCAGCTGAACGATTCGCATCTCAGCGGCCTACTGTATCATGATCACGGTCACGTTTCTAGTTTTCTGGCCCGTGTCGTGAACGATTAACAGGCCAAAACCGTCAAGTTCAGGTCAATTATGGAGCCAGGCCATCAGTGAAGTAATCGGACTTGAGCTTCGGATGCGAAGCGCTCGGATGCACGCTGAAATTACATGCTCGTTATTTTTGAGTATGTAAAGGGGCGGACCATTTGTCCGATACTCCAACTGACTTGGTCTCATAAGAAGTTGGCTTATATATGGGTGTACGCACTGTGAGTCTTATCCGTTCCCTCCCATTTTCTCTTCGCGAAATGTCTCTTTCACCAGCCACAACTGACTCCATTTTTACCCCAGACGAGGCATGTCTCACCCCTGGGGCCGCATCGACATGTCGAGCATCTCCTAGACCGCTCTGCAAGCTTGATCTTGCGGAGAGATTTGTAGATGCGATTGAGCTTTCGCCCGTAACTCCAGTAGACAAGCAGAACGATGACTTCGAAAGGCCATTAGTACTTTCAGCCAAACACAAAACACAAAAGACGCGGGAGAAAATTCAGTTTGCCACACTGTGTTGGTTCGTCTATCTGGAGGGTTGGAATGATGGATCGAACGGCCCTCTGCTGCCGAGGATTCAGAAAGTTTATGGGGTGCATTTTTTAATATTTTGTACCGCGGCTGCTTATTGACGTGATCTTCTAGGTTGGATATGCTACTGTATCTCTTATTTTCGTTTTCGCCTGTGTGGTCAGTTTGTGTACTAGACTCTGGACTGATAATAATTCTTATCGTCTGTGGGCTAAACAGGGATTTATCACGGGCGCCGTGTCTAATGTGATTCTTGCCGAGAGGCTAGGATTCGGAAAAGTACGCCCATACAGACTGGATATTTTATGTGATGATCCTGACTTCTTGTAAGGTGATGGTGCTAGGTACTGCCACTGATATCGAGGGTCGCATAATTCTCAAATTCTCGCACTCCAGGTTCCCTATTTCAAGTTTTGGCATACTGTATCGAGTCCTCGGGGCCACCTTTTCCCGCATTTATATTTGCGTACTTCATCAACGGAATTGGAATAGCTCTACAGGTGAGTATATTTACTTATCATCGATCATCGTGCGTCGTTGCTAACTCGTGACACAGAATGCAAATTCAGTCGGTTATGTTGCATCCCTCAAAGAAAATGCAGAAGTGAAGATGGGATTTTTCATGGCAGGTACGCATTAGGCATTTTTATACAAGCCATTTACCTCGCTCACTCTTGAATCAAATAGTATATGGTAATTTCACCAACAGTTTTTTCGTTAAGTCAATGCTCACAACTCATAGGGGCAGGGGCACTCTCATCTCCTTTGGTTGCCACTCAATTTTCACATCTACCTCGGTGGAATCTACATTACTTGACATGCCTTGGAATTGCGATCACCAATACAATCGCCTTGATTATAGTCTTCCGGTTGAAGCCCCAGAGAGGTAAGAGCAATGTCATGTCACGTTTTTGCCTAGTCTTCAAGATCAGTTAAATTTTCTAGAGTGTCTTGCTGAGATAGGCATCATGGATGTGGATAACAGTACAAGCGAGCACAGTCATCTCAGGCAGATATTCGCGAACAAAGATGTCCATCTTCTGGCAGCATTCGCTCTACTCTATGTTGGAGCCGAGGTCACTGTTGGTGGTTTGTGACCGTCTACAATGGTTCTAACGATATATCTGATGCTCCGAAAAAGGCTGGATTGTTACCTACATCATTGATGTCAGAGGTGGAGGGCCCTCGTCTGGTTATATTTCTACTGGTTTTTTCGGTGGTATGCAATAGCGTTCATTGATAGACTTTGATTGATTCTCCTATTCCGTAGGTCTCATGACTGGTCGACTAGCCTTGCTATGGTTTAATGAAAAGGTAGATTGCTCGATTGAAGCTGGATAAACGTTTCGGCTGATTTGGGATCCAATAGATTGGAGAACGCTTGGCCTTATTTATCTACGCCGTTCTGGCTATCATGTTAGTAATGGAAGCGTGCTTGCTCTATCATCACTGATACATACCATTTCTTGTAGTTTCGAGTTAGTTGTATGGTTCGTCCCATCTTTGGTAGGAGATGCGGTCGTTGTCTGTGTGGTTGGCGTGTTGCTGGGGCCAATGTATCCAATTGCTATGAACCATACAGGACGCGTCCTTCCTCGCTGGTTACTCACTGGTATGTCTCAAACAGTCTAACAATTATTTGTAACTCACGATTCCTGGGACATAGGTGCCATTGGTTGGATTGCAGGAGTGGGGCAGGCAGGCTCTGCACTGGTTCCGTTTATGGTGGGTGCTATCGCGCAAAAATCTGGAATAAAAAGCCTGCAACCTGTGTACGTATCATAATAACGATAGAAGGCATATCACACCTCACATTCTTTTTTTTAGATTGGTTGGGATACTGGGTCTTATGACTATATTATGGGCGTTGGCGTCTCATGGTTCGCGTCGTCCCGATTGAAGGTTTGAATTTGAATTCAGGTTGTTAGAGATTTCATGATGGGGTGATCGATTTAAATGATAAAATTCTATAGGGTTGTATTCGGGCCGGTGTAAATAGAAGTATGGGTCTCATGATTTACGAAGTTAAGTTTGGAGTACATACATCCTTAGATCTGATATCTCTGACATAGTCCATCCACAACATTGTACTAGTAGTGTAATCGCATGATGACCTTAGAGCGGGCGGGCGCGAACATAACCTATGCATTGCTTGGATGACTGAGCCAGTCGTCGAAATCGATGTCAACACCTGTATTCAGACCCGTCAGCCACCATTCTCTTGCACGGAACCAATGACAAGCGTGAACGCACATACGTAACCTAGAAGTGCTCTTAAGACCACGCTTCTTTGCAATCTCGATGATGGACTTATTGATCAACAGCGGAGCGTCAGTCGAACCAAAGGGCAAGAATGCTCGTGCAACGATTTCCTCCAACTTCAAATAATCGAGAATCATGATATTTCATCAAAAATGTGCTAGGGTACGGATCAGTAGTCACCCTTCCACAACACCACTGAGGGCATGAATCAGATCATGGCGCAAAATCCAGACAATGAGAAGCTCACCAACAAGCGGCAAGGCGCGCCTTTAACAAATTCTTCATATCCTCAGCTGCATACAAACATAGAGGAATGTCTCTAACTAGACTGCGGCGTGATCAGAAAGTAAAAACATCATGATCAGCAAAACAACACTTTCGTTCGCGCACTGCAAAGAGTACTGTTTCTTTCTTGGAATCGTGCTGTAGCACTAAAATTGAAAAATGATACTGCAGATGATTCCATATCATCCACATCTACGACAGTATGTTCTGCTGCTTGAACAGTTACGGCGGACCCTTTGTTCCAATTGCAGCATCAGCGCGAGGAGGAAAACAATCTCGCTGAAGATTCTTCGTGGTATCTGGATGACGGTCATAGACATCACACTATCGGAAAAAGTCTTACATGACAACTTCATTACCAGTGAGGTTTTTCCGAAGTTTTTCCGAAGTAATTGCGGCACTCGTGAATAAGGTTATGCTGGGGTTGAATTTTTACACGTGCTGGATCAAGATCTACGCTTCAAGTCACGCAAACTTCGGATGTGACTGGCTACTATGAACCTCACAGTCCCCCTCCGCGTTCGAAGCAGCGGTGAGAAGGAGTCTAACCTTGGTCTAACCTTATGATTGTTTGCGACAACGTGCCATTATGCATACAGGCATTCCACTAATAATATTACCAGTAAGTTTTGCACTAATTTACGTACCGGCTTATAGAATCGTTATCAACTGAATCAGCGGTGACGTTCATGTTCACCGTGCACATGATCAAGATGAGCCTTTACGGGCCCCGCAGCTTGGGCACTTTTACTCGTAGCTCTCAGGTAATGTGATATCCTTTTGAGGAACATTGAAACGTCCTTTATCAGTACCTCCTCTGTCGCTTACTCGAACGCACCCAACTTTCAAATTTCGTTTCCGAGTCATAACCTTGGATCTAAGAACATCTCTAGGCCGTCGCAGTTCACGTATACCGTTATGCAGACGACGACAATCAGTGAAGTCCATACGGTTTCGCACCATCCGACAGTTGGCCCTCATCACAACCTTAAAGAGAGTGGCAAGCACGACGAACGAATTGAAATGCAAGTGGGGTCCTCTACAAGTGATTCAGGAGCAGCGTCTATCTCTGACCTGAAAGCCCAAACGAAACGTCAGCGGCTGCGCGCACGAGTGCAATTTGCGACAGTTTGTGGGTCGATGTACTTAGCTGGATGGAATGACGGGACGACTGGTCCATTGCTTCCCCGGATACAGAAAGTGTATGGCGTAGGTGATTTCAAATACCTACGGTTCTCTTTGAAGTTGACCGTTCTATCGTCCTGACAGTTGAATTTCGCTGTCGTATCTCTTATATTCGTGTTCGCATGTGTTGTAAGATTTCACTGCATGTGTAAGATTCATCGACGAGCCTGAGTTACTCGATAGGGCTTCCTGTCTGGAGCATTCGCAAATCTATATCTAAACGGCAGGTTCGGTTTCGGGAAGGTAAGTTCATCTTCGATGATTTCTTACGGTCTCTGAGGCACGCTCCGTGGTCTAGGTGATTGTGTTAGGTGAGAGCGGGTCATTGCAACCAGAGGTCATAGTCGCCTTATCATTGTTCAGGATCGGCGTGTCAAGTGATAGCATACGCCATAGAAGCGGGTGCCTTGCCATTTCCTGCATTCGTGCTAGGTTACGCCATCAATGGCTTTGGAATGGCTCTACAGGTAAGTTGTGCAAGTGAAACGGATTCTACGGCCTAGATGGACCCTGAAATTAGGACGCACAATCGAACGGTTTTGTGGCCAGTCTCAAGGATAACCCCGAGGTGAAAATGGGAATCCTCCACGCGGTAAGTGTTGTCTTGTCCGTGAACTCTCGATTTATCTTACTATTGAAAGGTATACGGTACGTTATACCTCTTCCATAGCGGTCCAATGTGACGGATGTTCCTATCTTCATTTTTTAGGTGCTGGGGCTTTGTCGTCCCCTCTGGTAGCAACGCAATTTGCTCAGCTTCCGCATTGGTCATTCCACTACCTATGCAGCCTTGGTATTGCGATCATAAACACTGTATTATTGGTTGCAGTCTTTAGGCTGAAAACACAGGATGGTATGACAAGAACTTATATTATTGAGAAGATGACTAAGCCTCTCACAGAGTGCCTTGCTCAGAGTGGACAGCCGGTAGGCGAAAAGGGAACGAGCGAAAAGAGCCAGTTCAACCAGATATTGCGGCTCAGAGAAGTGCACCTCCTTGCCTTCTTCATTCTGATATATGTAGGAGTGGAGGTCACTGTGGGTGGTAAGTATACAACTCAAGTGGAGACGATGTTCACCCAGAATATTACTCCAGGTTGGATGGTGACGTATATAATCGACGTGCGCGGAGGAGGTTCAAGTTCGGGATACATTTCATCAGGGTTTTTTGGAGGTAAGCTTTTCCGGGTATGCTAGGGGTTCTGCTGTTTATCTGTAAATAGGTCTCATGATTGGCCGTGTCGGTCTCTTGTGGGTGAACAAAAAGGCAAGTTTCTATCCCGTTCGTAGCATGCAATATAAATCCCAAAGGCCACAGGTTGGGGAACGTCGTGTTTTGTTCATTTACTCCATCCTCGCAATTGGGCTGGAACTAGTAGTGTGGCTAGTACCTTCGCTCATTGGTGGAGGCGTTGCGATCTCCATAATTGGTATAATTTTGGGGCCGATGTACCCCATCGCTATGAATCACACAGTACGAATCCTCCCTGGGTGGCTCGTCACAGGTAATTTCGTGTTTAGTAGCACGAGTATGGTCAACTAAAACCTGAATGTAGGGTCGATTGGCTGGATAGCAGGATTCGGGCAGGCAGGTTCTGCGCTCTTGCCATTCTTAACCGGTGCCATCGCATCAAAGACGGGAATAAAGAGTTTACAGCCATTGTGGGTGCTCCTTATAGTTCTGCCTGTGCTTGATTAACTGATCATTGATGGCACAAAAGTCTCGTTTCGATGATGGCGTTCATGACCGTCTTATGGGCTTTTGTGCCGAGAACAGCTAGGAAAGCTGAATGATAAATGCTCCGTTCAACAACTGTGTCTTATAGAAGGTCTGACATGTGGCATAGACAGGATATGACAAAATCGATCTTTCCGAGGTGTCTGCAGGCGATGAGCTAGTAGCAGACAAACTTCATAGAACTGCCACACGGACTACAATATGGACTTTGCGCCGCAGGAGGGTGATACATATTGTACTATCTTATTTGTGTACCATACGCTACCTACAACGTCGATTGGTTCCAGCACTCGTGCTACTCATCCTCAAAAAGATGGTAATACACTCCTATCATTTCTGGTGTCGCATGTCATACACTAGGGGTCGGCACTGCCAACGGGGACCTTGCTCCGCTTATTAGCTATCTTACTAAGTTTTTTCGGTCCAAGGAGATGGATGCTGATGAGACATAAGAGGCACGAGTTCATCAACCTGTTGAGGGGTCCATGTAAACTTGACAACGAGCCTGAGAAATAGAGAGAACAGCCATGTACCTCTTGTACTCGTCGTCAGTGCCCTCCATGACACCTTTCGAAGACTACAAGATCACAAAGTCTGGGGCGTCAATTGAGGTGGTGGCAATGCTGCCAGCTTCATTTCCCCCAGGGGGCTTATCGCGTCGGCGTGCATAGCACTAACAATTTCCAGGAACTCACGATCACTTCACGTGATCACGCCATTGGAACATGACCTTGCTTCGCAAGGTAACACAGAGCTTGTTATTAAGCTGATGTAGATGGCTAGGCCTTACTAACCATTATTTGCAAATTCCCCGTTATCAATGACGCTTAGATCAGGGAGAAGCTTCAATTTATTATATAGGTAGCAAGGTTGGAAGGCCTCTACCCACCACATCTCTTCCGCATGTCTCCACAACAGAAAGCTCTTGTTCTTACTCAAAAGCAGGGCAACTTTGAGCTTAGCTCCCGTAGTATCCCCAGCCCTGGGGCTGGGCAGCTTCTGGTCAAGATTCAATCTGCTGCTCTGAACCCGGTTGACTGGAAGATCAAGGACACAGGGATTCTGGGCCTGGTGACCCATTATCCTGCCGTCCTTGGCTCAGATATTGCTGGCATTGTCGAGGAAGTAGGGGAAGGTGTCGAGAATTTCCGCAAAGGCGATAGGGTGTCAGACAATTCGGTTTGCCCCTGTCTGTATAGGCTCAATCTTGGTTTACAGGTTGGCACATGGGAAATACACTAATGATCTTGCTGCGTTTCAGCAGTATACCTTGACCGTTGCGAGCTTTACAGCAAAGGTAAGTTATGAGAATGTTCATTGATTATATCGTCAGCTACATCCCATTCCAGATTCCTTCAAGCGAATCTTTCGATAGCGCAGCTACTGTTGCTGTGGCGTTAGATGCTGCAGTGGTGGGCTTGTACGGAAATGAAATGGGAGCTGGGTTAACCCCTCCTTGGACCGAAAGCGCCGGCGATCACGAATCAAAGAAACCCATTGTCATCCTTGGCGGTTCTTCTTCTGTGGGTTCATACAGTAAGCGTAGCAGGACTGACCTATTCGACCGCATACTGACATCATTACAGCCATCCAATTAGCTCGTCTGTCAGGATTTTATCCTATCATCACTACAGCCTCTCCGAGCAATGAAGAACTTGTCAGGGAGTACGGCGCAACCCATTTTTTTGATCGCAACCTTTCCGGCAAACAACTGAAGGCGGCCATTAGCAAAGTTACTGACCGCCCTATCAGAATTGTTTATGACTCTATCTCGTTGCCAGAAACACAGCTTGTTGCATGGGAGTTGCTTGCAAACAATGGTACCCTCGTATTAACCCTTCCTGCATCAGTCAAGGAAGATGAAGGCAAGGGGCGCAAGGCCATTCATACCTTCGGGTACCCACACGTCCCCCAGAATGAAGAGCTGTACCGCAGCTCCTGGGCTATGGTCGAAAAGTGGCTTTCAGAGGGTACTATTCAAGTTCGTTCTGCGATCATTCATTTGGATTTTATGTCTCACAGTTATGTAGCCGAACAAGTATGAAGTCCTCCCGAATGGGCTTGAAGGTATCATTGAAGGACTGGAAAGGTTGAAATTGGGACAGGTGTCTGGAGTGAAGTTGGTTGCTCACCCGCAGGAAACACAGTAAATGCATAGGTCGCGGCCAGCTTGTTCGACGATGCCTCTTGCTTGAATCAGGCGGTGCAGGATTTAATTGTACATTAGGGTCTGTTGTTTGAATTCCTGGATCTTCTTATCGCAACTTGAAGGGTATTCCGATCTATGTCGCCACAGCTACTATCGAAGGGACACCACATAAACGGTACCGTGCTGTCTTGCAGTGCAGACTCAATAGGGAAGTTAGTCTACAGATGCGTCTACTAATTCTCGGAGCCCCGCTGGCTGAACAAGTTTTCGATACCCGTCATAAGATTGTTAGCGTGACCCATAGGCTTTCTCACAGAGGAAAATAGATACTCGTTTTATGGTAGGCGTGTCCACCCAGCACAGACTCGTTGTGGGAGGTGAGATGACCGCCGGAACATGGAGCAATCGATCGCTTGAAACCGCTGCTCTTGCCGATGCAGAATACCTGGCATGTTTGTAGAAGTGAGCAAGTATCTTATATCCTGCAGTGATCGAGCCACATCGATGGAACAAAATATCGCAGTTGACAGAGGCCTAGTTTTGGCAGTTAATCTCATCTCTTGGACCCTACATCGTACTTGCAGCTTCATGCTATGTTCCCTTATGCCTCCGATAAGTGTAACCTCCAAATGGATCATCAGTTTCCTTGCATGTGAGACTAAATTCGCGATGATTTCCTCTGGAATAAGCGCGCAAACAGACAAATGCATGCACAGGGCAAAATGCTTCGCCGACCCCAGGGTTAGTTAACCAATACATGATGAGTATAGCGATCGAAGGGTATGGAAATACTGAAAGCTCGAAGTCGACTACACTCAAACACAAGACGGCAATTTCAACTTTTGACGGTCTTTCTTCTCGAGCTACTCCGTGTCGAAGCGGCCGCGCCGGGACCCGTCGTCGAAGTTCGTGTGCTTTTCCTAGGTTTGGTCGCCTTTACAGGAGGCGGTGATGGTTCTGGTGACATGGAAGGTACTGACGAAGCCGTCGACAGCCTGGACGACCGACGGGCAGGCGTCTTTTCTTCTTTCGCAGGTTTGATTTTGATTGAGGTGCCCGTCCGGGTTTTACGAGCAGTACGTAATGGCGGCAAGGGAGCAATCTCATCTTCGTCCTGGTCCTCTTCATCATCAAGTAAAGAGCCAGGTATGGTCTGTGCGAGAATAGGGCCCTTGATATGATCTTTGTAGGAACTGGCGGGTTTGCGTCGAGGACTAGGTGAACGCGCGCGAGGCTGAGGCCGACGGGCACCGCGTTGTGGCGGAAAAGCGCTTTTGTGAGGGGAACCTGCCTCACTTTCGTCCTCGTCCTCATCATAAAATGCGCCTGGAGGTGCACGTTTCTTGGTTTCCACCTGCTTAGACGCGGGGCCACGAGTGCGTTGCTCAGGTGAGCTCTTGCTGCCGAACACGGAGAAGCCGAGCACAGGCTCATCATCCATGTCACCTGGCATGCTACTGACGTCACCGTCTTCATGGATGATGAAAGCATTGTCATCATCAGATTCCATGCTAATGTCATCTGCCCCATGAGAACGAGGCCGTGCGGACACATCTTCCGTGGGAAGTGCTTGACCTGTTCCAGTCGATGCTGCCGGAGGCTTGTAGAACGCATTCGGTGCCTGTTTGGCACTACCAGTTTTCTCAAACAGTGACGTAGTTTGCACGTTGGATGAGTACGTAGTCTTTGATAAGGCGGTGCTATGCGCGAACTTGATTCCAGATGGGCCCACGAGCGGGACAGGCGGCGCAGCAACAGGTTTGCGCAGTGGAAGCTGAGCAAATGGCGATGCAGCGGGAGGCTTTTGGGATGGTGAGGAGAGGAGACTCCCTGGAACGGGCCCAGCGAGTGATGGTTTTGGCTCAAACCGACCAGAACTAGAGAAATTGGCATGCTTTTCAGGGATTCGGGGCGTAAGACTATCCGTCCTACTAGGGGAAGCCCCATTCAGAGAATTTGCGGATGGAATCTCCTCCCATGACATACTGAGATCACCTAGAGGTGCTCTGGGTTTCGGAGGCGCGGGTTTCGCTACCTGGGGGGTTGGGGCAGGAGGTAACACACTCGGCTGGTTAAGCAAGACCTCTACCAGCATTCTTTCCACAAATGTCATATTCCCGAAGATGTCATCTATCATCTTCTTTCTCTCTCGCCCTGCTTTCACAACCTCTGTACCAGCGGACCCTACGGCAGAAAGCTGGCGGTCTAGTTTGATGGCTGCCAAATATTCTCCACTTTGGACAAGTCGGACACAGACAAGGTCTTGTACGATAGCAATAGAAGCTGCCGAAATGTCATGTGGGGGCTTAAGAGCATATGCATGAAGCAGAGACTGTTCCACAGGGGATAGAGGGAATGCCACGAGCTGTGCCAACGGTCCAGGGCGTGGCTTGGCTGTTAAAAACACTCAAGATCAACGAAAGGCCACAAGAAATATCGATCGGTTTACGCACGTGAAAGACACCACTCTAAAAGCTTATTGAGTAGACGTGTACGCGTGTCAGAAGAATCGGGAAAAGTACGTTGAAACTGCCACGCGTCCCAAAGACTTGAGTTAGCCAGTGCGAGTGCATACATATCAATGTCATCAGGTTCCATGAGCGGAGGCTTGGCGGTCCGAACGTATTTCACGATGAGTGGGGATGGATTCTCGGACAACGAAAGCGCCTGCATAATTTTGGAGGCATAGTCCCTATTGAGTCTGGCATCCGACAGTATTGAAACTGCTTTCTAAATCATCCGTCGTAAGGTTCAGAGAAACTATGATACCGAGTATAACATACCTCAACATGGATGCCAGTGTCCAGATGCCAATATGCATCTGCAAGGGACACAAACTGTGGCGGGATACACCTCTCCTCCGCATAAATAGCCTCTCGCCCATCTTGAAACCACTTCAAGAGGATATATACTAGACAGTCCTTCTTCAAGCTGTCATAAGTCGAGCCATTAATGACATCCAGTAGTCTACGGAGCGAATGTAGGTCTGTAGGCGGGTAAAGCATGTCGGGTTGACGAATGCCACCGCGTATGAGCAGAACATCAAAAATCAGGACATCGGCCATCTGCGCGCGTCGGGATTCTATCTCTGCAGACCTGGTGGCAGTCCAGGGAAATTCATGTGACGTTCCGAAAAGCAGGAGCCAATGTTGGACCACATTTATGTCGTCCTGAGGAAGCACGAGTCAGGTCAAACAAAGCTACGCATCGAACTTAAGGATGATACTCACGACGTCCATGTTACTTGTGATGAACACGCCCAACCACTCGTTCCATCACGCCTTTAAACAAAGCGTTGCTGATGTAATCAATTACTATGAACAGAAAATTAACCCCTGACATTGCAAGCATTCGTGGCTCAATATACAATGAACAAAAGTATATCCATATCAATAATTTATCTCCATCCTACTTCTGCGTAAGGCGATCTATGCGTGGTGCATCAGCAGCGGGTGCCTCCAAATCATTACGTGTTCTCTCTTTCCGTGGAGCTTGCAGTGCATCGCCCTTGAATCCGAGATAGTACATGCGAGAAATTCTGAGGGTCATGTAGGATACTCAACCATTTCATAAGTTTTCCCCGGATCCAAGAGACTGATGCGAAGGTGCGGTTTGGTATTTTCGGCGTCACTGAAATGGGTAATTCATATACATCCTGAGGTGGCGTGGTGTATCATCATTGTTGCCTGTGTGAATGATATGTATAGCAATACATAGGTCAAATTTTTCAAAGTAAATCACCTAACCTGAGTAGAACAGACGTCACGAGCACAGAACGTTCTGTGCAAAGGGTACATGTATGATCATCTACAGAAATTCATTGATAAAAGTGAATGTCTTCTGGGAGAATGCGACTTGCTTCATCAGATTCTGCGTACATAATGGTATCCGCTCGGTCGCTCCATGGCTTGATAACAGGTTGAGGCCGTGTACACTTTATATCCCATCAAAAATCAGATATTATCTTTCAGAGTTCAAGCTGCGACGAGTGCTTACTTTCTCTCTAACAATCAATGGGTACAAATTTGACGGCAAGTGCAGCCTAATGAGATTTGCAGCGAGAGAGTCATGCGCCGCCAATATAGTCGACGTAAGTGTTGCTGGTGAACTGAAATCAGCTCGGACCAGATCACGACTGGAGTCCTTGGAGGATGGGCTGGAATCTGGAGGGTAATCACACCGATCTCATCATTCTGCGGTTGGCCTGTGACCTCGGTAATGATATCAGCAAAGAACCTGTTCTCGTCTGTTGCTCGCTGCCGCTTGACAGCTTTGCAAGGCATGACATTACACTCAATGACACAAGATGAAATGTGTTCAAACTCAGGAACACAGTTTTCCTCAATTTGTCACACAGGCTGTTCGTCGCGGCCTGGTGTCCTCCACACTTAGACTATGCGGCGACTTCCCAGAGGATAACGGCGATCACCGAATGCGTTCAGGGATTCGGTTGGCTGGTGACCAAACACTTTCAGTCAGTCATCAAACTTACATTATACAAATACAAGGCAGGCAAAGTATATCACCGGGCAGTAGTCTGTTGCCCCCCTGTCTTCTGTGCAAGACGATCCACAAGGGGTGCATCAGCTGCATCAGCAGCAGGCACCTCTAACTTATTTGTTCCCTCTTTCCGCAGGGTCCGCACATCTCCTTTGAATCCGAGGTAGTAAATGCGAGAAAGCTCTCCTCCAACTGACTCACGCTAAAACGTATTCAGTTGATCGATTTTGTCATAAGCGTGGACAACACTTACGAAGTACAAGCTTAATGAATGAACGCTGGAAAATGCTGCAACCCTCAGAGGATATTCTACCACTGCTGTCTCACCCTCCGAGAGACTGATGTTTAAATGTGGCTTTGTGTTTTCGGCGTCACTGAAATCGATGATATTGGGATAATTCGCATACACCCTGAGGTGCCGGGGTGTAGTTTCACCTCTGCCTGTACGTATGATGGCTGTGTAGTGCAGTCATCAATATTAAAAGAGCACTAATCACCTAATTTGAGTATAATAGATTTAACGCGCACGTTCTGTGCGAAGGGCACGTGTATGATCATCTGCGGAGGGTCATCATTAATTCAAAGTGAATCTCTTCCCAGAGACACAGCTCACTTGATCATCTACACCGGAGTCTGCATATACAGTGGTATCCTCACGCTCATTCCACGGCTTGATAACTGCTTTAGCTTGCTCTGGTATCGCCAGGTTGAGCCCATGTACGCTTGATAGCATTTCATTAAAGTCAGATATCTAAAGATTACACCGTGATAAATTAGCAAGTGCTTACTTCTCTCTGTCTATTAGCGGAAACAGGCTCGACAGGTCTGTTCCGCTGAGATCTGCAGCTAGAGAGTTATTTCCTTCCATTACCGTTGTGGTCAATGCATCGACGGAATATCTATATCAAACGCTACCGTACGCGTCGTCCTAAATTGACACAAACCAAATAAGAACAAATAACTCGGAACGCCTTCGAAATTTCTACTTCAAATGCGCGCAAAGCAAATGCACAGACTTGCAAGAGCCAACGCCTCCTCCGTATTTCGACGGCCTCCAACCCATTCCCGCGTATTTCTGTGTAGACCATCAACTTCATCTTTGAGACAATTATCCACAGATCCTTCAAATTCTTCGCTACCCAATGAATTGCCAGAATCACAGTTACAAGACGTGGAGGCTATTGAGGAGGAAGAGAGCAATCATGCCTTTCCAGACGTCATGAAACCAGACCCTCTTCACGACGATCTTTTGGCTATGGAATTCCCTCCTACCAAACGCACACCACACGCGAACCGCGTCGTTATACGTAGCGTTTATGAACAGCACGTTAACCAAATGCTAGAAACAGGCAGACCAGAAAAATCAGAGAATGGTGCCGAAGAAGACGATGCTGATGAGGATGGCGAAGTCTCTCCACTCGCGCACCTCCCTCTCAGCCGGGCAGCTCTTGACAAGCTGTACAAATTCCAGCTCATTTCTCGCCGCGTCACACAACAGACAGGGAAGGGAAAAATACACCGGCAGTATGCACTCGTTGTTGTGGGGAATGGAGATGGGCTAGTTGGATATGGAGAGGGCAAGGACGAGGAACTGCCGAGGGCATCCGACAAGGCATTCGCCGCTGCCGTTCGTAACATGGACTCCGTCGAACGCTTCGAGAAGCGTACAGTGTGGACGGATATGGAAACAAAGCTCGGTTCCACGCATATCATCCTACGGCCTCGTCCCGTCGGCTTTGGATTGCGCTGTAACCCGAACGTGCATCAGGTGCTCAAAGCAGCAGGCATCAAGGATGCCAGTGCAAAAGTGTGGGGCAGCCGTAATCCACTCAACGTCATCAAAGCTCTATTCAGGGTGCTGCAGGCTGGGAACGCGCCGCTAGCTATGGGTGACGGTTTTGGAGGGAAGGCCAAGAAGCTCGACAAGGGGTCTGGACTGCGTAACAAAAGTGCTGTAGAACGCGATCGTGGACGGAAGCTCTTGGATCTCAGGACGTACTGATACAGGTTGCCGTTAGCTTTCATTCCCGTGTTCTGGTGTCCCTGTTTTGTGACATTGCTTTCCGCGGAATAAATTGATCGATTCCAGTGTGTTATTTTACTCTACGTTCCTAGAGCTAGTATGATCGAGACTCGAAGCCATTATATGATGTATCGAAATAATGGTAACTTCAGGAATCCAGGTGCCTTTGGGCTGACGTTCGAAATTAAATTCTCTTCCTGGTGAGTAAGACAAACTGAAACCTCCAATGTCATTTCACCAAGTTCGAATGAAAGGTAACCTTATTTCACCTTCTAGAATGCAAGATATCACATTAATTTGCCAAAAACGGGCTCAAAGCCAAGAGTAATGGAAAGTTCAAAGACGGGCACTCCTGATGGAACACGTGTGCTTGGATTCGTGGATTGTATGAAATCTACAGCCGCGTACAGATACATAAAATTTCGTGTACGCCAGGTACTCATATATAATGCCTGGATGATTGCACAACAGTAAATGAGAAGAGAAATCGAAAGATATGGTAAGATGGGGCCAAAAATGCTAATGTCGCGTGGAATGAGAAATCGTTGGTAGGATGGAAGAATGATGATGTGATCGAATGAGAATAAAGAGTACACAACTAGCCACCGACTGTAGCGAACAGTTTTCCTGGCGAAAACCAGTGACGTTTTTGACGAGGTCGTGGGGCCTGCTGACGGCATTGTTCATGTGTAGCGATTACAATGGGTGGCGACGGCTCCGGCATGCTGGGTGACGGCGACCGACGCGCCCATGTGGGACTCGAGGAAAAGAACGTAGAGAATGGGAACGAATCTGTAAAGGACCCCCTGCGTGAACGGGGCTGCTCTTCCGTCTGATGTGGCGGCGACGACGAGCGAGGGAATGAGAACCTCCACAGACTTGATGACCACCTTTTCTCCTCGCTTGCAGTAGAACGGGGAATGGGGATTGGGGCTGAAGGCGGAGGAATAGGAAGGGGGGCATCAACGGAGCGAAAGGCATTCATGACCATGGAGGGTACAAGGTGATTCATAGCAGGAGTAACTTGGTCACGCCGCCAGGTAGCTAGAGTAGTGTCCTCAGCAACGTGACACGTGGGAGAGAGGTCGAGTTCCAGACCCACGACGCTGGAGGATGACGTGGAGGGGTATGATGATGGGGAATAGTCTGTTGAATCCCACGCGGAATCCATCCGCTGGCTTTCAGGAGTAGAATAAGCGCCTAGGTCAACCGAAGAAGGCATTCCAGAATTGGTCCAAGGCAAAGACAGCTTCGAAACTGAAGGGGGAGTTGGAAGGAAAAAACAGGAGGAGAACGGTGTCGAACTTTCAACAGCAGTGTGCATAGAGGAAAAGGTGGAACGTGTTTCACTGCTACCCGTGAAAAATATACGACGCCCGCACACTGTGTTGATTTTGAGACCCTTGGAGGGAATCGGCGTGGGCCTGCCGCACATCACGCCCTCAGGAGTGGCGGGAGCGGAAGGTAACGAGCTGGAATCAGGGGATTGGGGAGAGTATGTCGAAGGTGGAGTACGAGGGGACTCGTAGATTTTGAGCGGCTCGATCAAAGATGGCGATGGCGACCGAATAGAGGATTCGATTGCCCAGGTCGCATTGCACGACGAATACTGCTCCCAAGCCGGATTTTGTACGGAAAGCCTCGTAAAGTCCATATCCGCATCCGAATCCTTGCTCCAAAAGGACTTGAGCTCGTCTTGAGCTTCAACAGGTTCCTCATGATTAGAGGAATCACTGTCGCTCTCAAGGTCGACATCAATCTCCCAGGCACAACGGGCCATGCTGCCTTCAAATATTACACCCTCGGCGTAGAAGTGTTCCACGTCCTGAATCGCTACGCGAACCTCTGCAAGTGTGAGGCGATGCCTCCAATCCACTTCCAGCATACGACAAAGAATCTCGTTCACCTCAGGTGAAATTGGGAGGACGGTCGGCAAAAAGTTAGCCGGATCCTGTAAATATGCTTGGAACGTGGGGTCTGATGATGACGCCGACTTCCACGGATTCCGACCGGTCGCAAGGTTAAGGAGAATTATTGCTAATGACCAAATGTCGTTGAATAGGGGTGAATACGAGCCTGTCGGAGCGAATTCCCCTCCCTGACATTCTAAAATAGAGATCGGTATACGCGACGATTGAAGCATTAAGATAATTACCTGGACTCATATGATACACGCTACCCGTCCGAAACTCCTCGCTAAACCTATCAGTCGTAGCGAGACCGAAATCGGTGATAGCAACTCGCATGCCACCATCGAAGCACAGGACATTCTCTGGCTTGAGGTCGCGGTGGTATATGCCAAGCGAATGGCAGTACTCGACAGCGTCAAGGAGCTGTAGAAATATGTGTTTGATAAGGTGGTCATGACCCAGATAGCGGCAGTTGTGTAATATCTGGGAGAAAAGGTCGCCGTCGCTAGCATAGTCCATAATAATGTAAGTGTAGTTGCCCTCCTCGACCACCCTATGCAGTGTGACCACATTTGGATGCGCTGAAGCGAGGCGATGCAGAGCTATCTCACGTATGTGAAGCTGCCGCTGCCGCGTGCTGTGGTGGATGTGGGAGCTTATGAGGCACTTGACCGCATAGGAGGTGAGTAGGGGATCATGGGTGTCAACGGCACGATAGACGACACCATAACCACCAACGCCCAGCACTTCTACGAGCTCTAAGGTATTGTTGTCGATGACAGTGCCGAGAGCAGGGGGAGGAGGAGTGTTCGCAGAAGAGGGTTGCTTGGACGGCATCCTGGCCGAAGTCACTTCTGGGAGAGTGGTGAGGGAGGAGGAACGTCCTAATGGACTTGAATGGAAGGGCCGGGGGCGAGGGACGTTACGGGGAGAAGTAAACGGGAGAGGCGAAGAGTAATGATGGATGAGCGGCAATTTAAATGGCTGACGTCTGTTTGCGGCGTGTTCAGCATGAGGCCGCGCCTGGTTTGGTGTCCGTGATAGACGAAAGGGCGCAACGTTCAGATCCCCCTGCGATAATGACATGCTTGGCTTTTCTACGGTTCTGTCATAACCCGAGCCGCATATCATTTCATTTTCTGTATGTTTCGGGTGCCCCTAAATGGAAAAGGCGCGAGCCCTATTACCGCATCGAGAGTCAAAATGATCGATTCTGACACCGCTTTCAAAAAGAGGAGTTACTTGCTTAGGAATCCGACGGGGTGGCGGCCATCATTTATAACTTGTCATCGAATTCAGTGACAGGACTGTAACAGTTGGTCTATACTGATCGACCTAGCTGGAACCCTTGAGATTAGGAACTGAAACTCGCATTCTATAAGAAATTTCCGAACCGTGCCATCCATCTTCCACAGCCGGATTCTCGGCGCAACAGGGCGGGGGGCCCGCCGCGGATGTAGAAATACCCATATGATAGACAAGGGCTGAGGGATTGGATAATGTGCTGACCAATGCCCGAATAATGGGGCTATGACAGAATCATTCCGAAACCGTATCGATTCGTTGAACACTAGGAGACGATCATTACAGATTCGTCTGACATAATGGATGTGATTTGGGGTTAGCTGCGGCTACAGCACGACAAGGTGCTGCGGCTTGACGAAATCTAGTGTCCAGACGTTCTAAACGTTGCGATTCGTGGCGGATAGCCACTGTCAATCGAGGGTTGCCATTTCGTTGGAACATCATCTCGTTTGTGAAGTTGGCCAACTTGTTCGTGTTGTAGCACACGGTTGTCGCGTGCAGTCTAAACCAAGAAGACTAGTGGTAAAAGCACGTGAGCAGAACGCGACGCGTTGTGGTAAATCGGAACATCGGAGTTCTAATAAACACGCATCCAATTTAAGTAGAGTTTAGCGAAACACGCATGTGCAACTTGTTGCGTTACACTTTCTAGCCGTCACATTCAACAACCACACGCATCAAGCGACTCCCAGCCTACACTGCCTACATTGCGTCCCTAGCGCTCTTTTTTCCATTGCCTGATTCACAGCATTCTCTTAGCCTCATTGCTCATTCAAATCTCAATGTCCGTTCGCTCCTTCACAGTCTTCCAGGACACTCCAACCGAGATTCAGAAGATCAGTCATGTTAGCGATAAAAATCTCGTGACAACAACAGCTGCGGATGTTGCTACCACATTGCTATCAACCCTTGCCGCTATCGAGAAGGAGAACCTTCATCCGCTTACAGGTGAACGTGCTGCCCAAACCTCGACTAATACATCCAAGAAGCGCAAGACAGCAGTTCTAGTGACAAAAGCGGTAGCTCCTCCGCCGTCCTCCAAGAAGCAGAAAGAACTCAAATCGGAGCCGAAGAAACTGCGTAAATCTGCCAGTGGCAATGGAAATAAAAGTGATGGCCGTAAAAAAATTCCTAGAGGATCACGCCCTGCACGCAAAGCTTCCCCTTTGCCAAGAGTTGACGAGGAACAGGAGCTTCCAACTGCAACTTCAAGTCAGCGAGATCCCATTCGTCTTATCATTTCCCAGGCCAAGATAGATTCGAAGTGCTACGAGCTTACTGTCTCCCCATTGGCAGACGTCTCTGGAGCGTATGATACCGCTACGGAAACCTCGGATCAAGAGTCTGTGTTTGACAAAGTTTGTGTATCTTTTCTCTGTCCTCTGGCATCGATTGACGTTGGTTTCAGGAACAGTCTGTTGAGCCTGAACTTCGCGACTACTTCTCCCCCGCAATATCGCACGCCTCGCTGCCATCTGAGCAAGCGCAAGCTACTCCTCTTGCTTCAAGGACCGCTTCCGATGACGAATTCTCCACTCCAGAGTGCAGACACATTTACTCGGCATTTACCTTTTCATCTCCGTCGCCTTCGTCGAAACGTTTTAAAGAAGCTCGGACATCCCCCAACAAGACCAATGCCTCCCATTCAGAATAATATCTGTTATACCCCGTCGTCATCCCTTTGAGCCACCACTATATTGACACCCGCACACGTACAATTTACTGCTACATCTTACCCCAATCACATCTTCACATTCATCATCAACCTTCTTGTTAATAGCATTTTTTTTTCTATTTATACATTCCATCATCGTCGACATTATCTCCTATGGGTCACACCGGGTTACATATCGCTTGCTATGCTTAGGTCTGGTTCACTCGCTTTGGTTTGCTTATTGCTTTGTGCTCCCAGAGTATCCGCATTGTTGGACTCCTCAAGCATTTATGTATTATGCATCTCGCATCAATCTATCTTCAATTCAAGAGATCGTTGAAGATTCTCGATACGTCTCGTTCCACTTGGATTTTGGGCGCGTGCATGCTCTGAGCTCATAGGATATCCTCAGACTTGCCTCGGATGTTACTTCAAACAGGAACGACTTCTTGATAGGTTATATTTTTGGCCACAAGGAGACATGTGCCACTTAACCCCATGATCATGATGACAGTTATCCACATCTCACCAACGTCTCACAACTCTCAACATTGACTTGGCTCAGCGATAGGCACATCAGGAGCCCCGCATCTATTTTTCATCTATCGATGGAGCTGACTCGGATGGCGGGAATTTACAAACTTGAGCGATAAGCATTGCACGCAGTTATAGAATTGCGAGTTGTGAGCAACGAGGGCGCCCTCCCACCAGTTGAACTTGTCATGGGTTTGATCAATAGGATCATCCAAAGCCTTGAAGTCACTCATGAGCCCAGTCTTACGCTCACCAAGCAGCTCATTACCGTGAGTATTCATTGCGGTTTTAACCTTTGATTCGTTAACGTAACCTGCTCCATAGAACGATGACTTGATGCCTGTCGAGCCAGAAAAACGTACATGGCGCGGATACAACTACGTTGCCTTCTGGATGGCCGACATGTTTAATATAAACATGTGGATGATCGTATCGTACGCCCACCGTCGTCATTATGATATCATTGGTCCGTGTTAAATGAAATCTCCAAGTTCCATGATCCAACTAGGAATGTCGTGGTGGCAAGCCTGGATATGCGTCTGGCTAGGTTACGGCATTGCCACACCGTTCCTTGTCCTGAATGCGCGTCCTGGGGCCATTTTCCATGTGACGTTCCCAATTGTGAACCGCACGAGTTTCGGAACGTTTGGGAGCCTGTGGTGTGTCTTTAATCGTGTTGCTATGGCGTGGTACGCATTCCTGCCTTCACAATGACGTGCGAGCTAAGCAGCATAGCATATGGTATGGTGTTCAAGCTAGCATCGGAGGTTCATGTGTGCTCGTAATGCTCAGAGCGATATGGCCCAGCATTAACGATCTTCGTGCGTTGTATTCCACGTGTCCTGTTTATATCCAGCTGAGGCTGGGCAATAGCAAATTCGATGTCAGTGTCCTCTGGAACGAACACCCGGGATTTCCTGTGCTTCTTCCTCTTTTGGCTCATTTCGCTACCCGTTATTTGGTTCCCCGTGCACAAGGTGTAAGTACGCTCATCCCTTCTTATGAACGTGGTCATAGAGTGACCTTCCTTAGCCGCCACTTCTTCCTCGCGATACCCATTCTAATGCCCATAACCTCAATCGCGTTCCTCATATGGTGCATCGTGAAAGCTCACGGAATCGGTCCGATCATACACCAATCTTCCACACTGCACGGATCAAAGCTAGGCTGGGCCATGGTGGTCAGTTCCATGTCATGCATCGCTAACAAGGTGACGCTGGTCACGAACGCACCGGACTTCGCCTCCCGCGCTCGCACCCCATCGGCCGCGCTATACCCGCAACTGTTTGCACTGCCCCTGACTGCATCGTTTGTGTGTTTGATTGGAATTCTCGTGAGCTCGTCATCGCAGGCAATTTACGGAACAGCCATCTGGTCACCTATCGATCTTTTGGGAAATTTCTTGAATGACAATCCATCGAAAGCCACGAGATTCGGGGTGTGTGATTGTGATGTCCGAGGAGTCGGGCTACTTGACAGACTTTCACGTCTTCCTTTTGGCAGGTGTGGTTTATCTCGGGGTCATTCATGATTGCACAGGTAACTTCGCTTGTTTTCTTTGACGTTTGGTTGCGATCCTGATGCTTCCTCTTCCAGATGAGGTGTGTCAAATATAACATGCGCAGCGAGGTCCCTAAGGCTTAAGCTGACATTGGTTTTCAAGCACGAATATCTCTGCGAACTCGGTGTCGGCAGGATGTGATCTGACTGCATTGTTCCCTCGTTTCGTTGTGCGATTTTCCGCTGTATGAGCAGAATCAACATACTTAAGATCCAACTGCAGAACATCCGACGTGGCGGGTATATCGCTGCTACCGTTGGTTTCGCCATGTGTCCATGGAACCTTCTGAAAAATAGTAATGAGTTCACTTCTTATCTTTCCGCATATTCAGTGTTCCTGAGTTCCATTGCTGGGGTGATGGTATGTGGCCAATGCCAATTCTGCGTTCTGTGATGGTTCATTTGACCATTCCAAACTGGTTGGTGTAGGTGACGGAATACTACATCATCCGCAAGGGTCACTACAACGTAAAGGACTTGTACAGTAGCGAGAAGGGCAGCTGGTACTGGTACACGTATGGGATAAACTTCCGGTGAGAGTATCGATGTGCTTGAAGCATTCAAGAACCCTGACAAGTTCAACCAAATCAAGGGCATACGCCGCGTATATTGCCGGCATCCTTATCAACGTTGTCGGTTTTGCTGGAGCTAGTGAGTTGACTCTACGATCACGGATGTACTGACCCTGACTTGTTATTTTCTAGCTGGGCGGACAGTCCCTCTAGCAGCTACCCGGATATACGAACTATCATTCTTCACGGGCTTTGGGGTTTCTGCATTCGTCTATTGGGTTCTGAATCGTGTTTTCCCAGTGGTCGGCACTGCGGATACGTTCGAGGAAATCGACGTTTCTGGATATGAATGTGAGGCAGGTGGTTCACGGGGTATTGAGGAAATGAACATAGACATGAGGGATGTCGGATCAGAGACTGGTGCGAGTGAAAAGTAACTTGAAGAGCTGGCATAGTAGGAGTGTGGTGGAATCCTGTCCGAATTCCACTTTTCGATAACTGAATTCGATGCATTATAGCAATGGTTTAACCCGTCGAACAGGTTCGAACAGCTCAATGCGAGAATTGGTGCTGTTGGAAATGATTACGATGCGTTGGCCAGCCAGCATCCGTTTTCGAGCACAACCCAGTCAAGCCCGATCGTTGTCAAATGGCACAAATGGCCGCATTCCGATACCCATTCAACAAAAGGAACAACACCTGCTTACGGTGAATGGGAAATCCGCATCAAGGGCATGGAACGTGCACTTCAGCGCGAAACAGCTTACTGCTGCTGAGGAAGTCATAACACGCAAAATCAAGATAAAGGTTGTCAAATTCGGCACAGACGTCTATCTTAGAGGTACTCGGTCAGTTCTCTTTGGCATACTTCGTGGAACTCACGTATTTACAAGTCACCGTCCCCACCGGTTGTGTCATATTTGAGATTGAAGGGGCGCCAATATTAAGAGAACTTCATTGGCACGTGAAGGTGCCAACAACACCCTGTTACGAGAGCTCTAAGAATGATTCCGTAAAGAGGAAACAAGTTAGATTGCTGGTTACAAGATTGCGATGACCCGAGTAGAACAGACAAGGTCGAAAGCAAAGAAAAGTCGTACCTAATATTCTAAGTTGAAGGTCCGCTAATCCCAGTTGGACCGTCTTTTTCATCACAGAACACGCCTCATACTCACTCCTTTACGACAAGCAGCAAACTCCGAACGGTTATGCAATCTACCACACGTTCGACGCCCCCTAGACTGGAAATCCAGTTATACATACAGAACTTCCCACTGGCCAATTCTCATTGAGACTTCGTACCTCTGTTTTATTCACTTTGAAATGCATTCATATTTATGTTTGTACAGAGTCATTAGATTCTTCATTGTCTCGTTCAAGGTAATCCCCTCCCGCTATTGATCGCATTAGCCACCTGACTCGTGTTCGGCCGGTTGAACGCATATCTACAAGATACGTAAGTCACCCCGCCCCCATCAGAAACATGCGCTTACCGCTCATAACTGTCCAGATACAACTCTTCATCACTGCAAGTCTTCTTAAACGCAGGATACTCGAAAAGTCTCCCCAACCAAGCTTCAAATTTGGTTCCTCGCGGCATTTCGAACCCGCGGTAATGTTTCAACACATTAGTCGCTCTGAAGATCCCTGCTCCGTCACGGCCTTGAGTGCCTTCCATCACCATCAATGAGTAGAAATAAACACCCACACGGTGCGACAACGACGTCTGCCCATCCCAAATCACCATCTTCGACCCAAAGCCCTGTTCCCCCTACCTCTCTTTCAGCACGTTCGAAAAGCTCGACTAATGATTGAACAGCTGCGTGAAACTCTTTCCCTCCAGAAATTTGCGCCTCTGAATCTTGAGCTTGAAGATACCTGTAAAACGCAGGCACGAGCGTTCGGCTGATATGATCTGATTGGAGCCGGACGAGCGCTTTCGCATCTGGCAAAAGAACACAGTTTACGTATGTGAGCACTTTCAAAAATATGTTGGGTTTCACAAACATGGATCTGTTGATGGCGGGAAGAGACTTCTATGTGTTGACTTTGCAGCGATACTTGGTGGTCATCACCTTGTTTAAAAACGTTGATCTTGTGAGTATGTGGAATGAAACGCACTCTTCGAGAAAGTCGAGGATAACGGTGCTTTCATTAAGTGCACGAGGCGGATCGAAAGCGTTGAGCATGAGCGCTGGGACTAGGCCTTTTGGCGATACATTTAGAAGTTCTTGCGGTTTTTGATAGGGATCGACTTCGTCTGCCGTGCATCAATGCACGCATACAGTCATTGTCATTGATGATCGACACGTTAACTTACAATACTACGTTATCGTCACCCTCAATCAGTCCGCTCTTCACCCTGTGGACTTACGGCAAGATTCGCTCACCTTGTAAGGAATCTCAAGATATTCAAGCGCAGCCCATACGCGTTGCACGAATGGACAAAAACAGCTTGCGAAGAGGGTAATGTCTTCGTCTTGAGCGTGTTGGTCGACGGTTTGGAGAGCTGGTCCGGTGCACGAGCGGTGGTAGACTTTGCCGGAGTCGGTCATGGTTGTTGTGAGGGTGTGGTTGTGTGGGGCCCCAAAATTACTAACGTGGAAAGAGAAGCAAAGCGGCAAAGGTGTGGTTACATACTGAGTCAGACCAAAAGAGAACGAAAACATGATTCCTTCTAATATATTTCCGCCATCCCGCTTTGCTTTCTTTCAGATTCAGACACCCCAGTATATGAGATAGACGTTCGCTATTTCAGTTCCTCACCTCTCAACGAAGGCCCACTGGCCCAGCAAATCATTTCGTACCAATTCACAGCGTTCTTGATCAGGGTGCCCAACGACTCGGACAAGTCTGCGATACAGGTCATGTCGCCGTGACTTTGAGATATCACGGAGTCCAGACGCATCATACTTCAACGCGGTCGAAGAAAGACAACTTTGTGAGATGAGGTCTTGGTCCAACCGGGCCTGGATGCACACGTATCACATTGTTTACCGGTACGTATCGAGATTGACTTCAAGTTGTCTGATGACCTGGACTTAAATCTTGGACATTCCAGGGATTGAAGTAGTTTTTCTATTTCAGTAGAAGGTGAGCCTGTAAGGGTGTGGTGTGGCAGCACCAGATGAGTGGAGACTCTGTTCTGCACGCAAGCTTCGCCTTTGGAGCTTCCGCGAGTTGATTCTCAATGAGGAATACTGAACAAGATTCGTTTCAACTGCGACTTCAATAATAACTTGTTACTCCACTCATTTACCAGGCTAGGATAGCCTCATCTAAAGCATATGATACCGCTACAGAAATATTGTATGTCCAATGTATTTGGCAAGATTCGTAAGTGCTTTTATTTGTTCTTCAGCTTAGCATCGACTAACCCTCGATTTAGCAAAGGTTTGTTGAGCCGCCTTCATGAAACATTGTAGGAAAACTTAGCAATCCCCCACGAACAAGACCAAAGCCTCCCGTCTGGAATCATACCTCTCGGATACCCTCTATTTTTGGCCAAGACTCGGAAGGGCACGTGTCCCGGGACCTCCTGGTCACAACTTACAACCTTGACTTGACTCAGCGATTGGCGATCAGTGATAGGCACATCATGAGCCCCACATCTATTTTCACCTACCGGTTGCGCAAAGGGGATGGCGGGAATTCCCTGATAAATTTGAATGATCACCATAGAAAGTAGGTAGTTAAAGGACGCCTCTCCCACCAGTCGAATTTGCCGGGGGCTTGGTCAACAGAATCACTGAAGGCCTCGAAGCCTAATCTCACGCTTACCGAGCAGCTCATTACCGTGAGCATAAGTCACTACGGATTCGATCTTTCATATGCTAACATAGCATTCTCTCTGACAGAACGACGATTCGCTGCCTGTTGAGCCAGAGAAGCAAACATGGCGTGCAAAATGATATCTCTGAGCTCCATAAGACTATCATACAACTAGGAATGTCTTGGTAGCAAGCCTGGATTTGCGTATGATTGGGTCAGGGTCTTCCCTTGCCCTGAATAAACGTTGGAGTAGGCTATCCGCAACTCCGTGTGCCTGCGCGTAGCATTGTACGGTTGCCGGAATACTGCGTTGTCCACAAGGATATAAAGAGCACCAGGATTGGCAGCTGGTACTGGTATACATGTGGGATCAACTTCCGGTGAGATTCTCAATGGACATGAAGTACTCAAAGTACTGACATGTACAATGAAGAGCATACGCTGCGTATATTGCTGGAATCCTCATCAGTGCTGTCGGTCTCGTTGGATCCAGCTAGTGAGTGAACCCACAATCGTGATGCTTCCATGCTGAGTTGTGGTTTTCCAGCTGGGCAGATAACCCCTAGCGGCTACCCGGATATATGAACTGTCTTTCGTCTATTGGACACTGAATCGTGTTTTCCCAGTGGTCGACACTGCTGACACGTTCAAGGAAATTTGACATGTCTTGGTATGAGTATAAAGCAAGTGGGTCCCTGGATATTAAGGAAATGAATATAGATGCGAAGGACGCGGGATCAGAGACTGCGAGCGAATGATGATGAAACTTCAGAGGAAACTTAGAGTGACGTTCACTCTCGTTGGAACAGAATATCGTCCGGAGGCACGCAATCATCAGTATGCAGACTCACATAGCCGAATGGTAGTAGTTCAGCTGGAGCCAATGTTGGATGTGAACAAGTCCTGACCGTATCATGCTAATGAGCATCCGCACAGTCAGCAGACAATGGACCACTACATCATATTCCGGGTCTGCCTGCGATTCTGAAGAGGTGCCTCGATCTCCTAATTTCCAGTCCGATGTCTTTGACGATGAGGCGGATGAAAATTGTCTACTCGACTGTTTACAGTGTTGCCTCATCTGGCGGCGACATATCGAGTTCCACTTCCGACTTCAACTTAGCATACACAACTCTCACTCGATCATCGCTGTCTGTCGTGTCGCATTCCGGAGTCCAGACTTGGACTCGGATTCTGACTTGAAGTCATGTCGGCTGCAAGCGTTAAGCGCCCGCCTGACGCAAGTGATGTCCCATACGTACATTCTGCACCAAGCGCTTGCCCATTCATCCTTCTTACTTCTCCTCCTCCACGAACAACATAACCCTTATAAACTGCGCTCTCAACAGCTCCTTCATCTCCTTACAGCCTTGTGCTCGCGCAGTCACAATTCATTACCCCGTAACCGCCGTGTCAGGTCGACGCTAAGCTTGAGATTATTGTCGAGCAAATTATCGTTGACGTGACAGGATGATCGTACCAGAAGGTCTTCCAGATCCATGGAATCTGGGATGATGATCATGGTTGGCACATTATTTTGTTTCTGCTTGCATCTCCGCTTTTGGGTCATTTCCTGAATTCTCAACCTTCCAGTTACTCGCTTCATCTAGGTATGTGCTTTCAATAACACCACACACATATAATCTAATTTTTATGTCCATTGAGAGTGAGACTCTATGGAGGACAGTGCCACAGTCCATCGTCCCCCTTCCTTACCATTCTCGTACGCTATCTCATTATCTTGGTTCACCATCGACACCATGCGTTGCAGAGACTTCTTAACTTCCGTGCCATATGACATCTCCACACGATGATCCACCAGACAACCTTAGCTAATCACTTATGGTACATGCTTGGGCCCTCTCGCATCGCCCAAACACCTCTGCAGTATTGTCTTGATACACTACTGAGTTAGTCAATAAGCTTGCACTTAAAGCATGCTCGGCCGCTTGCGCGGACCAAACAGAGATCAAGCGAGGTGTGCAATACTCTGTGGTATTTCCCATCACTGAATCGGACTTGGCCTAATATCATCGCTGAGTTTCAAAATCATACCTTTTCAACGACCAGCTCCCAACCCACGATGCATCATGATGGGCCAAACGACACCGCTATAGAAGCCTTGGATCAAGAGTCTAATTGACAGAGTTTGTATACCTTTCTCTGTATCCCCTGCAAGAGTTGACGGACTTTAGCTTCGGGTTAGTAGTGTGTTTTGAGTTAGTACGTAAAATTCGCGCTATCGCAGATAAATATCGTACGCCTTGTTACCAAGGGAAGTTCAGTCACCCACGAACAAGACCAACGCCTCCCACTACCTGTCGGTTCCTCTATTTTTGGACTGTACTGCGTGCTACCTAGCAGACCGGGCCTGACAGTGACAACTGACTTGTCTTAGGCCTTAACGAATCGCGTCAGGAATAATCTATTTTAACTACAAGCTGCGAGATAAGCATAGAGTTAAAGAACAGCGACTGACAGCGCCGAGGTTCTTACCAGTTGAACTTGCCATGGGCTTGGTCAATAGGATCGTCCAAAGCTTCGAAGTCACTCATGAGCCCAACCTCACCATTGCCCAGCAGCTCGTTGCTGTAAGTATCTACGATGAATACGATCCCCCATGTGCTGACATAACTTGATCTATGATAGAACGACGATTTGCTGCCTGTCGAGCCGGCGAAACGCACATGGCGTGCATACAACTACATTGCCTTCTGGACAGCGGACACGTTTAATATAAACATGTGGATGATCGTATCGTACGCTCACTACCACCATTATAATTTCGTTGGTCGGTATTAAATGAAATCTTCAAGCTCTATGATCCAACTAGGAATGTCGTGGTGGCAGGCCTGGATATGCGTGTGGCTGGGTTATGGCATTGCCGCGCCTTTCCTTGTTCTGAATGCACGTCCCGGTGCCATTTTCCATGTGATGTTTCCGATCGTGAATCGCACAAGCTTCGGGATGTTTGGGAGTCTGTGGTGTGTCTTTAATCGCGCTGCTATGGCATGGTACGCCCTCCCAGCTTTGCAATGACGTGCGAGCTAAGCAGCATAGCATATGGTATGGCGTTCAGGCAAGCATCGGAGGTTCCTGTGTGCTCGTAATGCTCAGAGCAATGTGGCCTAGCATATATGACCTGCGTGCGTTGCGTTTCTCATTTCCTGTGGTAATCATACCCAACTGAGGCTGGCCGATAGCAAATTCGATGCCCGCATCCTCTGGAACGAACACTCGAGATTACCTATGCTTCTTCCTCTTCTGGCTCATTTCGCTGCCGATCATTTGGTTCCCTGTGCACAAGGTGTAAGTACACTCATATCTTCTGAAGACGGTCATAAAGTGACCCTCCCCAGCCGCCACTTCTTCCTTGTGACACCCATCTTGATGCCCATAGCATCAATCACATTCCTCATATGGTGCATCGTGAAAGCTCACGGAATCGGTCCGATCATACACCAACCTTCCACGCTGCACGGATCAAAGCTAGGCTGGGCCATGGTGGTCAGTTCTATGTCATGCATCAGTAACGAGGTAACCCTCGTCACAAACGCACCGGACTTCGCCTCCCGTGCACGCACCCCGTCGGCCGCACTCCACTCACAGCTGTTTGCGATTCCTCTAAGTGCAGCGTTTGTAAGTTTGATCGGAATCCTTGTAAGCTCGTCATCGCAGGCAATTTACGGGACAGCCATCTGGTCACCTATCGATCTTTTGGGAAATTTCTTGAATGACAATCCATCGAAAGCCACAAGATTCGGGGTGTGTGATTTTGATGTCCGAGGAGCTAGGTTTATGTTTGATGCGCTTTCACGTCTACCTTTTCGCAGGTATGGTTCATCTCGGCATCATTCATGCTTGCACAGGTGACGTCGCGTATTTTCTTTGCTATTGGTTGCGAATGTAATGCTTCTTTTTCTAGATGGGGTGCGTTAAATAACATACCTAGACTCTATTGCGGGCTCCAAGCTGACATTGGTTACCAAGCACGAACATCTGCGCAAATTCAGTGTCGGCTGGATGCGATTTGACTGCACTGTTCCCTCGTTTTATAGTATGCACGTTTGTTGTATGTTCAGAACCAACATACTTAAGATTCGACTGCAGAACATTCGACGTGGCGGGTATATTGCCGCTACCGTTGGTCTCGCCATGTGTCCATGGAACCTTCTGAAAAATAGTGATGAGTTCACTTCTTACCTCTCCGCATATTCGGTGTTCCTGAGTTCCATTGCTGGGGTGATGGTATGTAGGTTCTGCAATTGTTCTTTTCACCATTCTGAACGGGTTGCTGTAGGTGACGGAATATTACTTTGTCCGCAAGGGTCATTATAACGTGGGGGACCTTTATAATACCGAAAGGGGCAGTTGGTACTGGTACACGTATGGGATCAACTTCCGGTGAGAGTCTCGATAGTCTTGAAGTGTCCAACCCTGACGAGTGTTGATAAGGGCATACACCGCGTATATTTCCGGGATCCTTATCAACGTCGTCGGTTTCGCTGGTGCCTAGTGAGTTAGTTGTCTCCAGATCGCGATGCGCCGATCCTGAAATGTTCTTTACCAGCTGGACGGACAGTTCCTCTAGCAGCTACTCGGATATACGAATTATCGTTCTTTACGGGCTTTGGAGTTTCTGCAATTGTCTATTGGACGCTGAATCGCGTCTTTCCGGTAATCGGTGCTGCTGACACGTTCGAAGAAATCGACGTATCTGGATATGAGCTTACAGCACGCGGTTTGCGGGATGTTGAGGAAGTAGACATGGATACGAAGGATGGGGGATCAGATCATTCTGCAGATAAGGAACTTGCCGAACGGAAGTCGGCACCAAATGCCGGCAAGAAGATGATGTCATAGTTTAGTACAGGGGTTACAACCTACCTTCATCTACACACCTGAAATTCGAACAGAATGTCATCAGCTGGAGGCACACAATCACCGCCTCTTGAATATACAGATTCGCATAGGCCTATGGGGGTTTCTTCTATTGATGGTAGTGTCTCGGAGCCAATGTTGGATGCGGAGCAACGAAAGAGTGCGTATCATCCATCATGACTGTTATATCTCTGCTCAATTTTGAGCATTTTAGCTTATTTCGCTGAGCCGGAACCGGTGAGTTTACTACTGAGAGTAGTGGGGATGCATGTGATTATCAGCTGACTCTCACACCAGGAAGAACGCGGAGGAATGAAGGGGGTAGGGAAAGAGCAACGAAAGGAATCCACGAAGGAGAAACAGTGATTGCTAACGTTGATGATCATGGGAACGCGATTAGTTCATGAATCAAAGCCTGAATTCGGGAAGGAAAAGTGCAGCTACCAATAGTAATACAGTTATAGGGATTTACTTGCCGCCATCGCGTAAATATTCCTCCCACCACGTTCTAAATCCTGTACATTCCAAGGGAAGTAATTTCTCTGTCTCAGTAGTAGATAAGTGGCAGTTGTAAGGGCGTGATGTGGCACCAGCGCCAGTTGGAGGTGTGGAGACAGGTTTTATATGATTCATGCCATTGAGACCAATGATATCGGCAAAGATTTTGCACATCTGGTACTTTGTGAAGGACTCGTTCGCCGAGTAGTGGAGAATTGGCGGTAGAGCATCGACACTGAGATCTGCCAAATCTCGTGTCTCAACGTAATGGTTTCTCACCAGAGACGAATTTGTACACACCCGTCAAGCGGACCAAAAAGGATGCAATGTCCAATACGTTGGTAGGATACCTGATCGCATAGTCATCCATGTTAGACTCCTTTGATTGGTCCCGTACAACATCAACGAGGATATTAACGGCTGAGTCTGCATTGTTAGGTGCAGGACCATACCTAGGCGTGGGTGAGATCAGAGTCAAAACGAAGTAGTGCGACGGGAGGTCACTTGCAATACTGGAACTCTCAGAACAACTGCCCTGGCACCCTGTTGCCGGGCTTGCAACACAGCATTCTCACCATCCCGTTTAGTCTGACCATAAATCTGAAGTGGGTTAGTAGGTGATTCTGGTATGTACCCGCCAGGGGGTGGCGATCTTCCATCGAAGACATAGTCTATTCATTATTGAATGACAGGAGGTTCACGACGGCTGTGGTACGCTGCTCACCAGTAGAGATATACACGAGTGTAAAGTTCATGGCCCTCGCGAGTTCAGCAAGGTACCCTGGCACTCCGACATTCAGCTGGATAAGCGTTATCAGATGTGCCACTGCTAATAATTATCTTCCGACGAACAAGTTGAGTTCCGACTTGATCCTGAGGTTATGTGATATGGATCAACGTAACATCGATGTCGATGTGAACATCCATACCTTCTCGGCAACATCAGGTCGTCTTTCAGCAGCGCAATGGATCACCCCTTGCAAGTCACAGTGAATACCTGCGCGGAACCATCTTGAAATCGCTCTCACAAGTGGGTTTAATTTCCTCTAACTTCTGCTTAGTCGCTTCCCTATCTGTCAAATCTAGCTGCACTAGATGGCTAGCGGTGCTTTTATTCTTCAAGCCCACAACCTCATATCGCAGTGCTTTCTCGAATGCCTTATGAACCGCAGTACCAAGAACACCGGATGCTCCTGGTTGTTCTTCAGTATGAGGTTTCTCAGATGCAAAGAAGACGTGTCTACCTGTAATCACAATCTTCGAGCCTGACATGAAAGAGATCTTTAGCGCAGTGACTTTGGCAGTTGAATTGTTCCAAAGCCCTGCCAGGCCACCATTGGGCCAGGCCTAGTTCCCTCGGGCTCCGCATGTGAGAAATTTATCAAGCCTGGGTACGATGTACAGATGCCGCCGGCGCTGTTGCCGCATCATTACATGTGCCTGCACCTCATTGGGCGCTCTTTTGAATTATTTGAATTAAATAATTAGTAGTTCTCAGGAACGTTCTTTTGTCTTCTACCAATCATGTCTGAGAACGGTTCGCTGCAGTGCTGGGGAAGCCTCACCATTCGACCGTAAACTTAATGCCAGGAACCTAGCTCGAGGTATTAATATTGCTGTTGCCAGATGCAACATAGGGCTTCACGGCAACTACGTACCATTGTCGATAACGTGGTATGTCGTGCTTCACTATCCAATCCATATCTGAAAACAAACTTCAAGATTTTAGCCAGATCAGCAGATCTTGTGAAATTCCGGTTATTTTCTTCTCATGGCCACGGAGAAACGTTAAACCATCCTCAGTAGAACTAGACTGTTTCCATGCAAATGGAACTCCCCATTCCCGAGCCCTGCTTCTCTGTCAAGCAGAGTTAAACGTTGTACGGCAGGGTTTGAGGGTCAAGATTATATGAGGAACGAGGCTCACCGTGCCTTCTAGAGATACACGGCGACTCTCCCATTCATCTTCCTTCACGGTGTTGGCCTCAGGATGACGTTGCCGCTCCTAGTCAAGCCTCGCCTTCGCCTCGACCCCGGTGCATTGCTACCGTCATCGAGCTTCGTGCAGGCTGCGGGGCTCGGCAGTCGTCTTCAAACTTCGTATTCACACTGTCACGTATCTAGCTTCCGGTGAGTGTCACAAGCCCAGTGGTGTGAACCAGGCGATCGGTCATTGACTGGTATACACAGCTCATTACTTTTGGATATGCAACTATATAGCCCCTCTATTAAAACGGTCAAGCAGGCTGGGCTTGGCGGAATGATCTCTTGCCCAGTCTTCGGAGATCATGATAAGGTCGAAGGCAAAGTGATCCTGGGTCCTGACTGCTCACAGAACGGTCGGCTGAACATATCTGTAAGTCTGATGCGATGAGTTATACACGTGAACTCAATAACTGTCGCTACTGTAGATCGAAGGCGTGTTTGAGTATGTCTCCGTAAAGGAGGATCTAGACGACGAATCTGCCCAGGGACCTAAAACTTCGAAATACAGGCATATATTCTTATCGTCCTCTGCCGTTATTCCTATTTCACCTATCCCTGACCCGTTCTCTGTTGTTTGCGACGTGTTTGGGGTATCACAACTTCCCGGTGACTCGAGTTTGAATGGACCTGCGTCTAGATCATGCGAGTTCAGCTTCGAAATTCCTCGCGGTAGTCGACTGGGGGAAGAGATGCCCCCCACCTTCTGTGCTTCGATACCTTGCGACAACAGGCGAGGGAGCCCGTCTATTGTGGAGAAGGCTGAAGTGTCTTATCGCGTTACTGCAGTGTGGGAGCCCTTAGATATGTCGGAGACCAGCGGGATGTGCGTTATCAAATGCCAGGCACCACTAGCTTTCAGATGCTTACTGCTCAGGTTACAGGCTGGAAGTTCCCATTCTTTTTCATCCGGACACAGACTTTCAGTCTATTGACGGTTCCAATATCGCGCCAGAATTATGGCTCGAAATGCCTCTTACACCAGAGCGATGTGTTCCATTTCATTGCGCTGTAGGTCGAAGGCGCGGCACGCATGTATATCATCTCACAAACATAATTTTTAGGTAACTCTGCCGCGCCCGCAATCATTTTCTCGACGTACCTCTGTCCCATATTTTGTTGTATTCACAACAAAAGCTCGATGTGCCATACTTGCCCGAGAAATCGCCGCCGATGCCACCATTGCTATTTCCCTAGTCCGTAAAATTACCATCAAGCCCCAGTTACCCCCTACTTTCCCTGACACCACACAACTCAGTGATGATTCAGATAGTCCGTCAGGCCCTTTTTCAACGCCACGGACCAAGCTCCTAAAGCGCACACCAAAGCCGGCTGGAACTGCAGTAGTTCACGTACCAAAGTCCCCTGAAGAGCCTTTCTCAGCTGCTGTCCGGTACAAACCACTCCCTGAATTACGACAAGCCTTCTCAGAAACTCATACTTTGAAAACGCAAGTGTCTGTTGGATTTCCAAAGCGGCCCCGTCATCCTAATGGCTCTAGTGGTTCTGAAAGCCAGACGTATCTGCCTGATGGCCTGTATAAGGGCAAATTCTGGTTGTCGAAGGATATGATACCAGGAGTCGATTGGCCTGGTGTTAGCGTTAAGGTGAATCTCCTCCTGCAACAGACGATTCACATCTGACAGATAGGTTTCAGTATTATTTGGACGTCACTGTTCTCTTTCGGCAGGATGCGTTAAGGGCTTGCGTTCCTATTCGAGTTTTCTGAGGCATTCAACTAGCAACCCGCTATCTAGATCTCCGTTCATTCAAAAGTACTGTCTGTTTTTCGTCGTTGTGGATTGTCTGATCAAAGTTAACCTGGGTATTCGTCACTTTATTGGATTAATATTATTATCAAGTACACATCATCAATATACAAACTGTATTAATACCATGCATACATCTCGACGTCAGCCCAGCCCAGCCTTGATGACCTTGCAGGTGACAGATTGTTCTGGTGTGACCCCAGTGCTCGCGCTGGACACTGGACAATTCAAATTGAACTCGATGGAACTTACAGCTTGCTGACCGCAAGTTGTCGATAGGGTTATCCGGACAAATAACCGTACACAAGCAGCTCCTATTTTGGGCAACGACATTGAATTTGGAATATTGGATGTACTTGCATGTTCTACACCTCTCTCCTATAGAAAAGGAAGACAGTCGTTCTGTAGTAACACTCGACGTACGAACTGTACCACGGCATTGATATCACGACCAGTATACGAATAGTGCATCGCATGATCAAGACGTGCTGGTGAATTTTACTGGTAATTCGTTCGCGCAATTTGTAGGCTTGTTTCTAACGTCGCATCACGTAGATATATCTTAGCAGGTTCACCTGGAAGTATACGCCGTACCTTTGCAATGTCACGAGCAGGTTACGAACGCCTTCCTATGCATACTGTGCCGGAACCAGGTCCACCGCGCTCTCGTTCTCGTTCCCGTTCTCGTTCGCGCCCTCACTCATTCCATATCCCTATAACCATCCGCTCATGGGATTTCACCAAGCTCTTGAAAATCGCGCTTGCGCTTGCTGTGGCTGTTATACTATACACGTTTTACTTCTACGAGCCGCACATCGAAATCACCTTCTACTCGCGCAAGTGGATAAACAGCGAAATCGAGCCCGTGGGACAACTGGCTGGATGTTTTAATGAGGGAAGGATTAGTGCAGAATATAACGCTTCTAGGTACTTGGAAGGGCCGAAGAAAGTAGAGGTGCATGCTGGGATGGGAATGAGACTTGGGATGGACTGCTATGAGTTTGCTGCGACAATTCCGCGATCGACTAGTACCATGGTGGACAGCAGGCCTTACTTAGCTCCGGATGAGAGGACACAGTACCATACGTACTGGCGCGTAGACCTCGCACCTTTCTCAGAGCGGCAGGAGTGGATGCTCAAGTCCTTTTTTGCGACTCAGGATCACGCAGCCTCGAGACTTGTTATGTGGTCAAATGGGGACTTGTCGACGAACTCTATACTTGCATCATATGCCAACATGTACCCGAATTCGTTCGAGATGCGGGTGGTGGATATCCCGAAACTGGCGAGTGGAACTGCGTTGGACGGGAGTCCATTGCTGAAGACAAATGACAAGAAAGCATGGACGGACGGCGATCTTGTCAGATTGCTAGTCATATGGAATTATGGGGGTGTGTGGATTGATATGGATTCACTATTGACCCGAGACCTTTCTCCTCTACTTGAGCACGAGTTCGTCACGCAGTGGGATTGCTACGGTAAGCACTTGTCACGCAAAGTCTATGAGCGCCATACTCAAGTTCGTCACGCAGACAAGATTTATCAGCCGTTAAACGGCGCCCTGATGCATTTCCACAAACACTCTCCATATCTTTGTGAAGCATTCAATATCATGGCGACTTCAGCAGCTCCTCGTGCTGATTCTACAGACTGGGGCGCACTGCTTTACCTCAAGCTCTGGCGCCGTCTCCTGGGTGCTCATATTCCGCCTTTCAAAGTCCTTCCATTTTGTTTCTCAGATGCCCGATCCTGCAGATTGGATAACAGGTTGCCTGATCCATTTGATGAGGATGATGGCAGTGAGGCACGGTGGTGGCGTGCTACGAAAGACGGGCTGCAGGAGGACGGAGACCTAGATGATGCGCTTAGGAATATGTTTGCTGTGCATCTCCATAACCAATGGGACAAGACATTCCGAAAGGGGGCTGGGTGGAGAGGTTACTTCTCAAGAGGTACGAGGAGAAACTTGCGGAGAGGGAGGGTTTGTAGATCGCGAATTATATTATTTGACACTGCACGGACATAACCGCAGATAGTTTGCCTCAGCTATTCGATGATTTATATACCACATGTTTATTCGTAATATCAGTTTTGCGCGAATCTTTCAGAACCCCATGACTATCGCCCCTATGAAATCATAAACTTGGACGAGGGCTAGACCAGCACTAACCTATGAATTTAACAAGTCAATCCTCGCCAATGCATGAGTCAAGGAATATTTCCACCTCATCCAAGGTTCGCTCTTTGCGCAGCCATTATGAGAAAGCCGCATAGTCATATCTTGTTGGTACGCCGAGTGACTGCCTGCTCCGAAGTCAAAGGATCGGAGGCATGAATACAGAGATACAACACCAGGCTACGCTCTAAAACTACTACGTTCGCACCTCCCCCGCTTGTAATTATCACTGCAGCTGGCTTGAATGGTATGGTTATTCGGGGCGCTGGTTTAACTATTGAGCTTGTCCTGTACTTCGAAGGTTATTGCGGCACTCCAAGTTCTGCATCCCCAGCGATATGGTATCGTCCGTAATGTTTCTATTCGTTGTCGAGTCACAGGTAATCTGAGTATGCCCGCAGTGTCAGTATTTGAACTCTGTTAACACAAATGCTACCATAGCTGCGCATGTGCCGGCAGCCGCTAGTACGACAATAACTCCGCCGCACATCTGCTGATGTGCACGTCGTCAGTATCCTCGCTCTCGGAGGAACCTAGAGTCATACGGAAGATGTCGACGGATGTTTACTCTTGTTCAAGAAACGTACGAGCCGGGAATAAAGGACGATGACAGTGGGTGACTTCCCATAGGCAAAATAATCTGGATTATCATATACCGGACTTTGAAAAACATTTTCCAAGTTACGCAATCAGATATTTTGTACGAAAAACCAAACCATAGATCAACGGAATATCATGGATGATATTTTATATCAATATCAAGCGTTGCAAAACGAGATAGAAACAGAAGTAATCGACGATGAAGAATCTGCACTCATTGCAGCTACTGTACTGGTGGGAACCGAGCTGACTCGACAAGAATGCATCGATGTAAGCTGGGCTTACTCATCGGACTCGTTGATTGGACACCGCGCGTTGTTTGCTGCTGTTTGTTCGAGCTCCTATATATACCGAGCTCATATCACATGTATCGACTATTGTCTCTTATCCTCATTCAATCCCATATGCTTCTACTTGTTACTCTTGTCTGATCTTAAACTTAGTGTCTCTACCCTTGGGTAGTTGTAACATGGTCAGACTGCCACCTGCATAACCATTACACCAAAAGGTGAAATACTGAAAGCTTAGCTTTCAGCATCAGTGACAGTATATGTACTGATTATGGGAACTCAGGTAAGCCAGTGTGCTTACAATTGACAGATGTCAACCACAATGACAATACCTTTGCTGTGCACAGCTCCTTCCAAATCCACAGATGAATACCCCATGGCAAGTGCTATTTGCAAGCTAGAATGATCAAGCCCTCATTACAACTATGGGCTTTGATTTGGAGACATTCACCTTCATACTCACCTCTGGCTTTGTGAAACATTGGTACCATGCACCCATTCCTCATGATAACATCAGTCAGTATGCTAATCCCCATGTCAAACGATGATCTCTTGATGTTGGAGGTGCCCTTGGCCTTGTATTACACTACCTGTTACAGTCACATGTGCCCCTATTCATTTTCCTCATTATACTTGTATTATGTCATGACTGTATGATGCCATGCCATCACTAGACCTGCCTTCTACATTTGTATTACATCACAATTGCCGCAGCTGTTGCTAGATGTCTCTTATCTCTGACTCACTTCTTATCTCTGACTTGTCTCTTATCTCTGACTCATTGCTGATGTAGTGCACCTGCCCTAAATCACTTATGTCTTATATATAGTCAACAATGTACTTAGTAGTACTTTACTTTAATCTTACTAGGTTTTCACCTGGATAACTCCTTTGCTTAGGATCTCCAATCCTAAGTCGTCTGAACTGATATTCAAAGCAAAGACACTCTCTTTGCCTTGTCTTACAACCCTTGCTTTTGCAAGGTCCTGATTCAACCTCAGTCATTGCTCTTATCAAGCTGCTGTCATTGCGACTATCCTAGTTCATAACAAAAGATTAAAGTCCTACTCTGACCCTCTCCATCAGGGAGGTCCCAGAACCCAGAAACCAGAACCAGACAGAGAGAAATGTAACATTCCCTGTAACCAGACACATCACTAGACCAGACGATCAGGATGTCAGCACCTACCACCACCTCAGAACTGAAAGCTGGAGCTCCAACATCTTACAGTGGAAGCCCTCAGCAGGCTTTACAATGGTTGTATTCAATTAAAGCATACTTTGCTCTTAATGCTACAATCTACAACACCGACAAAAAGGAAGTCATCACTGCTCTCACATACATGACCGAAGATAGTGCTATGGGATGGGCCCTCACCTTCTACACTGAAGTTGACAACTCTGTTTCCAAGTCCTATGGAACCTTTGTGAATTTTGAGACAAAATTCAAAGAAGCCTTCATACCAGCTGATGCCATTGGCACAGCCATGAACAAGCTCTGCGCCTTGAAACAGACAGGCAATCTCACTTCCTACATTGCCAGCTTCAAGACCCTTGCTGTGCAGGCCTCTGTGAAGCAAGACACCATCTTGATCACCTTTTTCAACGATGGACTTAAGAAAGGAATCAGTAATTCCATTTACCAGATAGAAACCATTCCCACAGACTTTGACAAGTACATCGCTGCAGCCATTAGGCTCAATAGTAACTGGCAAAGAGGTGCCATGTTCCATCAGAACAACCACACCACTACCAAGCCAACTGGACAGCGATATGTACCCAGACCCTCCATTGATTGGCATGACCCAAATGCTATGGAAGTAGACCAGCTTACTGAAGCCAAGAGAAACGACCATATGAAGAAAGGGTTATGTTTCACATGTCACCAGAAGGGACACATGACTAGAGCATGCCCCCAGAAGAAGAATGGAAAAACCCTCATTTGTTACAAAGAGATAGAAGATAGTGATAAGGAAGATGAAGATACAACAATCTGCCGCCTAGCTGAGGATTTTTAATGTGGAAGACTGGATCGACATCAGTATCTTCTGATGTACCTATCAGACTTGTATGAAGTATTGGAATCAGAAAGGAACTTCGCATTCCCATTTCCCTTATCTCGAAAACCCATTTGAAAACCATTGAAACAACAGCTGTTGTTGACTCCGGTGCTGCTGGAACATTTATCTCCAAGGACTTTGTCAAAACCCATAATACCAGAACACACAAGCTAACAAAACCATTCTGAGTCACCACTGCAGATGGAAGCTATGCGAGAGGAGGTGCCATCACTTGTTATTGCGTCCTTATCATGAAAATAGATGAACAATCCATGATTGGAAAATTCAACATCACAAGACTTGGTCACTGTGACCAGATTTTACTCAGGATTCCCTGGTTGTGTGCCATGGATCCAGTAATCAGGTGGAAAGTGGAAACATTAGAACTTTCTTGAACTGAGAAAAGCAATCAGATTGAAGAAGATGTCGATACTGAATGAAAAAGGAATAAGCTCCCACCTCTTTTTCAGAAGGATGTCAAGAAGGAGCCAATCCCAGTCGTAGTGTTGCAAAAAGCACCTCCTGTGAAGTCTGTCCCAATTATGTTGTCCAAAGAACCGCTACCCTGAGCCACCATCAAAGAAATCCCAGAAGAACCCCCAGCATTACCCAACCTTGACCCCATCCCCAATGATGATGATGATTCCTTTGATACAAAAATGATGTATGGACCCAAGACTATGCACCCCCTATGTGAGAACTCACAACTTACCATCTCGATGATGATGAGTACTTAGTCGAATACCCTGTTGATGCTACTGAGCTCTGGGTCTTCACTAACATTTCTATGGACACCCTGTTGACCAAAGATGGTACTAGTGCTGCAGAACAAAAATCCATGGTTACACCCCTGTCACGGCCTATGGAATATGTCAAAACCAGTAACAAAGCCTAATGGTTTGCATTAGCAGCTGGGCTTGAGCAGAAGAAGAAGTTGTTTGAGGAACTTGTTCCTTCCTATCTCCATGACTTCACCAATATTTTTGCTAAAGATGGTCTCAACCAACTACCACCTGAATGACCTGGTATTGACCATCGTATAGAAACAAAACCTGGATTCATACTGAAAACGTCAAAAGTCTACCTGCTATCTGAAGCAGAACGTACCACCATTAAAGCATTCATCAATGAAAATGTAAAGAAAGGTTTCATTTCCAAGTCAAAGTCCCCACAAGCAAGTGGCTTCTTCTTTGTAGGAAAGAAAAGCAGAGATCTTTGTCCATGCCAGGACTATCAGTACATTAATGATTGGACAGTTAAAAACGCTTACCCTCTCCCATTACCACTTTTGCTGGTCACCTGATTGTACAGTGCAAAGTACTTCATGAAGATGGACGTCCATTCCAGCTATAACAATATCTGGATTCATCCTGATGATCATTGGAAAGCTGCTTTCACCACTGAATATGGACTGTTTGAACCAAATGTCATGTTCTTTGGCCTTTGCAATTCTCCTGCTACATTCCAGGCATATATGAACCATACCTTCCAACAAGAAATTAATGAAGGATGGCTCGTCATCTATATGAATGATATTTTGATCTTCTCCAATGACCTTCCCTCCCATCATGATTGAACTTGACACATTCTTAACAAAATTTGCGAAGAAAAGCTTTTCCTGAAGCCAGAAAAATGCACTTTCGATGCACAGGAAGTGGAATACCTAGGCATGATCATATGTCTGGGTTGTGTTGCAATGGATGTTGCCAAAACTGATGGTATCCACAATTGGCCTGTCCCCAACACAGTAAAGGAAGTGAGGTCATTTTTGGGATTTTGCAACTTCTACCAGAACTTTGTCCCTCATTACTCTGATATTGCTCAACCATTAATTGACCTTACCAAGAAAAGCACTATATTCCAATGGTCAGACCAATGTGCTTCCGCTTTCTCCATATTGAAAGAATGCTTCCTAAAGCAACCTGTCCTCCAAAACCCAGACCCAAGCTGGCAGTTTGCTGTGGCTACCGATGCTTCACTAGTTGCCACTGGTGCAGTGTTGTTGCAGATGGATGAAAATGGGGTTTATCACCCATGTGGATATCTATCTCAGACCCTGAACCCAGCAGAATGCAACTACCAGATATTTGATCGGGAACTCTTAGTGGTTATTTGCACTCTAACCGAATGGCGTCATTACCTTGAAGGGAACCCCCATCCCATCCTCGTCTTCACTGATCACAAGAATCTCCTATATTTCTGCTCTGCGCAAAAATTAACTTGCCAGCAAGCCTGATGGCAACTCATTCTCTCCTGTTATGATATTGAACTCCACCATGTCACTGGAACTAAACTTGCTGCTCCTGATGCCCTCTCCCACCGCCCTGATCATGGAACCAGACATGATGATAATGACAACGTCACTCTTCTCCCTGATTCCATGTTCGTTTGCCTCCTTGATGTTGAACTCATGACCACTCTTGCAAACCCTGATCCTTCTGACCCCGACCCCATCTTCAAAGCCGCCTCCAACACCCTTGATGGCTTGTCCCTCCCCCCAATGAAGCCCGCTCTTGCTGATTGGATGATAAAGAATGATATCCTCTATTATAAAGATTGCACCTATGTCCGACCTGTTGGTCGACATCTTATTCTCAAATGGTGTCATGATCACACTACCACCAGTCATCCTGGTCACTTTAAGACCAAAGAACTTGTCAAACAAGACTTTTGGTGGCCTTCTATGGGTACCTATGTCCGTAAATATGTTGAGGGTTGCACCCTTTGTCAGCAAATGAAGTCTGATACCCACCTGGCGACGCCACCTCTTGTCCCGATTCCCTCTGCCGCCACCATGCTGTTCACCCAGGTCTCTGTCAACCTTATCACTGATCTTCCTCCTTGTGCCGGTTTTGATTCTGTTATGGTCATGGTAGACCATGGCCTTATGAAGGGGGTAATTCTGATCCCTTGCACAAAGACCATCACTTCTGAAGGTGTTGCTAAGAAAATTTTCAAATATGTCTACTGCTGATTCAGACTACACAAAAAAGTCATATCTGATTGCAGACTGCAATTTGTATCAAAGTTCTCAAAAGCCCTTGCCAAACTTTTGAAATACAACATAGTCGCATCAATTGCTTATCATCCCCAGACTGATGGCCAGACTGAATGTCTTAATCAAGAACTTGAAACCTACCTCTGTATTTACTGCCATAACCACCCTGAAGATTGGGTGGAACATCTCCCAATGGCAGAATTTGTTCACAACCATTGGAAACACGACTCCCGTAATGCGTCACCATTCTTCCTTATGATGGGATATGAACCAAGAGCTCTTCCTCATATACTCTCCAACTCTACCATTCCTGCTGCAGAGGATAGACTACACTCACTTCAGAAATCCAGAGAAGAAGCGCTA